CTACTTCTTCTTTCATGTACATCAACACTACAGTAACAGCATCACCACCAACAACAACCACCCTTGTCATTCATCGTCTTGCCCCCCCTTGTCCCCCCAAAGCTGCTACTAGAAACTTCCACCTTGTCTCGTCTCCCCTTTGCCTCCCTCCCCATCCATTCCCCTAAAACGAGGCTGACGATGAGGGGAAGCAAAATGCAGCGCCCCGTTTCGGCTTCCGATGGAAACTGGGCACTGCTGCAGCAACCATTGACAGGGGGGCCTCTCACTACGGAGGCCACCATACTATCAAGGTATCACTCTTATCGCCCGCTAAACATCCCACCTTTTGCGGAGCCGGTCGAAGGCAACAGAAGACAGCTGGAGAGCATCGACTATTCTCTTTGTCTGCCTTGACAACCCAACAATCGATGACCATTTTAATTCATCAAATCCGTTTATTTTATCAAAGAAACCGCTTAGCGCCCGTCTGCCTCGTCTAGTAGGCAGCTGTAACCCCCGCTTGTCCCGAATCCCCCCTTGCATGCCATCTAACCAACCCCCTTGTGAAACTCTATAGCTACCAGCACAGTAATACCATGTAAGCTTCATACATCCGACGCCGTGCATCCGCCTCCTCACATATACTCGTACACAATCTATCCGTTTCTATAATGTTCCTTTCACATGCTTTCAGATTCCATGAAGCCCACGGCTCTTAATCTTGCGAAATCACGCTCCCAATCTGGCGATATTTTCGATCCGCATATGACAGCCCAAACTTGTTCGCGCAGCTTCCAGGTATCATTTCCACCACCTCTCCCACCACAATGACATGATCCCGAACTTTCAAAAGACCCCTCGTGGGTTCATCGGGTAACAGCCTGCACCTCAGAGCATACATGATTCCCTCGCCTCTCAGCAGAGGTGCTCCATCCGTCTTGCTTGTGTCGTATTCTAACCCGTCAAACACATCATCCGTGTTGCCCCTTGTAAACCTGTCTGCTACTTGCACGCCTAACTCATCCCCTGACATGATGTGTATGTTGAAGTGGCGGCTTTCTATTATGGCGTCGAGGGTTCGGCTCGGAGTGGCAATGTTGAAAGATATCAATGGTGTTGGCGAGAGGGTGAGTGATGTAAATGACGACATAGTCATTGCTCTTGGAGTTTGTCCATGTGTTGAGGTGCAGACGACGACGGAGTGTGGAAGAAGTCGCATAATAGATCGTATTTGCTCTGAGAGGGCGGCAGGAGATGTCGGATCAGCGGTCGGCGGTATGGGAAACGAAGTATGCCATGAACTGAGTGTATGACTCGATTGACTAGATTGAGTCGACTGTTGAAAGGACGTCGGCTTTTCAGCTATTGCTTCCAAGTTGTTAGCCAAGAATCATCCAAGGATAGCATCCAGGTGTCCTCACATATAGCATCTTGAGAAGCTATGCTGGAACTCGCAGCTGCTCGAGACGATCGCATACCAGTCGCGTGCTCCCCAAGGGTCAGCGCATGGCCCACAACATCATGAACACCTCTCATCAACCGCAACGCCCAAAACCCTCTCTTTTGCACCATCGCCATCCGCGCATCTCCCAAACACCCAGCCGTGACCCGACTTGCGCCGCAGCATCCCAGCTGCGACAGCTGTCGCACCGCCCTAGCAGCCCTCATCGAATCATGCGGCCTTGATTTCTTAAATTTCCTGAATTGGACCTATAAAAAAAAGAAAGCCCAATTGAAAAGAAGGATTCGTAATAATAAAGGCAGTAGCCAGAGGACTGGCAAAGCGATGCTTTGACATGCTTCGGCACAAGACAAGATCAATTCCCTTATCGATAAGCCGCCCGTTCCCGCTGTGCCGCCACTTTACGGAAGCACACCAACCAGCGGGCCGGAAATTTTGCGACAACTCCAAGGCTCTGGTCATCACCAATCATGCGACACTGACACCAAGCAATCCGCCTTTGATCCTCCTCAATTGAACCATCTACTCAATCTATTCAATCTCTCAACAAACAAATCAACAAAATACCGCCCAAAATGGGGAAACTCCCCCTCCCCTCAACGCTCCTCTCATCCTCCCCCCTCCGCCCATCAACAACCACATCCTCACTCTCCATCCACAGCCTCTCCCTCACGCAAACCCGAAACGCGACATTCATCCCCCGCCCCAGGCGGCCATACACATTCACCCAGCTCATCCAGCTCTCCGACGGCTCGACCTACACCGCACGCACCACCTCCCCTTTACCCTTGTACCGCGCCCAAAAGGATACTCGCAACACGCTTCTGTGGCAGCCTAGCGAGAAGAGCTTGCGAAACGTCGAGTTGGATGAGGCTGGTAAATTGGCTGCTTTCAGAGAACGATTCGGAAGAGGATATGATGCTACGGCTCAGGCTGTAGAGGAGGGTGAGAAGGAGGCTGCTGAGGAGGTCGCTGCTGCTAAGCCTGTTGAGGAGGATGCTGGGTTGAACTTTGAGGATTTGTTGGCGGAGTATACGCCGCAGGATACGAGTGCGATGAAGGATTCGGGTCCCAAGAGGGCTCCTACACGAAGAAAATAATGAGATGGGTTTATATGATGTGTACATTACAGATTGGGTGGATAACTAAAAAGGGAGATTAGACAGAGGAGGAAACGCATGGATTAGAGGATCGACTCTGTTCAAATATGTACAGCACTTTGAGCCTAGCGGCCTGTATGATATAACAAAAGGGATGCATCTCCGAGTTTTGAAACGAATACGAATAGTAGTAGCACACTGCAGCCCCCCTCGCTCTCATTCAATTGCCTCTTCGCCTAACCGTAAAACTCCACCTTGTAATGAAAGGGTTACAGCTTCAAAGTATTCCATTAGTCTGAATCCTCATCTATAGTTGCCCTAGCGCGATCAACGACGGTGTTGCCTGGAGGCTTTGGCTGGTAAACGGGCGGCCTGTAGAAAGCCGACTCGTCGTCCTGGGCATCTAGCTGCATCAGGAACGTCTCCCACTTCTCAATCAACTATTTGCATGTTAGTCAGCCTGACAATGTCATTGTAATGAGAGAGAGCAACACTTACCTCCTTCTGAGCCTCGACAGCGCCTTCAAGGAACGTCTCAACACCGCTCTTGAAGTCCTCTACCTTTTCCTTTTCGAAACGGTCCAATTCAGCCCTCATGGAGCGACCCATGTCCTCAAACAGGAGCCGAGCTTGGTGAACTTTTCTCTCTGCCTCCTGAACCTCGGCGTTCATCTGATTAAGTCGGTCTTGCTGGCTCTTACCCTGTCGCAGCAACTTGTCTTGCGTCGTCTTCTTCTTCTGCAGCTCAGACTCGGCTGAGTGCCAGGCATAGAAGCCCTTTTGGCGCTGGCTGAATGCCTGCTTAATCGATCCGATAAGGCGAATGTACTCGTCAATAATGATGCCAAAGGTGAGGACATCTTGCATAGCTTGACGCTCATACACATCGCGAATCGTGAGTTGAAGATCGGAGAGAGCGTCGAGGGGACCGGATAGTGAGGGCGAGAGCTCAACAGTAGAGAGTGCGTGGAGAGAGGCAGAAAAGTCGGCCGCAGCCTCTGCCATCATCTTTCTCTGGCTGACCATTGCCTCCATTGCCTTGAGAAGCCCCTTGAGTTGGTTCTCCAAGGCATCAAGGTACACCTTGCGATCGTGGAACCAATCGTCCTGCTCGACAAATTTGCTTCCTCCTCCGACATTGATACCTAGAGATCCGAAGACTCCCTTACTCTCAGTGGGCAATGGCTCCCGTCTCTCCTTGTGCTTAATGTCAACGTTAAACGCCTCGCTCTCAAGGAATAGTTTTAGGTCAGCGTCATGCTGAAGGACGGGATGCGCGGCAGTCTTGTTGAGCATTTTTTCCAGCGCCGCTCTTCTGCTCTCCACAAAGTTGCTGTCGAAGCGGCCAACAGCCTGCTTCTCGGGTGGCGGAGGCACCACGTATCCGGGGTTGTTGCCATGCAGGGTGTTGTAAAGCCAGAGGAAGTCTCGGTATCGACGCTTGACCTCGAATTCGGGCTGCTTGTAGGCTCTGGATGTGGTCTGGCAGGGAAGCTTGCTTTAGCTAGGGAATCATGATATGTGAGAGAGACAATCAAAGCTGATAAACACTAACCTTGGTCCGCACCGAGTACACAATGTGCGAACTTGTCAGGTCTCCAATCTTGACCGGGTCTCCAACAGTGATATAAAATGTGGGCTTGGATGCCTCCTCGACGCTGACGCTCGGCTGCGTGCTGCTCTTCACACTACTGGGCCTCGCAGCGTCAACAGGCGGCGGCATTCTCGGGCCTCTCGGACTGTCCAGGTCATCGTCGTCCTCGACCAGATGCGGATCGGCAGACCGTCTCTGCTGCTGGAGCGGCGCCATGGTCGTGCGGATGACCATCTGCTCCTTCTGGGGCGGCACGGGCGGGGCATCCAGCGCAGCATTCGGGATCGATCCGGCACTCAGAGGCCCGAGGGGATCGTCAACGGCTTCCAGCTTCGTAGGTTGAGCAACGATGCGCCGGGGCGTCCGCGAAGGTCGGGGCGCTGACGAGGTTGAGGCCTGTGATGTCGCTGGCGGGGAAGCAACGGGCTCGCTCTCGGCGACAGGCTCAGGGGGGGTCTGGCTGGAATCAGCCCATGGCGACTCTTCGACGTCCATTGCGGAATGCGGGAATCCGGTGCTGTGAGCGGGATATTGGAGGAAGAGGAGGAGGAATTGGATTGGCCTGGAGGCAGAGCTGAGAGGTTAAGGCAAGGCAGCTTGTCCGGTTGAGAGTGGCATACGTACCGGGTTGGTTGGAGACAAGACACCGGTACCCGCTAGCGCCTGCTCAACGTCAGCGGTGGCGTAGGTACCTGTACCTGGGCGCGAGGCTGCACCCCACCTGATCGTCAGCCTTTCATGGATGGCGAGAAGGGGAATGAATATAAGAGACAAGACAAGCTCAGTGATTTATCAATTTTATTACGCCCAATTGATTGAATAAACAGAAAGAATGATGATAGACGAGAAACGAAAAGGTCTTCCTTAGTTGATTAACAGCGTGGGGTATAAACACAGCCTTTATTCGCTACCTAACCATAAGTTGACTGACTGCCTCTCAAGCTCCAGCGTTCCATTATTCCCTACCCAGGCAGATTCGTGCCTCATTCGATGCTCTGGCGGTATTAATCTGCCATCATGACGCATCGAGTATTGTTCTAAATAATTATCCCTGTAACCAAGCGAGACCTATAGCTGTATTACACCCATTCCGAGTCCGTCGTTATCCTGCTGCTTTCTGTCAGGCTCTTTGCGGCACCTGTACCTCGTGCAATTCACTGGCCATTACCGCCATCTAGACCTCCACGTCGTGTCTTGGATGCGCAATTTGCGTTTAGTTGTAATGCCACCCCAAGAATTGCAGCACAATCCCACATCACATCTACCTGCTTCAGTCACGCCCTGCCTTGCTCTACCGGTCAGGGTCGTAACATCCGCCTGCTATAACGAGATTCATTCGAGTAAACTTGACATTAATCACAGGCGTCTTCTTCGTGGGAAACGCAGAGATTTGATCTGGAGTAATCATCACCTCTTTGCTCTTCTTCTTGGTGCCCGTGGTGGCTCCAGTGTTGGCTGGTTGGCCCGAAGGTCCAGCGTTGATTCTTGATGCTTCTCCATTGGGACCACCAATCGCCAAATCGGCACCGGCAGTAGCAGCCTCAAGGCCGGCCTGTTGAGCGGCTTTGTGAGGATCCGCTGGTGATTCGACGTCCCACAACCGAACAGTACCATCTTGGCCACCAGAGGCAAGTATGTTGGACTCGACGCTGAAGCTGAGAGACCAGACGCCGCCTTTGCCGTGGCCGCGAGAGCGCTTGATGCGAGTACCCTTGACTAGATCCCAGAAGAAAATATTGCCCGCAACGTCTGCGCTGGCTAGAATCTTGCCGTTGGGTGCGCATTCTAGAGAGCTGACGTGCTCAGTGTGCCCAGTAAATACTCTCACGCAGGCCCCTGTCACCACGGACCACATGCGGACAGACTTGTCCGTTTCGTCTGATGCCGAAAAGACATACATGCCGTTGGGATGCCATGCTATAGCTGAGACGGCGGTATCGTGCCCAACAAGCAGACGCTGGGGCGACGCATGATCCTGCATCCACACTCGAACGACCTTGTCGTAGCCGCCGGTTAGAAAGTAATGTCCGTGTGGACCCCATTGCGCTCTATAGACAGGTCCGTCGTGTGACTTGTAAACGCATAAGCAGGTCCAAGATTCCAGAGACCACAGCCGGATTTGTCCGTCCGCTGAACATGAGAGTAGTAACTTCGGCCGCCCGTCAATTGCCGCATTCTGTCTTCCTTCATCACCAAACAGCTTTTGGGGAGGTCCCGAAGCAGAGTCGGAGAACGAAATGTCGAATACAGGGCCAAAGTGTCCAATCAGCTTCCGGCTGTTGAACTTGGCGCCTTTTTCGTGAGCATTTGAGCTGGGGAGAGCTTTTCCATCCAAGGACCAGACGCGAATATAGGATTCGCTGGTACCCACAGCTGCGAGCTGTCCGTCGTCAGAAAACTCCATACATGATACGCTGTCTCAAAAGTCAGTCTCCTTTGCCCTTAATTTGCCAATTGAAGTGTAAAAAAACTTGCCTTCCAAATGTGTTGTGGAATGTAAACATGCAAGCGCTGACGGGGACGCCCACACCACCTGTTCGACCCTCGATTTTGAATCTGTCTCTATTTTCTCGCAGCTTTTGCATCTCAAGCATAATATCTCGCGGGCGAGACGGGGGTAGCGGTAGATCCGCTCGGCTCGGGGCATCTGCACTCTCTTCTCGCTTGATCTTTTGGTCAAGCTCTTCTATCAGGCTAGTTGCGCCAGGGACCGGGGGATTTCGCCGTTCCTCGTCTTCGATTTCGGCTCGGATATCATCGCGAAGATCAGTATCCATCGGTAGAGGTCCAAGGCTCAGAGGTGCCGCCGGATCCAAAATATCCTTGTTGGATAGCCCGATGTTGACCCCCGGGATACCTTCCTTAGTATCCACCTCCTCGATTTCCAGATTCTTCGTCTTCCTAAACACCGCCTCAAAGCTGAATGGAGTGATAGGTCCGCGAGCTGTTGAATCAATCTGACAATATGAGACGAGTAGTTGTCGGATCACGGATCCACCTTGATCAGATTCGCGCTCAAGAAAGTTGAATAGGTCGCTAGTCGCATGTTGGTTCAAGGGGATACGATACTTGTTCTCCTTGTATAATTTGGTAATGGGGTTCTCGTTTGTATGCTGCGGAAGCGTGATGGTCGAAAACGTCTTCAAATCATCTGCATGGGACGCTTGGAAATGCTGGCCAATTTCTTTAAGGAACAGCTTGCCCTCTTCTGTGTATCCATTTCCAACCAGCTCGATGAACGAGTAAACAAACGTCGGCCAGAGAAGCTTTGATAGCTCAAACTAATGCAAAACTCTCTTCAGCACGCGGACATGTAGCGCAAGCCATTCGAGGAGGAACCTACCTTGTAGATTTCGAGATTGTTTTCGACCCAGTCTCTCAAGAGTCGAAACGCTCTCGAGTACTTCTTTGGACCTAGGTTTGCTAATTGCTGGACTGGTTTTCCATCATTACCCAGATGCTTTGACTCCTGTCTGAAAACCTCTTCTGTCCGGTTGAAGCCTCGCTTAAGCAAATAATCCGTAACCTAGTGATGTCATTAGCTGAGATGATGCTGAGTATTGGACACGTTTTGATGTGTAGTTGCGATTGAGTGTCTTCTGTGAGGGCAAAGGGAGAGACATGAAAGAGAGAAAGTCAAGCTCTCGGGTATGGGATAGTGGATGAAAACGGATGGCACATGAGACTTGTTTTAGGATGCCGCTGCTCATCGAATGCTACAGAGTGGTTGAGGCAATGTAGCACAAGAAGGACAGCAGCATACCATAGCAAGTGAACGCTGCTCATCAAGTTTCTGTGGAGGACAATAACTTTTTGATTTGAGACGGCGACCCCCGCGGAAAGGACCACGGTGAGAACAGGCATAATTCCAAATGCTACCACGTACTATCTGGTTCAGATTTTGGTTTGACATGGCACCTCCAGTGGTGCCAGTTGCAGCCGTAGTCGCGGCGGGAGGGCCAGCTGGTGATGTTGCTGGTTGCCCTGCATAGGAGTTGGCCGTGCCAGCGCCCTGGGTTGGCGCTTGAGTAGCCATGGTGGAGGGAGAGTGAACACCGTCTTTGAGGAGAGAGATGGATTCGAAGATCGGTACTGCTAGGTAGATGTGCTTCCAATATGCCTAGACTTGGAAGCTATGTCATAATAAATCCTCGTCCTGCGTGGCGTGAGGCGCAATGCAACTCGTGCCAGCGTGGTTCAGTGAGCTCAAGTTGCGCCTGGATCTCACGCCCAGGTCGTGTAGCGGTATGCGGGAGGCGAAACGTGCCAGTCGTGAGCTCCACAAGGTGTAATCAAATCCAGTGATTCCAACTGTGATGCCTGTGTGCGATATTCGGAGGAAAAGAGGGCGTTGCAGAGGATAGAAGGCGACTGTGATTTGATGGTTAAGGCACCAGGTTGATGTTGAGAGTAAACTTAGAGGACTGAAGACCGCGAGACATCAGAGCCGTTAGTATAGCCGAAGTTTAAGCGGCGCCTCTCAGCTGCTCAGTCTCGGCAACAGTCAAACCAAATATGCTGCTGTACGTCGTTATGGTCGTCAAGTATGAAATATGGTACAATAGAATGACTCTTTAATAGTAATTGTGCAAGATTCTGAGCTTATAGAATATTCCAACAGAGAGACTTCACTTACAAAGCATGCCATACAAGCCTCGTGGTATCTTATCAGATTCGCGGCGCGTTACCGGGACCCACAATTGTTCAATGTTCCTTGGCCATGCTTTAACAGCACAATTCAACCACCTACACTATTCATACCCACACGCTTGACATCCTCCATAACGCCTCAATCACTCGAGTGGCCGTCAAAAACAAATCTGCAATCCCCAAAGTATTAGCTGGGAATCACACAATCCGACATAGCAGGACCACACAAACTGAGCAATCTCTCGTCAATCTCACTGCCATGGCGTCACCAGAGGACATCGTCATGGGAGACGAAAAGGAAGACTCTCAGCCCCAGGAGTCCTTTGTCCCTTTCACCCTGGAAGAAAATATCCACCAGCTCAACTCCATCGACCGGTCCATTGTCCAGCTGATGAACCACACTGCCACTGCGCTTGGCGCCCTCACCACTCCAGCATCCTCCGACAGCAATCCTTCAGCATCAGTAGAGTCAACAGCGCAAAAGGACGCATTCAGGGAAGCCACAGATACTTTTCTTGATACGCTCCATAGTATCGATGTACGAATGAAGCGCCAAATCCTCGCACTAGAAGAAGCGGGCATCGTCAATCTATCCAGCGGACCTCGGCAGGGTCACAACACCACTGTGAAGCCATCTTTGAAGCCTAATGGCATGGGAGCCATCGGAAATCTGGACGTTGGGTGGTTAAACAGTCGGAGTACCAAAGTTGAACGAGATATGGAGCTGGAGTTGTGGAGAAGGGCGAGGGAGCTCCTTGAAAAGGACGAGGGGAGTGTCAAGAAGGAGTAACACATGAAAGGATTGGCGTTTCGGCAATAATGTACAATGGGGTTATTAATTCGGTATGCTTCAAGGTACGCTAATCATTATTTTGTTCCTGGACATTACATTACTGATAACATTTTGTTGAAGGCTGTGCCTCCCATGCATACAATCTCCCGCAATCCCATCCACCTACACCGGGCTGCCATTGAGACACAGTCACCCTATACCTAGATCTCAGTATCATTCTCGCAGAGCCTGTTATATGCATGCGTAAGTTTGAAAGGTTCGTCTGGTGCGCGCGGCACAATATTCTCGGGCTGAATGCTAACAGGGCGTCAGCTAGAATGATTTCACTTCAAACAGCACACTTACAGGGCATCGAAGAAATAGCAAGAAAATTCTCCATCTTCGGGCGTCGAGTGCTTAGCTAGATAGCCGGAGTTAGTTTATATGATGGCGATAGAGGTAAACCAGAACGTATTACTTTGATACCCAACCCAAGAGACGCATTTCTTCCTCGCGTTGCAGGTGTACTGGCACCTATTTTCGGCCCATGGGACCCAGGTAGTGCCCAAAGAGAAATGCTGCACTTGTTAGATTGTAGCCTTTGGAGATGTATACGAGCACAGGTAAAACTAAAACTTACGTCTGCATCTCCAACGTTTTGGTGGCGCGCTACCCATGCTGGATCGAGAACAAAGTGCATCGGGAACTGGGATGGCGGCTTCACCTCGTGATAGTGAATGGTCCAGTGGTCATACTTTTTCGGGGCCCCGTAAACGCACGCCCTATGTTGCGTTTCGGTGATGACCTCTTGGTTCAGGAGAGGAGCTGCCGTGGTAGCAGCGATTAAAGAGGCAGCTAATAGACACTGGACGAGATGCATGGCCATTCAGCTGCAGTATTGCCTAGAAGAGAAGTCTGGCAGTTGGAATAGACGGAGGCAAATGTCCAGATGGTTCAATTCTTCATTTGATATCTTTCAGTACTGTGAGCGACCCCTCAAGGTGCAGCATTGATTCCGTGTCATAGCATCATCATATCGACGTTTTCTCCCGCTGCCCTAAATGCACAAAATAAGGAAGCGGCTAATTGAGCCACTGCCGTTTGATTGAGGTGCCTCGTCTGATTCTAATGCGGCGCGCTAATCGCCGAGATTCTAAACTTGATGGCTTCTTTAATGGAAGGCGCGGAACTGTGGCACAAGGCATCATGCATTCCATCTCGTGGAGCCTTCCGGGTATGTAAATTGGGAGACGGGTGTAATTTGGTGATGTCGACGTCAGAATCCTGGCAACAAAGCACTAACTTAGAGGGTAGTAGGGTAACATATAATATCAAGTTGCTCTGCGATATGCATGCTCTTAATCATATCAATTGCATTTCTTGGCAAACAAGCCCTGAACATGGCTCGTCTAAGAGAAGGAATCTGTGGATCGATACGCCATGGCGGGTTACTAGATGAACAATATTGATCATATTGAAAGCTGGCAATAGATTCAAGTACGTTGGTAAATATTGGTTGGACTCTCAAAAGACTCCTTTTGTCAACACCAAGGCCACCTTCAATGAAATGCCTGAGCTCGTCTTCAATAAGCCGCGACTCTTTCACAAGCATCGCGCCGCGTTAGCCGCTTCGAGATGACATGCAGGAGTGGAGAATCTGAAATCTCGTACTATCGAATTATGGAGTGAGTCGCTCTGCTTGTGAAACATTGTTTTAAAACGTCATCATGGACCATTAGATGCGGAATTATTCACTTGTACGCACATATTTTCCCCATTGTACTGTACCTATGGACTGCGGAACTTACGAAGAGGCCGAATCTCTGCCTCATCTGTGGTCACTATTTCTCCGTCTATCAAGTCCATCCATGAATGACCCATATCAAAACGCTCAGACCACTGGAGCTCCAGCGCTCTTTGCGGGGCAAATCCCAGTAACTACTAGGTAGGACCCAGTCTTACTGCAATTGTAGCTGGTACTTCGTATCTGGCGTGTGTAATCGCCTATTGCAAGTCTCTTGGTTCGCCCGGCAGAACGTCGGTGCCAGGGCCCTCCCTGCGCGTTTCGATGCATGTCGTGGCATTTCATCTCCGATCAAGCCGCTCAAAAATGTTTCAATGCCCTTGATAAACACCCGGCCGAGGTTTTTCTGGCGTCGTTTCTCTACGGCTGCAAAGATCGGAAGCGCGATACGATTCGGCTCTAGGAGGTGAAGAGAAGGGATTCTTTTCTATACTACTTGATCCTTTTTTTTCTTCTTTATTCACATCAAATCACAATCAAGATGATGCAGCTGTCTCGGCCAGCGGCGACGGCGCTGCTGCTGTCGATCGCTTCGTTCGGGACGCTTGTCCATGGCCACGATCACCATGAGGGCGGCGAAAGCCACATCCCCGAGGGCGAAGCGATATCACTCGAACCGGTCGTGAGTCGCCGCTTGTGAATACAATAATAGAAGAGAAAAGAAAACAAGCAATTAACACGAATCACAGGACACGATTCTCTGGATCCACATCCTCATCCAGATGCTCGCATACGGCGTCATCTTCCCAATCGGCATGGTCTTTGGTGTAAGAACCGCCATCTTTACTCTTACTGGTGCTTTGCAAGAGCACAGCGACTGATTTATGCAATCATAGATGACCAAATCTCGATGGCACGTCCCGACGCAAATCCTAGGCTCCATCCTCGCCGTCGTCGGCTTCTTTCTCGGCCATGCGCACAAAGGAAGAGAGTTTGTCAGCCACAATGTGCACTCGGTGTTCGCCAACATCTTGCAACTCCTGCTTGTCGGCCAGGTCGTCTTGGGCCTATACTTGAAGCTTCACTGGGAGAAGGGCGCTCTCGGCATGATTCGCAAGTTTGTCCGACCCTTCCACTCCGTCATTGGCAAAGCGATGCCGCTTCTCGCATGGGTGCAGATGATCTTTGGAGGTATCACCACCCTTGGTTTCTGCCAAGGCGATCACGTTGGTCAATGCGCAGCCCACTTTATCATGGGAGGCGCATTCATTGCCTACGGTATCCTTTTGACCATTATTCTGCTCGCGGGACAAGTCTGGATTCGTCGTACGGGAAGATCGCAAGAGTTCTACGACAGCGCGGTCATTGCCGCTTGGGGCTGCGTCAACACCTTCACGGAGCACCGATGGGGTACCGCCTGGGTCAAGAATGATTGGCAACACACTACAATGGGCGTCATCTGGTGGTGTGCGGGTCTGGCTGGTATTTGGCTGAGCCGAGATCGCGATGGTAACCCGAAGCGCAACTTTATCCCTGGATTCGTCATCCTCATCACTGGTTGGGGTATGTCTGCGCACCCTCAAGAGCTGATGGTCAGCGCCATGACGCACACCATGTTTGGTTACACCCTGATGGCCGCTGGTCTTACACGTATCATTGAGATTGCCTTTGTTCTCAAGGATGCTCAGTCCCTATCCGATGATGGGCGCACCTGGAACAGCTTCCAGTACATTCCTGTTTTCGTAAGTTGACACTGCACCTGATACGCCAAGTTAGATGGTAGCTAACGCTCGCCAGCTCTTGTATGCCGCCGGCTTCCTCTTCATGGGTGCGACCGAACAGCAGATGTCTCTCATCGACGGCTCCAGCATGGATGTCATCTCTTACATCCTGATCCTTTACTCTCTCGCCTTTTTGGTCTTTTTGTTTGCCAATATGCTCATCCACCTTTACGACCGTCTGTCAAACCCACCTCTGGATACCAAAGGTTTCGCCAATGGTCACACTCACCTGAACGGACGAGCTGTAGAGGACGGCCAAATCCGAGCGGCTGAGGAATTCGAGCTCGATGGGCTGTCAACCGATGACGAGGACGATGAGAGGCAGGGAATGCTGGCAGGTGAGGGATCCAACGCCCCCAAGAGGCCTGCTGCAGCTCAATCATGAGATACAAATGGGATATGAAAGTTATGTCAACGGGGGAAACACATGCTATGGGAAGACCTCTATATAAAGTTAAGCGTGTTTGGGAGTTTTGTCTTCTTCGAATAATGTCTGTATACAATACTGGAAAGTAAGATGATGGGTAATTTTGGGTGTAATAATAACATTAAAAATAAATTAAAATAAGAATACTATGGAATGTCATTCATCTGCATCTCAATGTTCATCTGCATAATAGTCGCGATTGGCACTGGACTGTCCGTACCTGCGTCCAGGGTCCAACCCAAAAAAGCTAGCTGGACGGCTGCACATTTTTGGTGGGGCTTATCTTTTTTTTTCTTTGGCGATATCACCATCTCTCTACGTACATTTACCAACCAAATCTGCAATTCATTCAGCATACCTATATACATCTAAATACCAGCGTCCTTGATTTATTTCCTCGCAATGCCTTCCGTCAAGAACCCCAACCGTCTCTCCAAGAACCGGCTCGCCGCCCGCGCCGCAAAGGCCAAGAAGGCCAACCAGAAGCGCGCCGACCCTGCCATGAAGAACAAGATCACCAAGGCCGACAAGACGAGGGGCGCACGGCCGGGCCTGTTGCCGACGAGCGGACCGAGAGCTGCGATTAGCGCTAAGAAGGCGAGGAAGCTGGAGAAGAAGATGGGATATGCGCTGAAGAGGAAGATGGAGGCGGAGGGAGAGGCTGTGATGAAAGGTGCGTTTGTTTTGTCTTGAGGCTTTCGAGTCTTGATGTTGGGTGAGGAGGTGGAAGGAGGAACATGGAAGTGCTAACTTGGGAATAGATGCGCCTGTTGTTGAGGAGAAGGCTGTGCAGGAGGAGCAGGATATGGAGATTCAGTGATTGGTTTGTCTGGAGAATGGGATATCATACATAAGTACGAAGGACCCTTTGCAGATCGAGGCGATATTGCGGGCTAACTGGATGGTACAGATTAAAAGTCGGTTGTTTGCTTGATTGGCATTTTCTGTGGTACAATGGGACACATTACACGGCGCAGGATGGGGACTGGATTTGCAACGATTAATAGACTGGATGAGCATCTTCAACGGCTATGTGATACGTTAAGCTATCGAATATGACTTCTTTTTTTCGCCACTATGAGTTACCGAGTTGTTGCTGAGATTGCTGGAAAGACTTTGCGGGTCCTGAACAGAGGGTCGCATCTCTTGTTGCCTTTTATATCCGTCACTGTGCCTATGCGCGTGTGTATGAACAGTTTCGGCATCGCTTGTTTGACTTTGAGAGGACCCTGTCTCCGTTCCGCTATAGGAGTACGAGTTTGATGAGATTGAAGAAGGATAGGTCGTCGACGACCAGTCGCTTGTTCGGATCGATGGAGGAGGGCTGTCACAGATGCAGCAGCAGAGTTCAGCGCATGCTTCTACTGTTGACTCGAGGAAAGTTGGCTCAGGTGGTTGATCGTAAGACAGCGGTTCAATGGTGCCGTATGCAGAGGCATTGGATGATTTGCCGTCGGGTGGGTTGCATATGGGGCAGTCGGGGCAATAGGAAGACGAGGAGCTGGTGCTGGATGTGGCTGTGACAGTTCGAGAACCGTCTTCAATTGCTTCGTTGGACGAAGACGATGGGTTAGTAGGTTGAGTTGTGCTCGTGTTGTCCATTGCAGACATGTTGTCCCAGGGGGTTTCTTGATAATAGGTAGAACGGTGTAGAAATGGTAGGTAGAGTATCACAATCGTACTGCATTGGCATCTGCATGAAACTCAGTAGGAAAGAGGAAGGTTTATATAGGTTAGGCGTATCGTGATTGATATGAGATTTGGAGAGACACACGTGTATTGGTCAAGTGCTTTATCGCAGAGCTGATGCATATGGCTTGCGTCACTCGATTAGGCATGTGCGTTTGTGGTGTAACTGCGCATTCATGACCGACAGTGAATCACGGAGTGGTACGTGATAAGACGTTTCTATGTGTTGACATTGAGGACTTGGATGCTATTGAAGCTGGCAAACAAAGCATGAAAGCTTCGTAACGGAAAATACTACCTATCCAGTATGCCATGCCAAAGGTAAAGCTACGTACCTGGTAAAAAAGGATGATTCCAGAAACTGGAGAAATGTAGCCATACCAGCAGATATTAGAAAAATATAGCGATATTAGCAGATACTGGATTAAAATATCCATAGTAGCAGAAAGTAGTGACAGTAGCAGACACTTGAAGAGCTGAGTATCTATTATTTGTTGGATAAGTAAGTAAGCCATAGGTTTGCCTCGGACCTGTTCCGACACTTGGACCTCATGCAATCGCTTGGGGTGCTGGATAGCATCTCTATTATAAAGCCATTGTGCAAATAAGGGTGTATGCAAGTGACCGGTCTGGCAGTGGATATTGGCAGCTGTTGAAGTCCGAGAACAATAAGAGAAGCAGAGCGTTTGAAGTGGGGATTCTCTGCAGTTTACTGTCAAAGTGAATCCAGAACGAAATGTCCTGCATATCGACAATACAAGCATATCATCATTGTCGACGAGGTTCAATGGCAGAGCGCAGGCAGATGGGGAGAACAATTTCGTTTACAGCCAAGATGTGTTCAATTCCTTGCTGCTGCTCACACTCTCGATTTTGGCTGTTCGCAGCACTTCTTTGGCCAAATTTTTTCCCACCTCACCGACTAAAATTTTGAGGTGCAGCTGGGCTAATCTCATCTTCTTCTCTCAACTCTCTTTCTTCCTCCTTCTCTCATTTCCTTTCTTCTTTCTGATCCCTCGTTTCCCCCCTTCTCTCTTCCAAACTTGAACGGCTCGTCACTCACCTCTGCATAACTTCTCGAGCGCTATCCTTATCACAACCGCCTCCAGCCATGGCTTCCACCAAGCGAACAGTCATCGAGATATCCTCCGGCAATGACGACGATAACCCTCTCGTGACGCGTCGCAAGATCCGCCGACGATCCAAGATACCAGAGCCACAGCGTTCGTAACATTGAGATAACCTAAGAAGCCTGATTCAACATCGATACTGACACCTTTCGAGGGAACGAAGCAGACACAGAGGCCACCCAAGGCCAACCGACATTTGCAGAATTTCTCTCCCGAACGCTACCAAGCAGGCTGATCTCGGGTGATGTCGCAAAATACATCCAGCGAGAGTCCAACGTTCGTCTAGAGACTGCAAGACAAGAAGGGATTACTCTGGATACTGTCTTCATCGGCATGGACTGTTTGCCGGCTTGGATGGGTATGCACTGGGATCCGCAAAGGGAGTCTCTGCATTGTGCTATCCAAGATCGACTGATGGATGTCGAGGTTTCGAGTACGCTAGGCGATGTTCTTCGGAAAGACCTCATCGAAAAAGGGAACCGGAAACTCGAGGAGGCTCGTCAACTCGGACTGGGCATCGAGGATATCACGATTGGGAAAGGGCTCCTAGCGACATGGAATGGTCTGGCGTCTACCCAAGAGACGGTTTACGGGCTGGAAACTCCTCCCGAAGAAACGAGCATCGGAACTACTGTTCAAGATTCGTCAGTCTTCGGCCAAGCAGAGACGCCGGAGTCCGAGATCATCACAATATCCTCGGCAAGTGAAGCTCCGAATTCGCCCGACATCGTGTACGACTCCTCGAGCACATACGACAGCTGTTCCGACTTTAGCAGCAGCAGCGGCGGCAACAGCAGCAGCACTGAAGATGACGAGGAAGTTGATGAAATCATTCATATGAACAATGTGGTCAATACCCAGCCGGAATATTCGGAGAGTGACGACGAGGCTCCGCATATTCTTCACGATGTCGAGGTCGTGGGCGGCTTTGAGGGTCACCCGGACGTGGATTTGGAAGTATACTTGGTGGAAGACGACGAAGAAATAGAAGGCCTTCCGGAACTTGAGCTGGCGATTGATGGAGATGCATTTATATATTATTTTGGCGATGATGATCTTATGGAGGTTGAGATTCCTGGGATGGATCTACAGTGCTCGCTTGACGTTCCTCCTGACCAGAGTGATGAGGGGGACTATAATACGGAGGGTAGACCACCATTGAGGGAAATTGAAGGCGACTCCGACGATCAAGTTATGGATGAGGACGAGGGTGAGGATGAGGGCGGAGAGCAAAATTCGGTCATTCAAATCACTGAGGATGGTTTCACTTGGTGAATTTCTTTGTTCTTTCTTTCGGTTTACTAGGTTGTTCATGGGAGGGAGACTCTGCGTCTACAATTTGCGTTTTGGGAGGATATCGTTGCAATGTTTTCGGCTGGAGAAATCTTCTTTCAAACTCGGCAAGTTGCCTTGGTACTGGGGTATTATGGGGATTGATGAGGATTTTACTCAAGGCTCTTTTCTGTTTTGGGGGGTTTGGGATTCAAAAACTGGCGTCGGATTCTATGAACATGGAAGACTTGGGACTTGGGACTTGGGACTCGGTATTTTGTGCATTTGCAGCTCTTCACAGAGAGGTTAGCGGTATTTGAAAGGGATAGATACGGACTTGAGTTACATATTTGCTGCCTTCAGACATCGATAGTGTTACTCTCTACGCCGCTGCGCTGTTCATTTGAAGCCTACTTGCGTTGATAAAATTTCTAAGATGTTCTTGGTATGACTGACACCTGAGATATGCCATTAGTGGTGAGACTCTCGCTGTATAGTAAAAGTACGTCTTATGCATGGATGAGCCGCAACTTATGTCGTTTATCACACGCCGACATGCGGGTAGGTAGAAATAAAGTTATATGCATTAGGTGGTGTGATCCACCCACATCAGGAAACTTATAGTCCAGCCGTGGAATTGATCAAAGTCTATAGTTTTTAATACACTCCTTCATTAGTGGATGCTACGCTCTATATATTAAACCTTCAACAGTACTTTATTACGAGATGTTTCATACCATCTCTTCACTGCCTTTGCTCAAGCTCAAGCTCCGGATTTACAGGCAAGATCTGGTAATCATTATCAATACGATCAATTGGTCATAGTCGGAGTGTTTACAGCCCGACGGTTCTGCCGGTTACCACACTGCGAGTCAGTAAATAACTCTTCAGATAGTACGAGAGAAGGAATACGTAGAGCAAATGTGACGCGGCTGACACATGTTTCTTGGAGTTGATGGATATTTCCGATGAATTTACCCTGTTTCGGATATATCAGTGCTCCGAATTGTACAGAAAGCCGAGAGTTGGGTGTGCATCTCGATGAAGATTAGTGAGAAAGACTGGGATGGCCACAAAGGGTAATCGGTGGGGGCTGTTTTTTGAATACCTAACCACTAGACTCTCTATACAGACTTCCAGGTTCTAATTTACAGCGATAAGTTACAGCGACAACAGCGCAATGTAGATGAATCAAGGACCTTCATCCATAGGCAATCCATAGGATGAGACAATGACATGTAAGGTAGCGTAGAAACAGTAACTGTAGAGAAGATGTCAGGATGAGACGCATGAATTTAAGAATTATCATATATTTGTTGACTAAACGCCAAGCCTTGGACACTTTGTTTGCCCTAGCAGGAATATCTCCAACTTCTACTATTGTATAATGCATACATGAGGCCAATGATCCTCAATGAACTAGGCTTAATTTATTTTACATCAGTTACAACGTCACCTCCGGAATTAATTTGTATCGGCGTCGCGACCATCCTGGAAGCGAATTGACCAACCCATCCCATCCCATGTTGATGCCGATGCACCACACCAAGCAACGGAGAGCGAAGTTCCGACAATACGACCCGGAGCCAGCAATGATCGTGTATTTAAAGCTTGACGTTACCCCTCAAAATGGCCTAGAAGATTTTCAGGCAAGAGTTTCTCTGTGACTCCAACGAAGTGTTTTAAGTATTCAAGACCAGAGTCTTGCTTGTTGACTATTTTGTCTCTCATAGTATATCATTGTATAGCGAAGAGCACCTTTCTCGACATTACAAGCATTCAATCGTCTTTTCAAACCGCTTACAAACACCACAACTCAATACAACTTCACAACATCATCAACCATGCCTTTTATCAACGATCCCAAAGGCAAGGAAGTTGTCCCCATCAGAATCAATGGTATCAATGAACCCTTAGATGCAACTCGGCTCATCCCCGTCGAGTCCAGCAGTCAGGATAAAATCGTCCATTACGCCCAAAGTGCGACGCCTGAGTTGGCCATCAAGGCCGCTGAGGAGTCCTACAAGGCGTTTCGGAAGTGGAAGAACTCTACCCACACTGAGCGCCGAGACTTGCTTCTTCGAACGGCTGATGTGATTGATGCCTGGACTGATCGCTTCGTCGAGCTGCAAGTTGCTGAGACTTCTTGCCCTGAAGGCTGGGCTCGGTTTAATGCCATTATCTTGATACGATGCCTGCGTGAGATTGCCTCAAATATCTCGCATGCCACGACCGGTGAACTGCCGTCTTTGGAGACTCCTGGATCGCTTGTATTGGTGTATAAAGAGCCGGTTGGCCCTGTTCTTGCCATCCCACCATGGAATGCCAGTATGGTCCTTTCCGGACGTGCACTGGCTGCTCCCATTGGCGCTGGATGCTCCGTCGTGCTCAAGGCGTCGGAATTGTCTCCGGCAACGCATCAACTACTTGCTTTGGCCTTTGAAGAGGCTGGTATGCCAGAGGGTCTCATCAACATATTGCAAGCTTCGCGTGAGGATGGCCCAGTTGTGACGGAAGCGTTGATTGCTCATCGAGCAATCCGCAAAGTCGAGTTCATTGGCAGCGACGCTGTGGGCCGCATTATTGGTCAACTTGCATCCAAGTACTTGAAGCCAGTGCTGATGGAGCTGGGAGGAAAAGCTCCTGCGGTTGTGCTCAGGGATGCCGATGTAAAGCATGCGGCTGACAAGATTGTTGAAGGTGCACTTTTACACCATGGACAGATCTGCATGTCTACCGACCGCATTGTCGTGGTGCAGGAGGTTGCGGATGAACTTATCAAAGAGATCAAGACGATCCTGGAGACGAAGTACTCGAAGGGAGCTGGCTATGCTGTCAGTAAGAGACTGGCCCAGAGGGCTCATGACCTCTTGCATAAAGCCCACGCTGCAGGAGCTCGTTTCCTTGTGGGAGACGCAAGCCTCAATGCAGCTAGAACCAGCCTCACGCCGACCATCATTACCGACGTGAAGCCTACAGACGCAATATACAACGAAGAGATTTTCGCCCCTGCTGCCATTTTCATCACTGTCAAGGATGAAGATGAAGCTGTCAAAGTTGCCAACGACACGGCATATGGCCTTAATGCGGCGGTTCATAGCCGAGATGTTTTTGCCGCCATTCGCGTTGCTAAGCAGATCGAGGCAGGACAAGTTCACATTGGCAACATCACAGAGTATGACGAGCCAAATATCCCGATTGGAGGAACAAAGGGCAGTGGTTGGGGAAGGAATAATGGCAGATATGCTCTGAATGAGTTTTTGGTGGAGAAGACTATTTCGATTCACGATCCTGCAGCATCTGGGATTAAATTTGGAAAATGAGCGATGCATTAAAGAAAATAAACGTGAATGATAACCTCTTCAGCCAGAATGTATGTATATTATAACCCTACACCCTATGGATGTTCTATGGATAGGTAGATGAATACCTAAGTCACTTTGAGATTCAATTTTAAGAACCAGCCGCTATGTACATGTCGTGTTCCTTTGCCTTTATAAGTAGGTGGACCAAAGTATTCCACTGCCTTCCGAAGCCGTATAAACGCCACAGATGATATGTGCAAGTAAATGAACATATGACTCTTTATAATATATAAAACTACCACGGGGATCTAGTCGGTTTTAAAGCACCCTAAGTTTTGCTACTAGCCCTAACATTTCTTCATTCTGTAATTCCCGAGCCAGAGATAACGGCGTGTTTCCTCTTTCATCTCTTGCGTTAAGATCTGCGCCGGCCTCAAGCAATAACAAAGCTACTGCTTCATGTCTCTTCAGAATGGCTAGATGTAATGGCGTGCACCCTCTCTTAGTTTTTGCGTTTAAGTCTGCGCCCCTCTCAATTGGTAGTTTTACAACTTCTTCATACCCGTTATACACGGCCATCGATAATGGCGAGCTTCCTTTTTTAGTCTTTGCGTTTATATCCGCGCCGGCGTCAATCAGTAGCTCTATAATCACTTTATTTCCTTTCTGCAAGGCTTGGAATAATGGTGTATTTCTCATTCCATTCTTCTTGCCGTTGATGTCTGCGCCGTTTTCAACCAGCAGCTTCGTGATTGCTTCATGCCCCTTATCCACAGCTTGAAATAATGCCGTGTCTCCTTTTTCATTTGTTGGGTCTAGGTATGCGCCGTTCTCAACCAGTAGTTTTGTAATTGCTTCATTTTCGTCGTCCACGGCTCGAAATAATGGCGTGTCTCCTTTTTGACTCTGTGTGTTCATGTCTGCGCCATTTTCAACCAATAGCCTTGCAATTGCTTCATACCCGTTCTTTACGGCTTTGAGTAATGGTGTATATCCTTCTGGAGTCATTGTGTTTAAGTCCGCGCCATTCTCAATCAGCAACTTCGCAATTGCTTGGTTTCCAAGATTAGCCGCCCACAATAGCGGTGTCTGTCCTTCCTTATTTTGTGCGTTTATAATTGCACCTCTGTTAGCCAGCAGCTCCACGGCTGCTTCATGTCCATTCATGGCTTCTAGTATTAGCGGTGTGCATCCGTTATTATCCTTATCGTCCAAGTGAACGTTGCCATTCTCAATCAGCAACATCACAGCAGCCTCATGGCTATTCTTGGCCGCCCACAGCAGCGGAGTTAATCCTTTCATATCCTTAGTGTTTGGGTCGACGCGTTGATCTCCCAGTAATATCCGAATCGCAGCACTATGTCCCATTTCTGAGGCGTACGACAGAGGCGTCCGGTATTCAGCGTCTTGTGCGTTTGGAAATGCCCCCCAATCCATCAATTCCTCCATAGCGTTGATGCTTCCATTTCCCGCCGCTTGTGACAGTGCTGTTCTCGAATCTTGTCCTCTGGATTGGTCTTTAAAGTCCGGCTCTGCGCCTAGTTCAAGTAACGCAAAGACCACCTCCGTCCAGCCGTGCTTCGCCGCCGAACAAAGAGCCTTTCCCTTGTCTTCATTTGTCATTTGGTTTGTCGGAGTGATGTAGAGTAGTATTCCATTTAGATCGTCTTTGATTTCAGAGACGGGTTTGATGCGCTCGGGGTTATCTCCCTTCTGGACAACTTTTTCTGCAACATAAATGTAACGATCAATAATTTCGTCAAGGGTTGAGGGGCTTGGTACTTGGTGCCTGTGTTTCTGATCTGAGAGCCATGCGATACCATGCAGACCGAAGTCTTTCGTCTTGTTATCACAAATTGCCCACCGGTATAGCTCGCCTAATGCAATTGCTGCTTGTTGGACGGGATCGTCTACGTGAACCGGCTGGTCTATTTGGCAGTCATCCTTTCTTGTGCGAGGTTGAGACTCCTTGCAAACTTCCCATGCCCATCGTAGCACCGTCTCTGCCTGCGTCCACTCGCCGGCCCTTCGATGCTGATTTGCCATTCTCTTTGCTGCTACTACGGCGTTTTCAAGGAAAGAGAGCCTCAGCCGAGGTACCATCGTAGGCAAGATACACAATAGTGCATCTTCGTTCGAGCCTAACCGCGTTTCGGCGAATACCTTTACTATCTCAGTCACCAAGCTATTCTCCAAGCGGAAATGCGGAGTTTCTTGGATGTTGATATCACCGATATCATCCGTAATTTTGAGAATGCTCGTGATGAATGATCCAAACACCTCCTGGACACACAGAGATAAAAGAGAGCTGTCTGTATGTGCCGACGTAACACTGAAAGGAACCGGACTAGAGCTCTGTGACGTCTTAATTGCATGCCAACCAAAGAATCGAACTTCCTGGCCGTGCTCATCGCCTAGGTTCCATTTGGTGATTCTTGGGTCGCCTAATCGAATGGAAATAGGGTGAAGCTCATGTTCTGTCATAATGGGGATTCTATCACCGAGCCATATCTTCAGGTCAGTCTCCATATATTTGTTGCTTGAAACAATGCGCCGCGTCGGGATTTCAGTAGCTCGGGATATCGTGAAATGACTCTGCTCGTCTGATACTTCAACAGCCGGGTCAGACTTCAATGACCACACCCACAGTCCCAGAAGTCCTTCTAGTTCTAACTTGTTTTGAAGCTTCCAAGGAGTCGTCAGTTCTTTGCGCGTTATTCTTAAGCATATAGTATGCTGGATTGGTTGATCCTCAGAAGCATCATATGGATCCACAGATGCAACGTCACAAGCAAAACTCCAGAACATGGATAGAGCGTCTCTCCACTTGTCTCCAATCTTCGGGCTCTTAGAGAAGATGGTATTGACTGCAGACTCAATTGCGAGAGCAAGCTGATGGGAAGATTCTCGGACCTCGACCATTCCAACGTCAAGATACTCTGCAGAATTTGCGCCCTTAATATGAGTGTTATGCGACTGGGTGAGTTGCGCGAGACGAGTCCGGTAGGTTAATAATTTGGCAGCGACGTTTAGTTCACTATAAGTGGGTGGCAGCGTGGCTATGATTCCATGTGTTTTGCCAGGCGTACCACAGAATCTCCAAAGAAGACGTGGATAAGCTTGTGAGTCCTTTGGTGGTGTTGAAGGTTTTGGCTCATGTTGAAAATCTTGTTCGCCAATACGCAAGGCAAGCCAGTCAAGCTCGTGCCCAACAACCTCGTCAGGGCGCTGAGAAAGAAAGTTATCTTCCGGCTTTAAGCGCTGCATGCGAAGCGCGGCTCGAGCAGCACTCATCAGCACGGTGGCTCCAAGCTGGGCCACAGATACTGCAGAATGAATGGCCCGTAGTCCAACAAACTGCATCACAAAGCCGGTGATAGAGATACCAATAGCCGTCCAAACCATAATTTGGGAAATCTTCACCTGGTTCTTCCACGAAGTGATGTACTCCTGTAGGGGCTCGCCGTGATCACTGCAGCAGAACGCGTCAAAAACTTGATCCCCGAGCACTTGTCCTCCAGGCTGAACCCAATATAGAGTCTCTCTGGGTGCATTCTTGTCTCCGCTGTCTGGGTTTCTGCGGAACACTTGTTCTTTTGTGCTCCCCCCCCACGAGAAATGCACAAAGAAAAATGCCACCACATAAGAGAACAGTTCCAATGATGGTGAGCGGACACGCATACGATTCTGGATGAATGTCATCTTTCTCCCAGCGAAAGTAGTATGTCACAAGGACTGCGAAGACCAAAACACCGATCTGTAATACCAGGCCAAGCAAGGCCGTTGCCCAGAAAACAGCGGGAGGCTTTCTCTTGATCCCAACGTTGAGAGAAAGATTGGGAGAGAAATTTTCAGCGAAAGAGTCAGACATAATCTCATTGTTACCCGGGTATTCCGGGGGTTGAATCCGAGTCCATTTGTTTGGATTTTTTTCGATAAATTCTTGAAATGTATATATACCCGCTTTCTCGTCTGCGAAGTTATGCTCGGGGTCGTACACAACCTCAAGGATTTTTGGGCGCCCAAAGACTCGCGCGATACCGCCATTGTTGTAGAGCTCGCACACATCTCGACTCGTAGAGGAGCACAGCTCTGCCTCGGCGACTCCCCCTCCTTCTTGTGCCCTGCCAATAAAGGCACGCAGTGACGGGCTCCCGCACACGCGAATCGCCGAAACGATCGCGGTCAGGATGCCCATTGGTGCCATTGCGAAGATGAAATAATCGATTGTGGCAATACTCTCACTGAGATACTGCTTCGTAATCTGTTCACCGAATAGGGATAGAAATGGAGCTAAGTCTGCCGCGAGGTTATTCGAGAAATCATCCCAGCCATCTGCACGAACAACCGGGAGAGTGAGAAGGCCGAGGAGGCAAGCTGTAAAGAACATCTTCAATCTGTACGCCGAAGAATCAATTATTATTGTGAATGGTATTGGATGTTTAGACTGAAGACGTATGGAGTCGAATGTGAAGTCGTAAGACTTATGGCGCTGAACGCACTTATATGTACATGGAGTCTTAAGACGCGGACGGGATAAGCTATTTTCAATCTTAAACCTTGGGCATGACATTGAGCTCCAATGCTTAGTACCCAAATATAGAATAGCATGAAAAGCGAGGCAGCAGCATTCATCATGTGTGACCGGTATCGAAGTGGCTATTGGCGAGGAGTTTGATCCCAACCAACGGCCGCTAAACATTGCAGGAAGTTGATTAAGGAGGCTTTTCGTTCTCCTCCTACCAATGTTACATCCATCGGCTACCAATCAAAGATCAGAAAAGTATTTATACGAAGCGTTTTGTGTAATACGTGCACTGATACACAGGCTGCAGTAAGGGTGTATTGACGAATGGCTGATACAGAGACCTGTCAACCTGTATTCAGTATAAGATGTCGTTCGGACCCTTGAATAATCCCGTTGAGCTAATTTGGGACTTATAACAAAGAATAAAGCTTGAATTGGTGTGAATTGATCCGCAAAGATGGCTTGAGCTTTCTGTTTCTTGGATAGATCATACGTATCGCTGATCCTAATGGCTCCGTGTAGAACAAGATTTGGTGTGATACTCAGGCGCTTATTAGTCCTACTTTATGCACGTAGGCCTAGCCGCGTATCTGTTTATGTCGGCTTCCGAAGCGGAGGCGACAAGAGACGCCGAAGCCGCTCTTCACTTATCTTGCTCCGTCACACCAATTCATGAAGGTGCCCAGATGACGGTACACTCGTAGTGGAATAACCGTATCAAGAAGATTCCGTGGCTTTCGAAATCGGACTGTCTGTCCCAACTAAACAGGTCGTTTCCGTCAACATGTTGACATAAATTTATCGAGATACCTCTGATTCTGCTGCTTTAAACTACCTATGTAGATAATCCAGAAATCTTTGCATTCATCTCTACACCAAAACTTTAAACGCCTTCAACGGGATGGTGTCGTACCGCATTATGAACAAAGTGGACCCTCTCCATCTAGGACACCGAGCGATGGACGAGCCTATCATTCAATTCTTCAAGGGGAGAGAGCCTCAAATCAGAGGAGATTATGGGGTTCGAGGGAGGAATAGCTACAGTCATCCCCCGTCAGCCATTCATGGGCTAGATTTGCACACACGTAGAACAGAACAAGGTCAAGTTCAAGGTCCAGGCAACGGTCATCCCAGATTTCAATTGAAAGCTAGCATTGTCGTAAATTGAATCACTTGAGGAACATGAGCAATACAAATTGAAGTCTTTGAGAGTCCCCCCCGATATACTATAAATAACTAAACTGAATAAGCGATGCTGCCCCCATCTGTGATGCAAAGAAAGGGCGGTCAGACTCAAATTTCGGCCCCTTGCGACCAACACAAGCCTTCCGTGTCACAAGAAAACTACATGTCAAGAATCTAATAGAGATTTGAGGTTTATCGCTCTACTTTCTTAATGATCTAAGGGATTAGTCCCTCAATTACTCGAGTTTTAGCTGCTTGAACTGCTCAATAGTTGTTTCAAAGCCATTTGCTTCGCTCTCTAGATCAGCCAACTTCTTCTTGTCGGCATTCTGCGTTGCGACAGCAACCTTTTCGATGTATACTGGATCTTGAAGGAGCTTGGTTTGCTTCTGGACAGCGGCACGGGCCTTTTCCAGCTTCTTTGCCGCTTTCGCAATCTCCTCGTCCAAGTCGACACGATCCTTGACGTAGATGAAGACGGAAACGGCGCTGGACACGGGGAAGGCAACGCAGCCGGTAGGGCGAGCATGATCTGGCGAGAGGATCTCGATTTCCATGGCACCCTTGCCGCTGAGAGAGCGGATGGACGACTTCTCTTCGGATACGGTCTTGTGTGACGCTGCGTCGTAGGCATGGATGAAGATCTTCGCTTCGTCTTTGGGTGAGTACTCGGCTACGAGGGACCGAATACCCTTTGAGCAGCCCAAAACAATGTCGTAGGCAGCCTCAGCTTTGGGATTCTCAAATTGCTGGTCCCATTCGGGATACTTCGCTATCATAATACTCTGTGTTGCATCATCCGGTCTTCTGGGCAATCTCTGCCACAATTCTTCTGTGATAAAAGGAAGGAAGGGATGAGAGAGGACGAGAGCAACTTCAAGAACGGAGTAGAGTGTCTGAAGCGCGGAATTTATCTGAGCTTCAGATCCCTCCTGGATCAAAGCCTTGGAGTTCTCAATGAAAACATCGCATCTAGATAGTAAACAATTAGTCAAGCCCGAGTTAGTCTGCGCAGGGGGCCACGTACAGCTGGAAATACCAGTAAGAGTATACAAGGTTGGCACTCCTCATAAAATCTCTCTGCTCAACAGCCTCATTAATTGCTTTGGTAGCATGATTCATCTTCCCAAGAATCCAGAGCTCTGCTAGTGACTCATTTCCATTAAGAGCCAACTGCTTCGCAGGAACAAAGTCTTTGACAGCATCCAGCTTGCCGAGGACATACTTGCAGGCGTTCCAGATCTTGTTGCAGAAGCGCCTGTAAAGGTGGATGACCTTGACATCGAGATTGATGTCGCCACCGCCCGTACTGTAGGCGATGAGAGCGAAGCGAAGAGCGTCTGCTCCGCATTCAGGAATGCCTTGCGGGAATGAAGTTTTCTGGTATGCGGTAGCCTTCTTGACTTCGGAGGCAGCAAGATTGCCAGTAAGTAGCTTGTCATGCAGAGCTTGGAGCTCGATGCCGCGAATGACGTCCAAAGGATCAATAACGTTGCCGAGCGATTTGCTCATTTTTCGACCTTCGGAGTCACGGACTGTACAAAGGTCAGCCTAGCACGAGTTACGTCGAGAGAGGCTGTACACTTACTCAAGGAATGACAGAATACCTCAGAGAATGGTACCGTGCCCTATGCATATAGTCAATAATGCTCGTCACAAAGAGGAGGCAGCTTCCTGCTTACAGTGAGCTTTATACCGAGGAAGATCATACGAGCGACCCAGAAAGGACTGCAAAGCTCCAAGTCAGCATGTGATTCAAAAATGAGATGGGATATTCACACATAAAGGTGAACTTACATGATATCCCACCCGGTCTCTAGGACACTTGTAGGGAACAGGCGGGACATATCAGGAGTTTCCCTGGGCCAGCCGAGAGTCGCGAAAGGCCAGAGACCAGAGCTGAACCATGTATCAAGAACATCCTCGTCCCGAATCTATTGTCTCATTCGTTAGCCTCCGAGATGCTGGCCTCTGGCCAAAGATTAAAAGTTCACTGGTAAATGCTATCCCTGGCAACAATGACTTGTGTAGACCAAGGAAGGATCAAGGATATCAACTAACCAGTTCAAATTTCTTGTCCGGCCAGGCCTTCTGCGCCTTGGCGAAGGCTGTGTTCTGATTAGCAACCAGCGCCTAGAGTAACAGTTGGAATACGAGGGCAATACCTTCTTCTTGAGTTCGTCCCGCGAACCACCTGTCGTCGGTATCCTGATCATCCTCTCCTTCAAACCGAACACGGTACACGGGGCACTGGTGTCCCCACCACAGCTGTCTTGAGATACACCAGTCGTTAATATTCGCCATCCATTGAAGGTAGTTCTTTTCCGCCGACTCGGGCTTGATCTTGATTTGGCCTGTTTGGACAGCTTTAATCTATGGGACAAGTATGAGTAAATAAGTCAAAGCGCAAAGAGAAGTCCAAAGGATGTGAGGCTTACTGCTGGTTCTGCGAGGTCATCCATCTTCACCCACCACTGTGGCTTCATCATAGGTTCGACGACATCCTTGGTTCTCTCCGAACGAGGTACAGTCATGGGGTTATCCTTCTTATCCACGTAGAGTCCAAGTTTCTTCAGATCTTCCTGGATGGAATACCGAACGTCGAACCGTTTCTGGCCTTGGTACGGGCCACCGTTCTCGTTGATTAATCCGTTGTCCGTCAAGATGTTGATAAACTCGAGCTTATGCGTCATGCCCAGCTTGAAATCGTTGACATCGTGTGCTGGGGTCAATTTGACGGCACCGGTACCGAACTCGCGGTCGACATATGTATCGGCCACGATTGGAAGCCTGCGGCCCTTGATGAAGGGATGAATAGCAAATTTGCCCACGAGATGTGTGTAGCGAGGATCGTCGGGGTGTACAGCGATGCCACTGTCGCCTAGCATGGTCTCGGGACGTGTTGTCGCAACTTCAATAGTCTCCTCCGAATTCTCGATCGGATATTTAAAGTGAACAATGATTCCAAACTCGACCTTTTTGTCGTATCCTGGTACGTCAAGAAGCGTTCGTCCTGATAATTCTTCATTGTCAACCTCAATATTGCTGAGAGCGGTCGTCAAGGTGGAATCCCAGTTGACCAGACGGTTGGCTCTATAGATGATGCCTTCTTCGTGGAATCTGATGAAAACATCCGCGACAGCGGATGAAAAGTGCTCGTCCTATTGAGAGATTAGCTTGAGTGTTGTAACCACCGCGTGATCTTGGAGTATGCACCATTGTAAACGCCTCTCTGCTCCAATCAAGACTGCTTCCCATTTTTCTGAACGCATTGTTGATCTTTTGGTGATACTCTTCCTTCCAATCCTGGACGAGCTCCACGAATTGTGTTCTGCCTAGATCATGCCTGGTCTGTTGTTTCCTCTTCCAGAGAGTCTTTTCTACAACGCTCTGTGTCGCAATGCCTTGAAAGCCATCAGATAATGTCAATTAACCGAGGTATATAAGGAGAAATCTTACCAGCGTGGTCACAACCGGGTAGCCACAGTGTTGTCTTTCCCTTTTGTCGGTTGTAGCGGATCATCAGATCTTGCAGCGAGTTGCCCAAGGCGTGGCCCATGCTGTTCCCTTGTCAATGACTCTTGATGCTGAGTGTTGGAGATATATAAACAGGAATACTTACTGTAAAGCTCCCGTGACGTTGGGAGGAGGAACAACGATGACAAACTTGCCCTCGGGCTTGACATCGCCTTCTGGTGTGAACTGGGGTTTAAAGTACCCCTCCTTCTCCCACCAAGCATACCAAGCCGACTCAACAGCAACAGGATGATACGAAGAATAGTGAGGGTCATCAAAGGGCTTAAGCCGCTTCTTCTCTCCCTCTGGTGTATCCTCAACGAACGGAGGCAGGACTTCGGCCGCGGCCTTTTTCTCCTTCTCCTTATCCTTGGTCTTTTTCGCAGCTGTGGTGGCCGCCGCAGCTTTGGCAGCCTTCTTCTGTTCGTAAGCGGCTAGCTTTTCTGCCTTTTTGCGCTCTCGTTCAAGCTCTTTCTCGGTCTTTACTTTGGTTGGGGCGGGTGCTGTGCTCGAGTCTTGGCCAGAAGAATTGGGCTGAACGCCGGCCTCGATGCCGTCAGCCACCGGAGCCGATATGGCTTCCGGCTGCGGGTCGGTTGCGGCGACTGCCCCGCGAAGAATATCTTGTTAGCCAGACCTTCACTCTTGGGGCTTTAATGAGGCCCTTTTGGCAGGACTTACTTGGATTTTCTCGTGCGCTGTTGGTAGCCATTATTAATGCTTGGGAGAGAATCTTGAACAAACGAAGGTGACGGGCGCGCGAGGGGCGTTTAAAACGGCGGCCGAGCAAACATCGCAGCAATTGGTGACTCACAGCTACATGTTTTGCTGCCGTTGTGCGGCACAATGCCGGCTTATTAAGGCACATTCCTGACACCAAAGTGAGTGTTGGTCTGACTCAGTCAAACAAGAACCAGTCATTATAGTTAACAGCGACATTATCTGCAATCTTTGTTTATTTGCAATAGCCTCAATAGCTTGTAGCTCCTTTAATGGCCAAAGTAAAATACAACTACATGTAGGCTAACAGCAGAGAGCACCCGTGCAGGGATTGTATTATTTGGCTATGTGGTTATGGAGCGATAAAGACGGTGACAACATGACAAACAAATTATCCCAAGACAATAGTCGGCCACTGCTGGCCGCAATCGACAGGATCAAACAGGGTCTGGGGTTTGTCGGGGCGCTCATTGTTCTGTTCGCTGCATTGTAATTGTGTAGGAGACAGCGTTATACTCTTGGCTGTTTGTACTTAGTATACGACGAGTACGTGGTTGATGCACTCTCCTTTACGCGTAAGGTAGCTTCAGCTTGTGCGTCTTTGTTTGCTTGGGATAAATTAATTCTACTGAAAGCAACACTTATTCATCATTGGGAATGAATAAGAATGACGGGAATGGCTGGATCGATGGGAAATAGTGTGATAGAAGAGTTTCTAATAGACCAATCTTGAGTTTGGTAAGCTGAGGTAACTCAAATGCCGTCTATAACACCGAAAGACCGCAAATTCCCCGCAGTCAAGGCCGACACACCGCAGCTCTATTGACTTCACTCCGGGAGTTACCGACAAGCAACATAATTCCAAACATCTCAAAACTTGCTATCAAATAGCATGTGTAAGAATATTATTTTTAACTTTTGTAAGTATGTTTAAGGTTGTCATTGGGATTGGAAAAATTATAAAAGGATATGAAGTCATGTTGCTTCGAAACATAGACAACACAGCATCAATCAGTTGAATAAGAAGATCCTCAATCCAAAAGATCTATTTTCATATAAGAAACCTCTCTAATACTCTTCATTACCGACACTATGCCATACGTCGCAGAGCCGTGGTCGTTTGACGACGTCTTGAAACTCACCAAAGTCAGCTCGGCCTACTGGAGAGCCACGTTCAATGCTCCGCCATTGAACCTCTTTACACCGCGAACCTATGCTGCCTTGCGTACGCTCGTCGAGCTCCTGGAAAACGACCGAGCTGTCAAGGTCATCGTCTTTGATAGCTCGGTGGAAGATTATTTCATCGCTCACTGGGACTTGACGGCTGGTGAAGACAAGCCTGAAGATGAAGAGACTGCTCCCATCTTTGACTGGGCCAACTTTGTACTTCGTCTTGCACGTCTTCCCGTAGTTAGCATTGCCGAGGTTCGCGGACGCACTCGTGGCCACGGCAGCGAATTCGTACTGGCGTGCGACATGCGCTTTGGCAGCATCGAAAAAGCAATCTTTGCGCAGCCCGAGGCCGCCGCTGGCGTTCATTGTGGTGGTGGAGGAATCGAGTGGCTGCCTCGCTTGGTAAACCGCTCGCGAGCCTTGGAGATTCTCCTCGGGGGTGAGGATTTCGACGCTACGACTGCTGCTCAGTACGGGTACATCAACCGTGCCATCAAGGACTCGGAGTTGTCTGCCTTTGTGGACAATTTCGCACGCCGGATAGCTGGGTTTGATCGCAAGCCTCTGCTGGAAACTAAGAGGGCTGTGAATGATCGTGCTGGGCTGCCTCGACTGACGGATCTTCTTTCGTCGATGCAAGACTTTGTTCGAGCTTGCACTTGGCCTGAGACTACGAAGCGAATGAAGACTCTCTTTGAGATGGGAATCCAGCAGGTCGGTCCTGTGGAAAAGGATATGGGACATCATCTTCATGAAGCTTCAATTAAGATGTATGGAAAGACTGAAGATACACAGTGAGAATGCAATCATTCGCATGCTATCTACTTTGCTTGCGTACATGGCTAAGTAAATGTCATCATGAACTCCATAAAATAAACTCATCGGCTTCTTCGCACATATTCCAACGCTAGTTTAATTTTCTCCTAGTGATGCAAGTAATTTTCCGGTACCAATTTGATCCTCTCTGATTACTATTTGAACAAGTTAAAGACCAGCGGCTACGGACATCTAGTTCACGTAGAAATACCACATGATACATCGTGAATAGAAGACTAGAGTCAACTATATGTGCAGGGGCGCATTATTACTCAATAAAGTAATCTATTATAATGGATAATTATTATTTTATTTACTGAAGTCCTGCTTAATTCTAGTCAATCATCACTTCCGGTCCCTGGCTACAGATAGTTTTCGACCAAGTTCTTAATTCCTGTCGTAATCCACCTTGTACTCTGTCTTGACCCTGATCCCCAAATCTTTCCCATTGCTCCTCGCATGATCTTTTGCCTCAGAGTCAAGGATCGACTCTTCACTGGTGTTGTCCGAGGTGACCCGCGCCCTGGTAGTGCTGTGCCTGGCAGCCATGGTATCATCTATCGTTGCATTTACCGATTTGCCTCGAGGCCCAGATCCACCGATGGTCTGCAACGAAAACATGTTATCCCCTGACTGGTCCCTATTTCTAATCCATCCGCTGCCACCTCCAGTACCACTACTTCCCTTTGCGCTGGACAAACCCTCCAACCACCCTCGGTAAAGCGGTCGACAGACAGGAATGCCGATACAAACCATGGTGGTACAAAATTCCGCAGCATGCCATATAATGATGCCAACAACGTCTTTAAGATAATTCGGGCTGCCCAAGAACTTCAATTGTATGGCTCTCTCAATGCCGCAAGCCCCGGCAACAACACCCAGGCTTAAAGAAGCAGCAATAATTCGCTTCTCACGTTTCGGCATTTGAATGTTCCAGAGAAGATACCAGGGGAAAGCTGCATACCAAAAGTCCGTGATGACAGACCAGGCGCCTGCGTAAGTTGAGATCGGGCCTGGGTCGATGGGGCATTTTCCGTCAGGGATTCGACGATCCCACAAGAAGGCCGTGGGGTGGCACGCAAACCAGAAGACGAAAAGCGAGGCTACGATGCCGGTGGCGAGAAAGAAGTTGGGAATCCATATGATGATTTGATTGCGCTTGTCTGGAACGAGTCGTACTAAGAAGAGAGCCATGGAAGTCTTGCAAAGGATCGTTCCGAAGACGAGGATGGTCTGGCCGATGGCAGAGTAGAGAATTGCCCTCGTGACAGATTCCATTCCCACGACGGGGCCTTTCAGGGCGATAACATCGTCGATATTTCGGCCGAATCCATACATCGACGCAATCGTCATCATAATGTCGTAGGTTAAAAGGGTAACCTGTTAATTTGTTAGTTCCAGGGCAACACATACAACCAATCACATTTCCGCTGCCGAAAGTCAATGCACATACAAACGAGGCATTATAGAAGTAGTCGTCCAATCCATACGCGCGAATTACTCTCACACGGGTATACAAACGAAGAATGACAAAGACCAGCGCCAGCGCGGTAAGAGACCACAGCACAGCCAACATCTTGGGCGCATCTCCGCCCAGTCCCGTCTGATATTGGTTCGCCATGGCTGCTGTTGGTGGCTTACAGCCCGTTCCAACCAAGTTGATGCAGGAAGATGGCTCGTGTGTTGCAGAACATTCTAACAGGGAAAGGGGAGTATGTTTTTGAATCTCTGGAGTAAGACTCACCCTGGCACCGAGTTGTCGGTTGGACCTGGGGTCACGCCCGTTACCAGAATCACGGACAGCATTTCGGATGGATACGGGTAATATAAAGAGGAAAGATCAGCAAAGATACCTGTTCTGGGAAATATTACCAGTACCTGCAGTTGCTTAGTGGCAAGAAGGGAGCGGTAGTTGAAAAAATTTCATAAAAATTTTACTCTTCATAATTCCTTTTTTGCTGTCTTCTGGCTGAACATGGGTTTCCTCACTACATGTGCTGGGGTAGCAATGTGATCAGGGGTTTGTCTGTGATCTCTGCACCAAGTCAGTGTTCATTGCCCAGTTTAGTATAGATGACCGCGGCAAACAGGAAACCGAGCCGTTAGACCCCGGCAAATATCTCACTTGGACCAGGGTCGGGGTCAAGCGAGGAACCACGAGCATGCTAAGACTTCCAGGTTGCAACGTAAGCGAAAATCAACTTCGTTTAGTTATCATGTTAGGTTGAAATCGCCTACGGGGGATACACTGTACGCTACAGCTGCCAAAACCTTTCCAAACCCTGCCAAGACCTAGGCTGAATATAGTCTCGATATCCGCGGGGAGGGGAATGGCTGCGGTGGTTAGGGGCTCGTGGGGGCCACTAGGAGATGCCGACTTGTAATTTGCAAGATTATTTGGCCTTTTCACGGCATGGTACGAGATATACGAGGAGGGAATTTCTCCAGTATATACCAGGCCACTATTTAGCGATAGCCGACTCCCGAGTTCTATCCGGATGGCATTATTGTACACGGAGTAGTGTATAGCCCTATAAATAGGCTTTGGCCAAATAGTGGGCAAAGAGGCGGATAGACATCTTCGGGAACCCGCAACGGGAAAGCCCGCGGAGAGGGGACTCGGCCGAGTGACGGACAGAAGGCACCGGACTGATCTCCACGCTGAAAGCACGGAAAACGGGACACGCGTGGAGAGATAAAGCCGGGGCGATGTCCATACCCAAAACTCCCCAATCAAAGCACGCAAGTTTGCTGTTGGTTGTGTTCTTTCCCCCCTTTGGACGGGTAAATGTAACGCCAGAAACTGGGAATCGATGAGTCACCATCTCCTTTCAGTTCCTGCTGCATAGGTTGATCATCCCCTGGCTGCGGAGAAGCACTACAGTACGCTTGCATCCAGCAAGGATGCTTGAACCAACAGCAGTCTCCTTATTTGCTCTTACAGTGCTTGCTCCGTAATCGTAATACGACCTCAACTTGTCACTTTCCCCAGAGAGAAGCAGTCGATAAGGTTTGCATGAATAAAGTCGTCGGAAAGGGAAATCTCCAGGATCTTTCCATTATTGAGATCTTCGACGTGAAGAACTCGTCCGGACTACGGGGTTTAAGTGCTTCCCCCGTTGCCAAAGGGTGAAACGTGCGTTGTGGAGACGAGTTGAAAACTTGGTTGAGGTTGACCCACCCCTGATGAGAAAAAGGTGTAACAAATCAGATATTTTGTCATTTCGAGTAGAGTCAAGGATAACGGCATCCCTGAGCCATTTATTGGTGCTAATCCATTGCTGTTGACTATCCGTCGACTTGTGGATCACATTGGACGTAGAATTCCGCCTAATGATACGACATGCCTGAGGGGTCTCGGCCCCTATAGACAAGTTTGAGAGCAATTCTTCTTGCTATTTGCATGTGAACTACTAAGAGGGGTTCCCCTTTTATCTTCTTGGAAGTTTTTTCAGAATAACTACTCGTACACTGAAGTTGTAGATTGTCTTGGTACTACGAGAACAGTCCAAGTTCTTGTGGAAGCTAGCCATCATGGACAATAACTCTGTTCCTAACTCAGCCCAAGGTACTGGGCTCTTGCAAAATGGCCCGGCCATGTTGGTTAAGCCAGCGGTGATCTTCATGATCCTTCCAGTCGCGACTTATGTCTTCTGGAGCTTTATTTCGTACCTAATCTCGCCATTGAAGAAGTATCCCGGGCCATTCTTAGCATGTAAGTGAAAATGGGAGTATCTTGAGCTGAAAGAGAGCCACATCGATAACACGAAATGCCACATTAAGCTTATACCAACTTCTACCGAATGTATTATGCCTATCGAGGAAATATGCACCTCTTGACCAAGAAACTCCACGACAAGTACGGTCCGGTTGTTCGCATGGGCCCCAACTACATCGACGTTGACTATCCCTCATTGATTAAGACATGCTTTGACTTTGGGGGAGTTTGGAGAAAGGTGAGTCTCAGGATTGCATTCTACTAGAGTGGACATTGGTTGACGTTTGGTGGTCATATCACAGACCGATTGGCATGGCGTCAGTGGTGCAATGGTTGAAGGCAAGCTCTACTACAACATCTTCTCAGAGTGTAACCCCGAAGAGCATGCTCGGATTAAGAAGCCAATTGCAAAGTATTGGTCTGCTCCTGGTGTCGCGCCAATGGAGCCGCACGTTGATTCTGTCATCTCTACCCTGTGCCGAGCGCTTGATCAACGATTCGCTGGCGACGAGGCGTTTGGAAAAACTTTCGACTTTGCTGAATGGATGCTGTTCTGTAAGATGCTGCTCATGCAATGTTATTTGAATCAAGCTGATGTTTCCAGTTGGAATGGATGCTGTCGCTAAGACTACATGGAGTGAAGCGGTCGGATATCTCGAGAAGGGACATGATTTCGACGGCACCCTAAACGTCTCGGACAGAGCCTACGACTATCTCGTCACGGTCGGCATGAATCCTATTTTCGACAAGTTTCTCGACAAGAACCCGATTATGCGATTTGGCCCGCCATCGTTTGGAACCGTCACCGGAATTTGCCTTGGACATCTGATGGCGCGCATGAAGGGCGAAGACGGCCACGATCAATCCAAGCCCGACTTCTTGGACCGCTACCTCGAGGCCCAGCAGCAGAACCCCGAAGTTGTCGATATCTACCGTATCCTCTCCTACATGCTCGTCAATGTTGCCGCCGGCGCCGACACCACCGCGGCGAGCTTGCGCTCCATCTTTTACCTCTCGCTGAAGCACCCTGCCGTCTTCCGCCGTCTGAGAGACGAGATCGTCAATGCCAAGTTTTCACAGCTGCCAGTTCCCTATACCGAGTCCCGACAGCTTCCGTACCTGGAGGCTGTCTCTCGAGAGTGTTTCCGATACCTGCCTGGCAACTGCTTCGCCCAAGAGCGCTACGTTCCCTCTGGCGGTTTGGCGCTTCCCGATGGCTCTGTCGTGCCGGCCGGTACTGCTCTTGGATTCAATGCCTACGTGCTCCACAGAAACAAGGAGGTCTGGGGCGAGGACGCTGAAGAGTTCCGCCCCGAGCGCTGGTTGCAAGCCGATAATGAGACCGAGGAGGAATACAAGAACCGCATCCAGCAATTGAACAATGTGGACTTGTCTTTCGGCGCTGGCTCGCGAAAATGCATCGGCATGAACCTTGGAAAGATGGAGGTTAGCAAGACAGTCGCAACGCTCATTACGCTCTTCGACTTCGAATTGGAAGACCCCAAGAAGGAATGGAAGGTCCACAACAGCTTGATTCCCAGGGCATCTGAGATTATGATTAAGATGAAGAAGAGACCAGGTGCTGGCCAACAAATCAGCGACATGAGCAGCCACTACTAGTGCCGCTGACTTATTTGTAAGATGGGAGTATCTGCAGATTCGACATTGTGTTAATAGCCTTGCTACAAGATTGACTATACCAACTTAATATGTATTCTTCAACCTTTCATGTTAGTAATTGTCCACTAGCTAGTCATGTCAACACTTCGTACCAATAGAAAGCGACGGCGTGACGGATGTTCGTTGTGGAATCTTAGTTTGAATAGTAATCACCGCTCCAGTGAATCTTCGTCTTATAAGCCCGCATGTCCCCACGCCGCCGGTTATAAGTCCGCTCACCTTACATCCTCGCACATGCACAATGTCCACTTCTAACGAAAGCCCGTCACCACGGCCTCGAGCCGTGGCAAATCACAGCACTCTCGGGGTTTTGGCTTTGCGGTGGTCTTGCGCGACATGTCGCCAATCGAAACGCCGCTGCGATAAAATATACCCGAAATGCACCCTCTGCGTCCAGTGAGCCTGTCCTTCAACTCCGCAGTGGCGGATGATGCGAAGATGCAGTAAATCAGTGTTTAATAACAACCTTTTAGAAAGAATACTCCATGTAACTACCCAGGCCGTCGGAAAAGAGAGAAGCTGAAGAATCGCATAAAGGCGATTCTGCCAGTGGGAAAATCCATCGTCGACCCGCCTCCCGTTGTATTGGCTGAGAAGAAGCACGACGTGCGCCAGCTATCGTTTCCTTCTGCCACTTCCAGCTTCATTGCCGAGAGTTTTCTAGATCCCGAGGTGTTTTCCAAAGCGCGGTTGAAAGTGGTAAACGCCGATGTGGAGGTGACGGATGACATAACCGAGTTGGTCGGCAGCGTGCTGGACATCCAGGCCACCTCTGCAAAGTTCTTTAAATCGGTTCACATGTGGATGCCGATCATATCGAAGCCTCACTTTTGCGCGAACTTGCTCAATCGGTTGACCTATAAGAGAGCTGAGCTGTTTCTGCTGGTGCTGTCTATGAAGCTAAGCTACACACGGGTCAAAACCTGGAATACGCCATTGTACGAGACAGTGAAGCTATTCCAGTTTAAAATTGAGGCTTCAGGGGTGTTGTCAACTCTAGTTCTCCAGGCTTCTATTCTCATCTCACTCTACGAGCTGGGACACGGCATATATCCGGCGGCGTATCTCTCGGTAGGATCCTGTGCTCGGTACGCGACGGCCCTGGGTATTGAGAAATCTATTCTTTCATCAAGCGCTGCACAGGGTCAGTGGATTGAAGAAGAAGAATGCCGCCGAATGTGGTGGGCGATCTTGGTTCTTGATAGGTATGTGACATTGACATGTAAGAGTTGCGGCGCCTGTCCGGTTCCTGAAATTTTGCTATTTCTGTAAGGAAAGCAGCAGGATATTGATGATTTTTCTAGATATCTCAACTTGAGTAATCCTAAACGGCATCTGATCACTACAGATGCGGGCTTAGAGAGTTACTTGCCTGTAGATGATGAAGTGTGGGAATCTGGAGTGAGTAAACTGTGAACATTTTTCCACGTCATCTCATAGAGGAACTTCTAACGTTGTCCCACAGGTACTCAATCCTGATCGTATTTATACTTTAGCAACAGCCAACAGCTACCACCTGGGGCTCTTTGCGCGATTTGCGCAAGCCGCACATCTCCTCAGCCAGGTTCTACATCATGTCTCTGAGGAGTCTAACGAGACTGCCCAGTTGCGACGCACAATATTTGCGCTCGTCAACGTATCCAATATTGAGGCATCTATGAGGCGATTAGAATATTGCAGCCAATCAGCAGTCTGTTACGCGTAGGGCAATTCTCAACCTCCTTATCCTTATGCAGATTCAACTAATGTGGTAATAGTGGTATTCTCGCGCTCGACTACTCGTCGTTTAGCAAGGGTATGTGTATAAGCGACTCTGGTCAAAAGCTCTCCTCCGAGAGTGCGATCATTTCACAAGCAACATTAGACATGGCTTTGACTTTGATCCATGGCGATTCAGATCAGCTCTGTGATGTTGCCAGCCCCTTTCTTGTCCATTTGTTATACAAGGTAGCGTCAATGCACTTGAGAATAGCACACAAGTCTCAGACAAGGGGCGATCGAGAGAAAGTTGAGATTTTGAGAAAAAGCATGAAACTTGTCGGAAGTCGATGGCTTTGCACTTGTAGGTGGCTGCTTGAAGATTAGTAGAAAACTTGATCCCACTAACAATTTTTATAGCCACATATCTCTCACTTTTAGAGAAGCAAGAGATTCTACTCGTGATGGAGTAAGCTGTGCTACTGAGCGTCATAGTTCGTCGTGGCAATGATTGGATGCGGCTACATAGGGAAATTTTGGGTTATTTACACGGTTTAGGAATTATGCGGCAAAGTAATCAAGTATAATGTTTGATGTCTTGTTCAAAAAGTAATCTCAATGTCACTACAAGGTTTACACTAGATACTGAGCACATTTCACGCTGACTATCACTGATGCTTCTCTTTTATTAAGATGTTCAACTTATCTATCAGGGTGCATCATCATTAAGTGGCAATGCGGTGTTTCACGGTGTTTCGCGGTGTTTGCGGTATTTCAATCAAGTATACGGACTTGCGGGGTTTCGGGCTTAAACCCCAGGCCGCCTATGTCTAGGCACATTCTTCGTACGATTACTGTCGGATAGAAAGGTTTACGGAGGAGTGTTGAATTGCTAGCCGCCATTTAACATATGATTTGATTGATTCCGTACCCTTGAGAGATGCCTACACAAATTAATGTGGAAGATCATTAGCCATGCAAGCGACAACGAGCGATGCTTTGTGCGGACGTTGACAGTTATGTATTATTCTTAGCCCACTTAAACGACCCTAATAAATCAGATCTATGCTGCAAGTCGTAATTATGAGTGATCGTGGCCTGAGGGCCCAGCCATCGTGTGATTGTGAGTCGCCTCGTGGCCATTGTTCTTCGCAGTTTTTGTCTTTAGCCATTCCGGAAATTCAACCCACCGATGCCTATATACCCAGTCGGCCATCGCACTATAGTCGCGACATGTATGTACTTCGTCGAGAACGAATTCCTCCAAATCGTTGGTTGTGACAAGTGTCAAGTCTGGATGGCAAAGTAGTTGGGAGCGAACGTAGTCAAGGCAGTGAAGCATATGCGTCTCGTCCCACGGAGGAGGTGTCTTTGACATGAGGTTTTGGCGTATTGCGTTCTATGATACCAAGTTAGATCAGAGTACATAAGAGAAACTGTAAGAAATAAAAACATACTAAACAGTGAAGGGCATGAAATACGTCCACTTGGTAAATACTCTGGGAAGGATCTGTTGGTGATTGCGCTGATGGTCTCAATCCTTGTTTCCGAGCCCAGTCTGAATTCAAGGATATCACGCCTCCGCTATCAAGAAGATCTCTCCAATATTTATCGGCATCATGCGAATCAGCCATATGTTTGGAGCCATCCTGAAATTTCATAGAAGTATTATATGATCCGAGCTGTGATAAGCCATCGAGGGAGATTTTTGACCCTACTGCCCGCCTCGTCTGATTTAACACTATAAAGCCTGAGATGAGGAGAGCACACAGTATCACTTCTAAGAGAAGTATTGAGGCATGTATGACACTGAATCTTCTGAATGACTGTTCTAGAAGACTTAGCCGTTTGTTTGTCTGCGATTGCACGTTATCTCCAACATCTGAATCATCGCCTCCAGTAAGTCGTTTGTATTCAGCCTCTGGTGCCTTGGATGTAAACATGTTGTTGTTTCCCTCATTAATCACCTCATATTACCAGTGCTCTCAAAACTTCATAAAAATATCTAACTCTGAGGAGAAGTGTGGTCAGAGAGCATCTATCAAGTTCCAATCCAAGAAGAGTGGAGATTGAGTGATACCACACTCCATCAGCCTACCGAATGCAACGTGCCAGGGAGGAATGCATGATTCATGACTAGGCCAAGCGAGGCATATGTATTGGTCAGAGTTAGCCTAGCCGGACTCTGCATATAAGATCTTGGTCTGAATCCTGTGGTGGCGAGTTAACCAAGGAGGGGGATCTGCAGTGGTAGGTCGACATGCATGTATCCAGCTTGTTCGATACAACACTCAGTTTCCAGTTAGGGTGAAAGTCATACATGATACAGGTTTGTATTATCAGGTTTTATCTTTCTAAGTCATATGAAGTGCGTATGTTATTAAGCACAGATGGGATATTTGACAAAAATCTTGGTTCCAGAGTCCTTCATGCCACCCGGATCACCACCAATCATCTTAACACAGTGATTTGTATGGTGGAAATTTGCCGTATACGAGTCAATTTTTCGGCTCGCATCTAACGCCGCTCTGTGAATTCTTTTCCACACGTACATACAGTGGACAACATGCCAGTCAAATGTCGTAGTAAAGTGATCATAGTCACCAAGGTGAAGCTCATCCATGGTGAGATTTCTGCCGTTGATTTCATACGGCCAGTTGCGACCGTCATACATGAGCTTTTCGTCTTCCATGTCATCGTCCGTAAGGCAATCCTGGGGGAGCCAAGAGTGCAACACGATGCTGTATCGGCAGCCGAGGGCTTGCGCGTCGGCGGGAGAGTTTCCACAGTCGCCGTGAGACCAACTTAACGGCAGACCAGTTTTTTCATCAGCGCCTTCGCGCATTTCGGGAAAAGGTCGATTTGTCCTTTTGTTGTGGTTGTTGGCGATGATAATTTGCCATAGACCAAGTGCTAGTACTACGGTCAATGCACCGAGTAAAAATGATGAGATGAGAGGAATCAGGCGCCAACGTGGCTGTGCAGCCGAAGTAGCTTGGTATAACACAGCTTCTTCACTGTCATTGCCGTCAATTTGAGCATACTCTTGCTTGGATGACTTTGCCTTGGTGAATAGAGCGCTCTCGCGAAGTCGATCCATCATGATCAAGTCGTTGCGACGACAAACGCATGTGCCAGTGAGGAAATGGATGATGAAAATGGAGTATAACCCTAGAGTTCTCATAGAACTTCGGACCTACGCCGAGACATAAAGGCGTCGGCTCTTTGTCACACACGCTCGCCAAGATGATGAGTTTAGGATATGCTTCAACTGGAGATATCGACCCTTGGCTACATGAATTGAGTCCAGTTGTGTATTCGCATATCGTTGCGTGGGGTTGAATCCTTCAACAGACGGAGAGCTCGGGACCGTTGAGATACCCGAGATTCATTCCTAATTCGGTAGGTGAAAGCTGAATTGCCGTAAGGCTAGACGGATTTGCGTGCGAACAAGGGTAATGGGGCAAAGACTAGTCATGCATATAACATTACGCTAGGGATGTTATCTCTTAAGCTTAGCAATCGTTCCTATATACCGGTACTTTTGAGAAGGCGAAAGACGCGGATGGGCTACGTTACACGTCCGAAAGCCTGTTCATGGGACTCAGATTGCGTTGTTTTGATCAAGCTGGGATTGCAGATCCAATCCTGCGCCCCCAAGTTTTCGTTTAGTCGGTGAAAAGGAAGTTAGAAGCGTGTAGATCATATTGAACATGATGCAATAGTAAGAGAGTCTCTTCGTACCTTCCTCATGGAGCTATGAGATGGGATATGATACTCCAAGGTCATTGGTCATTGAATTGGCGTTAAGTTGGAATTGATGGTTGACCTATTAATCTCTTGTAATATTGCCACTTGGTCTATCTAAGTTAAAGAACATTGGTGGAAAAAAGGCCATGATTGTAGTGTTATGTTTTGTAAAATTGTTCGTTATGACGCATATATTAGATCTGTAATTTATTCTTTTATCGTGGATCTTCTTGCAGAACCAACGAAAACGACTGTGCTGTGTGATTCTAGTAATACGTCTAATTTGATTGCCGAATTGGAGCCCCCTCAACCTTATGAAACTGGTCAAAAGTCTCGTCCAATTTATGCTGAGCGGCCCATTCCCTTATTTTCTCAAAATTCTTGCATGTATGCGTTGTCCGTAGATTACCAAACATCTTTTGCTTTGGCTCGCTCCACTCCCAGTAGATAGTGCCTACGTCCGATGCGCACTGAATTGACTGCCTGAGCTGGTCGTAGCAGTGCTCCAGATGATAGATATTGTCCTCGCCCTCTTCTGTGCCAGGCGTTAGATCAATTTTGAAAATGTCCGGATAGACAATCTTGCGCATGAAATTCAGGCAGTGAAGTTGGTGGAAGACGTCTAGTTCAACCATGTATTGTTTCGGGTCGTGAGCGGTTGGTGTTGTAGCATTGGGTAGTCGAGCTGCCATGGCCGCTGGAATCTGGGAAATGCCAATCTCTTCAAGTTACAATGGGTTAACATGTTTTCCTCGTCTAGATGGTTTCATCATGGGAATTTGCTTACCATTGAAAAGACTGTTCCACCTCTCATTGACTTCCTCAGAGTATCCCTGGTAGGCAGATCTATCACCATGTAGACCCCCAGTGAAGACTACTGTCTTGTACTCAATTGCAGATTCAGCTGGAGCTATTGACAAAGTTAGGATATCTGTCCGTCAACTTGTACGTTGGAGATAGTTACTCTCACAGTAAACTGCATTTAATATTCTTAGCTGTGCAAATTTCCGATATGAGATTGCCCATGTTGATATTAGTGCCAAGAGTAGCACAACATTGAACGCAACGGAATATGGGAGTAGTTTCGCCCGTGACACGTTTCTTGAAGGTCGTTCCTTGTGGCTTCTGTCTTTCTCATCATCGCCTAGTAAATGTTCCTCGTCATGAAACTCTTCAGAGGCCTCGGACGCCATATTGGTTGTTTGTCCTATGCGTAATATCACTTGGCGACTGAATGAGAGGTGAATAGCCAGGAAGCACTTGAACTCCACCGTATGTAGATTTCATTCACTGGCCCTTTGGGTAAAAAAAGTTAGCAGCTCGTCATGTTCTCATGACTAGAACGACACAGACGTTTTCAGGCTGGACAGCCAAAGATAGCCGATGGCAAGGATCTAGGTTACATTGGATTGGAAGCATGATACTAAATTCTTGCTATGAGAATAATTGCCCTTGTTTACTTGATAGACAACATTTTGATCATCCTTGTACTTGCATAACTGAGTCTCACCCAGATTTGGTGATGCGGAGAAGTTGAACTAGCCCCCATGCACATCTAAGCGAAGGATTCGAGGTGGGCGCTAACATGCAAGGTTACTTTTGGTATACGATATCATTTCTCCCGGAAAACCCGTACGCTGAGCTCAAATGCACGTCTTCTTACAAGTTTTGACAATCATTGGCCCAAAGAGTTCAAAAGAATGACGAAGGAGAACCAAGTTTGCTGCAGAAGAAGAGGTCGGGGTGGGAACGATGCAACGTATCATAACAATACACCTGCTTGGTCCGGAAAGAATTTCCATCTTTGAGCCAGTATTGGTCAGTATATGATACTGAAATAGATACTCTTACTAAATGGAAATTGATGGAAGTTATCCGTAGAGAGATGCTATGAGATACAAGGTGGGCTCTCATTCACACTCACCCATGTCCTAAGTAAAAGATAAGCGAGGGCAAATAGGTCCGCATACAAAGGTACTAAAAAGACCGGCAGCTTGAATTTAATATAGCTATTCATGTATCCTACAAAACTCGGGTTCAACCTTGAACATCTCGCCTGTAAATTTTCTACACGAAAAGCAAATTTACAACTTGACGAGTCTGACTTGCATTACTCCACTCTTTCTACAATATGAAGATCTCCCAGCTTCTATCTTTGGGCCTGGCCCTTCTGGGCGCTGTCGACGCTGCTCCAGTTGAACAGCGTGGTACTGCTGTTGATCCTACGAACAATCAAGCTGGATGGGGAAGACGGGGTGATACTAGTGTCGACCTGGCCGATAACGAAGCTGGCTGGGGCAAACGCGGCACTGCGGTTGATCCTACAAACAACCAAGCTGGCTGGGGCAGACGAGGTACCGCCGTTGACCCCACGAACAACCAGGCAGGCTGGGGTAAACGAGGTGACACTTCTGTAGACCTCGCTGATAACGAAGCTGGTTGGGGGAAACGCGACACTGCCGTTGATCCCACGAATAACCAAGCCGGCTGGGGCAAGCGAGGTACCGCAGTTGACCCTACCAACAACCAGGCAGGATGGGGAAGACGTGGTACGAATGTTGACCCTACAAACAATCAGGCTGGCTGGGGCAGATAAGCACAATGAAAGATACAAATTGGAGATTAACGACGGATCTGACTGATCGGAAAGGATGAAGCATTATTGATAGATGGATGAATCTAATCTGACATTCCTTACACTTACATATTGCAATGCTGTGAAATATAGAATCCCTTTTGTTTAGGTTTCATAAATTCTCTCCTGATTCCCCACGTGTAGGTTACAAACTAGGATTCTCAATGCGTAAATCATTATCATGGGCGTTTGCGGACTGAATGGTTGGCCATCATCCATCTGCTGATTGGTCATACCTCCATTCAACGAAAACGGTGAGACATTCATGGAATGTTAGAAAGACGTCTGTTTGCATCTCATATTTTAGTACTGAAACATCTAACGGCATTGATCAGGAAATGAGATGTTGTCTTAAAACGATCAGCTCTACTAATGCATTCCAGTTTTGCTTCATCATCTCATTTGTAATAAAGATCGTTTATCCTCCCATTAAATCTACCCAGCAAGGAGTGTATTGAAGACTTGAAACAAATCTGCAATCTCAAAAAATATTTCACCCAATACCATGACCGCACAGAGCGATGGCGAGCCTCCAGATGGGAAATTCAGTCACCTCCGGACTTCCAAATCCAGTCAACGATTGAACCAGGTCGAGAAGATCAGAGCGCACGGTGTAGGCGATCTGATCTCATTACCAGCATTGGTCGTCTGTGGAGACCAGTCAACTGGTAAAAGCTCGGTGTTGGAGGGCGTTACCGGAATACCCTTTCCTCGACAAGAAGGACTCTGTACTAGGTTCCCTAGTGAGATCAATCTTCGGCATACAGAATGCGAGTCGGTTACGTATACCGCCAGCATCAGGCCGCACATCTCGCGGCCTGCAGAAGTTCAACAGACTCTGTCTGCCTATCGCAAACAACTGAAGGATATATCGGAGTTGCCTGGTGTTATCGAAGAGGTATCACGGTTGATGAATATTCGTGGATACTGCGACAATGAAAATGCCAGCGCCTTCTCTGTTGACGTTCTTCGAATAGAGGTGGTCGGCCCAATTGGATTGCATCTCAGCGTGGTGGATTTGCCAGGGCTCATATCTGTTCCCAACGAAGAGCAAACCGAAGAGGATGTCGAAGCCGTACACAACATGGTAGCATCGTACCTTCAGAGCTCGCGAACGATAATTCTGGCCGTGGTACAAGCAAGCAACGACATGGCCAATCAAACTATTATTAAGTTGGCGAGAACTCATGATCCCCTTGGCCAAAGGACCGTTGGGATCATCACAAAGCCTGATTTAATAAATAGTGGCAGCGAGGCCAAAATTGCACTGGTGGCGAACAATAAAGACAACATTAAGCTCAAATTAGGATTTTTTCTCCTAAAGAACCCCAGTCCCGCTGAGCTTAAAGAATGCGTCACTATGGCTGCACGCTCGAACCTAGAGCGGCGGTTCTTCTCTGGTCCGGCCTGGGCTAACCAAAATCTCGATATGAGTCGGGTAGGCGCAGAGAATCTCCGGATTTTCCTTCAAGATCTTCTCGATACTCATATAGAGAGAGAATTGCCCAAAGTGAGGGAGGAGATTAAAAAGCTGTTGGCTGAGAGAGATGCTGAGCTTAGATCTCTTGGAGAGGCCAGGCCTACAACCGATCTCATTAGGAATTTCCTCACAGCCCTTAGCATGAAGTTTTATGAGCTGTTACAGGCCGCGCTTGATGGAAACTATCACAGTATCGACACTAGGTTCTTTTCAGAGAGCGACATATCGAGGCTAAGAGCCCGCGTGCAAGAGTCAAACACCAAGTTTGCAACCTACATGCGAGAGTCTGGGAAAAGACGAAAATTAAAAATTGAAGTCAATCGTGATCATACGGTGCCGGAGTCTGACGACTCGGAAGATGACAAATTGGATGACATTACAACACAAGTTATTGTAAACAAAGCGGAAATGATGCGATGGGTGAAAGAGGTAAGTATCTACCTTTACTCAACCTAAATTGGCATCGTTCTAACGCTCGTCACAGGCATATGCACGTACAAAAGGAAAAGAGTTACCTGGCAACTATAACTCAGCACTCCTGGCCGAACTGTTTCACGAGCAATCGCGTCGCTGGCCTATTATTGCAGAATCCCACATCGATACGATTCTCAAGATAGTATCAGAGTGGATTCAACTGGCTGTCGAAAAACTCATCCCCGAAGAGAGTATGCGAGCTCAAATCCACTCAATCCTACAGCAATGGCTTGAAGAGACCGAGAAGAACGCACTCAGTGAGCTGGAAAAGTTGGTCGAAGACGAGCGACGCAGTCCATTGACGTATAATCACTATTATACGGACAATGTCCAAAAAGCTCGGCTGGATGCGCAGAAAAAAGCGGTGGAAAACGCCGTTTCTGCTGAAAGAGATGTTAACGGAAAGTTACATGTTAGTAACGTTCACGTGGATATCCAGAAGTTCATCGCTGCAGTTGGGTCTCGCATTACTGTGGATATGGATGAGCAGGCATGCCACGAGGCGATCACAGAGCTGGACGCATACTACAAGGTAAGGGCCCACCACGCCTCGATTCTGGTGTTAAACAGTTATATAAAGTGCTGACATGGGTATCTCCTAGGTTACAATGAAGACTTTTGTCGATAACGTCGCGAGACAAGTCATCGAGCGCCACGTTATAGCACCCTTGCCAAATGCTTTCTCTCCAAATTCTGTTTCTCAGCTATCCGAAGAAGACTTGCTCCGAATCGGTTCAGAGTCTGAGAAACAGATCGCCAGACGGGAGAAGCTGGCTTTGCAGGTCCAGGGCTTGAAGAAGAGCCTGCGAGATTTGCAAAAGAGCTCATTGTGATGCCGTTGACAGGCGCAGTCCGTTTTCTCATCGTAGCATTTCCGCTATGTTTACAATAACTTGAGTTGTAATGTCATCCAATCTGTAATCTTCTGAATTATTAGACTTGGGTTTTGGTTGTTTCACGATTTTACCTCTCGGCTGTGGTTTTCCCACTGGGTTTTTCCACAACTGTAACGCAAATGCGGAGAGAGTATGTTAGTTTTGCATGAATAAATGAATAAATTGGTTTCAATAATGATGAAAAACTCATACAATTAATAAGCCAGACATGTCATATGATTGAGTCGCGCTCGTATCTGCATCCCAGTTGGCTGACTTGACGATGGGCGTCGAGTTAGGCGCTATCATGGGGTGCCAAGGAGTTAGCCTTTGCCATGTTGTTACCCCTCCTTTGTTTTATAATACGCTGAAGCTATATCTGATGTTCTGTAAATATTATGCTAACGAGCCATCGAGATACAATATTGAAGTTCGATCCAGAGTGCCCTAACATGTAAGTCCCCCTTTCACCTCATAAGCTCCATGTACAATTGGCAGTATCAGTGGCCTTCTAGGTATGGCATAATAGGAAGCTACCTCGCGTATGAGATCAATCATGTGTTGCGTGTTGGTTGAATAGATTAAGTAAAATTCCTGACCAATATCTTACCATACTCTGCTTACACCACCGCCACAGAAGTCGAATGCTTATTCCCCTGTCAGCACTGGGAAACGATACATTGAAATAGAGGCCCAGAAGGAATAATAGAATACGAAAGTGACCATGGTCGGAACAGACGGATGCCGGTTCGAAGGTATAAAGACAGGCTGGAGACCTAATCAGTTGCTATACCAATAGACGACACTTACACACCGAAGCCCCTCCACCAACACCGAATTGGCTACTATGACCTGGAAACCTCTCGCCAGAACAATCCATCATGTCCACTATGAGACAGATAATACGTTCTATACCTTTTCTAAAGAACACAAGCCATCCCTCACGGTCGATTCAGGTGCTAAAGTGAGCTTTGACAATACCCATGCTGGATTCGTGAACCTCACCAGAGACTCAACCACAGCCGATGCCGTCGCATTGAACATACAATCTCCAAAAGATCTGGAGAAGCTCATAGGACAACTCTATGTGAACGGCCCAGTATATGTAAATAGCGCTGAACCCGGCGACATTCTCAAAGTTGAGATCCTCGAATTACAGACTGGCAGTTGGGGATGGACTGCTGTCATCCCTGGAATGGGTCTGCTGCAAGACGAAATACCCGGACCGCATATCATGACCTTTGATCTTCCCGAAAGCCAAGATTACGCAGTATTCAAGCCTGGCATTCACATCCCATGCCAGCCATTTTGCGGCACCATGGGCGTGGCTCCAGCTGAAGGCGAGCAGTTTGCTCTATATCCGCGCAACGATATCGGCGGAAATTTTGACTGCCGTTACTTGGGCCAAGGGTCAACATTGTTTCTCCCTGTCAACGTTCCTGGAGCCTTATTCTCCGTTGGGGATGCGCATTTCTGCCAAGGAGACGGCGAAATTTGCTGCACTGCGCTGGAGACGACGATGAGATCACGAATGCGATTAAGTGTTATCAAGGGTAAAGGGAAGTTGGCTGGGCCTCACTATGAGACAGATCCTGAGAGGGTGAAACAGATGGTGAGCGTTGCTAGCAAGGGAGAACATGGCGCACTCATAACAGGCACCGATCGCGACATGGTTGTCAAGCAGGCTGTGAGGGAAATGATGAGGTGGCTGGAAGAAGAAAAGGGATTGACAAAAGTGGAGGGCTACATGCTGTTTAGTATTGTTGGCAATCTCAAGATGATGCATGAGATTGGCCTTGGCGTTTATACCGTGTCTGCAAGTATTCCACTGGGGATTTTTGTCGACTAATTTTGATGGATGTAGGAATTGAAGGTAGTGGAAATATCAGCCTGTTTATCTGTATATTATTGATGCAGCTAATTAAGAAAGAGTCTATTCCTCTACGAGTTGCAAAGAGCGATAATGTCCTCCGGCACATACACCTGAAGAATGTCAATCAACTGGTTCAGCGGGATCCAGTCGAGGCTACCATGAATGCTCTGGAGCGTGTGGCCAGAGTACAGAACGCGAGCATAGTAAGCCTTCTTCGACTTTTCAGTCGTCTCCCAAACCTCAATAGCAACGTTGGAGCCCATGGCAGGCCATCTCAGCTGGTTGATTCCCAGAGCACCCAAAACGGGACCAATATCACCGTCGTGGATGAAAGTGTGTGCGTAGACATACTTTTGCTTCTTGCCCAAGACAGCCTCGAGGCGGTTGACAATCTCACCAATGAAGAGGCCCTCGGTGGCCTGGATATACTTGACGGCCTGAGGGTTGTTGCGCCAGTAGTAGTTCCACTCCCAGTCACCAGCACGGAAGACTTCCTCGGCCTGGATCTTGGAGACGCACTTGGAGGAGTCGGTAAAGCTGCAGGGAAGCTCGTATCCGTTGCAGAGGCGGGCCTGGAAGTTGTCGGAGAAGTGGTCAAAGGTGCTCTGCCACGCACTGCTGGTAGCGCCGAGAATGCCTCCCAGAGACTGCCTGAGGTCAGCTGTCACGCTGAGATGCTGGTTCCATTCGGTGGTGGACTGGATGGACGACAGAATGGAGTTTCTGGCATTGCAGCCATAGCCGTTGTTGACGGTGTCGGGACCGGGCTGCTGGTGAAGAGGCACAGGTCCAGAGTAGTGCGGCCAGAGACCGCGCAGGACGCCTCCAGCGCTCTGCTGGGTGAGAGCCGAGGAGCTGGATCGCAGCCAGACTTTGTCATTGGGGCTGGATGGGATCAGGCCAAGCTTGCCGCCATACAAAGCCCAGAGGTCCTTGCCGTGCTGGATACCATCAAGGAAACCGCCAGTGGTCAGCTGAGGGAAGAAGCAGGTCGAGTTGATGTACGGCAGAGCATCCACAAACGGGTTGCTCGGGTCCGTGTAGACGTCGGCAAAGACTTGAACGCCAGAGGTGCCGCGCACTTCGCCGCTATACAAGAAGGCTTCAAAGCTGGAGCAGTCAAATGGTTGATTCTATCGCGAGGCAGTTGCGTGTTAGCAGACCGTGCGATATCACCGCGGTTCTTACAGTCTCTTACCTCTCCACCTGGGGCCAGGTTGTACATGGTGCGCCTCTGGTGTCGCTGGAGATACTCCAGATACACCAGCTTGGCGTGACGGTCATTGGGAAGCTCATACTCATTCACACGGGGATGAGGCATGGAGCAGTAATCGTAGACGCCAAACGGAGAACCCTGCGAGGCCCTGTTGGCGGGAGCGCTGTAGATGCCTCCATTGGTCCCCAGCGCGCTGTTGCTGATGTACGACGTGTCATTGAGTCCAGAGGGATAGAAAGTGTCGACAGGTGACAGATGCGATCCGGCAACAACGAAGCCCTGGCCCAAGACGCCCGCTGCCATGGCGCGAGTCAGCATGATGGCGATGGATTGAAGGGTCAGTGAATGAGGCCTGGGGTTCAATGTTACCTTGGAATACTTCCTGGGGCACGTCAGAAGATATAACTCCGATGGCCTGCAACGGCACCGCGACCACGTGGCTGTGCTTGAGCTTCATCTCATGCAGGAACACGACCGAACCAGCACGGGTAAATTGATGGTGACGATACAGGGAATGGATGGATTTATTTTCAGCTGCAGCCACCTATTCCCGAAGCACGATAGTTGGAATGCTTCTAGGCGTTTATCGATGAAATTAATAGCCTCGTCAGCACCTAATTTTGCTTCGAAATCGCCAGTCTCCTTGCAGAGTCTTGACAAAAATCCCCCTCGACTGCTGTAAGTGTTCGGTATTTCGGAAGCGCCAACGATCTGCGAGCCACTTGTTGGAGTTGATGGTCGCACGTGCCCGCCGCTGACCTGCAGTGGATGGAGCGCTCACATTATCCGGCGGTCTAGGTTGAGCACCTCGACGGTGTCAAATTCGGTTAACATCCGATTGATAGAGGACTCTAGACAATGTAAATGACTTCATATTGCTTTTTGTTCTTATAAAATAATTATTTATTCTTGAAAATCGGATGTTGTGGAGCCTCCAGAGTTGCGATATCGCTGACCGTCTATTACAGCCTGCCTCTAGCACCAACTCATCCATGGATGTGTGTACCCGGCATCTACAAGTCTATTCTCAGCATAACAGCTTCACCCTTGTTGTAACACAAATGTACTCTCATCAATTGGATATTACTGTCTGTCGTATATCATCCATTGCAAGCTAGCACAAACTATCAACTGCCTAGAGTGGGTAGATTAAGCCAGTGACACATTAGCGGCTAGATTCTGCAATGAGAGCCAATATGTTGCTTGGAATGACCTTTCAATAACATCTATACATCTTATTACGAAATGAACAATTATTCATCTAGCAATAGTTTCACATTTAGATCATATTTTAATTTATAATACTTGCACCTATAGAAGAATTCTTTGAGATAGCAAGCCAGTAATACACCTTAGAGGATTCCTCATGCCTCACAATATCATCTGAGTGGTGAAGTATATAACAATTACGAACTTTAGATGGACGAGTTACTGGGTCATTTATTTCACTGAATAAATATAAGTTGGTCAGTACTAGGGAATATTGTCCCCATACTTGACCTAAGCAGTATGAGAAGTGCCATTATCAACTCAACCTCATTTATTAATGTTTATGCCTACCATGGCCACATTCATCTTTACCTCAGTTCCCATACATAACACTAATACAGCTAAGCCATAAATTATTATTTTTATTTTTATACTGTTACAGGGTGCCACTACGATATCTGCTCCTGAAGTAAAAACATTACACACAAGGGTAATGGTTCTGATCGCGAGTGTATTACAATATGCACTTTGCCCCTTCTGAGGTAGGCTATGCGAATAACACACCATCTCCACATACGCAATCCAAAGTCTATCTCTTTTCTTTAATAAAAAAGGGCATCGATACGGACATTATCTAACGGCTCGGCCCTAATTACTGTCTCGCCAACGGCTCATCCTCCGTATCTGGCCCTCCTCTCGCTGTCTTTGCTGTTCACCGTTTTTAGATTCTGGTTTCGGAAGAGCGGCTGACCCAAGTCCCGGGGTGAGAAAGAATTTGCTATCGCAACTGAGACACTTACCGATCGCCGAAATATAAGACATGTTATTTCCAGCTTTGTGGGGGCTAAAGCGATGCGATTCGAGAGAATACGACTCGACAGCTGAGTCTACGCGACTCTTTCCCCCTTGAGGTCTGGAGGTGACATCGTGCACTCGGCATTATGAATTTGTTTAACAATACGAATAGCTACGCTGCTAAGCGAAGCTTTCTCTCTTACCTCTGTTAGCCAACGCAATTGGTCTTTTACACTTGCGATCCCGTCACATCTGCTGCGTACAAAGCCCCTCATACTTCAAAGACAAAAAAACATCCCAGGGCAACGGCCAGCCTTCTTAGAATAGAGTTTGTTTCTTTCTCAAACTGAGCCAAAGGCAAAACAATGTGTCAACCATCCCTGAAATCCCGTTATTAGCTCAGAGACCTTGTAGCCCTTGTTAACCCCTTCTGTAAGCGAGAGCTAGAGCTATAAATCTGCAAGGGTGCAACACGGCTTGCATTTCGGATCGCATCCTATACGTCGATCCTATCTATTCGCGAGGGATTGCGTCCGAACTGGGGATAATCAGGGATGAAAATGTGTTCAAATGATCATCCACTGCTTAGCCGCATCATGTCTCTCGCGCCCAGGGCAATGACGGAGAGCTGATTGAGTGAGTTACGAGCGGAGCACGGAATACATAATCCTATTGTGGAGTCGACGTTGCTAATCAGAGTCAACCAACGTACAATATTGGGGGCAAACGGTAAACCGTCGTTGAGATCTTGCTTGAAGCTATTTTTAAACCTGGTATCGCTGCGTAGACTACCGTCTTGGCCGTCGGACTTATTGTTGACTTACTCATACCCTTGGCGGCCGTTTCTCAGACCAAGACTGATTTGACTTCCGCCCCCTAATGTTTTAGCTTGCACTAATCTGCGGTACATCTGCTCCGAATGACCCTTTGAGTCAGGTCCCTGATCTCCGATGCCGATTTTCTGTTATCTGCTGGCGCCTTTGGGTCGCAATGGACATCACGAGAGCTAAAGAAATCCACTTGCTCAGAGCTAAAGCGATCTGAATGGGCCAAGTGCCAACCCCCCGTTAGTGCTATCCCCAGGATCGTAATTGGGATAATCTCATACGACAGCTCAGGCGAGGCTGATGACGATCGATCCACATTTTAAATAGGATAATTCTCTTCGTAGATGTGCCAAGATCAAAAGATCGAGCTACGGCCAATCATTACTGCTGCTCTTATTGGATACATCCTGACAATTACAACGTATCCTAGTCCATCACCATGGGTTGAGCAATTCCCAGGGTCTAGTATACACTTTCATATTGCATCAAGACCTCCTTATTCATCATATTAGTCCGGTCTTCTTCTCGTGTCTCTTGAATTCCAAATCATCAGCGCGCACATGATAGATGCCGCCTTAGACACAACGGCTGAGGGGCCAACCACGGCCCGCAGAATGACAAATTCAGGATCCCGAATCTCTGGGTGGGCCACTTAGATCGGTAAAAGGCGAAGCAGCCCAACTGCAGAGGAGAAGGAAAGACAATCTCAGACTCCGCGAAACAACAGCATTGGCTATACAGGTGCCTGGACCGCGCAGACCGCGCTACTGCACCTACATCCTTGAGACTCGAGCGTGTGGAGACGTGCTCCGTAGAGAAAAGTAAATTGCGTCCTTCATACGAGATGTCTTAGACTGAGGGCCGACTTTGCCGCGAGCTGCAAAGAGGCGGAGAGACATGGGAACCTCTGACACTAGTAATAGCAGTGTTTTGCTTTCGATATTATTGTTGAGTTCTAATTGAAGCTTAAAGAGGACGATCTCCCGCTCGAATTTGGATTTATTTATTCTCATACAGATCGCCACTAATATCGTTGACTTCGGTCTCGTACAATATCTATATCCATAATTACCACGATGCTTTTGTCCAATGTTTTCTCGTTTGCAGTTTTTGCTACGGCGGCATATGCCAGCGTCCAAGTTCAGCAGTGGATGCCCCCTGGACCAGATGATTCGCGAGGGCCGTGCCCAATGCTGAATACTTTGGCAAACCATGGCTATCTGTAAGGCTCTCTCATACTCGATGCAAAGATTATATAATTACTAACTGACTTTCTTAAAGTCCTCACAGTGGCCGCCATATTTCGCCTTCACAGATAGAAGACGCCTTCACAAATTTTCTCAATATCGAAGCAGGGTTTGCAGCGGCTGCCAAGGACTTTGCCAAAGCATGGGGTAATGATACTTTCGATCTCGATGACCTTAACACACCAGATATACTGCAGCACATTGCATCCCTCACTCGAGATGATTACACGTCTCATAATCCTCATTTGAAGCCAAACTTTCTCCGAATTGAGCGTCTCATGTCTGATAGTCCTACATCATTCATTAACGTTGATTCCATTGCAAAAACCCGACTACGCGTGGAATCAGAGTCAATACCAAACGCGCTTTCCAAAAACCAGATGAATGCGGCGCTCTTTGAAGCCGCAATGGTCCTTGTCATGATGTCGGATCACAGTCCTGATGCTGAGTTTAACCCTCCTCTATCGGCATACCAGGGACCAAAAGATCGTATTCGAACATGGTTTGCGCAGGAAAGATTTCCCACGGAATTTGGATGGCAGCCATCAGCAAGGACTATCAAGTTGGCTGATCTGAACCCTGCAATTGACGGCATTATCAAGTCTATGGAGAGACAAGATAACAGCGGGCGTGTTGCGCAAAAGTTTTCTGAAGATTAAAATGTTATTGGTGATCTATTATCAGACTATGAATGGCGTCGTTTTGGTTCTGTGTACATGATATAATGGTAGTTTCATTTAATAGCTGCATTCTTATCTAACACTTCGAATCATATTTATGCTCTAATATTCTCATTATTCGCATGAAACAAGCGCTCAAAAGCTTTCTTAGTCTATCTTTCTATGCCTTCCATGGAGTTGCACCGTATACTTTTCTCCATCTACTCAACAACTCTTGGTCAAAACTGACAAGAACCTCAAGATCGCCGTTGGGAAGTCTGGGAAACACAACTGGGTACCGCTTGGTCTTGAAAGTTGGTAGTCTTACAACTTCACAGTGTCCTAGTTCAGTGCCCCAATCGAGCTCATAAACACCTTCATCGGCCCAAGAGACGATGGATACGCTTGCCGGCAGCTCGCAGAGCTTGAGGCCTGTGACATCCTCTTGAGCAGATAGATGATTGACAATGGTATTCATCTTGTCTTCATCAATAACATTGACGCTTTGGCGAACGGCAGCCGCAACGTTTGCGATTGCCGATATGGAATATGTCTCTCCACTTGATCTTCCTATATCCATGAGATCGACTTTCTTAGCGGTCACCAGCGACACTCCAAAGGCGGCCCCAAGGTAGTTCTTAGGCAAAGGTGGGTTGTAACGACTGCGACAGTTAACGGCAATACGCATAGAGCAAACATCGTTGGCAATATCGTTGTCATCATCTGAGAATTCAGAAGAAGTAGCAGAACCCCAAAGGAGAGCTGTTAATATGTCGCTGGTTGATACCCAAGAGGTCCCATCGGGCAAGTGCTTGCTAACTTCGGCCTTTAGACTTTTTAAAGATTTTGCAGAGTATTTAAAAAACGCTGTTTCAATCTCCACGGGCTTTGATGGCCTGCTGGATGGGCTACTGTTTTCTTTGTGAAGGAGAAGCGGCGTATCAGCTGGAACATGATGAGAGTTGTTGACAATTGCTGTGCGATCCAGCCAGAGTTGGTTAAACTGAATGTCTTCAGAAGAACCAGTCCTGCAATGTGAAGCCCATATCTTCAACAGCGAGCCAAAAGCAGTAATATCGGCTGTTGAGTGATTCAGACTGATGCTGAGCAGACAACCTCCCTTCACCAGAGATAACACAGCGCGAAAGACGGGGCTAGGCGATTTATTCGCGGGATTGAGGTCAGCGGAAAATAGATCCAGTCCATCGAATAGCGAAGGTCGAAAACCTCCCGCCTTCAGGTCGTTATAAACCACCGTCGTGGCGAGATCGTTGACACGAAATAAATCGCCCAATGAGTCACACGGTGAGCTCAACGCAACAGAACCCTTGGGATGGGTCCCGGCCACTATCCTAGAGGCGAGATATGGAACATCTGCCAAAGTACCTGCGAGGCCATCTCGGAGGACTTCGTATATTCGAGGATTTGTTGACGGAAAGCAGAGGACTTGGCTAATGAATGACCGCGGCATCACCCACTCGAGTGGAGATAGCTGGCTTAGCTCTTGCGGTGGTAGTATTTCCATCATGGTTTGCTGGGGCTGGCGTAAGGAGGAATGCCAAGAGGCTTGTTATCTGAGATGTGTTATAAGAGGGATTAAAACGACTTAGAATGTTGACACCATGCGAAGGATTATACTGGAGGTCCTTGTCAGCGATCGGCAGTTGTGTTAGTTGTAAAGCGCTCACGCCATCTGCCGACAGCCACTGGCATTGCACCTTTGGCTTGTATGCAAGCACAACTTAATATTAAAAAAACCAGTAATATGATGACTCTTAAATCTAAATAATTAGTCCAAATAAATTATTGTGTCATTACTCCATAAATATCTCTGTATAGAGTACAATTACAAGAGTTTTCATCCTGCGGTCCGCAATAGCCGCTATCAGGCAGCGGCCATTAGGCAATACGCGAAGGCCGAGCAAAAGACCGCCGAGTCACCGCGAAACTCGTTTTAGTAAGCGGCGGTTGCCCTTTTGTAAGTGATTCATCCAATGATATTTAAGCTCCTGTTGCTGGTAGCCTTCGAGTTCTAGTATATTTTACTGAGCAGCACCTTCAGAAAATTGCCCTGAATCAACACTCTTTTCTCTCTTCATTGAATTAGACAATCACCATGGCTGCTGCCAAGTCTATCGCTGTTGTCATCAGCAGTACTCGCCCTCAGCGCATAAATCCTTTCGTTGCTGGTTATGTCGCCTCTGTCATTAACTCTATTCCTCAGACTACAGCAAAGGTAGAATTACTCGATCTGGCAACAGTCAATCTTCCTCTCTTCAACGAGCCTCTAGTTCCAGGCGAGGTTCCGGCTGATGATCCCACGCCCCATTATCATTACGAATATACCCGCGCTTGGTCAGCTCTTGTTCGCAAATATGATGGATTCATCTTTGTTACGCCGCAGTATAACTGGTCTATCCCGGCGAGCTTGAAGAATGCTTTGGACTACATATTTCATGAGTGGAATGGGAAGCCTGCTGCGATTGTGACGTATGGATTTCGAGGCGGTGTTAAAGCTGAGCCTCATCTACGCGAAATCCTGAACGGATTGCGAATGGGTACCGTTGAACCGACTGTGGCACTGAAAATCGTTAAAGGGGAGCCAGAAGAGAGGGAGAAGCAGATGAAAGAGACTTGGAAGAAAGATGGAGCGGACGAAAAGATAACAACATTGTTTGCTAGCTTGTTAAAGCATTTTGAGGCAAAGAATTAAGACGTGGGTAGGTGCAACATAATGGAAGTAAGGGCTACTGTATACATACATTTTATCATTCAATATTTCTGTTGAAATTGCAAGAAAGGCCGAAAGCCAGAGGGCTGTTGAGGCTTATATATCATTCATTTCAACAACTTCTTGTGCTCTGATTCTCGTGGCTGTAACTAGTAAATTACCACTAAATACTTCGCTTCATTAATGAACTGAACGAGTGAATCATGGGGATATGCATTTTGGAGCTAAGAGGCTGTGACAGATAGGTCAATGACTGATTAAATCCATCTCTCGTAAGGGCTCAACATTTCTTGAACTATTGGGTCCAGATCTCTCTGCCGATTAAGAAGTAGTTTTATTATTTCTTTCCTCTTTCTTCTGTTCTTAGCTGCAGCTTTGAACACATCTATAGTAATCGGGACTTTATCTCCCCTTTGGTCAAAGAAGAGTTCTATTATTTTCTTGCCTTCCCAACTGTTACTTGCTGCTGCAGCTTTAACCACGTCTTCTGTAATCGGGACTTGATCTCCTAGCCAGTCAAGAAAGAGTTTTGATTATTTCCTTGCCTCCGTAATCTTTACTAGCTGCAGCTTTAACCATATCTTCTGTAATCTGGACTTGATCTCTTTGTCGGTTAAGGAACAGTTCTATTATTTCCAGACCATATTCTGGGTTGCTAGCTGCAGCTTCGACAAAATCCCATGTAAGTTGAATCTGAGGTTCGTATCGTTCGAGAAGTATTGACATTGTCTCTAATCCATTAATTCAGTTTGTAGCTGCCGCTTTGACCAATTTCTTGATTGCGTCCTCTTCTTGGAATTCATCCAAAAACATATCGATGATTTTATGTCCTCTCAAGTGGCTGGTGGTCCAATCTTGAGAGCCGCCATTGACATGTGCAACTTCTATGGCGAAATTTCCTTCTGCAACGCACAATAAAGTCTCCAATTTGAGTTTTGTCTCTTCAATCTCTTTATGAAAAAATCTGATTTTGAAACCAGATCGAAACTCTGGTGGTAAGGAGAACGTGCTATGTCTATTTTGATATTTGGGTTCCAATTCAAGATTATGGTATTGCCGCATTGGTGTCAAAATGTGCACAGCGACTGCGAAGTCGTTTCTCGAATGATTTTCCAGAATGTATTCAGCACATACAAACTCGTTGTTTTGGAGAGCCCAATCCAATAGCTCTTTGTTGAGTTTCGACTTCATCTGTAGTAGTAGATCCGCAGTTCGCCTTCGATCTAGTCTACTTCGACCGGTATTCAGCAGTGCAGCTACTAGTGGTGTAATTTCGTTGCTATCCACATCATCCACTGAAGCACCATGGTCCGCAAAATATTTTGTAGCATCATTATGACAGCCAGCTGCGGCCCAGTGTAGTGGCGAGCGTTTTTTTTTCGTCCGTGGTATATATGTTAACACGTGGATCGCTCAGTAACTTTTCTATTACGGCCATCTGGCCTTTACCAGCAGCGTATGATAAAGGAGACCGTCTGACTGAATCTTCGATAATGGGAAGTGCGTTTGCCTCCATCAAGGTGTTCACAATTAAAGCATTGCCTTGCTCTGCAGCATAACTTAATGGCGTTCGTCCCTGTTTGTCAATAGAGTCAACAACAGACCCAATCTCCAGTGCAATTTTAGCAAGCTCAAGCCATCCTTTCTCACATAAGAAAGAAAGAACAGATCGGCCACTTTTTTCGTCGGTAGGGAGACTGTCGTTACTGTCGTGAAGCTGGCTAATAGACCAAAGCGTCTCACTTCTATCATTTCTTGATATTGCTTCAAGGACGTGTTGCCCTGTTTGAGGTTCTCTCGGTCGCTTTTCTAGTTCCACGTAACGAGCGATTATCTCGCTTTCCAGGGTCAATACCGAGGTTTTTTGTTGCAAATCCATCCAATTTATTCCCGTTATCCCAAATCCTTGCCATCGATCCGAAAATAAAGCACGACGATAAAGCTCACCCAGCTCGAGCAACACCAAATCTCGAGGCTCACCTAACTCGGTCATGATTCCCCATACCCATCGAAGAACTCCTTCAGCTTCCTTGAAGTCATCGCTTTTCCTGAAGTTTTCGGCCACCTTGTAAGCGGCCGGGATGGCCTCCGTAGTACGTGGTAAGAGTGAATGGTTCTGTAGCGTCGGAATAATGATCAAAGATGCGTCTTGCCTTGACCCTAGACCACTCGCTTCGAAGCAGTCGATGAGTTTGGTCACAAGCTGGTGCTCCAAGCGTATGGTATTGCCGGTAATTACCGTCGTTTTGCTTTCAAAGTCCAAATGAGCCGATATGGTGTGTAAGAAAGACTGGTAAATGTCTTGAGAACAAAACATAGGGATGTGCTTCGACTCAAGCCTGGTCGCAGCGATTGTGGGGGGTCCATTGCGAATACCAATGCTATGCAAACCAAATAGTCTATGATATGGAGTTGAAATAGATACTGGCGTAGATAAATCGATTTCATTAGTCAATTTTTGTTCATCTTGCTCCAATATCGTCGTTGCATCTGTCGTTAAGTCATCCAATGGTCGAGATCTCTTGATACTCAATTTTAACAGTGGTATGTTAGGTCTCTCGATCCAGAATTGTGTTTCTCTCCATGACTGTTCTATTTCATCTTCTGTTCCGGCAGTTATAGCCCAGTGCATTGGTTTGTCTGCTGCAGTCGATATTTTGAGTCCGAAGGATACTTCTTCCGTGCGTGGGTCTGAAATAATGGACCAAGACCATAATCCAATAATGGCTTCAAGATGATTCGGGTCCACAGTCCAGACAGAATCTAACCGCTGGATATCGATTTTTATACTTTGTATTTGATATGATGTTTCTCCATAGTCCCCTATCGCAACGTTTAAAATCCAAGACAGGTTTGCGAGATCAGTACCAACCTTGGCGTGATTTTCGAGAATGGCAAGACTACCTTCGATTGCCTTTTTGAGCTGTTGAGCTTGCAATCGTCCACTCACAAGATCATTACCCCATGCATTGGAGAGATTTAATTTAGCATTGTCTGACCGCCCAGTAAGTTCGGCAAGTCTGGCCCTATATTCCCATGCTTTGTTGTTCATGTTTTCAGCGCTTCGTTGTGGATGTTGTGCTGAAACTTGTACAGTAACACTCCTGAAATATCTTGGACCATTCGCAACTCTAGCCATCTGCAGAGCCATCCAATCGAGTTCATGGCCGCTCACTTCATCTGAACGATCACGAAGGATATTTTCATCTATGCTTAAACGCTGCGTCCTCAACAAGGCCCGGATCACACTCATTAACAAGGTGACAGCAAGCTGTAATAGAGAAACCAACGAGTGCATCGCTCGCAAACCAACAAACTGCAAGGCAAACCCAAGTATTGTTATAACAGTAGCAACCAATACTGAAGTTTCTTCAGAGGGATTTTTGAAGTTGTTGAAAGAAATTTTATCTTTTCGTCTTCCGGAACTTGAGTCGGAAGTCTGAGCAGCCTTCCAGGATGTCATGTAACACTTTATCGGCTTCGAGAACAAAAAGGGATCAAAAGTCTGATCCCCGACCACCTGGTTTCCTGGCTGGACCACGTAAAGGGTAGAGCTCGATTTTCCTAGTTCACGCTTCCATTCGAACACTCTCTCCTTGGTACTATCGTTTACCAAAGTGGCGCAGAGAAACATGCCAAAGCAAACAAACATTGTACCCACGAATATAAAAGGGAAAGCCCAAGGGTCTATAGAGTTTCCATTTTTCCCCCAGTGTAGGCTATAAGTAATTATAACGCTTAGCACCAATACCGAGGTTTGCGAGAGGAATCCCACGATAGCGGCCCCAATGTACACAAAGGATGACCGCTTTACAATCACAATGTTGAGTGAGAGATTAGGATTTGGTGCGAAATTGTCAAAGGTGTTTTTGGTTGGCGATGGCCTACTTTCTGCGTCATGGGACGGTTTCTCTTCCCCTTGTTCTTCCCAGCCCGTGCCGTTTTGTTTAGCCATTTGGAAATACTCTCGAGAAATGTTGATCCCAGCCGTGTTTTTACCTTCGTTGTTGTCTTTTTTTTCCAATTCGGGGTCATAGACAATTTCCAGGATCTTGGGTCGCCCGAAAACCCTGACGATGGCACCGTTGTGATAGAGCTCACACACCTCGCGGCTAGTAGAGGAGCATAACTCCGCCTCAGCAATTCCTCCTCCCTCTTGTGCACGGCCGATGAATGCTCGTAGAGATGGTCCTCCGCAGACCCGAATAGCAGACACGACTCCAGTTAAGATCCCAAGAGGCGCCATGGCAAAAAGAAAATTGTCCAAGAAGGTTGTTGACTCGCTGAGGAATTGTTTGGTCGCTTGTTCGCCAAATAAAGCAGTAAGTGGTGTAAGATCCATTGCCAAATTATTGGTAAAATCATCCCACCAAGATGCTGTTACGGCTGTTGGCAAACAGGCTGCCAGGATGATGCGCAGGAAGGCTTTGTTGGTTGACAACATGGTGAACTCTTGTTGACACAATGCAATGGCCGAGAACAGCTGTCTCGATGATGTAAAACTTTGGTGAAAATTTGTGATTCCCATTTGTTTTTCCAAATAAAAACTGCCTATGTCGAAGTCAGGCTCGTCGTCCATATACATGAACAGCTTCCAACTGCGCCAGGATCAACGGGGCAAATAGGACGGAGCCACATACAATGGGAAGCTTGGATGCAGCCTCCTGTTAGGCCAGATATGTAAAAATTACAGCATCTTGCAGGTATCTTGCATGCACCTGCACGTATACTCTTTTATAATTGGCAAGGCTGAGGGCCACCAACTACGTGGCGTCTATGTATTGGTCATGAGTATGTACTGATGCCTAGTCATTATCCGTAACAATTATTATGCCTTCTTTTCCTCGACCTAACCTGGGACCACATGAAGAAAAAAATTGAACTTCAGGCAACGAAAATTTTTGCAAGGTACCTTACATTACCATACAGCTCGAGAATGAGTTCCATGGCAAAAGTAGGTGGCTATGCATGCGAATTCTCATGGATGCAGTTTGACATCTTCATTTAAAGTAACTAATGAGATAATTCAGTCATATAAATGATAAGATGGAGGTACATGCGTGGATGCGATTGCGGCATACATGTAAGTGCATTTACAGTTGGTGCCGCTGAATGTTACTCAGCAATCCTACCCCCGTTATGATGTTCAGCCCATCTTAAGAGTAGCCCATATACTTTTATATCATATTCTCTATAGGCAGGGTTGCTTCGATAGATATTTCCCAATCAACGTATCTTGCTACCAAAGCACATATAAGTAACTTCGGAATAGCCTCACCTAACAGAGTATCACGAACAATATCGTGTTGATGAGCGCCACTGTCAGAAGGTAAACAGGTGATTGATTGTAAATTAAGAAATGGGCGAAATAGGCTCCAAGCTCAATCCTATCAGTTACCTCTCCGGCACGGTTATCCTGGTTGGCCTCTTTAACTGGGGTCTAGAAATTTTATTCCCTTGAAGTGCTGGAGTGTGTACAACAACATGTTGGTACATATGTTCATTAGGGGCTGGCTTAGTGATGATAGTTTTTCTCCAATTTAGCGATAATATGTACTGATAGTTGCACACTTCTAATAGAGTCATAAAATACCAGAGACGAATAATAAAAAGCATATAAATTAGGAAGAATCTCCTTCACTACATAATCACACAAGCATCTTCCCTTTTCCTCTTTCTTTCTGCATCTTGCCTCTCTTCCCTCGCAGCTTCAACTTCCTTTTTTGCCAATTCTACCTTCATACCCCCTATTTGAGCTTCAAACCCATTCTGCTGTCTGGCTAGATCCAGCTGAATCCTGGTCTCCATCAACTGTTTTTGAGCTTCCATCTCTTTCTTGTGTGCTTCATCGCGCAGTCGTTGTAGCTCCTCGTTCCGTTGGGTCTGTAGTTGCTTCATGTCGACACGCAAGCGCTCACCATCCTAGGCGGCAAGCCGAATTTTCTTCTCTAGGTCGGCACGAACTTGAAAAAACTCTTCTCTGGCACGCGCGTCACGCTTCTTAAACTCCTGCTCCATTTCCTTGCGAAGCTCTTTCAGATCTTGTTTATGCTTCTTTCGTAGGGCCGCCAGATCTGCTTGCACTTCCTGGCCCGCACTTGTCTCGTCTAGCGTCTTGCCGCTGGCCATCTCTTGCTGAATATCCAGGGTGATGCGCCGCCTTTGAGCGAAAATATGCTCCATTACAGCTAATGCCGATATGGTACCCTTGTCCAGTCGGAGGACCTTGCTTCCCCTACTCACCATACCAGCCCAGTATTCTGGCTTTGTCGAGAGGTCGCGCTCACGTCTCTCGCCCTCCTCTCGCGACACCAACCCCCACATCGTTGTTGCAAGCACGACACAAGACAGGCCCTCATCGCCGCAGAGTTTTTTGAAGATGCTCAGGTTCTTCAAAGCCGTTCCGCCCATACGGTTATCTGTAATACGGTGAAGGTAGACGATGCCAGCCAGCCGAATCTGGGCTTGGTATGAACGGTTCAGCCAGTCAGCCACTTGACGAAGAATTTCCGTGTCGGATCTGTTGGTATCATCAAAGCCGGGAGTATCGATCAAGTAACACTTCTTATCGCCAATAGTAGCGGCGTAGATACCGATGTCAGCACCTAAAGTATAGTAAAGTAGACGAAGTCAGTCTCAGAAATCGCCTCGTATTCTTCTTGTGGCGTATAACATACACGACTGGACTTCATTTCCGAGTTTAGAGTCCGGCGCAAAGTAAGAAATAAATGTACTCTTTCCTGAGCCCCTGATTCCCATCACCGCAATAATAGTATCATCAGGTCTTGCAAGTTAAGCCTTGTTAGTCTTTTCATGAAGTAGATTGCTATATGTATGAGTAGGTAGTACGCACGTAAGCATCGGTGGTTCCATATCTGCATTACTCGAATGCAAGGACATCGGTGGTTCTATATCTGCATTACTCGGATGCAAGGATATAGCAGGGCTACTGGCGGCATTTTGCATTATGATAGTGTTAAGATCTTCATCCTTGAAGTATTCGTGATGAGCGAAAAAGTGGTCATCGTCTATCACAGATACGGTGTCCAAGATGTCATGTCCATTTTTGTCGTACTGTGATATCTGGAGTCTCGGTTCAGGACTAAAAGAAAGGTTTTCAATCCAGTCTCTAAGTCGAACAGCGCTGTATTGGTCTTCTGGTAACGAATAAGTTCCAATTTGCTTGTCAATATCCTCTTCTGTTTCAAGCCTTGGCCAGGGGAGGGATCGGAGCGCAAACTCATATGCGTGACGAACCACATGATCCACGATATCTGGTGTGTCTGGTGGCCCGAAAGAGGAGCATAGGGGACATGAACTAATGCCCATATATTGTATAGAGGACCAGGATAGAATGTCCGCCAAAGAAAAATCCATCGACTGGTCTTGGTGTAGGGTTTCGAGGTGATGTTGAAGGCGTTCCTTTACGGGAAATATAACGGCATCCTCATCGCAAAAGGGGCATTGCCAAGAGAGAGGATGATCATTTTCTATGTGAGTCTGCCAAGCCTTGGTTGTAGCAAATAGGAGATGAGGTGTAGGACAGTTTTCAGCAACACAGGTGTACGGACATACATCTTCAATAAGATGTTGCCTATTTCAATTAATATATGCCTTTCATAATAAATGAATAACCCCAGTAAAACTTACGTCCATTTAGTAGAATTTGAAAAATGTTCCGATGGTAATGACTGACAACAACAAGGACATATTGATACTAAAAGATCGGATGGTAATGGTGGAGGCCTGGGAAATTCTGTATCAGCTGCTATCAAGGAGATTTGAGACTTTGCAATCGTCGATGCCTGATACCGCTTCTTGGGTGGCTGTGTGTATCTCAACGTTCCCTCTGCTGTTGATGCTAAAGAGAGATTGGCAATTTCTGGTACTGCTATTTTAGTCCCAACTTTGCGGCCCTTTAACAAAGTCGTAACACTGCCGCCCGCGAATGGAGAGGTGACCGAATCGAGTGGTTGTAACTCCAGCACAGCCTCTTCATTAAATGATGAAACATTCACTGGCAGCTCTTTCTTCTTTGCGTGCATATATCGCTTCTGGGCCAGTAAAAATCGGTGTCTCCTCCTCAGGTTAGCTTCAATCAGCCTTTTCTGCATTGGACTCAGTCTAGAAGGATCTAGCTCGCTCAATCTAGATGAAAATAAGTATTCTGTTTTTTCTGCAACATGTCTATGTTGGTCGGGTTTGTTTTGCGTAGCTTCGATGAGCTTATTGATCTCTGCAGAGTTGAGGCCATTGATGTCAGGCTGATTTTCATTAGGTCGTAATAGAATGATACATTCCAAATGTTCTCTAAACTGCTGATGCTCCTCGGGGTCGAATGTTTCATCAGCTCTGCGGCTGCGTGATGCTTTCCCCGTCTGACGAATAGCAACTCCGATAAAGGCCAAATTTCTAATCAGCTGCTCAATATTTCCTAGAGCCTCTATAGTAGAGCTAGCCTTGGACCTGAGTTCAGTGTAGTCCTCCAGACAATCGATAAGCAGACCTAAGACGCTCTTTATTAAGTCTAGGTCATCTGGCCTGTTCTTAAATCTCGAGTCTAAAGACAAGCCGGACTTCGACATTGCCCCAACAGTATCAGCCCAGAGGCGGAAATCGGCCAGTCTACTTCGTAGGACTTCATGGTCACCTGAGGTATCGCCCTCGACTGTGTTTTTAAATTTTGACAAGCAGCTTTCAGCAAGATCAGCAATCAATTTCTTAGAAGACGACATGACGAGCTCAGCAGGGAGATCAAGCCGATATCTTGGAAACTCGCTCGAGGCTTTTTCGGCCGTGGTGATTTACAGTCATGCGTAACCTACCTTTTACTAATCAAATACTTCTTGGTATGATTGGGTAGGAGGGCGGGGTAGGTTGGGTACCAATATCTAATACTGGATGCTGTATCGCTTCAGCCTTGCTCTTCAGATCAGCTGCATTATCTTTCCTCAGTAACATCAAAATGCCGCTGAACGCTCCACATCTTGTATTGAAGGATTGGGCAACAATCCTCTCAAAAATTCTCATTTCCATAAACGACGTCAAATCGGACAAAAGGCTTACCTTAACCTGCCGAGTCCAGGTATCCAAGATTGCTACCCAGCTGCGAATAATCAGTGCCTCTCTCGAATCAATCTCGCCGTGGCTGATTGAGCCTGAAATTGAGCTGCTATGCCAAAAATTGCTTCTTGAACTCGCAAGTATTTACTCTGTAGGCATCTACTATTTATATTATCATTATGATATTCAAAACCTCAGTTGCTGAATATAGCAGTGGCCAAATATCCTACGAGAAACTTGTACAATCGATGACGCCGATGCTCTGCTTAGAAGAGAATGTAAAAAAGGTGGTGTATACAACTTGAATCCGGTGAAAGATTTATTTGTCAATTCCAGATGCAGACATCTCATGGCCATTATCATTACTAGTTGCAGCCATCTCTTCCAACTCTTGCTCCAGGGTGGTATCGACAACATGAACCATCTACCGCCTAATGTCCATCACACTCTAACAAAGAAAAGTTCCACTAATTTTAGCGATGGTCTATTCGAAGCGCTGAAAGTCCACACGCGATGCAGTGCCGGTGAACATTGCGCTCCAGTATATCACAAAATAGACTCTTGGCACCCAGCGAGGCTCTGCTTGAGTGAAGAGTGTCAAAGCGACCCCTCTTTCAACATCATTGTTTCTCCTATGGAAATGCTATATTGGCAGGAATTTTACCTAAGAATGTACGATGTTCATCGTATTCAGCATTAATTCTTCAACTGACGTTCTAGAAGACAACCAGAAGACCTAGATATGGAACATGGCTCATCAACAAAATTGGAACTCTGTAAACTTATAGAAACGCAGCAGTTTGCCAGAGCAGAGATTCAATATACGCCATCTAATGGGCTTTCAGATCTGCGCAGAAATCGAGATATCGACTTCTTGTCGGCCTCAGGAGAAGGAGAAAAACTTACGACTATACTTGGTCAATATCAACTCACGCCGAGAGATAAGGTTATATTAGGCTATACCATTGCACAAGCCTACTACCAATTTTACGACTCAGAGCTATTGCGCTCAAAATGGACCAGTGACAACATCTGGCTCATGCCACTGGTTAATAAAAGAGATGTACTTCCATTACGACCTTATTTAACTTTTCCATTTGGCACGGCAAGCAATCCCAATGAGGACATTATCCAAGACGAGCGCTCCCTTCATCGTCATCCGCGGATACTTGCCATAGGATTGCTGTTACTTGAGATTGGTCTATCCAAACGCTTTCCAGAACATCCTTCGTTAACTCGAACTGCGCAGATTAACTTCTCTTTTCAAATTGCAAAAAGTTATCTGCAAGAGTTTAAAGCCGTATCATGGGAAAACTTTCAGCACAAGTTGATATATGACAACGTGATCGAATATTGTATTTACGACATGAAGGGAAGCGAGAACTCTAACAGACTAATTCAAGGCGGTGGCGCCTGGGGAAAGTCCTTAAAGATAGGACCAGACACGAATGGAAAGCAGAGGCGAAAAAATGCTTTTTACAAGAAAGTTGTTGTTCCGCTCCAATGGCTTGCCGAAAGGGGATTCGAGCATCATGTGGGAAAGACGATTTACATTCAGAAAACTGCCACCCAGCTGCCCAATTCGAATCTTACCAATACATTGGGCCGACTCATGGCGTCTTTCGATAATGAGAGAAACATGAGTTCCAGCATGTGGCTACGAGATATGGAGACAATCGGACAGATGGTTGAGCTCCAAAGACGCAACTTCAGGGTTTCAACGCGTATTCGTATTGCAATACTTGATACAGGTTTCGATCATGAAGATGATAACTACGATGAATATGAAGAACGCATTAAAAAAACAAAGGATTTTACCAAATCTGCAGCTCAGTCAGAGGTTGAAGACGTATTTGGCCATGGAACACTTATGGCTAAACTGATTATGGATTGCGCCCCTTCCGCAGATATCATTATAGCACGTGTAGCAAAAAGTACAACAGAGCTCGAGGCAAGCAAGAACAATATTTGCGAGGTACCTCCCCAGCTACCAACTTGCATTTATTATCTAGATTGACTAAATTCTTTTTTATTATAGGCCATTGAGTGGGCAGGTATTGCCTGCAAAGCTGACATTATATCTATGGCCTTTGGGTTTCCACGAGATGACAAAGGCATAGCTATGGCCATTGAGAAAGTTCACTCAATGCGGCGTGGAAATATCATCTTCTTGTCTAGCGCTGGTAACTCACCACATGAAGACGAAAATTTCCCTGCCCGTCATCGTTTAGTTATTCCAGTCTATGCAACAAACCGCTATGGCTCATTTCTTGAGATCAACCCCAGACTTCGCGATGATTCACGTACCGTTCTGGGCTTGTACGGGGCTGATTTGCCTAATAATTTATACACTGGCCTCAATAAGAAGTTCTCGAAAGTGTGTCAACCCGGGTCTTCGATAGCCACGGCAATAGGAACAAGCGTCGGTGCCATCATATTGGCTTACGCTACTGTACTGCCTCACTTGGCAAGTGATGAATTAGCAGCTGAATCTTCCTTTTCTATCTTGAAATTACTATGGACGGGTGAAGGGATGGGCGCCATGTTCAAAGAGATGGCTAGGAATAAACAAGGCCGCCAGTGGTTTGTTGATCTAATTGCATTTTGGAGGGACACTAAGAATACCAATGCTGCGAAAAATAGCACCGCGAGCGATATTAACAGATTCCATCGAATTCATGGGTCTCTACAGCCCGTTCAGCGCGCATCAGGCCGAACATAGATTCATTAGCAGTCTACCCACATATCAACTTTAATACTGATAATAATCTCCTTGCTCGCGGCTCGAACTCGTGGACATAGTTTTGGCATCAAAAGTTTCTCACTAGAACACATTACTTAAAAGCACATGCCTACAGAAATGCAATAAGCCACTTACTTGAACTCGTCCGCTATCCTATCACCTACCAACTCTTACTCCCAAACTAAAGCGCAGCGTAGCTGCTTATCTATTTTTTTCTAGGTGCTCTATTGTTAAGAATATTAATTCTCATGTTTGGAAGATAATAATCGAGCCGGCTTATATCACTGCCTGCTACAGTCTGACCTAAAAGGCACTCTATATTAACTCCAGACTTATCACAGCCCGCTGCTATACGTCTACTTTGATAAATCCTGCTACTTACCTCTAGGTACATCAGGTAGCTAGGTAGATATGCACCACACATTAGACTGCATCTACTTCAAGTATATATCCTCTCTTTGACACGACGTCGAACCGGCAGCCATTACCCAAGTCCCTGGGATACCTAACCAATGAGCTATGCATCATTAGCACATATGCATGCACTTATCTAATCCAAATAGCACGCGTACCCGCTCTCGCTACTGTGAAAAAATTGAGTTTCATCCATGTTACATTAAGTGCCTGTTCCCAAGCCCGAGCCGTAATTAATACCCAACCACAGCATATGCACAAAGGTCTGGAAGAGTCATCTAGCAAGATCAAAATGACTCAACAAACTTGGTTTCTTCCGCCAGACTTCACTTTTCTGCCCGAAGGCGAGTTGTCTGTCTCTTGGTACCATTATCAAAAACCCGAAGCGCCCGACCCTATGTCTCGCCGCAGTTGGTCTCAGTTCCCCGCTCATGGATATCCCGCTCCCAGACATCCAGAGCCTGATGGAAAAAGGCCATCGCCATTCTCGAACGAACAATGCGTCTATCTGCTCAAAAGTGTTCGACCGATTCATCGAACTGGCATCTAATTCTACAAGTGTGATTTGGTCTCGCTACAAAAGCACCACGTTTGGCAGCGTGGACCTAGAAACACGGACTTATAGCAAGGCTATCTCTTCGGAGGCCCTCAATGCAATCGTCGGGCTGGAGCGGGTAAAAAAGTACATGAACCGAGGAATACTGGGAAAGCGGCCGATATACATTATCACAGGATTGCGCATAGCTCGGGAATCTTTTTCTGTGGCATATGAAGCTCGTTCGAGAATTGAGACGTCATTCGCAGTCTTAGGATCCGCAGCCACAGGGCCTTTGCCATTGAATATTGGAGCAAGTATTTCGGAGAAAAATGATAAGAGCCGAAAAGACGAGTATCAGATAGCCGCTAGCGTGGTGTTCGCATATAGGCTGCATGTGATTCGAGAAAGACGGAGCGGCGATGTTGAAACAGAGTTATTTAGGCATCGAACGGCATTCATGACAGGCGAAAGAGATGACGAAGGCAAATCCATCAAGGAGATGGTAGTAGAGGAAGTGAATACAGAGGTGTTACGTGAAGATCTGGGTATCGAGCCGGACTTTGAAGAATTTGCTGTTGCGGAGGAGGCGCAAGATGAATTGTGTATTTTGTTTCAGAAGAGTGACTCAAAAGCCTGACAAGAATGCGAAAATTTCGGGACGGGCACTTTGAACAAACAAATGAATGGATAAATGAATCAATTATTGCTTAGTGTTCTTATCTTGTCTGCCCCCTCTCCATCAGAGATGAGGAGGTGAAGTGGAATGGTAAAATTCTCCAAGCGTCGCTAACCTGCAAAATAGAGCTCCCCTTCAGTAACAATTTGCTACTCTAAACCCCAAATTAGTATTCGTTGTATCTCTTTTTATCGTTCACTTTGTTCATCTTTATTTGTGATTTGTCTATATAACATTCCGCAAAGATTTGTACGAAGTGCTCAGACATCATTCACACAATAACGCAACTATCCTCACTCGCAACAACCATTTCGCCATATAGAGATGTGAAGCTTATCCACACTCATTACGACAACTCTCACAGTGTAAGTACATGTCATTATTTTAGGAGAACGTACGAGATACTCATGTAACCACGCTGAAATTCTCGGGGAATCTCCCAGTGTATATGTACATAGAGTTACATGCATATAAGAAAGGCGACCAAACGCAGCCTATTATTGGATTGATATGGTTCATGCATCTGCGCATGAGCTCTCTAGTTTCCTCAGGCATGAATAACAATAAATACGTGGCTCTAATATATAGATCATAAGAATAGTCGTCACCTGGAACATTGTCGTATTGTCTTGAATCGTCATACCTGACGCCTCAGTCGCTGTTATTGCATTTCGGCTCGCGACAAATGAGAAATCAGTGATGGGTATACAAACCTGTGCCTATCTAGCTGCATGCCCTGCTTTGGGAATATAATGCCATTTCTGGATACAGTCACCTCGTTAATGTCTGCCAGAAAGTTTCGGATATACCCATACATGTACTCTGCATATACCTGCGGATGCGGCTCAGACAAATTCAAGTTCAACAGGCGGCATATCGATAATGCAATAAGGCATTGATCATATGCACTTGGTAACATTTGGTCATTTACTTTTGCTACCAATGCGCTGTGTTTTACCTGCAGGATTTCGGTGAGAGAACATAGCACGTGGGCCCAAATTTACTCTCAGCCGCACGTAATGAGGACGTAAATATATGTGTTGTCCATTAACTAAGCTTGTGGACGAAATCACGCTGGTCTTGCCACCCAATACCCTTCTAATTACTCACTGTCTGGTTAAAATTGTAGCAGATGAGACTCCCAGTGTTGCTTCGTTTAGTTGAGCAATTCTGTACTGTATGGCATCGTCATCTGACTAGCACAATCCTGGCAATTCTTGAGATCAATAATGGCACAATTACCGTTTCATAGCCGTAGCCATTTCGGTAGATGTCTCTGGCAACGACATGTTCCAATTACAACAACGTTTATAGCTCAACCAAGGACGCAAATCCTCATCCTTGCTGGTGCATCAGGCCAAGGGAACATCTGTACTGCCTTAATGGGTATAACTGTCAGAACTTAAATAGTGGGCTAGTCATTCGTGTTTCCAGAATAGCTGTTTCCAGCTCTCCGTTCTCATGACTAGTTCCTCCGAAGAGTGTCCACTTGGCGTACGGAGTCGCCGGCCGAGTGGCCCCTCTGGTACTCGTACGAGTTGTTTACATTGTAAACACCCTTATGGATCCAGATAGGTCTAATCTTATCATATCACGCATACGGCAAGCCATGTAGACAGAAAAGAATTCATCGTCCGCTAAGTCATGAAGCCGATTATATACAGAATAAGCATATGGAGCTATAAACATTATTCCGCTCAAGTCAGAAGCGCATATACAAATCCTCCAACAAATATACAACGAAAAACCTCTCCGTCAAGCACACCCCTTCATAACAACTCATCCCTCGATTGATGAATCGCTTACTGGCGGGTCCAGAAAGCAACATCAGACCAAGTGATGCTCATGGGACCAACGCCGCTGTCAGTGGTGTAAGCACCAAACTTGTCATAGAAGCTTCCGCCAGGAGCATTGTCGTCACGGAAAGCCAATTGGCCGTTGACATAGACGCGGTAGCTGTGGATGTCGGCGTTGTGGACAGTGTTGATGGTGACGCTCGAGCCGACGTTGGCAACGCCGGTAGCCAGAGTAGCACCGCCCTCGACGCTGTACAGGCGGCCGCCAGTGTCGACGGCCAGGATGAAGTAGGGGCCGGTGTCTCCGTTAAAGGTTTGCTTGATGGCGATACGGCTGCCGCCCAGGGAGTTGATCTTGAAGGTGCCGGCGAACTGGTGGACGCCGGTGGTGTAGTCGTCGTTGTAGCGACGCTCGGCGCGGAGGTGGCCGTTGGAGCAGCCGGAGCCGCTGGTGCTTCCGTTGGGGTTCGCGGGGATGGAAAAGGTGCTGCCGCTGACGCTGCCTCCGGCACAGGTCTGGGTCGAGAAGCCTGGGCTGGCGGGAACCCAGTTGCCGCTCTCGAGGGGAGTGGCAGCAAAGACGGCGGTGGCAGCCGAGAGAGTGGCGAGGACGGACTTGACGAGCATCTTGACGGTGGTATGGAGTTAATGGGTGAAAGGCTTTGTCAATTGATCAAGACCTGAAGTTGCCTGTGAGAGAGAGCAGGAAGCAAGACATGATCAGCTGTCGATCCGGGCCGTCTTATATACAAGTTGTTTGCATCAATGGGTCGACGTCAGTCAGTGTGCCCATAATACTAGCTGTATGTACGAGTACGTACGCAAGACAGCAGCATGGATGTCATGATCAATCCCATTCCATCAAACCAGCGGAGCTGATGGAATATTCCACCTATTACAACGGCGAGGCTTCTAGTACCGTCGTTTGAGCATGACCAGTTGGGAAGGTCTTTAAGCTGAGCCCCTGACGAGGCTAGCGTCGTTTGGCTTGGTATAGTGCCGTCAAGCCGTCTGTTTTCGCACAGCCTTGGAGAAATGTCGCTGTCTATTCGATAGTGCTTCTTTGGGACACGAGTAGCTTGGCAGGGCGGAGCCTTGGTGATTGGTGGAAGAAACAGCAAAGACTATACACATATTACTTACCTGCTCTATAGGGAGGAGGCACGTCGACCATTATTGCCCATTTGTAAACGCCGGTGAGAACCTAAAAGTTATGGCGTTGCGGTGGGACTACGGAGGAGTTGCAGCTATTTTTGACGAGTTTTGGGTCTCTTAACGGCCCCGCCAACATGGACTGCGAAGGAAATTACCAAGTAGGGAGAAGCTCAAGCTCACCTGCGTATCAAAATAGAGTATGGAGCACGGAAGTATGGAGTGTGTTATGTGTTGTGTGTTGTGTGTGTAATTGTATGTAAGACCAGCTAATGCCCGCCTAATCCCGGTAGTGAGCGTGAATTACAAAGCTATTGGCTGTGGAAATATGCAAAGTCGTTTTCGGAGTTGACGGTGCGATACTCGTATAATACGAGACAGAAGGATTGGTGCATCCGTCAGCCCTTTCTCGGATTGAGTTGCCGGTTTGAATAACCGTCCTGAGCCATTTTCAACTGTCCTATTGCACGACTTTGCCGATTGCAATTATGCCGGACTTTTTCGCCGTGTCGGTCAATGGCAGTAGAGCTCGTACGAGGCCATCGGTAAATTTACCTTGAATAGTTTACAAGTTAGGCAATGGGTGCGCTGGCTGCGCGTGGCTGCATTCAATCGCTCGGCTGACTACATGTACACAGCGTGTAATACACAGCAATGATGATGTGGCAGTGAATGCCATAAATGGCAGAGATTTACGTGATGATTCGTCATGCATTAAGATTCAGACATCAAAAGATCAATTCAGGTCATAAAAGCTTTCCATCTATGAGTAACAGTCTCGTATCATTGAGAAGCAAAGGACATACATAGGCAGCGCCTTGAATCTGCGTCAAACACCCAATCCGGCAACTCAAAGCGCATCTCCTTGTTCACATCCTACGTTAAACCGCTTCCTGCCTAAAATCCCTATTGTACAACGTCTGTGAATAAAATCCACCAGTCAGAAATGCTTATACCATCATGTTCTCATCCAGCACAGTCATTCGGGCAAAGCAAAGACAAACAGCTCCTTTACAGATCAATCCGTCATCTCAGTCTCCAACCCATAAAGGCAAAAATTTGCACAACTTCATCGCCTGTTGCGGTCTTTGGTTTCTCCGAGAGTCTGGAACAAGGAGCTTATTTGCTCCTGGTAAGCGGCTCTCATCCGGTCCATTTTGTCCTTCATGCGCTCCAACTCATCTTCCAATTCTCGATTCCTCTTTCTCAAGTTCTCTTCCCTCCACGATGGTGGCGTCATGAGGGCAATGTCTTGAACCGGCCGCTTCGTAGGGGTGACGAACTGAGTAGGTCGGGCATATGTAGAGTCGGTAGCTGGCGGACTGATAGGAGTAAACAAGCTCCGGGTCCAAATTTCGGGAGTCGACGGCGGTACCGCTATTCCAGCTGGCTTCTGCTTCTCAGGAGTCTGGATCTTCGTGTTCTCCTGGTCTCTAGCACTGGAGCTGCCCAGAGATCTCTTCCAATTTCCATACTCTACCGCTTTGCAATGCGCAACTGACTTGGTATGCTTCGTGTGGTTTCCCTTGTTGAAGAAAGAGTGCTGGAACTTCGGACACTCCGGCTCGTCGCACTCAAGACTTATTTGAGCAAACCCGAGCCGGATCTCGGAGGTTGGAGACGTTGGATCGGTTGGTGGGCGTGGGTGAAGATGCTGTTCCGTCGCAATATGCCTATGGAAGCTTTGGCTGGTCTTCAGCTTCTCTCCGTATTTTGGACAGCCCTCGACAGTGCACCGGAATTCTCTAGCAGCTTCTTGCTCAGCCATGATATCAGCGATCGACTTTCCAGATTCTCGAAGAAACTCGGTGGCGTTGACATGGTTGTGCGACTCTTGATGTCGAGTAAATTCGCTTTCAGTGTAGAACACTCGCTGGTACCGGCGACAGGATGGCTCTGTGCACCTTTCACCCTCTTCTTCCGACAAACACTCCTCCGTTGTTTCTCCCTCCATTAGATTGGCAACTTCAGCATAGTTAATCTTCTTCACGGAAACTGGGCTGCTGAGAGGCTCTTCGGGGAATAAATGCTCATGACCTGGAGTGTTTAGGGCGTGGATCACAAACTCGGATTGACTGGCAAACAAGGTGCCTTTCAAATCGCATTTGTCCTCGAGGCAGATCCAATTAAAGTGCCCGCTGGCCTTGAAGTGCCTCTTCAAAGCCGGTCTCGCAGCAAAAGTTGAGTCGCACTCGGAACAGAAGTATGGAGGGTTGTGCCAGTCATCCTCGTGGATGCGGCATTCCTCTACCGTTTCAAACGTGAAGCCATCGCAGCTCGAATGCGGGCAAGCAAATGGTTGATCTCCTTCTCCTTCCAAGGCGGGCTTATCTATTATATAGCCTGTCGGCGGAATCTCCACGCAAAGGTCTATTGGTTCGTTGTTGAGGATCTCCATGGGTATCGACAGGGAGCGACGAAAGACTCGAGATGGATGAGAGCCGGAGAGTTGCGTTGGTGCCAAAAGCAATCGGGTAGCTGCTTGAAGTGGCAGTGGTTGGAGTAAAAGATGCGCATCATATTGGCTGTCTCTTGAAGTTATTCTTGTGGTTGTTGAAGTGAAGAGAGAGCGGAGTGCAGAGGTGAGTTAAAGGTGAAGTGAGGATGGGGTGAATCTCGCAGCCTTGGTGGCTAATATTTCAGGCTCACATTTTCTTCGCCCTTTGACACTGAATGTATGTGCATGTGGCCTGTGCTGTAATCAATACGCCAACTTTATGCATTTTCTCTCGCAACTCGTAATTTATGACAATTGATCAATGCCGTAACTGAATAGATGTGACAGGTTGTGTTCAGTCGCAAGCTATACAGCACATGCGAATTCTTTGTGCCAGGTGTTCGTTTTCACAACTACCCGGTACCCATAATGAGCTCACAAACTTGAATACGAACCTAGAATTCACATATTGAGACTTCATAGACTCGTCTATCCCAATGCCTGTCCCGTTTGCTTGGCCAAGCTGCCCACAAACTCTGACGAATACAGACTATCCAAAAACTCCAGAATCCCATCCACTTTTTCCCCATCCTCACTTATGGTAATCATGAAAATGTACTCGTTATTATACGCCCCAATATCCGACTCCCCCGTGCTCTTCAAGTGCATCGTGACCCTCCTCGCCTCAACATCCACAATCCACGGCGATGTGTCCACAGCGTGTAGGCGAAAGTTGCGGATGACGGGAATGGTGCGCTCGAGAAACTCTCCGAATTCAGCCCTGGTTCTGGCTGGTCGATTTCCAGGAAGAACGCGGTGCGTGCATGAGGGGCTTTGCATAGAGAGGATGTCTGAGACGGTCCATTGGTTGTAGGCCGCGATGAAGTCGTTTGCCGTGTTGATGAGCTGAGATCGACTAGGAGCCATTTTGGCGAATTGGGTGTCTCAGAGCGCTGCTGTTATTCGATGCAAATCGTTATTGTAATGTGTAATGATTCCATGGTGAAGCAATGCGATTCCAGCATCGTTTTATAGTCTCTCTCAACTCTGCCCATCATCAAAGCACAACAAGCATCTCCAGTCCTGGAAGCATCGCCAGCTTACAAACGCTGCCTCTGCTTCTTCCACTCCATTTCCACCTCTCTCCCCCATCCGTCAACTGTACTACCGCCTTTCGGTCGTCTCTTCACACATTATTGGCTGCAATTGCCGTCTTATCCCCACCAAAACCGTCCGCTGCCCGCCTCATTTCCACCGTTAGCTCCGCTAGTTTGCCGCAGTCATCTTAAGCCCGGGTTGCATCTCCGTCTCTTCCAAGTCACCAACTCGCATCAACAGCTGTTTCTTCTATTGCTGGCTTCCTTATACGTCATGGTCGCTCAAAAGAGACAAAAGTCATGCGCTTCCTGTATTGCTGCGAAGCGGAAGTGTGACAAAGCTCGGCCATTCTGTCGACGCTGTGAGGACAAGGGCTTGGACTGCCGGTATGCCGTCTTGATCCGACGCGCTGTTGCCAAATCAAGCCCATCGGATGAACCAAGTGAGATTCCAGGCAAGTAGTTTAAATTCATGTTTTATTATAAACCAGTCTTGAGATTTTTAGTGGTCTGTTGTCTAACATCAAGTTCTCAAACGTGATTGTTTTATCCAGGCCATGTTTACTTCTTCAACACCCATGTCTCAAGTCTATCCGCCTCTGCCTCTTCAAAGCTATGGTTCATGACCCCTGAGACGTGGAACATTGAAAAGGCCAACCCCAGAGCTCCCCAAATACCAATACCCGTTTTCAGAACCTTTGTCCAGCGGCTCCAGGACTGGCTCGTTCAATGGATCCATGACGGCCAATGCCCTTTTATACACCGCCAACTCTACGCCGATGGCTTCTTCCCATCTTGTATGCAGGACGCATTCTCGTCCATCAGCATCCAGCAATCATGTAATAGCAGCAACCAAGACTTGACTGCTCGCATTATCCAGGACCGAGCAAACTCGCTCATCAAGAACAACTGGATCGAAGTGGGGAGCAGCAATCTCATGTCAATGGCTGTGCCTGTACTCGACACTTCTCAGCATCTAGCTCGCGTCCAGGCATTACTCATATATCAAATCCTCCGCCTCTTCGACAAGGGCGTATGGCAGCAGACTCGCGCCGAAGAGTCCATGCCAACGTTGCTCTCATGGTGTCAGCAGATGTGGGATTCGGCAACTTTGGATAGCATCACAACCTCTCAAGCCACACCCGACTTTATTGTGAATGAAAACAGCCAACAGAACGACTCCAATAGCAATAATTTCACACCCCGACTCTGGAGACTATGGATTCTGTCCGAGAGCATCCGCCGGACGTGGCTCGTCGTCATGGCCACCATCTCGGCCTACCGCACAATGAAGGACGGCTGGTGTGGATGTGCTGGCGGCATTCCCTTTACCGCGCGTCGATCCCTGTGGCTCGCATCGACTTCGTCCCAGTGGGCGACCATCTGCTGGACCGAAGACCCCTTGTTTCTGCCATACTTGGGCAGCCGTGCAACGCTGGAATCGTGTGATCCAAACGAAATGGACGATTTTGGATTCAGCTTCTTTTCACTGGTCTGGGGACCGGAGTGGGTGGAGTGCTGGAGGGAGGGCCATGGAGTGAGGCCATTGGCTGCCTGACACGTCCGTCTCTACATGAGCAACTCGGTATAAACAGTGCCCAGATAAGATAGACACTCGTGATTTCATGCTTTATACCTCATGATGAAATATTCAGCAGTCTTCTACACTGCTTACTGGCTCTTCAGCGTCGTTTCCTGGCATCCTACAAGCAGCGTAGACGTCATTCGCTGCAAACACCGGTATACAGGTACGGGTACCGAAAATATTGAGCCAATAAGCGCTGCATAGCCTCATCCTTTAATATATTTCTTAGGCAGGGAATCGAGCCTTGTCATTTGTCTGTAGGGCACGATTTGGTCACTGATCGTACCTAACATCAGGCAGCCGCGTTAAATCCCATTTCACACCTCAATCCCTCTTACATCCAACACCGCGCCACCATACTATACACTCGATATTGATTAATCACGGGCTCAAACATGTCTCAAGCTACCTCTTTCACATATGAAAACTCGACACCTGTGGAAAAGAAGAGAAACTGGAGGGCGATGATCCTCTCGTCCATGATTGGTGGAGTGGCCGTAATCTTGTCTTTCTTCGCCATCTCGGCTCTCACGCCACCAGGGGAAGTCTGCTTCATAGTCGTCACAACAGTCTGGGGAATCTTCACGAGGATAGCTGGAAACATCCTCGGCTCAGAAAGAATGACTTACATCCTTCGCCAAGACCTAATCCAACAGTCCTACCGAAAAACCATCGACAAGTACATTGGGTCCGCGCTGGAGAATGCCGTCACCAGCATCCGTAAACAGGAGCCCTCGAAGTTTCAGAAAACAAGGTTTTATTTCGATGTGGACCACAAGCTTCGCTTCACTATTCTTGAAAAGCGTCGCTTGTTCTTTGACCTCTCTTATAAAGTCACCACTCCGTCTGCGACATCACATCGACCATTGCACCAGGGCGTCTCGGCACCCGACTTGCCTAATTACGAGCCCCAAAGCACTCGGACGGTAATAACTGAGGCAAAGAGCCTTATTGAGGGTATTCGTCATGGTGCTCAAGAAGGCGCGCTCCTTGGCCTTGCCAGCGGAGCCTTAGCCATTCTGTTATGTCTTGTGTTTGGAAAGTTTGGCATCTTCCTAGGCATAATAGGCGCCACGATTCTCCTAGCACAGAGAAATCATTCCGCGATCCCGTTAGCGACACCAGACAAAACCGCACTCACTGAGGAATTTGGCAGAGAAGCATTGCAGCAAGTGATGCGCTTGATGCGCTGTGCTCATGATAATACTGTTGGATTGGAGCTCGGCATGCAGGTCTGGTCTACAGCAGTCGAAACTGAGGATGCGCACCCGAAAATTGGAGCGTCCTCGATTATTTTACATTTTGACAAGTCCGTTCCGCTGATGATCAAAGAGGGAGAACAAGATGGGAGATCTCTCACACAGATTGATAAGGATGGGAGCAGGAGCAAAAATGAAAAGGGGCAGCGATCAAAGAATCATTCTACAAGAATATCCTTATGAGCTATAACTCCACTATCCTACATTAGTTAAATGGTCTATAGCAGCGACTGAAGTCAGCGTCTGGCACTATCCATATGAAGACTCTTTCTACACATATCCGTCTTATATAACCCGCACCGCGCAGGCGTTGGCTTACTACCTATATGATTCAACAAGGCCTCTCAATTTAGCAAGATTTCAAGATTTATCTAGATCCGAATATACTACTAGCAATGCCTGAGTAAGTACCACAGCAGCTCATAAGCTCTTCAGACCCATTGATCAGCTGTATCGGGAGCTTTTTTGGTCAATACAACAGATGTCGTGAGGCATGCATCGCAGTTATTCAACATTGTTGATTGACGGTCAATTTTGCTAGATTATGGATATATACCTATCTCATTTACTAGCCGCAGCTGACAACTACCAATAATAATGTGTGCTATTTCCCGCCTATCCATGTCGGACTGGGTTGTTCTTACCTCAGTCTTCATTTTCTTGGATTCGTTGATGAAATTTGGAGCGCGACCTTGATGACCCTGGCTCGATTGGCAGGGGTATCAGTGATGGATCTGTCCCATATTATTAGGCCTACCGGCGTTGCAGAGGCCTCTGAGGCTTGATATGAAATATTCTTACTTGCCGGCGAGCTTGCCTGGATCAGTAGCCATTCTATTCTCTTATACCTTTCCGTTCTCTGTATTTGGCCATCAACTAGCCTCATAACGAAACCTAGTAGCCTACTCGGGTACCATTTTCGATTACTACTGTAGCGTAACTTCACGTTTAATTACACACTTCATATCTTACACTAGAAGCCGAATTCATGTGTCTGGGTTTCGTTATAATGGAAATTTTCTTTGCACGGACCAGTTTTGCGGTATATTATGTCAACCTCGGCTGAATGTCAAAGGTTTTCCGTGAGCGAAAGGCTTCATATTGAAAGAGACCATTGCCATCAACCATTGCCATCCACCCATTGCACCAAACGTTGGCAGGTACTGTGTCCAATATGTCGCAAAATAAACAGATCCAGGCATCTTCCGGATGCTAGAGAACGAAATTGCCAGCAATTCCAGGCGAGAAGCGCAGTAAAGAAGCCCAGTCACGTACAAAATAGGTACCCTGATTGACTCCGTGGGGCAGCAGCGGCTGTCTGGGCCATGCGTTGATCCGAGCTGTATCATCGATTTTCTTCGCCTGTTGGCCATTCGCAGCATGGACAAGACGGTGGAAGTTTTGAGCAAATTGTTTGTCGTAGTGCAGCTCAAATAGTTCCGATCGTGACCCTTCAAAACGGCCCTTCAAGTCCAGAAATTCTCAAAAGTCTAGTATGAGTTCCTTACATCCCATCTTACTTGCCAGCAAAATGTCTGAATATTTTTTGGATCTGCCATTAGCAATGGCATCCTCTAATTCTTTGATCACATTCCTAGTCTGGGGCATATTAGAAGCTGACTTTCTTCTGGTCTATTTTCATGTGTTTGCCCTCTCGCTCGCAGAAGATTAGCTTGATAGCCTTTTATTCTCCCTTGTTGAACTTGCTAACTGCACAGTAGCTTTTCAGTATTACATTTTCGTAATCGCCACTGCCAAAGAAGGGCATTTTTTCTCGACGCCGCTCTCGTTAGGATAAAGCCACCATCAACTTGGTTCCGCCGTTTAGTGAAGGGCTGATCACACGATATCGCGAGCGCCCTAATAAGTAAGGACCGCGATATCTCCGAGTCTTTTACTTTGTTCTCCTCTCTATATCTTATTTTCTAAAGTATCTAACATTGAGTTCAAGCTCCTCTGTCTAGTTTCCATTCCTGGACGCTCTGGAACTAGAAGAATGTTGTCTCTATCAATGCGGCGAATTGAGATGGGAAGGCCTTATAAGGCTCCACATCACCCTCCACGACCACCTTCTCGAGTGTCGTCTTTGGGTAGCCTTGGACGTCCCAAATATCGTTGCCCACAAGCTCCAAGTGTTTGCCGGTCGCCCAGGCCAGGCGGTATCCAAGGGGTATCGCAGAAATATCCCCCTTTTGCAGACGAGCCTCAATTTCCTTACTGACCTGCTCGACGCTCGGCCGGAAGATCTGAGGAGGCGTCCCATGTTTACGTTCCAGTGCTGCAGTGACTTCAGACCCAGTAACGATGAACTCCGAAAGTCCAATGCTCCGATTCTGAAGCTGAGAGATTGGGGTTTTGGCAAAGATTGCGGCGTAAGCTGCGGCTACATACTGCCTCGAGCTGAAGACTGTTAGAAACAGACTCCCGTGAAAGTCTGAGATGACGAATGACTTACCAGACGTTTAATTTCTGGTGCTCGCTGTCGCCGGTATAGACAATTCGATTGCCGCCAACATCAATCCCAACAAGGCTGTGGGAAACCAAGATTAGCCTTGAAGTTGACTGCATCTTGTAAGGATACATACAGGGAGGCAAATGTCGATTCAGCAAAGTTACCCGGCAGAACCACAGTGGTAGGTATGCCCGCGTTTTTGGAAACCTTTTCCACTTCGGCTTTGGCCTTTAGTACAGGAATGGTCGCTCTCTCCTCATCAACGCGAGAGCCAAGGTCAGATGGCACAAAGAGTTTGACATTTGTGTTCGGAATGACTCGTATAAAGTTGTATTGCTTTACGACACCTTCGTGGCCTACCAAGGAGCTGGAGTCTGTGTCAAACGGCGAATACCCAATGTAACATCTATGATATAAACTCACATTAGGATGTCGACATCTTTCAGTGCGTCAGTGAGGGCTTTCTCGTTATCTATATCGACCGCGACCTTGGGCACGTCATTTGGAAGACGGCTAACATCCGAGTCAGGGCGGTAGAGTACTTTCACTGGTGCGCCGGACGCGATGAGTGCGTCCACGATAGCTGAGCTCGCCCAACCGCGATGTCCGTAGACTGCAATTCTATTAAATGATGTCATAATTGAACTAGTAGGTGGGCTTGGGTTGGATTTGAGTGTCCAGGGGAGCAAATGTGACAACAGAAGTGATTGTGAGTCAGTAATTATGTGATTTTCTGCCTGGATGAAGCTTATGATACTTGTATGTATGCACGTAGCCTGGGGAGAGGGATAAAATCTTTCGAAAGGTAGGCCCTTTCCCTGGAACATATATAAGTCTCCAATCCAAATTCGGATTCGCACGAGATCTGTATATAAGCAAGATATCACAGCATCTTAAAGCCCTTGTGCAATTACCGATTTTAATGCGAGATTTGGAATCATACATTTCCTCATAGCCCCAACGCAAAGCCGTAGGCAGAAGGATTCAGGCAGAAGGATTTAGGGAGAAGGGTTTATCGGCGTTAGGGAATTCAACATTGCTAAATCCTTCTCGCTGTCCTTAGTCCTAGTTTGTAAACGCAGTCCGACCAATAAGAAGGATTTAGTAGAGTTGACGAGAATTATGATGTGACAATAAATCGCAGAGCAATCAGCCAACAAATCTGTCATGGTTCGAGCACCGAATGGTTCAGTCAGGACCTTTATCCAATTGTTCCCTCCATATTTGTCCTTATAAGCGATCTAAAGGGCTAGGTAGATAGGTGCCTTTCAGTTGTTCGGTATGTGATGCGCTTGATTATTCCTAATGGATAAACTAGTACAGGGTAGGTTTATGTTAGCAGGAGAGTTAGGGTGAAGCTAGGCAGTGATGGTCCCCTGTATTATCTCGTAGCTTTAAGTAAGCAGAACTGAAGCCAGAAGGGGAATCCAGCAAAAAACGGACTAGAACTATCATAGATGTAGTCAGAGATTCAGCTTTAAGCAACCCGGACGCTTATTTCGGATCTATTGCATCCCGAAAACTTATATTTAGAAAGACAATTGATTAAATAGACTTTCTCTGTAGTACAGTGATCCCAGACACTTATTCCGGTTACATAATTCTACCTACAGTACCTATCTTACACAGATACAGCAAACTCATATTCAAGCAAATAGGTGCTGTACAGCATGTACTCTTCACGTATACTTTACTCTTCCGAAACGCCCTATCATTCTCTTCTCTCCGATAAATTCTCGCAAAGAAAGCACACCCTAATAGTACTTATTAAAATGCCTCAGAAGCTTAGGCAGCAGAGGCAAACAAATCTTAGCATCGTGGGTTAAGTCTCCGAAGCGTTTGCAAGGACCAGCCGATGTCTATATCAACCATGTGGGGGAGGGCTGATCCAATCACAGCGATGCCGATATTCACTTTCGGCGTCCAAACAACATACCCCGTATCGATGCCGAGAAATCGTCAATGCGCCAGGTCCATGCATTTAGGCATAATAGCAAGATTTCGGACGAGCTCATTGACGCACCCACTTGAATAAGGCTAGCAGTTTCACCAGTGAGGGTCGTACACTACACGTGGTTCAATTCGTCGTTGCGGAGGACTGGAGAGGAGCTCTGGTAACGGCGATATCTAGGGACAATAGCGGGCGCGGGAGCTGTTCTATTTGCCTCTTTTAACATCAGATATCACTCAGAAAGACACTAATGGAGACTTTACAGTCAAGGGCACAAAGACTCAACTAAAATCCATCTCTAAAAAGATACCGATCAAGTAGACAATATCACAGTGCCTGCACTTACAGCCACGACTCACCCAACAAACTGTTCGCAGAATTGACACAACCATTGCTCGTTTAACAACCTCTTCGTAGAATTCGCAGGATATACTTACACAGCCCCTTAAGGCTTACAACTGCGGTAAAATCATCTAGATCTCATCCTCAACAATCTCATCAAAGATGGAATTCCATCTCTATATCGTATCTGAATATGAGCAATTCACAATTAAACAATGAGACTTGTCATCTCTGATCCACTCCTCCGCAATCTCAATCTCGCATAAACCTTCATCTCCAACCTACATCTCAGCTGAAAAAAACATAAGAAGCTAGTCTCATCTATACAGTAGACTCGCTTGACGACGACAACACTCCCAACCAACTCCGCTGATCCACAAACGCTCAAACCACCATACAGTCCCTCCCCAATCCCTCCCCGTCTAGAACGCACACAGACTCCGATTCACGCAATCCCCAAAGCAACCTACCGCTTCCCAAAATCCTCATCCTCATCTTTCCTATAAATCCCCCCTTCTCCCTCCCTCCATTCCAACATTCTTATTCCTCTTCCCATCCTCAACAACAATAACAAACAGTTAGCAATCTTTCAAGATGCAGTTGTCCGCTCTTCTCGCCCTCCTCCCCCTGGCCGCTGCCGCTGCCCTTCCTCAGTCCCGGGGATCCGTCGAGGCCCGCGCCGTGGAGGTTGAAACCCGCAGCAGCACCCAGGATGAGTACTATGCTGCGTATGGCAGTTGTTGCGACCCCACTAAGGGTAAGGGTCCTTATAACGAGGCAACAAACCTAATGATTGCGGCGTGTATTCCCGGCCGTGTTCGATGCACAAAGGCTTTGGACGAGGTAAGCTTTAATAGTCCCCTTTTTATCTCTACTTTTCTACAAGCTACTTATAAATCCCTTTTGCATGACTAACCCCATTATAGTGCCTGGTAAATGCAACTGAAAAGCGCTCTGTTGAGGAAGCCCCCCTCGAAGCCCGTTACGTTAAGGATGAGTGCGATCAACAGTTTGATAAGTGTTGCTTTATTCCACCATGGTATGTTGGTGAAATAAGAAATATGCTGGCGGTTCATTGCCCTTCGCAATGTTATGAATCTTTCGATCAGGTAAGCTATGATACACCTTTATCCCTATCGCCCAAAGGCTATTCGTATATCTCTTTAGCATGGCTAACCTTAATGCAGTGCAATGCAAAGCAAGCCGAGAAGCGCTCCGTTGAAAAGGCCGCCATCCAAGCCCGAGACAACGGCTCGGAAGCCACCACCGCCTGCTACGGTCGCTTAGCCGCGTGCAAGCGCAAGGGCACGCCCGTCGCCGAGTGCTACAGCACCCTCACCAGCTGCGTCCAGGACGTCTACCAGAAGTTCTTCGCGTAAAGAGCCATTTTCGGCGACGTCTTGTCCTGGCAACCCGTTGCGCCCTTCTAGGGGACGTTGAGTGTGTGTACGCACGCCCTCACGGGTGATCCAAGGAGTGGCCCATCTGACAGGACAACGACCATGATGTGATGCGCCTGATATATCTAGATATATCAGAGCAAAGGGAAGGCTTAGCAAGGGGAAGGCTTAGCAAGGGGAAGGCTGAGCAAAGGGGAGGATGAAAGTGGAGGCGTTTGAAAGGAATAGCATCACATCCATGAAAAGAGTCTACGACTTAGAAAAAAACCTAGCGAGACAATATATTTTGTGTCAACGGGATATCAATCATCTCTGCTCTCCTGTGACTTGACTTACATTGACAATATTATAATAGCAGTATCATGCAGCGAGACAGCAGCTTCTGTCTTAACAGGACATGGCTCATCTATGCTCTTCTATGACCTGACTTACATTGACAATGTTATAATAGCAGTATAGCCCATCAGAGTTCTTGTTCAAAGTCCAATATCACTCATCGCCCACCACTCACCATAAACCTCATCACCAAAAACAGACGCAAAGAAAACAAGCATTAAGCCAGACGGCCAAGTCCATCCATGCACGTATATAATATCCCCTCTAGGTACCAAGCTACTAGTAGTAATACATCAAAACATTTGCCCTAACCCACAATCCCATCACTAAACCTCCCCCCAACCTCTCTCCCGGTTGCTTTTTATAATCCTCCCCTCTAGCAAATCCCTTATTCGTGTAATAAGCTTTCATTTTCACTCCTCGCAAAACAAGCCTTGCAGCAGAAGTTTGTTTTGGGGGGGGTTCTGCGCCATGCACTCCAAAAAAGTTTCCCCTAGTTCCATCCAGTGCCAATCCTTGAAAGAAAAAACAGAAAAACAGAAAGAACAAGAAACGAAAAGCTAAAAAGTATTACTGATACAAACCGCGAGGTTGTTTGTTTCACAAATGCCACTCATTATATGCAGATTTGACCCTAAAAAGGGAAAAGGAATCCTTTGTCAAACCCGCTCCGGTTAGGTGTCAATCATGCCATCGGCAATGGCGAGACGTTGCTTAGCCGTCTTTGCCCGTTTGCCAATCCCTTTTCCTCTGCCCTTTTTGCCCTTTGGCTCGCTTTCGGCTGGGGTAGCAGTGCCAGATGCACCAGGCTTGCTTCCATCGTCAAAGTTGCCCTCGCCTATAAAAGTAGGATTAGATTAGTCTCTGAGCTCCACGCTTTCTTTTTTAGACGGAGTATGTGCCGGTCTGCTTACCTTCATGATACATGTCATCCAGGCTGGCAGGCGCATCTGTCCTCTTCCGCTTGCCGCCCTTCTTCTTCTGCTTCTCGTATTCTCCAGATTCAAGAAGTTCCTTCTCACGACGCTCAATCATCTCGGCTTGCTCGTCGTCAGCCAGCCACATGGCAATATCACGGTTGCGGTTCTCTGGAGCACGGCGGCCGGAGAAGTCGACGCTGGCGCCTCCACCCTGGATAACGACTCGCTGGACTTCTTCCTTCTGAAGAGCACGCTTACGAATACGCTCTTCGATGGTACCGCGAGTGATGAGTCGGTAGACGGTAACCTGCCTGGTCTGACCCAGTCTGTGTGCTCGGTCCATGGCCTGAGAATCAATGGTAGGATTCCAATCAGAGTCGTAGAAAATGACAGTGTCCGCAGACGTGAGGTTGATACCAAGACCACCCGCACGAGTAGACAACAGGAAGATGAAAATCTCTGGGCGGGTCTGGAAGTCGTGCACGGTATCACGACGATCTTCCAATTTAGTTGAACCATCCAGTCGGCAGTACTTGTAGTTGCGGAAAGTGAGGTACTCTTCCATCATGTCGATCATGCGAGTCATCTGGAAGTACAGCAACACACGATGACCTTCAGCCTTGAGCTTGAATAGAAGCTCGTCCAGCTTGGCCAACTTGCCGCTGTCGGTGACAAAGCGCTGCATGGAAGGAACCGCAATGTTGGTAAACCGCTTCTTCTCGTGGTCCGGCTTGGGGAAAATCTTGTTGATGGGGTACAGCTCCATCGGCACCTTCTTCTCGACCAGAGCACGCTCGTCGTATATCGTAGGTCCATAAAGCGTCTTGCGAATGTGGGTATTGAACATGACATTCTGGCGCTCGGCGACGGCGCTGGGATTGTTGCAGAACACCTGGACAGGCGGAGCCGACGCGCGCGGCCTTGCTGCCGGTTCCAGCCGGCCAAGGCCAGAATCTCGGTAGGCTACCTTGGCAACATTCATCAGGCTGCTAAGAATGCCCTCGTTGGTAATCTCTGCCAGAGGCTGCCAATTGCGACGCTCTCGAATTTTCAACAGGCAATGAGCAGGCGTAAAGTTCTCATCTTCCGCATCATATGCGATGCTCATGGGACCCAGTCTATCCCGCTTCTTAAGCTCTCCCACAGCACGGTCGAATAAATCGCTGTGTGTGGCCTTGTAGACGTCGCCAGCTGACGCATCAGCAAAGCGTAGCCACGAGAAGGCTTTGTCGTCGTCAGCACTGGCTTTGACATTCTCCGGCGTCCAGATGTTCATCATGTGGTTCAAAGCCTTGTTGCGCCAGCCGGCCGTCTGGTTATCATGCCCAGCCTTGTCAAGCCGGCCGCCTTCCGTCCAGACGAGAGCCGGTAGCTCGTAGTCTACCAAGCTCCTGCTGGAGTATCCCACGGAGACAGTGCTACCCTCCCTGACAAACGAGGCGGTCTCGGCAAAGTATCCAAAGGAATAGGGGGCGGTTACTTCTGCGCGTTCAAACAGGTCTGGGTGGTTGCAGACCTTTCTAAATTGCATGACCAAGTTCATCAAAGTACCCGAGTCCTGGTCGTCGCCCATGGTAGCCTTTTCAACGAGGTCCATAATGTTGATCTGGTTACGCAGGTTGCTGTAGTAGGCCCGCTGTCTGTAGGTGAGGTTACAGAAGACGTCCAGCTCAATCTTGTCGCCAAGTTCCTTTTGCACATGCTTCTTGACACGACGAAGCATAAACGGCTTCAGAATCATGTGAAGACGCTTCAGCTGGTCCTCGTTCAGTTTCGTGTTACTCTGAGCGTGAGATTCAATGTCCTTGGAGAACCATTCACTGAATTCGTCATGGGAGTCAAAGAGCGACGGCATGATGAAATGCAGTAAGGCCCACAGCTCCTGCATGTTGTTCTGGATAGGGGTACCAGTAAGCAACAGGCGGTTTCGGCAGTGGAAGCCGAGCAAGCACTTCCAACGAGAACTGGACGAGCTCTTGATGGCTTGGGCCTCGTCGAGAATCATGTACTGCCATCGCATTTTCTGGAAGTAGGCCACGTCGGACACGACAAGCTGGTATGAGGTGACACAGACGTGGAAGGGCGCATCCTTTCGGTAGGTGGTGTGTTTCCGGTCCCAGAACTTTCGCAGCACTTTTCGGTCCCCAGCGCTTCCCCAGTACGGGAGAATCTTGAACTCGGGAACAAACTTTGCAATTTCCTGCTGCCAGTTGTGCAGGGTAGAAGCGGGCGCCACCACCAAAAACGGACCCCAAATGTCGTGCTTTTCGGCCAGGTAGGCCATGACGGAGATGGACTGGACAGTCTTGCCGAGACCCATTTCGTCTGCCAGGATACCGTTGATGCCTTGTTCGTAAAGGTTGACGAGCCAGTTGAGACCCTTGAGCTGGTACTCTTTGAGCTGAGCATTGATGAGCTTGGGCTGCTCGATCTCGACGTCGCCGAGACCGGTTGGGTTTTGAAAGTTCATCTCGCCTTCGTCGTCCATGTCCAGGCCCTTGTTGTTGAAGTCGCGCGCCTTCTTCTGAGCTTCGGCAATGGCATTCTGAGCATTGGCCATGGCAGCCGCCTGCAGAACAGACTCGTCCTCATTATCAAAGTCGAGGTTTTCAAAGTCGGTAACCTTGGAGCCCAAGGGCCCGGTGGGCTCTTGTATGGACAGCTTGTTCTCGGAAATCCGCCGCGCATCGGGGGCAATGTCGGGGTTATCCGTGCTGCGCTCGACCTCATCCGTCTTGATCTTCTTGCCGATAAAGTGCGAGTACAGTTCGGTCTGAGAGATGAGAAAGTTGAGCTTCCTCTTCTGGCGAGCGGCTTCGCGGTCGGCTTCTTCCTTTCGAGCATTCTCAATCTCCTGCTTCTCGGCGGCCTTGCGCAGATCACGCTCTTCGCGCTCGTTGCGCTTCCAGAAGCCCATCATGTCACGCATGACACGCTTTGCACGGGCCTGCAGGTCCTTGGTGCCCTTGTTCGTGCGTAGCTGCCAGCGCTTGGCCTCTTTGGAAGCTAGAATGGCCGTCTTCTTGAGATTGGAACCTCTGGTAGCATAAGAGTCGACGGCGAGCTTGAACGTCTTGCTGACGTCTTTGCGGGCCATGTCACGCCAAATCTGATCGTAAATTTGGTTGTAGCCCTTGGAGATGAATTTCTTTTCGAGATCCGGCACGTCATCGACCTTTTCCTTGTCCTTGGTAGATTCGGCCTTTTCCTTGGTAGCCTTTTCTCCGTCGCCCTTGGACTTGCCCTTGATCTTGATGCGAACTCGGCCCTCTTCTTTGGGGGGCAGCTCTTCACCAGCATCCAGAGCGGCCTGGGCAGCCTCTGCAGAATCCTTCTCGGCTTGCTTCTGTTCCTTGGATTTTTTAGGCCGTGTTCCTCCGCGGCCCTTGCCCTTCTTAGGGGTCTCAGCATCGGATGCCAGGAAGCTGGACATGGTGCCACCTTCAAGGTTGAGCTCAACGTTGCGGGCAGGGCCCTTGATGCCCTTTTGTAGAATGAGTTTCGTTTGCTGGGCCTTCTTGTTGGCCCTCTCGGCATCACGCAAATGTTTCTGGCGCTCTTCCTCATCTTCAGCAGCTTCGGCTCTAGCGAGGGCGGCCTCCTTCTGTTCAATGGTGACGGCCATTGATTTTTCACGTCGTCGCTTTCGCTGCATGTCCTTTTTACGCTCCTTTTCGGCAAAGAGTTCTTGTTCGCGGACTTCGTGGAGGGCCTCGTCGTAAAAGACTTCGTCATATCGGCGTTTTCCTAGATCCGAGTGCTCGGCCAGCCTCTTTCCAGTGGTTTTGACAAACTGTTCGCGTCGGGCATAGGCTCTGTCAGAGTCGAGATCAGCCATAGTACGCTGGCGTTTAAAAGCTCCCTCTTTGTAAGCTCGATCGCTAAACTCTGTCTCATCCAGAGACTCGGCCTGCTTGTCGAGCAGTGCCTCATGATTCTGAATTGACCTTTCCATTTCGCTTGACCACGTCTTCTGTTTGGGCTGGCCGTTGGCTTGTCGCTTTGACGGCGGTCGAGGAGTGGGAGACTCCTTCTTGATGGACGCGCGACGATTCTTTTTGGAGCCATCGTCTCCTCTAATCTCGGATGCACGGCCCTTGGTGGGTTTCTTGGCGGTCTTCTTCTTGATGACGATTTCGGGTCTCTTGACTGGGGCAGGTTCAGGCTCGGTATCAACCTCCTTCTCCATCTCGGTATCGCCGTCGTTGTCGGGCTCTCGGACCTCAAACACGGGGGGCGCCAGCGTAGGCTCTTTCTTGGGTGATGGCTCTTTGGCCGCGGGTTTGGGAGCGGGCTCGGAGTTGGAGAGGATGTTGGAAAAGGACATTGGGTCGGCAGCTCGGCTCTGAGATGCACCGTTAGCACGACGAGTTATTACCGAACGATGATCAATCGATCATTGAGTTGTTTGAAGGGAAAAGATGGCGTGATGGAAAAGAGGCAAAAATGGCGATAGGGTATTGATAGTGAAAAGAGAGGGAAATAAATCAAGTCAAACAAACGAGTGCGGCCGAATTGTACAGGATCTGGCAGGATCTGTGTGCATGCGTGCGTGCGTATGTGTGTGTTTTTTTTTTTGTGTTTTTCCCCCTTCTTGCTTGGGGGAGAAAAAGAGTTTGTACTTACAGAAGCCGGCTTCGGCGGTGACGGGGCTGCCAGTTCAGTCTTCATCATGGGCGGCAGGGAGGTGCCGTTTGTTGCAGAATGCGTCGCGGCAGGCGCATGCCTCGAGACTGGTGAAGTCATGTGCGAGTGACGGCTGGGCGGACTGTGGGAGCCGGTCGTTGCGAGGGCTGGGTGGGAGTGCGAGAGCGAGAGCGGGCTGGTCGGCCGGCGATTGAAGGACGAAGCCCTGGCGCGAGGCGATGAATAATTGTCGCCGTTGCGGTAAGACGACTGGTGTTGCTGGTCAATTGGCTGCGGGTACTGGTACGGCTCGCGGGAGTGGTACGGCTATAGGAGAGGGAAAAGAGAAAGGAAAATCACGTTAGAAGACGCGTTGAGAAATCAGGGATGGCGATGGTGCCGGCATGGCAAGGGTTGGTGAATTTGGGTTTGACGATTTTTTTTTTGGGAGGGGGGGAGTGGTGGTGAGGAGAGATGATTGCATCGACGTTGGTGGAAAGGGAAAAAAAGGGTACGGCTCAATTGAACAAAGCAAAAGGCGCATGCGCGTGGGTTTAAGACCAAAAAGCGAAAGTGGACTTTTAGAAGGTTGAGGTGCTTACCTTTGGCGTGGCCACTTGGGGCGCGTGTTGCCTCGAGGCGGCGATGGGGCGCTCCTTGGTCGTGTCGGTTGTTGGATCGTAGACTCTGCCGCCGGGATGAAGGTCAGAGGCGGCGGCCGAGGCTGAGGACGATCGAGGTGATGCCGCGATGGGCACTGACGAGACGGCACGAGGCGGAGGAGGATAGTAGGCGCCCGGCGGGTGCAGCGGCGAGGCAGAGGGGCCGTGCTGATGCGGCTGCTGTTGATGCTGCTGAAGCTGGTGATGGCCGGGCGACGGCGCCAGCACAGGCGGCAGCGGGTGCGCAGAAGCCGAGGACGCCGGCGTCGACGACGGCATGTATGGGCTGTGGTTCTGGCTATGGCGCGGCGGCGATTGGTGATGGGGGTTTGCGTCGCTGGATGCGTAGGGCAGAGGCGGATGGAACTCGGCCTGCGTGTGCGTCGAGGGAGACCGCAGGCTGAAGGTGGAGTGCCGCGAGCTGGGGTTCATCACGTCGCGCTGGCTGCGATCTCTGTCCATCTCCCGCTCTCGTTCTCGCTCACGGTCTCGTTCCCGATCTCTGTCTCGGTCTCGGTCTCGATCTCGCTCGTCGTCGTCGCGCCGGTGCATCACCGTCGATCGGAAGCTCGAGTCCATGGTGGACAAGGCTGAAGGTGAAGGGATAGCCGGCCGGGATTTGCAGTCAAGAGCAAGGTAGAGTAGACAAGTAGTGGAGGGTAGGGTAGAGAGGCAAGAGAAATCTAGTACTCGTCCGAGACGCTCGAGCCCATGTGTCTGTGTGTTTTACACGCGCTCGCGGCCACGGGGCATCTGTCGGCAATGGCGAGCAGGCGAGGGAATGGTGAGAACTAGAAGGAGGAGTGCAAGAGTCGCGTTGGATGGGATGGGATGGGATTTGATGGGTGGATGACAAAGTCGGCTAGAGCTGGGCTGGCAGGAAAAGCCTCGCTAAAGAATGATATGATGGCGATGACGGCCTGCGCAGAGTCTGGGGCTGGACTGGACTGGAAGCTGCCACAGCGCGAGTGCTTTTTGTTTTTTTGTTTTTTTTTGCCTTGATTTGCTTTGCCTTTCGCTTATTTGCTGCCTTGCAGACGAGCAGGAATATACTCGAGTATTCTTTAAAAGAAGTAAACTGAAGAATTAAAAGAGTAGTTATGCCAATGTTGGCTTATCGGCCAAAGCCAGTAGTCAATGGTCTCGCCACAGTCACAAAGGCTGATGCTCGTCAACGAGGCTGCTGGCGATGGCTTCAAGTTGGGCGGCACCACAACAACAGCAGTAACAACAACAACACACGGCGCGCAGAGATGGCAGAAGCAAGATGGAAATTCACAGCTACGGAAAGGGAGGGACCAGCCAGGCGGAGTCGCAAGGAAAGGCAAGGCGAGACCAGACCCGTGGTGATGGTGGACTGACTGATGCGTTGGCTCAACCGAGTCTGGAGCCGGCCTGTCCGCCTTGGGCCGTTCTGGAGATCCGGATCTACAAAGCATTTTCTTCTCCCCTTCCCCTTCCATCCTTTTCCCCTCTGGCGCGCATGCAGCTCCCGAGCACATACAGATTACGGCACAAGTTGCGGGCCTAGCTAGTATTGCTAGCTGACCTCCACTTGTTGCTCTTGGGGAGATTGGCTCGAGCAGCGCCACTGGAGAAGAGGGAAAAGCCACCAGACCAGAACTTTGTACTGTAGGTGATGATTCGTCTCATGAATGGATTGGATTGGATTGCTTGGACACGGTTAGCTGGGCTGGTGGAAGCACGGTGTGTGTCAGTCCAACAAACTGGCATTTTAGCCGCCTCACGTCTCATCGCCATGAAGGGATTTCATTCACGTTCCAAGCCCACGATGCATCGCCAGCTGCGCCGCCTCAGCCAATCATGTAGCCCAGATGCAGCAACGACAAGCTGTGGGCTGTGTCCCCTGGCTACGGTATAAGCCACGGGATTAAAGATGTGATGAATCCGAAACCATTGATTGCATCTCACCATCTTCATCCTCATCCTCACCCTCATCTTCCTCTCCAGTATCCGAAAGATGTAGAGCCACCAAGACATCATTATGTACTTCAGCAATCCATGTCATCGCCATACTAATTCTGGTCGTCCTTGTTTTGCTGTTTCTCCTGCATTCTGCATCACCACAGGGGCCCTGCCGATTCCCCATACATACTCCAACCCGCTAGTCTCACGCCTTGCAGCACGCGCTACTCTTCGTTGCAATCTGACTGATTGCCTCGTCTCTTGGCAGGGAGATGAGATGCTTCCAGAGCCTCAATGTGACGAGATAAGCAACCCAGGCGTGCTACCACCAAAGGGCATTCTGTCACAGCACAAAACACCACACAGTAATAGACAATCGAACCACCTATCTAGCTCTCTACTATGCAGCCATACAAATCCTTCCTATTCCTCTCCCGGGGAAAAAAACTGTGAAGAAGCAGACATACGTGATGCAAGTCACACAAGTCTGAATTTTTTTTTCCTTTTCCTCTCCGCCTTCTTTGGTTCATTCACTGAGACTCGGGCCATTCGGCGATAGCGTCTTTCTTCAGCCCGGCTTGTTTTCTAAGCTCCGTGCCAAGAATACAGTGCCTATGAATATGACACTGTATATGTGCCTTGATTGGTTTAGTGTGCTTTACGTCATACGGCCTATCTAATCACTTGTACTTCGTGGTTGTCACATGTCACGTGACATCAGGACAAGGAACAGGGCACATAAACACCGACAGCTAGCTAGATAGGGAGGAATACAAGCTCTTACATACAGATGAACGCTACAGTGGTACGGAGTGCCTACCTGTATTCCGCAGTCTAAAATACTTTCCGCGATCGGCTTCTTCAGTTCATGAGATAAATAAAGGAAGCAATGAAGAAAACCGCCTCCTAATAAATATAATAAATAGCTATTTACTCGAAAAGGGAGAAAAACCATATGTAATTGTTTCATTCTTCTTATACCCTTTGTAATTAATTTATTAGCTACATGTACAGGGTAATGTTGCATATGTAGGCATTGAGGTTCTAACATTAGAGGTCATATGCTGTTAAAGACCTGTTAGCTCCAGCTACACTTATCCTGGAAGAGTGGCCTTGGGAAAGCTGACATCACTAACAATCTCTTAACAGCCTTCGCTAGCGCATAATCTTCTACAAGGAGGAGCTGCAAATTCATGTCCTTTGCTTCATTGAAAAACTGCCGTAACGTGTCACTGCACCCGCAGCTATTGGATAATTGGGGTTACGGTTCATCATGCATTGCTCGTTTATTCATCTGTGATCAGTAATTGGCTGATCTCTACTACTACTGCTCCGTACAAGTCTTGCCGTGGCAGATCAAGATGCACCTGCAGATGATGGCAATAAGCATCCACTGATTCGCATAAACGTCTTTGGGATAGCATAGAGAGTGCCCGCAGACACTTGCAGTTTCTATGCCATATGGTAATATAGATAGATCTGGGGCCTTGTCTGCCAGTACCAGGAATCTGGTTCCTGGCATGCCCGCTGTTGGATGGCGGAATAGCGATACTTTGCTACATGTCAACTTCGACGTGTAGGTACCACTCAAACTATCATGGAAGATGCTATCAGGAGTTTCGGGCTGACCAAAGGATCAATGGAAATTTTGCTTGACCTTGAGATCAGCAGCTACATGAAATGGGCAGGCCTCGTAACTCTAAAGTCTAGAGAGAATCCTTTAATTCCCTCAAGCAGACCAAAAACATGTATCCGCATATACACCGATGGAATTAGTAAATACGATAGGATTAGTAAAGATGGGCTCTACGACTGTGTTACATGCACCTCGATTGCCAGCAAATCCCAGCCATCTGTTACACATGTTGGCCAATTCGCCATCTCATGATAACGCCAAACATGACCACATTCCAGGCAGTTCTTCTTTCATACAGAGCTGTATGCCGTTAGATATTCCACCAATAGAGATATACTAGGCTGGAATATCAGCGGGACCCCAAAAAATATGTTCAAAGTTCAAGGTTGTAATACAAAAGCAAGGTTTCGATAAGAAAAGAAGGCTGCGATTACAAAGAACTTGAAACGCAGCAACAAAAGAATCTACATACATGTATGTATGCTGCAATAATCGCATTATTGACTACGCTAATCTGAATCAGAACTTGTTCGCTTACTTTCGGTATGCCTGTGGATAGTATTGACGTCTTCACAGCTGTATGTGGAGGGAGCAGCATCAAAAGAACCCAAAAAGGCCCGAATATGAAGAAACAAGGCTGTCGACGTCAAAGACAAGTAGATACAGAATAGATATATAAACAAGTAATAATACTGGAAATAGATATTCAGATTAGAGCATTCAAACAACATTATTAAATACTTTAGCTTGTTATACTTAGCAGGCGGAATCAACTTCCTGCTTCTTCCTTTCCAGATCCGCTTGTATAAATGGCGAAGAAAACTCCACGAATTGAGTCGTTTACTGGGACTCTGTCCTCATCTTTATGGCATACTGTGCTCCGCGAGCTGGATATAACCGTTCGATTGTTAAACTCTGATGCAACTGGGTTTTTGTTCATTTTCATGGGTGGACTCCTGTCTAGAGTCATCAAAACGACCTTACCACTGGCCGAAACGATCCCGTTACTCATAGAAACAGCCTTGCTGGGGCTTCTTTGTAACTACATCTTTGACATTGCCAACCAAACGTCGTCTCCAGACGAAGACTACATAAACAAGCCAGATCGTCCTATTCCTGCTGGTTTAATGACCATTGAACAAGCCAAGACCCGCTGGGTGTTAACATGGGTATTAGGGCCTGTCGCTCTATATTATCTGTTTGGCGTCTGGCCAACGATGCACCTTTTGCACTGGGAGCTCTTGATAACAGCATGCTATGTATGGCCCAAGTGGTTTGGCTGGTTCATGCGCAGCTACTTTGGTTCCTTCTCATACTGCATCCTGGGGCGGCTCTTGAACTCGGTCCTGGCAAGGGATGTGGAAGCTTGGAACATCAGTTTCACCATAGACTGCATCATCTTTGTCTGGTTCATGGGCACAATGCATATCCAAGAATTTCACGACCTCGAGGGCGACCGAAAAAGCGAAAGAAGAACTCTCCCCATGCTGCTTTCTGACCGAGGCATAAAAGTTCTTCGAGCAGGCACCTCCCTCTTTGTTCTCGCCTTTGGCACATGCCGTTGCTCTATTGGATACACGGTAATTGACAAGGATATCAGAATTTTGCCACTGTGCATTCTGCAACAGTTATTATCTAGTGTTCTCGCTTATAGGATCTACGCATCTGACGGGCCCGCAATGGATAAAAAGACTTATCGCGTTTATTATTATGGCGTGGTATTGGCGATTCTGTTATGCTTGTGTCTAATAGAGAAACGGCTGGTTTGATGGGCGATGATTATTACGCTATAGTGTCACGACCCGGCTCTTATGGTCGGGACAATGGGCCTACAGGGAAGGCCGTTATATGGACCGACAGACCAATCAGGACTGTTGCACGCAAGGGACAGGAAAGCTAGGAAAGCCAGCTTTCTAAATGATCCTCGTAAGAAAGTTAGGAAAGCTAGCTTTTCCATCACGATCCAGAATACACGACTGGATATATGAGTTCACTTCATGTCACTCGTCAGAATACTTAGATAGCCAGTTGTTATCAACACAGCGTTTACAATACAATCAGATCGGAACCCAGACATCTATTCTTATTCGTATTACTAGCTGGTGATAAGATTGCTCGTTACCGACCTGATCGCTCCGCCAACATAAACCTTAAAACCCAGAGATTTGTCCCTTGGGAACAGCTAACCATATAATACTTGTAGGACCCGGCTCGTCACATATAGATACATGAATCTACTGTCATATTAACAATGCCTCGATGCTTCTCATTGTTTCGTCCTGATTGGTAAACTCGTACCTATCCAAGCCATTTGTATACGACCCTTCAGCTTTGACCACAACAAAAGATCCTACCATGCATGTATCCGCCATTTCATCTCCGACACGGAAAACGAGGCTTATCGACGACAAATCCTTTTGAACACGGATCCCATTGTTTTGCTAAAGTAAAGTTACAAAATCCTTCCGTCAATATCGGCTACTGGCACTGCATTGAATGGCTGCTTGAGCTGGGTATACGCAAACAACATGAAACCTTGTATTGTGCGGCTGAATTTGTTCCATCAATCTTATTGATGGATGGTTATTGATCAAAGCTTTACTTGGGCAAACACGAAGGGCGCCCGCATACAAATACGATACTATCACTCGGTTTTACCGATGCCTGAGCGAAATTGAGAAGACGGAAACTAATACGGAGACTAACAACACGGATACATACTTGCAAACAATTCAACATGACGCCTAAACAGTAAGATAAGCCAATGCGGATATGTACGCGATGTAGAGATTTCAATGTTCTTGGTTTGTATATACCTACATGTAGTTACGAAAAAGCGTTAGCACTCTGCTTTGTATAAGACGCACAGCGAAGCCGACTTTTGGATTCAAAAACTTTCTCCAAGGTTCACCCTGTACAAGCATCCTGTCCACTGCCATCTGTATACTCCACATCCCTCACAATGAGACTTCACTGGGTGCTATCCCTGTTGCCTGCTGTCTACAGCATCTTTGCTGGGCCACTCAGACCCAACACCGCTAAGAATCTCGTCGAAACCTTTGACCATTATCCTGCGAACTCCACGACATCCAAACTTCTCATCGGAAGAAACTCCACTGGCGACACCTGCAAATCAGAGCCAACGTCACGATACCTCAACTCTGTCACAGAAAGTACGTCCCGACTTGTGATCCAGTGGCGTCTTTTCCTGGTCTTACGCTGATATTTGCACAGAGTTTGCCGTCAATGGAACTGGAATCCCAGAAATCGATTTCGATGTAGGCGAGTCATACGCGGGCCTTTTGCCAATCAGCAACAAGACCGATGAAAAAGACAAGATGTTCTTCTGGTTCTTCCCAACTGTCAATGAAGAGCACAAGGATGATAAGGAAATCGTCATCTGGCTCACCGGCGGTGTATGTTCGACCCAAAGCATCTCTTACCCCTGATTCCCATTTGCTGACTGAGCCCGAACAAACAGCCCGGCTGCTCGTCTCTCGTCGCCTTGCTCCAGGAAAACGGGCCTTTTTCCTGGCAACCTGGAACCTTGAAGCCGAAGCGCAATCCATGGAGCTGGCACCTTCTCACAAACGTCGTCTGGATCGAGCAACCCATCGGCACGGGCTTTTCCGAGGGCGAACCTAGCATCACCAATGAGGACGAACTAGCGGCCCAATTCATGGGTTTCTGGCGCAACTTTGTCGACGTTTTTGGCTTGCATGGCTGGCGTGTCTACATCGCCGCGGAGTCGTATGGCGGCTACTATGGTCCATACATCTCAAGCCACTTCATTGATGCCAACGACACGGATCATTACAACCTGGCAGGCCTGATAATTTACGACGGAGCCATAGCTACTGACACTGTCCATTACTATCTCCCGATTCTGCCCTACATCTCTCGCCACGCATCTGAGTTTGCTCTTGATGACAATACGTTGTTTCATGTCCGCCAAATCTCCGACGAGTGTGGTTTCACCGAATTTTATGACAGGTATCTTACGTTTCCTCCATCAGGCACGCAGCCCATCATTGATCCTGTAACGGGCATGTTGCCCAACGTCACGTCCATCACAGCTGAGACTTGTGGCGACACGTTGGCAGAGATCGTCCAGAACGGGATTCTCATGACAAACCCCTGTTTCAATACTTATAATATTCTCGACCATTGTCCTACGGTATATAGCCCTATCTTCGATGACCCCTATTTCAACCGTACCGACGTCAAAAAGGCCATACATGTTCCCGCTTCGACCCCTTGGCGATGGTGCCGTGAACGTGAATACGTCTTCAAATTTAACGATAGCTCTCTGCCATCAGGCCAGAAGCAACTCCCACGAGTCATTGAAACAACCCAAAATGTTATCTTCGCCCATGGAGATGCTGACTGGGTCATTCCCATGGACGGTGTCCTCTTGGGCATCCAAAACATGACATGGGGCGGGAAAATGGGCTTTCAGTGCAAACCAAAAGACCCTTTTTATGTTCCCCTTTACGGCTTCGACCCCTTTAGCAATCAGACCGTGTATTACGCTAGTGACATGCTAGCCGGGACGGGGGTTATGGGGACAGTGCATGAGGAGCGAGGATTCACTTTTGTAGTGACCAAGTTGGCAGGACACCAAGGGCCGGGATATGCTCCGGCTGCCTCGATTCGACATTTGGAGAAGCTGTTGGGGAGGGTCGACAGCATGAGTTGCACGGAGCCGTTTACGTTGCCGGAGCTGAGGAACATTACGCAGCTTGAGGAGCCTCTCGGGATGGGGACTGTGCACATCCCGGAAGGCAGGGGGCCGACAAAGCCGTTGGAGGGTTAGAGTAGCAGAGGGAGATGATTGGGGGAGGGACTGTAGCTGTATGAGTTGGGGGGTTAGGAGAGATGATGGAGATGATTGGGGAACCGGAATTGTTGGAGTTGAAGAATAAGATGTTGAGAGCATGGAGGAAGAACACGGGTTGAAGGACTCAGGCATGGCACAGCAAGATATAACATGGCACGGCATGGCACGGCATATCAGACAGTAGATAGACTTTTAGAATAGAACCTTTAGAATAGACTCGCAGACTAGTATTGCACCGCGCTGTAGAAGCACACAGCATCATCTTGTCATGAAGCTATAGGCAGCCTCACCGCATGTACACCAGTTGCCGCCCCTTTGTGAAAAACACCCTCAACAAGTGCTTCAGCACCACATTCCCTCCCCTATACTCCTTCAACTGCTCCTTTCTGAAGATCTTTCTGCTCCTCACGCTGTAATCCGCCAGCTCCTCCACAGACTTGAACACCCTGACCTTCCTCCCCTCATTCTCATCTCCGCCTTTCCTGCCCCAGTCTATCAAATCGACGATGTTGACATGCGTGGTCCGAAGAATCTATCATCAAAATGCTTCCCATCAGCCTCCATCAAAAAGAGTCAAGAGAAATAGAGGAAACACATACCTTTTTGCACTCTCGAATCTCATCCGGCGGATCAACCTCCCCCACCGCCTTACAAAGCGTCCTCCAAGCAGTCAAATCCTTCTCATCCCCAAACCACATCTCAACCTCCCTCACAAGCGCCCCCTGATACCTCCCCCACGCATCATTCTCCTCATCGCTCCTCCTCCCATCAGGCGAAAGACCCTTCCAGCCCTGGAACCTCCTCAATTTCTTCCACGAGGCCTCTGGCGACAGATGAGGATCGTACATGAATCCCGTAAACGAAGTGAAGAATCCATCTAGCGGCGTCTCTCGCACTTCTACTTTCCCTTTGCCCTTCCCCTTGGTATCCTTCTTCTTCGCCTGCTCGCCTCCTTGTGCTGAACCGTGCTTGTGCTTCCCCCACATATGGCTCTTCAAAGCCCTCTTCGTCAAAAAGTCCTCCCACTGCCCATCCTCCAGACACGTCATGCACGCGAAATGCTTCTCAGACGAAAGCGCATGCATCATCAACCCCTCTTGCGAATCAAATTCCGTCTCGCAACGCGTGCACTTCCAGGCATCTTCTTCTTCTTCTGTTGTCGTCGCTGGGTCTGGGCCCGAGTCGTGCGCTTTGCTGTCTCGTAGATGCATCGACAGCGCGGCGTCATTCTTAAACACTCTGTTGCAGGGCGAGCAGAAAGCCATTGTGTCGTAACATAAAAAGAAAAACCATCAACTAATCTAGAAAGGAAAAAGAAGAGAGAGAGAAAAAAAAAGAGCAGAGAGGATAAAACCTCGAGATTATCTTTTTTACGTTGGGAGGCCCATCACTTTCTCCTCACCTTCTCCTCACCTGCGCCCAGCCATGATGCAGCCAAAAGCACTTGACAGCTCAACTTCCCCTCAGATATATAGAAAAGGGTGCTGAGAGGTATATTGATTGGGCGACTTACTACTTACTCCTCATAGGACTCGTGTAACCGCTCCAGGCAGCATAGATTAATTCTTGTTGGCCGAGCCTTGCCATGGGGTAATATATATATACCAACCGCTGCCCATCTATTTCAGACGGACCAATCGTTACCGAACAGACACATCATCATCTATGCAAAATACAGCCACAGTTACATCACTTGGGACAGCGAGGGGACACACGGATTCTGCAAAGCGCTGCTTCATTCATCAAACCAAAGGCGACTATGCCAAACTACATACTCATCGCTTCCAGCACGTTGGCCAGCCCGCTCGATCCCCATGGTAGGGAAACGCTGCCAGACAAACAGCACCGTTGACAACCTTTAGCTCTCAGACTCACAAGCATAAATACAAATAGACAAGGAAGAAGAAATGCCATCACGCCGGGCTGGACGGATCGCCCATGCTGCCACTACCACCGCTGCCGCCACTGCCTGTGCTCCGTCTGCTGTCGTGCATGCCGAACCGCTTCGTGTACATGGGGCGTCGTGAAATCCCCATGCCGACGGGAGAACGAGGCTCCTCGTCGCTCGGCTGGGTGAAACCGCTGACGTCGCTGAGCATACTAGAGCTGCGGCCTCGCGATTTGGCGCCGCGGAGCTCGAAAGAGGTCATGGGCGGGGATTGCCAGGCTGCCAAGCCGGGAGGACCCAGAGAGAGAGACGTGGAGGAGTGGTTTTCGCCATTTACGCCTCCCCAGTAGTTGACACTGGCAGGGAAATGCGCGGGAGCAGCGGGGTTGGGATTCCAAGGAGTTTGCGGCTGCTGTTGCGGCGGCAACTGCTGTTGCTGTGGCTGCGGCGAATGAAAGGGAACGTGGACGGCTGACTCGAGTGAAGCCATGTCAACAGGCAAGCCGTTGGCCTGGCTCATGTAGCTTCTAACTGTCTGCAACTCGTTCTGGAGGCTGCGGAGATGCTCAGCCTTCATATTGTTGTTGGCATAGCTCTGCCCGAGCTGATCGTTAAACGACTTGTCCGAGTTGACAATCTGCTCCTGCCAGCCTGCACGTTCACGTTTTCGGCGCTCCACCTCGTTGAGACCCCTGTTGTTTGCATCGGTGATGTTGGCGAGCTCGTTTTCAACCTTGGCAATGCGAGTGGCAATCTTGTTGCGCTTGGTATTGAGGTTGCCCTTCTCGTTGTCCTTGGACTGGACCTCGCTCTCCAGCGTCGCCTTGTACTCGCGGAAACTCTTCTGCGCTGCATCATAAAGCTTCTTCTCGCCCGAGTAGGATCGCTCCATCTTCTTCTTGTTCTCGGCTAGCTCTGGCGAACCGTCAAACTTCTTGAGCTGTTCGGCTTGGGTTTCTGTATCGCGTTCGGCCTGTGCTTTCTGGGTCTCTTGCTGGCGGATCTTTTGTCTATACTTGTCATCGCTATGGCCGGCTGAGGCTAATTGGTTGTCCGTAAGCTCGTTTTCCTTCTTGAGAGCGTTGATTCTCGATTTCCACTCTTTTCGCCACGTCTTGAGGCGATTCTTCTCGTCGTTGAGTCTGACTTCTGCGGCTGCAATGGAGATGCTTAGAGTAGTGGCGGGGGAATCGGGTTGTAGTGACTGCTGAGAGCCAGACACGGCGACGGGAACGTTGCTATTCTCTCGGGCGGGTTCCTTGATGGTCCGAATGCTTGTGGAGAAGACAACCTTGTCAGTCCTGATATCCACAAACTCACAGACGTATTTGGACGATGGGCGGAGGCCATAAATGTCTCCCGTCCAACGGGTACCGCCTCGACCGCCATCGTCTGCTTCGACAACAGGGAAGATGCGTGTGGGTTGCCAGAATGCGTTGTTCACTTTGACGTAAAAGGGCTTGGACGTATCGACACCGGCCGGCCGCGTGATTGCGTGTCCGTTGGCGGTAGTGGGGAGTGGCGGTTCGTCGTCTAGATCCGGAAAGTGGCTGGTGTTAAAGCATACTTCGTCGCTGCCGATATAGGAGATCCATATCTGCTTGGGTTGTGTGTTGAAAGGTGCGTTTCCGAGGTTGTGAATGTCCGTCGTGTTGACGCCGAGCGATTTCGAGGGCACGTGGGACGACTCGTATTCCTTCATGACAACAATCTTTGTGCTAGCCAGAGCAGCCCATAGCGGCTGCTGCAGCCTGACCTGCGTGCTTTGCTTTCTTCTTTTCTTGTTGGTGGAGGCGGGGGCGGCCGGTTGAGGGGGGCACCCAGTCTCCGTATCGGGAGTGTTAAATCCAGTGTCGTGAGCAATCTCGCCGTTGATGGAAATGGTTGCTACGGGCTTCCCTGCTTCAGGATCATGCTGGCCGGACGCTGCGTTGGCCTTTTCCCTCCTCAAGTACCACTCACGAATATATCTTACGAGCCCCTGTGTGAGGATGTGAATGGCCAGTCCGCTCCGGACCCACGCAAACGCACTTCTCTTATCGTGCATGACGGAGGTCGATTCGAACGTGCTGCTCAGGGCAGAAGGCACCTGCCAGTCCTCTGGAATATGCCTAGCAAGACGGGACCAGTGGGTTCTCGTACTGCGGATAACATGGTTGATGACGATCCAGATGAAACAGGTAGTGAGGCCTCGGGAGCCGCCGTTCCTATACGTGGTGCCGCCGCCGAGGGTGATGGCGATGATGGGTTTGGCGAGATCCAAAATAGCGTCCTGGACCGGCTGCCACAGAAACAGCCAGACGAGGAGGAAGAAGAAGTCCATGCAGACAACGGTGACGAGGGAGGGCATGGTGGAGTGGCCATCGAAGATTTCGGCAAAGTTGAGGTTGATGCCCGAGCTGGTGGTGACGGGGGGAACAAAGGTCAGACAGGTAAAGATGCCGTAGATGATGGAGAGGGAAAGCGTCGGGAGCTGCATGAGGATGATGAGGATGGCGAGCGTGTCCTGCATGGGGAGCGTCTTGAGGACGGTGGCCACCATGTCGATGGGTCCGGAATCGCGGTGGACGTCTGCGTTCTTGAGGGCGTTGACGTCGATCTGGCGATGACCGCCGTCGACATTGGCAGCAGAACCGGAACCTATATGAGAGGTGCACGACTCGGACGTGGACGTCTCAGAGTAGTTGCCGACGGAAGCCCTGCGAGCATCGGTGGAGCGGTCGTGGAAGTCGATGGCGGCCTTGGAGACGCCGTTGGGCAGCACAAACTGCGGCCCTGCGTGGCCCGCGCCATGGTCGGCCGGCCTCGCAGGGCCCTCGGGAGGATTGAGGCTCTTCCTGCCAGTAACTCGCTTTGCCGGGGCTACGAGCCCATTCTCCTTGGTGTCGCGATGAGCGGCTCCTGACTGTCGCTTGCTCGATCCCGATGCGCGAGGCATGCGCGGCTGCTTCTCTCCCCCCACTGACTGCCGAGCAACCCTAGGACCTGTTTCGAGGCCAGGGCCAGCAGCAGCGGGAAGGGGATTGTTTGCTTTCCTCTGGCTTCAGTCTGCGCGTGCTGGTTCTGTCGGCGGGCTGGAGTCGGATTGCGGGAAGGATTGTTGCCCTTATTTTTTTGGTGGTGGGGGAGAAGGTGAGTCGAAGTTGGTTTGCTGATAATTGCAGGATGTCGTCGTCATTCGGAGACCGCTGGCGTGTGTCTGCGGCTAGACAAGAGAGGGAACAAGGCACTTTGCTTTGGACGGTCTAAACAATGTGCCGTCGGTGGGCGCTGGTCGAGAAGCCGTCGTCGTTGTGAGGAATTCGGGGTGAAGGAGTGAGATTTTGACCCCCCAAGACAGAAGCTGCTGGAAGTGGTAGAGGAAGCGAAAAAAAGAAAAGCAGCGACTGTACCCACGAACCGGGGAATATTAGAGCGTGGTAGAGGGGGCAAGCCGCCGTGTTGCAGGGCTTGCAGCGCCAGAGCTCTAGGGCCTTTGGGCGGGCTTCCAGGGCACAAGAGGCGCTAGGGCGGGCCCTGGATCTACCGTTCTACAGCGCGCTAAGGGGGTATGTGGGGATTCACAAGCCAGCGGATGTACTGTACAAGTACCTGTACTCGTACTTTGCTTCCAGTCGGCACAAGGCACATGCAACTGGACGGGCATTTTGCGGGTTGCATCCCCTGTCCCCAGGTATTCTCCCAGCTCGAACAGAGCGCGAGGAGGCAGGCAATGCAATGCAATGGAACGAAGCGGCGGGTTTGCTCATGGCTTTTCCGGCTGACGCAATCCTCCAGAGCCGTTGGAGAGCAATCATGTCTTGGATCAATTCTAGCATTTGATCGAAGACATCTGATGGGCTGGGCTCGGCTACTAAAGCAGAGGTACTTTGACGGAGTATTAGGAGGTACCGCCAGCGACGACTTGTAGCGTCCGACTGCTAGGGCCGGCGAAAGGGTACAAAAGCAGTGCAGTTTGAGGTACAAGTCAGTCAGCAACGTACATGTACCGTACTGTGTGCTCCGGCTGTTGGCGGCGCCGCCTTGTTTTCTGACACATGACAGAGCCACGACATTCGAGGAGCACCTTAGGTAGATAACAAGCATAATCCACTCCGGGCGAAGAGCAGCGTGTGAGCACAGTACAGCAAGTGGTATAATGCCAGACCAGCATACCTTGACGATTCACAAGGCTACTAAGCTGGATTGATCACGGCAGAAATGCCCATAACTCGCTGCAAGCGCGGCAACTAAAGTAGACAGGGGGAGGAAGTCGATAGGCCTCTAGTGTATCCCTTGCAGCTCTCCGGGACGCCGAGTGACCTCCCCCAGCCAGTATATACTCGTACCCGGACCAGAGCCAACGTCCAAGCATTCAATTGTATGTACTGTACTTACAAGCCGAAATAGCAGCGCCCCGAGACCGAACGGTGCAAACAGCTGTGGGCTTTTTCAGCGCCCCAGGAGCAAAGCAGCTCCAGCGGTCGTCGCCCCCGGAGCCGCCGGATCAGCGGGCCACGGGCAAACGACGCAGCAACTGATCCTTCTGGCAAAGTCCATTTTAGCGCACAGCTGAATCTGATGTTTGGCTCATAGGCCACGTCGGGACTTGGATTGAGGCTGTCGGCTGTTCTTGGCCGGAAAAACTCTCGATAGGCTGGCGCGGTGGCTAGGGCAGGTTAAGCTTTTGCCATGCGGTACGTACCAACGGAAAGGAGGGCCAGCGGCAAGGGATCTGACGTCGCTGCCAGCCCCTTCCGAGGGGGGACCCCAGTCGCCATGTTGTTGGTACTTGCAAAGTTGTAAAGAAGTGTAAGTGAAATAAAGCAGCGTCAATAAGATCGTCAATGTGTACAGCAGTAGAGTCGTACTGTAGCATAGGCTAAACCAGCAGCAATTGAGAGGTATAAAAAAAAGTCCCTGGCCATAAGCCGCAATTCGCTCATCTCGTGCTGCTGCCATCCAGGAAGACCAATCACCATTGGCACAAGGAAAAAGCCGATGGGCACGCGCTCCGTGTTTCGAAAGGACGCTTTCGTACATGTACTCGGTACATCATCCCGCTTGCACGTGCAAGCGCTGTTCAAGGGACCCCCGCTTTCAGATGTTATGTTTCTTTGCAAGCCAAATTAAAAAAAAAAAAAAATTGAAAAAAAGAAGAAGAAATCAGCTGTCAAGTCATTCTCACGCTACCGCTAATGACGCACAAGCTTCTTCTTCTTCGCCCTCAGTCTTCAATCGTAGGCGCTAACAGTTGAAAAATCTCTGGCTCGATGGAGCCTCCAATTTCCCAGCGCAGACTCTTTCTTTTCTTCACGCTCTACAGCGATCACGAAAAGTGGGGGGGCTCTCATCGGAAACACACCGACACGGTCCTTGTACTGTTTGCTACTAATCGCTAGCAATGCTACTCCGTGCAAGCTGCATCCCTGACTGAACTGCCGCTGCACATACAGACGATGCCTCAATCCTCATCCCACTAAAGGGGGATGGAATCAGCGTGACATTGAAGCGGCAGACAGCAGGCGAGTCACTGCATGAGTGCTGACTCTGGCTCCCATGCAACTTGCACTTGGCCTGTTCTGACCGCTCCTTGGCTTTGACCATTGCATATCGCATCGCATCGACCTTTTTTTGCTTGCACGGCCGCTAACGTAATCGTGGCCCAAGGGTCAAATCTCCGATCCAGCCTCTCAGCCGCCCGGAACGCTAAATCACCAAGCCAGCTGACGGCAATCCTTCTAGTCTTGGGCGAGGTTGATTGTGTGGGGGAGCAGAGACGGAGCAAGATGGGGGAGAGAGAGAGGCAGACAGACGGGCAGACAACCTCATCAGCTCTCCCCTCGAATCGGCTATTCGCTTACTTACAGGCCAATTCCCTCTGACAATATCCTCGCACCGTAATACGGAACGCCTCTTTTGACATGCCGCAACGAAGGATTCCATGCCTTGCCTTGCCTTGTCTTGCCCTATCAATGAGTGCTAAACAATGCTCAGAGCAGGGTTGAAAGTCGGCTAGCTGCCCCTCCTCGGGTCACGATACCCCGCGATACCCTCGCTCTCGTTGCCTCAAAGTGATCGTCGTCGACTAGCCCATCTTCTCAGACGCGGACGAGCGGCTTGCGACCAGCGTGACCTCCTGGCTTTATCGTGGGCTTTGGATGGTGTCATTTGCATTGAGCCGGCAAGACGACGGCATTAAGGGGCTGCGGCTCCGATCTTGGACGTTCAATTCCTTTCTACATGACTTTTATTCCCGTGACATTCGCCCTAGCTGTCAGAATCCAGTACTACGGTAATATTATATTGCTACTGACTCATTTAGATATTTGACGTCTATTAAGTGCCACCCGACTATCTTGCCCATCACCTCCGTATCGGCACCGGGCATCGCTTCGGGCGGCGCTCACAACCAACACATTTCCTATCCCGTCATTTCCAGGGCTGGGCGCGGTTGGGTTCGGCAGTTTTGGGGGATCCCAGAACCTTGGAAATGGCGTGTTTGGACTGCTACCTTGTGAGGTAGTACAGAGTACTTGGCATCTTTCTTCCTCTGTCTATCGTCCAACCAATAACCTCTTCCTCTGCCCGTCCCAACCAATAGCCTCCTGAGGACAATCCCCCATGCCGCAAGATGAGGGGTTCCATCAAACACGCGACTTTGGTGTCTAAATCTGTGCCCGGTGAAAAGGCGCGGCAATTGGGTGAGCGGGGGAGATTTGACAGGTCTTATCTGCCGATATGCGGTGTTTACACCCACTTTGCCTTTGCTTCCTTTTGTGAAGCCATCACTACACCACATCCTACAACACTACCAGTAAGCTTCTTCTCTCCCCACCCTATTTACGCGGGATTTCTCGTTGCAGGGATTCATAACTCGTAAACGTCCATCGTACATGCTATTCTGCCCTTTTTCTTTAATTAATACAAGCGCTTAAGCCGCAGTCTTCGGTTGGGTATTATTGCCTCCCCTCCTCCTCTTCTCCTTCTTCTCCCTGTTATTCTTCTTCTCCAGCTCCTCAGCCTTGGTCGCCCAGACACTCCGTTCCACATCCCACAGCGGCTGCATCACCTTGCCCACAACATCATCAAAGATGGCGCCCTGAGCCTCGTCGCTAGCTCTCCTTCGCTGCTTGAGCTTTCCGTGACCCCAGTAAGGCGTCACGCTGATGTCCTTGCTGTCCTTGTCCTCGCTGTATTTTAGCATCATGTAGTCTGCCCTTGCGCCGCCAACGTAGTTGCCTGAGCCGACGGTGAAGAAGCGTGTCTCGCCAATGGTGAAGCCGCTGACACGGTTGACGCCGATGGTGGTGAAGGACTCGATGGGGACTCGGCGTAGTCCATCGACTGTTTTCTGTTATCATCTGCGTGAGCTGTACTGTAGGTAAACAAAAGAAGCTGAGGGAAAGCCATCATACGTTAAGAATTCCTCTCGGCGGAGGTGATGCCGGGACCATGACTTGTGTTTCTCGAAGATCAATGTCCTTTGCAGTCTTGAGTTCCGGAACCTTTTCCTTGAGAATTTCTTCAAACCGTGTCGTCGCAAGCCGTAGCAAAGCCGTAGGCTTGATAATTCCCGTCTAACAACCCAATCAGCCTCATCTCTCCCATCATCAACACATTTCACTCCAAACATCAAATCACTCACCCTCTTCTCATCCAAAGCCTTATACACATCCCCCTCATCCACACCCCCCTCCCTCCTCCTCACAACCTCGCCCTCCCACGCATCCAGCCTCGTCACCAACCCTCCCTGCCCCCCCAACGCAACAACCTCCCTCAGCACATCTCCTATCCGATTCACTTCCCTCACCGAGCACCCCGCAAACACCAGCACGCCAAGGTCATGGTACAAATGTATCGCGCTCTGCTGTAGGGCCTGGGCTGAGACGCTGGTTGTAGGGCCTCCGATGGGGACTTCGGCCAGGCGACGGGGACGGAGGGCGAAGCGGGTGAGCGTGGGGAAGACTTGCAGTGCTGGAGGGAGGCGCGGCATCGTCTTTTTTTGTAGGGGAGAATGTGTGATGGGGAGAGGAAGGTTTAGCTATACAATGAGATGATTCAATTGTGCGAATGGGTGGAGGATTTTTAAGAGCGGGATGAGAGAGTTGTGAATATCGGATGATGATGAAATGCAGGCTCGCGACGACGAAAAAGGTGGCGTTTGGTCAGCCTTGCATGGAGATGAGCTGTGATAGGCTGGCTGGAAGCGATCAGAGTTGGGATTTTAGCTCCGTTGAGAAAGTGGCGGGGCGGTGATGACATTGTTTCTTTTGAGCTTGAGCTTGAAGCTTCACCTTTCGTCTCTGTTTTGTTTGGTTGCAGCATGAGTCTGGTTTTGAGATAGAAGCCATGATGCGTCCTAATGCTGAGCTGAGGAGGCAGGTCATTGCCATATATAAAGGTGAGCGATATCTTTGTCCGCGACGGGATTTAAATGTTGTATTTCCCGTCAAATTTACCGAGGGTCTTTTTCCACCTCTAAACAAGACGTCACAACAAACACATCGCGACACATCTTTAATTTCACCCAATTTTACAATTGAAGATTAGAAACTGAATAATGTCTGTTAGAATTACTATATCTTGGCCGTGAATATCCCCTCGGATACGGCTACTTCCGCCCCCGTCTGCACAAGGCCTTCATGTCTCGTGCCGCTGAGAAAGACGAAGACAAGATTCGCGCGGGCATCAAGCAAGCTGAATACGTAAAGAAAGGTACCTTCACCAATTACACATTACCATGATTTATAAAATCGAGAAGCATTGACAAAGTATTTTTTGTGTAGAAATTGAAGCTCTGTAAGATTCTCCCTAACCCCATCGTGACGAAGGATAAGTAGATCCACTGTATTATCAAAGAATATGCGCCTCCGCAACCACACCACAAGACAGAATGCCAATCTACACCACCGCCGCACTCATTTACAAAGAATCCAAAACAAAAAAACCATATACATGCCATCCTCAACTCTTCCAATTGCTAATCAAATTCTCCGATGGGGGGTATAATAGGTACTACTTGAAACGATATCGAGCATTGAGAAAACGATATGACAGCGATGCGTGAGTTGAAACGAAAGAACAGATGCAAGGATAATAAGGATATAAGCAGGCATCGCTCTTTGTTGTTCAAACGGGAATAATGTTGTAAGAATAAAGTAAAGACGCTGCAGGGACGTATATAATATAAAACAAGAGAATCCCTCCTTAAAACTCGCAGCCATAGATGCACATCAAATGTAGAATCAGAGTTGATCCAAAAAAAAGTCCCTTTTTTTCACCGCCAAAAAAAAACAAATGGAAAAAAAGGAGTATGCAAAAAAGAAAAAAAAAAACATCCAGTCAGAAAATCTTTTCAAGCAAATATTTTGGTGACCTTGGTTCATTCTTTCAAGCAGCCACCTTCTTCTTCTTCGCATACCAAGCTCCAAATTCAAGACACTCTCCCAGAGACGTGCCGCTCTCGTCCATCAAATCGTTCATCATCTTGGTCAGCCACATGTCCAACTCGTCCTGACTTTTCCCGCTGACGTCTCGCAAGATGGGCTCGAGAGCTTGCATCTCCTGCACCTGAGTTAGCAAAGCCGTCTGACGCAGCGCAATCTGCCCCGCCGTCAGCGTCTTCTTGTCCGACTTTGGTGCCGACGCCTCCTTGCCCTTGGACTCGGGCTTGCTGTCGGTGGTGATGACACCGCCGATGCCCTCCTTCTCCCAGCGGAATTCGCTCAGGGGAAGGGCTATTCTTCGGGAACGTACGTCGCCCAAGGTTTCGTATTCCTGCAGCAGAGTTGGGCCAATGACGGTGCAGGGAAGAGGGCTGATGTCGAGCTTCTCCAGCGCTTTCGTCAACCACGAGTTGTATTCGGCAATGTAGTTGTTTGAAGGGACTGAGAGGGGAGTTTGTGGGTTAATGACATAGGCACCGAGACTGGCGGCGGCAGCCTGCTCCTCTGCATCTTCTGCCGAAACAGTGGACGTGGGAACATGCGGTCGCAGACTTCGAATGACGTGGTCCGACTCCCAAATCTCAAACGTTCCACCCGGTCTGACCATGCGAACGCACTCCTCGATAAAGGGCTGCATCATCTTGTTGGTCACGGCATAGCTCACATCCTTGACCATGACCAGGTCGTACTCCTCAGAAGGGGTCGGCCAGGGCATCTGGCGCAAGTCGTGCTGGACAAATTTCCACTGCATGTCGGGGCTGGGCTTCATGGCGTCGTCCGAGGTGCTGGAGCTGTTGTCGGGGGCCAGCGGCGCAATGTCGATGCCGGTGAAGGACAGGCCGCCGTGACCGCGGCTCTTGAAGTAATGGTGGCACATGTTGCTCCAGAAACCCGACCCGCAGCCAATCTCCAGGACGCGCTGAGGAGGCTTCTTGATCAGGTCCGGCGACAGCACGGGAGCGCCAATGACCTGGATCAGCAGCATCGTTCGCAGGACCTGCCTGTGCAACTCGGTGAGATCCGAGGGCAAGGGGTAGACGAGCGTGTGGTCGTTGAGAAAGGTGCGGCCATTGCGCTGGACAAAGGGCCGCGAGGCAGGCAGGCCGTCGGTGGCCGAAGGGTCGGTCGAGAGGATTGTGCGCGACGAGGCAGGCGTGTGGCCGCTGGCGGACGAGACAGACTCGGCGCGGCTGGTGGGAAAGCCCGTCATTTGTTTGTTGTCCTGTTCTGGCGGCGACTGGGCGTTTGCATTTCTACCGGCGGCATCGACGACAGTGGAAGCGCTGCCGCTGAGCCTGGCGCGATGCAGGCGGGAAAAGGTCCTGGAGGCCCTGCTGCCGGTAGAACTGGACTGAGTCGGGGTCGGGGGAGGAGGATGAGTATGAGTATGGGGGAGAGAGGGAGGAGGAGAGAAAGGGTTGGAGCTTGTCGAGGCTGGAGCAGAAGCAGGAGCTGCTGAGCTGGTGGCGCTGGTGCTTGTGCTCTTCTTGGTGTTGGCGCTGTCTGGCCCCACGGAGGCGCTGGCGGCGGGGCCGAGGGCGCTGGAGCTGGAGCTGGACAGTTGCGAGTGGCTGCTGGAGCTGCGCGAGTGTCGGGCTGGGACAGAGTGCAGAGCGTCCGACGTCGAATTGGGGCGCCGGGCGTGCTGTTTTTCTCGTCGCGCGGCCCTGGCAAAGTTGCTATCGAGGGGCAGCGCGCCGAGAGTGCTGGAGTAGAGGAAGACGGCGCTGTAGTCGGACATGGTGGGCGTCGTCGGTGGGCCCCAGCCCCGGGACCTGGAGGGCTCCAGCGTGTCGTGTATGGGGGTGTAGCAGGTGTCGATTAATTGAATGAGTGAGCTGGGGGGTCAAGAGACGAGGGCACACAGTGTAGCGAGCACCAGACTGAGGTTGGTTGTGAGCAGTCAGTATCGTACTGTACAGTGCTCAATGGCCGTGCCGCCCCGTTCAATGCCCACACGACTCGATGCCCTGGAGGTTCCGCAATTGTTTCCCCCTGTCTTGCTGCAGTCCAAAGGGGTTTCGCCCGCTGTGGCGCCGGCCAGGGGCAACAGAACAAGAGACGCTGCCGTGTTTGCTGCTTGGCAAAAGGCCGCACAAAGTCCCGGACAACTCGAGCGTCAGGGTTCGGCGCGTGCCCCCCGATTCGAGGCCGTGTTTCGAGTCGTCTGTCTCAACTCGAATTCAGTTTTTTATTGCCCGGACTGCCACTCCCATGCATGCAGGCTCCGCAAACGGCCTTGCCGGGCTGCGATACCGGCCAATCAGCGCCGCCGCGTTGCTTGTCAAGAGGGCTCACCAACGCAGGCGATTCCCTCTAGGGACGCTGAGCCGGTCTTCTAGAACGATTCTGAGACCGCGGGACAAGGGGCTGACGGTTCCGGCGCACAAGCGGAAATGCTGCCCTCTGCAGGTTTTGCGCCGGTAAGCGCCCGGTAAACAAAACGGGCCAAGTCGACAGGAAGCGAACAGGAGCGTTTATTTTGTCGTGTTAGTGGTGCTGTCTTTGTAATGCCCCCCAATCCGTCGGACTGCAGATTGGTCCCTGGCCCTGTCTTTGAAACAAGCCGGTGCGGACACTGTCGCGCTCTGTATTGTGTTGTGTTGCGTGTGGGATTCGCGGTGCGCGAGTTATTATTACCTGGAGCTCTTTTTTGTCTGTGCAGAACGACGCGATCCCAAGGTGGATGCGAACGCAGACGTGCGCAAAAAGCCTGGATTTGGCAGCTGCTCGTCAGTACAATACTGTAACACTCTCGTGCAAGTCCCTGGTGTTCGTCTCTGTTGTGGCTGTGAAGGTGTCGTCATTGCTCCCTTGTATTTTATTTGGTCTTCCGATTTGCCGCTCTTTGTCCGGGTTCAATGCTCCCTGCCGTTCGCTTGTGTTCGAAATTCCCCGGATTCAGTGGCGTGGTGCTAGTAGCAGTACGAGGATGCCCTCGTGCTATCGCTCCAAGCAGTGCAAGCGCTCGTATGTACTCGTACAGTAGAAACACGTCCTAGAGAAGCAAGCAATGAAGCGAGGTGACGTATCATCCGACAACGGCTGGTGGTTGAAGAATGGTGCCAAATCCAGATGGCACAGGGTACTGTAGAGTGCGTGTTTCAACGTTTCAACTGCTGCAAGTCGTCGGCGCCGTGTCAGATTGCCGTTGTTTTCAGCAACGTTTGATCACACTCCGTCACAGACAACCAACAGCCAGCATGGACCCCTAGCAGCGCACCGCGTCGGATTGGCAGCCAAACCGCCTGGACACGGTGAAAGCGAAGAGGGCAAGACGAGGTGCCAACTGTGCACCGTGGTGTGTGCCTTTGATGCAACGATGCAGCGGCCTCGACGTGACAAGGCCTGTAATGATCGTATTGTTGTCTCTTTTGTTCGGCCCGTGCGATTTCGAGTCGACTTGGGGATGCCGTTTGCTTTAAGCGTCCGCAGCGATTCTGCTACAATACAAGCAAGGCTGCAGCGCGGGAATTTCTTGGCTCTGACCGACGTATGTGTGGAGACTCGATTCGTATCTGTGCCATTAGCGAGCCTGCTGCATCTGATCGACGGCGGTCTTCATGCACTTGAGTCAGCGCGGCAGGTGATTTCCATTGAAGGTGAAGACTGCATGTATGCAAAAAGTGACGGGACACAAATAAGGAAGAAGAAGTTGGGATAAGTAGAGGCAGGGGAGAGGTTGGTTGGCTGGTGGAGGTAGAAGAAGAGGCGGGCTCTGGCTCCAGCCCAGCACGCAACGACGGCGAGGTCAATCAGACGTCACACCGGTCTTTGGTGGCTTGGAGCTCCCTCACTCACTATCAAACTGGAAGCACAAGCACAAGCACAGCATGAGCAAATCAAAAAGTTCCCCCCGTTACCGCATTGAAATCAATGCAATCTAGCCAAGGCCGGCCCTTCTTATCTCGGCATTTCTTGGGTCTTGATTCAGCCCATCAGCCAGCCCCGTCCTGTTCCCGCCACCTTATGCATCTTCCTGGAGCTATATCGATTGCCCAATTTCGCAATCTCACCAAGGTGTGTCTGGACCCTGTTTCTGGCTCTTGCTTCAGCTTGCTTCAGCGTTCCATTTGCCATTCTCTCTTTTTCTTTCTTGCTCCGTCGTCTGCTAGCTTTTGCTACTACCTACAGCTAGCTACAACTGCGACAGTAGTCCTGCTGCTAGCCCTTCGATTAGCTGCCAATTGCGTGCGATTTTCTATTGCGACCGCAGCAACCCGCCCGGGATGTGTGGAGCAGCCCTGCGTTTTCCCCGCGTTCATGGAGTCTGTGCTTGTGTTCTCGCTGTGTCTTTGTCTTTTGTCTCGCCCGATGGCTCGCAGCATTTTGCGGTAACGGATTCTCTAATTTGGGGGCCCATGCAGCAGGCCGCTTCGCTCCTTTGGTTGGCTGCAGCTCTAGTTCAGTTCATCAGAAACTCTTGGCTCTTCCTGGCAGGATCCGCCGTCATCCAGGCGGCTGATTCCAAGCCTCGAGCTGGGCCAATGGCTGGCCAGCAAAGACGGGAACCGATGGAGCTCCAAGCACACGAGCATGCCGTCAGCTGTCGATATAATTTCCTGGCAGGTTGATTTCAGATTAGATGATCTTGGACGTGTTGAACGTGACTGCTACTATGCTAGTACCACTATATCAACGGCCCCTCCTCGCTGCTCTCTGCTGGATCAAGAGGTGATGGGAAGAATAGGCAAACCAAGACGCGTATTGCCAAATCCCTGAACTCACACCATTACCGTGCATCAGCAGCTCACCGAGCATATGGCCTCGTGACGTCTTGGAGCATCTCTCACCGTCGTCGATAAGACCCTCCATGCCCCAACTAACCAACCACAGCCAGCCGCCTGCTATCAGCTGCTTTGACATGTCCATGTCCATATCCATGTCTTTCGGTTGCGATTCTCTCTACCCGATCAACTCCATCTATCGTGTTCGGACATGTTCCAGGAAAAGGCAGGCCGTTGCGGATGTGTTGCCGATGATCACATGTGCATGCCGGCAAGAGACCTTAGTCTCTCCGATCGAGAGCCAACTCGCTACGCCGCCACCGACTATTTTCGTCTGTAAGACTCCCGATAACAGTGCCTTCACATTGCTTTACATAAAAGTTTCCTTTTGCCCAAAGGACGTGCCCAGGACGCGAGTAGCGAAAAGGAATAAGGTGCTAATCTCGACAAACAAGTCTCGGCAGCGACGCCGAATGGGGAATAAGGCCCGCGACAGGTATCCTCATGCCGTCGAAGCTTTCTTGACTGCAGAATCCCATGTGAAATAGGATTTATGCGGTCAAGATTTGACTAGCATCTAGTTAAAGTTCCGTGAGTCCTAGTAGTCTTGCGCTGGCTGCAACTTTCGTGCAAGAGAAAACAAATTGCGCACTTGGGCGATAAGCTGGCGACGACAAAGGACGTGTGTATCTGGTGCTTGTAACTCTATCAAGCTCTTCCAATAGAAGACGGCTTAAACTGAGTTCTGAAAATGCATGACGTAGATTACGATTTTAATATTAATCAACATCTTGAACTGTAATAATGTACTAATCTAGTGTAAGTTGTAGTTCTCTATACTCCTACCTATGTGTTGAGCATTGGATGTCAGACATCGCGTCTATGGGTATGGCCGTAGCGTGTCCCCGGCTATCGCTCCAGAAGTAGCTCCGGTTTGGTCATGCCGATGTGAGATTGTCCGGTAGATAATAAAGTTGCACCCACATCCGGCAAACTTTGAGTGCGAGTATCTATTTCAAGATGCTTTCTTCACACTTTGGGATCTGGCCAATGCCTGAACTTTCACACGGGCATGCGCACATGATGTAGGCGGTTTGTATTCCACAGCTCAAGATTGACAAAGTTTCGCCTTATGGAAGAAAAGAGCCACACACCCTCTCTAGGCAGACACTCTTCACCTTACTTTAATTAACAAACGTGGCTTGCAATGACTGTAAAGATGATTCAAAGCCACCTCTAGTAAGGCAGATCTCCAACCTGGCATGTAGTTGTTATCGCACCTAAAAACGCCATAGATAAGATCACGTGACTTTTCGCTCTCACTGATTCGGTTCATGCGGAGCAACAGCCGCACGTGATTTGCCTTTCCAGCTTCTCGACGCAGTTTGTCATCGCCAAAGGCACATCGTCAACTCCAAAGCGGCCCGGGATTTCCAACTCTCGATATCGACAGCCACTATTCTTCCGCACAGGTATTAGTTGCATCTTATCTAGTGGTAACATCTCAGTATTGCGCTCGCTCGTTTATTTTTTTTTTATATTTGTGAGTCGCCCTGGCGGACGTGGCCCCTCCATTTTGCAGTGGGACCCTCACCAATTCCCGCTTTCGTTCGCGTGTCCTGACTTTCAAAGACATTGGCTGACATCTCCCTGTGCAGTCGCCTTTCAGCTCGCGGCAAACCGTTTGCACTTGTTATATCCAAAACCTCGGGATTTTTTTCTCGCCCGCCCCCTCTTGTCTCGCCGTTTTCTCAACTCTCCTTGTTCCGATCAGAGCTTTACGCCACCGAACCCCGCGGTTTGCTACTCCTCACCTCGGCCAGCTTACGACGTAGCCTCCCCCCCGGGGTTCAGACGAGCTCAGCTATCCATGGGCAATTGAGGTCGGATCCGGCTTCACATCCGCTCGACTGCGCCGGCCCATCACAGTTGCATATGCTAGGGCTCCCGTCTCGCCGAACCCATGCGCAAACGCGATAATCCGTCCTGCGTCCCTCGTTTCGAACAGCGCGTCTAGCGGAAAGATTTCTTCCACCCTCTCCCCGGCCCGGGCTCTGCTCCAATCACTCTTCAACGCGTACTAGACAACAAATGACATCTGCTCCCGACTGGCTTGCCACGACAGACTCGCCAACCCCCTTCCTCTACCGACATCCCTATAGTCCGGCCTAGGCCACTCTCAGAACCGCCCATCGGCGCGGTCCTGAAACGCCGCGGCTTCAGAGCCGATCTCTAACCCGTCAAACGCAATCTCTGCGGCATGTACTCACAAAGCCACCAGCAGGGACACAATGCCCGGCTGAATGGGGCGGGGCGGGGAATGCCCAATATGCTGTATAATTTCCAGCAGCATGCGCAACATCAGCACCCCTCCCAGCCCCAGCATCACCAAGGGCTACAGCACGACCATATCCTCCCCAGCGCCAATGGGCTGGGTCATCACTCATCCTTCGCTTCCGGTATCCTCTCAAGCTCGGCCACATTCAACTCTGCCGGTCTCTCAAACGGGCACGCGACCAATGCTAGGGCAGGGCAGGCTCCGCAGAATGAAATGTGGCAAGAACAGTTGCGACTTCACAAGGAGGCCGAGAGGGCGCATGCTGCCATGACTGAACAGCAGCAGCCACACTATTATGCCAGACTCAAAGCGTCAGAAAACAGAGGCATTGGTGGCCCTCCTCCCTCCAACGGTAAGACCCAGGCGGACAGCGAGAACGATCCGGCAGATATGAGAAGGCCGTTGAATGTAGAGAAGGGAACGAACCGCCAAGATTGGCACAATATGGACATGAGCGGTCAGGGACTGCGAAATCTCGCCTCGGAGCTCTTCCGATACCATTTCCTAAACGAACTCTACATCGCCTCCAACAAGCTCACTCGCCTCCCCAACGCAATTGGAGAGCTTCGCCAACTCCGACACCTCGATGCTTCTTTCAATCAAATCAGCGAACTCCCCCCGGAATTGGGCATGTGCACTTACCTGAAGCAGCTGCTCCTTTTCAATAATAACCTCCAAGAGTTGCCCTTTGAGCTTGGCTCTCTTCATCAGCTGGAAATGCTCGGCATTGAAGGCAATCCATTAGAACCCAGCATAAAGCAGGAAATAATTGAAAAGGGCACAAAGAGCCTGATCAATGCTTTGATGGAAGGAGCTCCAAGTATGTTGCTGCCAATGGTCACAAGTTCCCCTTTTGTTTATACTCATTGCTAACCTCCCCTCTTCCCAGTTCCTCTCCCCCCTAGCCCGCGAAAAGAAATCATCATTCAGGAGGACGTGCCCGAGTCTCTAGAACGAATCAGGGTCTTCTCGTGGAATATTCTCTGCGACAAATATGCAACGACGCAAACGTATGGTTACACGCCCACCGGGGCTTTGAGCTGGGAATATCGCAAGAACTGCATCCTGGAAGAGCTGCGGATACGAGATGCCGACTTCCTGGCTCTGCAAGAAGTCTCCACCGATGCCTTCAAAGAGGACCTCAGCCCCGAACTGGCACAGATGGACTACAAGGGTGTGCATTGGCCCAAGTCCAGAGCCAAGACAATGTCCGAAAAGGATGCCCAAACTGTTGATGGTTGCGCCGTGTTCTACAAGCAGAGCAAATTCATCCTGCTCGACAAGCAGTTGATTGAATTTGCTACAATTGCCATCAACCGACCCGACATGAAGAACCAGCATGACGTCTTCAACCGCGTGATGCCAAAGGACAACATTGCTGTTATTTGCTTCTTTGAGTCCCGACTGACTGGTGCTCGCATCATCCTGGTCAACGCACATCTCACGTGGGACTCGGCACTAGCAGACGTCAAGCTGATCCAGACGGGTATTCTGATGGAGCATGTGACCAAGTTGGCAGAGAAGTACGCAAGGTGGCCTGCTGTCAAAGACAAGAAGATGATCACATTACCGAGAGGCGAAGACAGTGATGAGCCACCGCCACCACCGCAAGCTGAACCAGGCCCCAGCCAAGAATACCGATCCAACACTGACATTCCACTCATCGTCTGCGGTGACTTCAACTCAACGAAAGATTCTTCGGTGTGGGAACTCATGTGTATGGGTCGCGTGCCGCCAGACCATACGGAGCTGACCAGCTTCCACTATGGAAGCTTCACTCGCGACGGTATCGAACATCCCTTCAGCTTACGAGACTCCTATGCACCCATTCAGAATACACCGGATGAGCTGCCCTTTACCAACTACACGCCCGGGTTCGCCGACGTCATTGACTACATCTGGTATTCGGCCAACACCCTGGAAGTTGTCGAGCTGCTGGGCCCTCCCGACCCGACATATATGAAGCGTATCCCAGCTTTCCCCAACTGGCACTTCCCAGCCGATCATATCCAGATCATGTCTGAATTTGTCATCAAGAACCGCAAAGACAAGAAACAAGTGTCAGAATAATTTTCTCATTTTCCCTCTCCTCTTTTTCTCGTCCTCTTTTTGGTTGGCATGGTGGGTGGTGTCGCGTGGATAGAAGGATACAAAGGGTAGGACGAAACCGCTAGTGATTGAACGAATGGAAACCTCTTATGCCTCAAATCTGGATGTAGTTTTGGGTTTTGTAAATGGAGTCTACGGAATCATTTTCTTCACCTCTTATCTATCTCTCTCTCTTCCCCTCGTTTTTCTTTTTTAATTTTGTTGTTTTCGTGCGGAGTGACAGCGTGGCTCTCGGCCTAGCGGAGGAGGTGGTACGGCAAGAAAGTAGGCGACTGTAACAATGTATGTGTAACAGGGGGGTTTGGTGGAAGGGGAGGGAACAGCGGCTCTGTATAGGACTGGTAGGAGTTGATTCGCTTTTTTGCACTATTTATTATTGGCTTGGCCAGTGTACTATGTGAATTCGTTTTGCTTTAGGCTAGGTACTTCTTGTTGAGTGAAAATTGAGAGTTTTTGAGTTGTTAGTTTAGGGTAAGACGTGTGAAGTGGTGCGGGTGTTGACGTCTGATCTGTGAGAATCCGATGTTGAAAGGCGTCAATTGTCGGTGAGGGCTGAAATTGATGTAAATTGCCGTGAAATGAATGAGTTGTCTATGCCACGTTGTTTTTTCTGGCGTTTCACATCACCTTGTGAAGACGGAGAGTTGCGTGAATGACGAGGAGTATGATGTTGATATCCGCTTTGTCGGTGAGGAGAGCTTCATTCACTCTTTGTGGTGAATATTTGTTGGGAAAGAGATTGCCGTCTCGAAAATTATAAAGACTGCTCGTTTCCTCTGAATTTCTACTCTTCAGTCATTCAGTTTCTTTCCTTTGTCTTTCCTTACAGATGGAATTACCGACGGTGCCATTACAGATGTAGAGATGCGGACTTTTATTGACCGACCCGCCATTCCAGCCTAGATGTGTAAGTGCTCTGACACCCATTTGACTTGGTCGCGAACTCATTCAAGTAGCATGACGAATTTAGTATTTCAGACTTACTGCGTGGAAATTGCAAACTCAACTCGAATTTGCGTTGCGAAATGGGAGCTTCAACAGTCGAATCCAGGGACTGGAGAGTCTTTTCAAACTGATGAGGAATCGAGCCCCAGATACTGCAAAATACGAAGAGATTTGTCAATCAGTATGTATGAATATCATGATCCCTCTCACCCATCTTTGTGACTCTAAACATCCTTCTCCTTGATTGCTTGACTATCAATGATGATGGTTGGAGAAGTAATATTGACCTCCTCTTCGCATAGTATGCCAAGTAAGGCTCGCTGGCTGTCCTAGCCACGCTATTCTCCGGTCGCCAACAGCCGATGTTATGCTTGGGAAGAATGTATTTTATCATCTCGTCGTACGAAGACAGTAGCAACAAGAGAGAGACTAGCTGGCGCAGTTTGCCATCCATATTTTCCCACTGAACGTGTCATTCAGCATTGGCATTTCAGCCACCAGAAATCTTGCTCTTTGCAGCAAGCAATCCCCAAGTTCATTGCGATGGTTGGACGACCATCTTCAAGAAACGACCAAATCACACTGAATGTAAGTACTTGACTCGGAAGCCCCGTGTTGCAAGAGAGTGCGAGGCTGATTGTCTTCAATAGCGACAAATCCATTACGGCAACGCTCCTCACCACGAAAGAAGTAACTTGGAAAAATACTCGACTACACAGAGGAGACGAATACTCTTGCAGACGGAAGATTGACTATGTAGGCTTGCAACACTGTCAATTTGATGAGCACTCTCTAGGCGACTGTGCTGCTATGGCGATAAGAACGATATTCAAAGGCAGGTATTGGCCGTCATTGCAACTATACTATGGGAGATCGATCTGGGCGACCACCAGGCTCTATGATGACTCAAGGCCGTGGAGTGACAGAAGCTTCAATAAGGGCTGGTCGGTTCGGAAACCGAGATACACTACTTTTAAACGGACAGAGAGACACGGAAACCGAAAGACCCGTTTCGGATTCAACGAAGGTAAACGCACATACACTCTGAACAGAGGGATAGATGGGACTGACAGAAACACGAAGCACATTGTACACGGCCTCTTCAAGGCGTGGAAGCCGGCTGTTCGACTACTCGGACCCCTCGTCGACTTCTTCCGTCACTGCCGGTCCGAAGAGCACACCAACGAAGAGCGGCGACGAGAATCAGATGAATGAACCCAAGGCAACTTCGCCGCGATAGAAGAGGATTTTCATGGAATAATAGTGACAACAGGGACATGACACGGACGGATTCTCACACTTGGTATCGCGCACTAACATTTTACCTTTTCGACTCGAGCATGTCGAGCAGGTTTCAAATGTTTTGGGATATGTGCTGAGAGTCCCTCTTATATTCGCAATGAGGTACCCCGAGAAGCTTTTGTCTGCACTCCGCGCTATCGACAAAGCACTCCCTAACGAGTATACGCCTATGTATATCCTACTCCTGGGATATCATGTCTGGTGTGACTTGTTGGATCAGAAGGACTTGGACATACCCAATCTCAGTCAAACTACCAATATCCTTCCTGTAAGTTTGATCATTTCGAATTACTCAAGCACGGAGCTTCTCCCCGATCTCATGGGCAGTTGATTACTGTTGCTACCCAAGTTGCACACTCTCGAAGACAAACGACACATATCATCTAACGCCTTCACAGCAGTCTGACGGATTGAGAAGACACAGACATCAACTGCATCGGCACGAGTCACCACGCCGCGGAAGTACGAAGCGGCATTTGGACAATCCACAGCCGAAGAGGATCGTCAAAATACGACGATTGAGAATCACTTGTTGGCAACTCACGCTATGAATGAAATCTCACTGGATATGCATAATGCGTACGATAAAACACGCAAGGCTGCTCGCCAGAACATAGACCGTTCTTTACACCATGCAGCCCTCGAATACCTGATGCTCAACAACGATGCGCCACGCTACGAGGATCTTGTCGAGCAATTAGGTAGAATCGACCGTGGTGAGAAGCTAGAGGAAGACGAAAAACCGCTGGTTAAAGCTGGAATTAAATCGATTTATGAAGATTTCTTGGAGGACTTCCAATACTTGGGTTACACTGGAAAGACATTTCATAGTTGCATGTGCATATGCAGCGCTCGAAGTCTGCAATGCATTCTGGCCATGAACATCCTGGCGAATCCGCAGGAGAGCACCCGCAATATTTTCCCTCGCCGAAGGCGACACCGATGAGATTGGAGCCATGGCCGCTTTCATTCGAGACTTTTCACAGAATTCGCGAGCAAATGACGATCACACAAGACCCGCAAGCTGCGCACAATCTTGAGGCCGCACTTGACCTCTATCCCCTATTTTGTGGATTCGTACATATTGTTCCACCATGACAATATATTTCAATTTATTCGAATTTACACAGAAACACGCCTCTTTGCCAATTTCGGTTCTATCAAGGTCAGACACGCACCCGATGCCTGTCCTTTGTCGCTGCTCATCACACAATATGGAGCATCTTACTAAAGCACGCGAACAACTTCTTCTCGCTGTGCAGCAACCTGTGACTTCAATCCCCCCTTAAAGTGAACAACAAGGGGCTTGCTCCGCTTATACTTGGTATGTGCTGCTTCGAGTTCTTTTATCTTTCGACAAGAGGACGATGAACCTCTTTGTCCTACGGCTTGGATGATTGTTCATAAGGCCTTTCTGTCCGAGAACTCTTTTTGCTAATACTCACTTCTGGAGCTAGATTTCCCCAATCAGCAATGCGATGATGTAGAGGGACATAGGTAATTGGTGATGGTGCCGCTCCTCCGAATGCTATATCACTAGATTCTGGACAACTACCACAAGTCCCAGGTAATGATTTTGTCGAGCGAAACTGGCTCTGGCAAGTCAACCCAGGTCCCCCAACTTCTGGTTTGCTCGAGCAGCCGTTTTTGCTCGCTATATCCTGCTATAATCAGAATCCGGCCCCATGTGTATGTGCGGATGATCTCCTCTGATGCCTGCTCTTTTTCTTTGCCCTTGCCGGTGGACTTCTTGCCGGTCATGTCAAACCGATTGTTGGTGTAAGAGTCTGCTGAGAACAAGGGAGCTGAGGCGGCTAGTCTGGCAGTGAATATTGGAAGTGGGCTCCAGATTGCCTGCACCCAGACCGCGCTGACTGGCTGCAATCGAACTCGCCAGTCGAGTTGCCGACGAGATGGGAGTCGTCCTTGGCGAGGAAGTGGGCTACTAGATTGGTGGTGTCAGAATGATCAACAAAAACAAGCAGAAGAAGACTCGGCTCGCATATATGACCGAAGGCGTTCTCCTTCGCCAGCTGAGCATGGACAGACAGAACGACCTATACCGTTCTGAAGCCACAGCAAGAAGAGATCTCAGAATCTCCTTACATTACAGCCGAAGAGCAGATCAAATTCTACTCTTTTAGCATATTCGACTCTATTTTCTTCGAGTCATGTGCGACTCCGACTTCCCTTCAGGAAATGCACACGACGATAGTTCGACACAACTGGTGTTGCTTGGTATTTTTACTCCGCAGCGCCCAACTTCATCACAGTTGACAAGGAAACCGCAGTTACGCCCAATTTCGCAGGCTACAAGAACCACAAGAGGACGATCGCAAATATCAGCAACAGATTCTTTCACGACGGTGCTGGCCGCATTAGAGACCCAGCCTGAGATCAAGTCTAAGGCAGAGGAAGTCATTGATATCATCTCAACTACATACCCAACCCGGCGCTTGAGGAGCCGGATGACCTAGCCGGCCCGTGGGGAGTGTTCACGTTGAATTGGATGGGCCGGAAATGCGACTTTTTGAAGGAATTGGCATGATTGACGGCGGCATGCACATTTTACTAATGGGACGAAGCTGAAGGGCGGATATTCGGCATCAAATAGATGGACGTGGAGGTTCAGCCAGGAGTGAAGGTGTAAATCTTCCATGAGAGAAAGCAACGGGGAGAATGGTATCGGTCATGGTATGGACGATGGACGGTGAATGGGCTAGAGTGTGGTATCAAGAGTAGGGTACACCTACATACGGTCTGTAATTTATAATATGCCAGGGAGATGGCGTCAATATTGATGAGCATGTTTCTATACTGGCATGTCTCTTGCTCATGCTCTTGAGAACTCTGTCTTCATTTGTTGACTGTTAGCTCTACTAACAAAGAGGGTGATACTGACCATAGGATATGATGATTGGGCTCTCTAGATACTCCTTCATGTCATGGATACAGCCTTCAGTATGCCCAAGTTCTCTTCAACGTTTGTTCGTTTCACTGTTTTAACACTTGGACACTGCCCAATGCTAGCTATGCCGTTACCTTGAGGGCCCAGAGTAACGCTGAGCCAGCTCTTGGGCGCCTAGAGATGCGTGTTTGTAGCTCATCCAGTGAATTCTTCCTCTGTTCAACTGGCACTGCTGGGCAGCTGCCCACACACACACGCGCCTCTACGCGTCTCGGCCCTTGGATTGTTCCGTTGCTAACCACAAGGCCACAGGAGGCCTGCGATGTTTTTCTCTGCTTCTCCTTCCACTGTGTTTTGGCTTTTCTTCTTCTTCATCCAGCATTGTCTCGTGCAATACTTATTCAGCCCTTACAGCAAAGACCCTTACAATCTCTATCTTGCCCACATATTTGTTTTCATTCTGTACAATATAACCTCTTCGTTCACACCCACCTAATGAATCCCGCCTTCTTGTCCCTCTTGAGCGATTCTTCGTCGCAAAAACCATCGCCAAAACTCGAGTATGGGGGCAACAAATACACCCAGCTTTCCGCCCGGCAGCAATCCAACGTCTACAAGGAGCTGTTGAAGAGATGCCATTCGTTGGATATCCTTCGGGCAGAGTTTCATATTCTTGAGAATGAAACACCACCCAGAGGCGTTGAAATACAGCTAGAACCTGAACTAGAAGACTTTGCCGCGGCGCCAAAAGGACATTCTTCAACTGGACTACGGAAAGCTGTCGCCGTCAGGTGTGAATGGGGTAGGCTTGCAGACGGTCGACGCGAATTGCTGGCTATTTGTGCTATCGATGTTCTTACGGGCGAAACCTTGATCGAATCTCTTGTTACGCCGTTACGGCAGGTGAAGAAATGGCGTGACAGCGTTCATGGAATTACTCTAGGAAAAATCACTGCCGCGAGAAAGAAGAAGCTGTGCCTTCGCGGCTGGAAAGAAGCACGAGCAAAGCTATTTGAGCACATTGATGAGAAGACCATCCTTATCGGGTATACCATCGGCACTGACCTAAGGTTGTTGCGCTTATTTCACAAGAAAATTATTGACTCGCGGATCCTCGCAACATCTCCCATCTCCGGCCAACAATTGGGCCCGAAACAACGGCCACAATGGCCAATGTCCAAGATTTGCAGCGATTTTCTTGGTTTCGCCAGTCAACAGAATGCCATTTACACAAGCGGCACCGAAAGTGCGTTTGAAAATGCACTGGTATCCAGAGAGATTGCGCTGCAGTCCATTCAACGGCCTAAGGAATTTGCAAGATGGGTAACAAAATCGAGAGGCGAGTTTTTCAAGTCTCAGAACGCCGATAGGAGAGGCAAAAAGCAGGGAGCGAGTCAACAACCGAATGCAATTCAGCAACAGAATGCAATTCAGCAACAGGCTGGTACGGAAACGGCAAAGAACGAAGGGGAAGCACAGAAGAGTGGTGATTCGGATGCCAGACCTGGCGTAGAGACAACCGTTGGCCCCATCTCGGATAAGAATCAAGCTGCAGGCACATTCACTCAGGGATATGAGGCCGGGTACCTAGCCGGCTTTCAAAAAGGGCTCGAAAACGGCCTTAAACAGGCGAATTCACAAGAGAACAAAGAAATGGAGGACATTCTGCACCAGCCTCCAAACGAAAGGGAGCACACTTGTCAGAAATCGATCCAGAATATAGACGGAAAAGAGAGTTTTGGCGGCCATAGCGGGGTGATCAGCCAGAATGACAGCAACAATGATGATTGGGCACCAGCATAGGAATCTGGGGGCCTCCTTGCCGAACTGATGAAGGACGAGAAGATTAGAGCGATGTCTGAGAGAGCAAATGGCACTGGGAGTCACAAAGCCACGATAGGGGTAGACGACGATGCAATGAGCGATACGACTTTTGAAGAAGCAATTCGGGTGACATACCCACAGGAAGAGGGCAAGAAGAGGAGACGAGAGAGGGATAGCTCGTGTACAAGTTTGGCTGAGGGCTCCGGATCGCTGAAGAGGATTTCCGGGCATGAATCATCTCAGCCGCGGAATGGAGATGTGCAGCCGTGGGAGAATATTATGGACTGGTAGTTGGACGCATGTTTCTGGTGGATTGTGGGACATGACAGTGTTCTGTGCCCAATCTTTTCAAGCTTTGGCTTTTTTCTGGTCTTTTAATCCGGTTTGGTGGTATTGATGGAGTAACAACAAACATGCATCATCTAGATAGATGACATTTGGTGTGATGGCTTTGAGATGGTTCTCTTGTTTCATGTATGCAGAGGTTTATAATTCACGGAGTAAATATGAAGAGATGAATGGAAAGAAAATCGACACTAATCCCGATATTATGCCTGGTGATAGCGATACATATTTTAAACTAAACAATGAATCAGACACATTGCCATATGTCGATAATGCCTCTGCTCGGTGAGAGTGTCCCAGATGGAGTGCCCCATTAGACCAAGTGGCTACACAGGTACTCTCCATATATACCAGGTACGATGGCCGTTTGCAGTGCTTCCTCTACTTTGCCAGTTGTTCTTGATTAGGCAGCTTGAAGTCTATTAGTAGGTAGGTGTTTGTAGAGTTATTTCCCGAGCAAGAACTACCTCTGCCTTGCACCTGAGCAAACATGAGCTGAGCGCATTGAGCAGCCTATAAACATCAAACGCCAAACGCCAACTTTTGAGCCTCAACCCCGATCAAACACACACATCACGCATTCGTTACCGCTCCCTGTGATTCTCGCGCGAACACAGCCAGCATCGATACCGAGTATTACTATTATGGAACTTGCGCCTGTCGTTTACGAAAGCAATCCTAAAGACAAGCGATGCCGCCTCTTCCCGACGAACCCGAGCCCTTGCCGACGCCTCCTGGCTCTCCATTGCCATGGGCCGGCAAATACGAGGCCTCCCTCCAATGTATGCCGCCTGAGATTACCATGAGAATCATGGGATTTACGGACTCGAGGTTTGAGCTCATCAACCTCGCACTGAGCTCGCCGTATCTTTTCGCCGTGATGAAGATGCATGAGGTTCTGATACTCAAGGCGATGGCGCGCAATTTACTTGGTCCCTCCAACCTGGACATTTGCCTCTTAACTATGGGGGTACTAAAGGTCGCTCAGAGTGGAGAGAAGGTCTGGCAGTGTCTGTATGCTCTCTCACAGCGCCCAACGGTGGACACGATACGCGATCTCAAGACGCTCCGTAACATGGTGGACTTGACCGCGTACATCAACACCATGGTGACAATCTACACGTATCCACAGCAGCCAGATCCCTTTTGGAGACATGCCTTGCGCAAGTACGCCAACCGATGGCCCGACGGCTGCGTCCCTGACGGCAACGTCTCCATCGACCCGTCGACACGAGAAGAGTTGCAACAGGTGGCTGCGCGTCTCTGGAACGTGCGAGACGCGGCATTCGGAAATCATCACAGCGCGCCACCTAGAATCAATCATTCAAAAGAGCTCATGACGCTGTACCAGCGAGAAATGTTTTGCGCGGAGCTGAAGCTGCGGTGCGACCTGGTGTCAGAGGCGGGATATGACATCCCTGAGTGGATGCACGAAGAGATGCCCGGCGATGGAGTACAGAGCTTCCTCGAGCTGCTCTAGTGCTGCAGCGTGCACGCGATGGCCCAGTGTTGGAACCGTGACGACGGCGAGGTGTGGACGGAAATGAATCAGTCGTCTTGGGCCGAGGGCCGAGCTCTGGGAATTCGGTTTTACATTGCCATTGCGATATATATGCCATACTATGCTCATCGGGAAACGGTTGTTGAGCTCTGCCACGCTATACGGAGCCAAATATGGCCTTATTGGCATCCAGAGGAATCCAGCGGGGCCCCAACTGAATGGTTCTTTGAGTTTCAGGAGGCTGCGTGGGAAGGCTTGTGGGAGCACGCTTACGAGTATTGCCGGCAACTCGACAATGGGCTCGTGGATGACATTGGCGGAGGAACGGAGTACTTTTGAGACGGTCGTTTTGGTTCTTTAGAACATTTGGAATAGCGATAGAGCGATATTTTGCAAATTGGCTGCTGAAGCAGCGAATAATAATAGATGATCTATGATATTCTTGATCATGAAGCGCTAATGCTGTGGCATATCTCTGTGGCCATGGTGTCTGACGTTTCTGTGGTTCCTTTACCTTTAACCAACCCATATGAAAGTGAAATGAAATAAAATGAAATGCTTATCCGCGAAATTAGGATCTCTGTCCTGGCTTGATATCAATCTTGACTCTTGGTCTTGGCAATCTGCCGCCGTGTGTCTGGATGGAACTCTTGCCGCTGATGCTCTTGTCATCAAAGGTGACATGTTTTCCAACTGCAGGAGGTTTGTCAATTGACACTCGCCTGGGGATGCGGCTGATGTAACCACTTTTACTTGTAGGAGAAGCAATCTTTGGAGGAGCAGCCGGAGGCACATTCTCAGCAGGAATTGTGCTCTTTTTATTTTCCGCAGAAGCACTCCTTTTTGCAGCAGACATGGTCCCAGCAGACCTAGAAGCTGCAGTAATATTCCCGACCCCGACGCTCTTCATCCTCACGCCCGCTCTGCCTTTCGCTTCCCGTACCACACCGATGCGACACCCGGTTCTACGGCGGCATGTCGACTGGCAGACGAACTTGAGGCCCGGGCGCCACGGCACGACGACGATGGAGCCGCGGTACTCGGAGCCGATGGAGCCGACGAGGCGGTCGGTCGCGGACTCGTAAAAGGTGACTGCGCTCGGGGACGATGCGTCGATTTGGATGGCGAGGGCGAGGGTGTCGGGGGGAGGTTTTGTGGGTTGGTTGGGGGGGTAGATGGACCATTCTGGGGGGAGGCATTTCTTGCGAGTCTTGGAGGGGAAGATTGTTAGTTATGTGGTTTGTTAGAGAGAGGGAGGGAGGGGGGAATGGGGGATGTAATACTTCTTTTTGGCATTTGAGGAGAAGGTTTTCTGTGGATGTTGATGTTGCTGGTTTGGGGGGCGGCATTATGAGGTTTCCGATATGGGGGATTCTGGGTAGAAGATGGTGTTCTGTGGTGTTGGCGATGATGGATGGAGAGAGCAATGTGTTTGTGTTGGAGTTGGGAGAAGAAGATGGTGAGTTGGGTATCAATTATACATGTGCCTTACTCCGGTTCTGTATCCGGTCGTGCAGCAATTAATTGAGTGTCACACTATGAATGATTCCATGTATATTGGCTGTGCATGATGGCTGCACGAGCATGTATGATGCGTTGTCAGTTAATGCGGGCTCCGAGTTTGTGTAAGTAGTTGCATGTAAGCCATTGAGAGTTTACTGTGCATTGCCCCATTTCTGCATTTCCCAGGTTGCCCATTACAAGTCCAGATGCATGTACGTGTTCGATGATCAGGTTTCGCCGTGACGTGAAAGCGGCAATCCTACCTAGTGAAAGCCCCGGATACCAACAATGCCATGATTTTGCAATTGAATCAGGCTGTTAACGTGGCACCTTGATGCTGCGTCGCAAACCCGTCGAATCGCCTTACTCTTACGGAGTATTAGTATATTACTGCTTGCCATCTAAGTGGCCCTAAGTGGCACGTTGTGAGTGGCCTAATTCGGATGCGTGGCTATCGTATGCAGCCATTTCATTGGCTGCGTATTAGCATTTTCTTAACTCGAGGCTAGGGGCAAAGCTACAACAATTGGCAATGCTGGTAATGAATATAGATAAAGGAAGGTTATTGACGCAGTTCAAAGCCATTTGTCAAGTGAGATCATCTCACGAATTTCGTATCAAACTTGGTTGCTACACTCTACTGCGCAAGCTGCGAAGCTAAAGGTTGTACTAGAACTTTATCACTTTGATGTTAGACTAGGATCCGCGCGGCATGCGAACAGATGCACAGATGTAAATGATAGTAATGATGCGAACGTGATGGAACTTTATACACTACCTATGAAATAGATCATTTAGTCTTGAGCCGTGGCGCTGAGCTTAAAATACATGAACACGTAACCATCGCGATTGCGTGGATCGCCGCGTAAAGGTACATAGGGAAATACGAGCCAGCGCCCTAAGTCTGCTATATAGCATCCCATGTCTCAGATTTAAAGCTATATACTCAAGTAGCGATAATATCAGAAACCAGAGGAATATAGCCATAGTAGGGGAAACTAGAAAAATGTAACGAAAGTAGCATATACTAGAAAAAGATAGCGATAGTACTATATACTGGAATAAAGTATCGATAGTAACAGAAAGAAGTGACAGCGGTAGGTGCTTAAAGAGCTGGATATCTACAACCTACTACCTACTAACTAGGTAGACAATAAAATTAAATGCTTCCCTTCGCATCCTGTTCCGATATTTAAATTCAGGCAGCCGCTGTGGTGCAGGCCTGTGAGTATTTTCTTTTAGTTATCGTAATGGTTTAGCTTTGAGTAATCCAGCAAATACTTCCCCCAATGGCTGTCACTACTCTCAAGCTCGATATCCTCCCGCAATCCGATGGCATGAAGCGTCTCTTTACTGACCCCCACTTGGCCGAGGTACGTGACTGTGTCCTTCCACCTCTGGACGTCTTCTTCGCCTTGAAAGAATCTTCTATAAGGATGTCTGCTCTGACGAAACGCTTGGATGGCACCCTCTACCCCAACGCGGTCAATCATGACCATGAGGATTTCCTTGTGTGCCCAGAACGCTGCAGCAGCCGGTGTACTTCCGTGCTCCCCTCGTTCAGACACGGCTGCGGGATCTGCACCGGCATCAAGCAACAAGTGCCGTATTTCTTCTTGCTCTTCTTTACGATCTGTCCTCCACGTCTCTATCATTGATGCCTCGAGAGCGCTGCCATAGTCTCCACCTTTTAGGGGCAAATTTGGATCTGCGCCATGATCGAGTAGCAGCCGGACAATTGCCAGGCTCCTTCTTTCTACTGCAGTGATAAGAGGACTCCCGTACCTGCCGTTGTGCACGGCCGCATTCACATTGGCTCCAGCTTTGAGCAGCATTTGGACCGCTTCGACATCGCCATGCCACGCCGCTGCAATCAAGACGTTGCCAAACATGAATCCGCTATTATTCTCCCTCTCCACGTCTACGACGCCTTGATCCAGCATCCATTGCAGCCTTGCGGGGCTATAATCGGTGGCCAACTGTGCAGCAGTTATTCCGCGCTTGTGGTCTGGAAGGTTAACATCTGTACTTGCTTCCATTATCAACAACTTCACAATGTCGAAATTTTCTTCTTCGAGTGCGAAAATCAACGCACCAACGCAATTCACCGCAGCATCCGGATGCATAACGTCAATCAAGTCGACCAAATGTTTGACCATTGGCAAGCATTTGCTCTCAACCGCGAGCATCAATGAGGTATTGCGGTAGCCGGTTTTTTCGAAGGCCATCTCCATGGTCACTTTGCTGTGCAGCCACCAGTCGCGCAAAGTGTACCATAATCCATACTCACACACGGCAAACAAAGCCATGTTGGTTGGTTCGAAGTCTTTACCCATAGTCCCGGCCCATTTTCGATAGTTGGCGCTGCTTTCATCTGGTGAGCCGAGGAAGCGCTCCAGGGCCTCTACAAGATGCAGGTCGGCCTTTCCTTCTTCCATCGTTCCTAGCCATTGATCGTATCGCCCAACGTGCTTGCCCCAATGTTCTAGAAGGTAATATCCAAAACTGCTATCCCTGTATCTTATCTCTTCTGGCCAAAAGTTTTCCAGAACACCGAGGCACACTTTTGAAGCAAACAAATGGCACTTCCAATTCGTGTAGCCTCTTGACTCAAAATATTCCGCCACAGAGGCATGTGGCAGCATCCAAACACCCCTTTCTTCATCAATAGTCAGGAGGTCCTGGCAAAGTGATAGAATTTGTTGCTGCGTCTGTTCTTTCTTTTGTATCACTGTGGATCCTTGGACGGCATACCGAATGGCTTCTAAAAAGACTTTCGACGTGAGTGGCCCAATAAAACACAGCACCCACATAATGGCACGCTCAGCCAGGTCGACATCGGAGTCATCATACCCTCTCATATGGTCCCAAAGCTGATCATACGCTTCTGTTAAATTGCGAGGCAATTTAAGGGCCCAATTATGGACTGCATCATCCGTGATATGCTTTTCAAGGCTTCTCACTTGTAAGTAAACCCATCGGAACCTGTAGCCACGCGTGTCAGATCTCACTCATCTCGATCCCCATGTAAACAATAACATCGTCTTAAATGAAAACCTACATTCCGCAGCTCCGCGTTGCAAAAACCTGTTTAATTTTGTATTGGGCTTCTTGACTTCGCTCCATGAACGATTCGGTAGAGTAAAGCTTCTCCTCGAGAAATCTGTCAATGTCTCCTTGCTGATTGCTAGCATCCAGAGTAATAATATGCTTATCTCGGAATGCCTTTAAATACTTCCGGTCTGGTCGGGTAGAAATAAAAATCTTGACAGGTCTTCTGGACTCTTCTATCATTTCGATAAGAATAGTACACAAGTTATATGTGGTGATGTCAGATTCGTCCAAAGCATCCAGAATAATCGTTGTCTTTGAATATAGATTCAAGGATTCCAGAATCAAGGTTTTGCAGTCCTTGTAACCTAATTCTCTCCCCTCTCTCTTCGCAGCCTTACATTTCTGTGCGAGGCTACTTTGGATGAGGCCAGGTTCACCAAAGGCCTTGCCAGCTAGCTGACGAACAAAGCTTCTTAAGACAACGATTGGGTCTTGCATCGAAGGGCCTGATCGAGTACAGTAAAAATAGGCAAACCCTTCATCATGTTGCGACGTATCAAGTGTTTGCTTGACGTAATCGACCACCTTAGACGTCAGATACGTTTTGCCGGTGCCAACTAAACGGTCGATGTCAGATAAAGCTACCTCATCCAGATCAAAGAGACGGCTTTGAAGAGAGAACTCACCGGTTCCCTTAAGGCATAAAACAGCCGAAGAAGAAGATATCTCTTGCCAAGCACGGAAATCTCTGTTGACCAATATCCAATCCCCAGTGTGCTCTATCCTTGCGTCAGTGACAGCAGCATGGCTTTTCCCGAACATCTCTGAGCTAATGAAGTACATCAATTCATCGAACTCGTTTTCTTCCAACTTTTCTAGAAGAGTCGCAACCCCTTTATCCATCCGAAGAAGAGGCGTCGATAGCTGATCTAATTGTTTCTTTAATTCTTTCAAGCTGTCGTTTGCCTGCTTGGACGAAATTACAGACCGCGAGACCTCACAGGCTTGGACCTCTATAATAAACTGTTGTTCTTTCTTATATAGGTCGTTCACGTTTCCAGCAGCATCCTCTGGTCTCAAGACTGCTTTTAACGTCCGTCTGGCTATTCCACTATCGAATAAGGTGTCTGAAGAGGCCAATAATTCTAGAGCAGTCTTGTATACGTCTAAGAGTGCATCGTATAAATTCTTAATAGCTCTTTCATCTGTAATCGCAGCATTATATATAGCCTCGTAGATTTGTCCTCTACGAACAATGCGTGCAAACCATTGAACGGTTCCCAGAAGAGCGGCCTTTTGCTCAATGTGTTTTACCGGAATCTATTAATGATTAGTTTTTAAATATTTAAAGATAGTAGATATAAATAAATCTCGTAGATGTAAATAGATCTAGTAAATATAAATAGATCTAGTAGATATAAATAGATCTAGTAGATGTAGATAAATCTAGTAAATGTAGATAGATCTAGTAGATGTAGATAGATCTAGTAGATGTAGATAGATCTAGTAGATGTGTAAATACACTTACTTTTAAGACCGCCTTTGCAACAGCCCACGGCGCGCTGGCCTGTGGAGGGGCAAAGGTGACGGCAGCGTCACCAACCATAGTAATAAAGGCAACAGCATCGGCAATGTATTCTCGGACAATGATTGTTTGATTTCCAATCTCGATTTTCAGTGGTTCGTCATTTTGCTCAGAGAGCTTGTTGCTCTCGACGAGCCTAATGAGTTCTTTAATTTGGTCTTTTGGCTGCGCAAGGCCTGTGGAGGAGTCTAGTCTATGCTTCTTGATCCATTTCTGAGTTTCGTCATTAACCTCAGAGAAGGCTCGAGCCCAAAGGTCTGAAAACGGAGTCGGCGGCTCTGGAACTTCGACTTCGACTTTGACAGAATTCGAAGGAAAAGGCGATGACAAGGGGCGTGAACAAAGCGGTGGTGGTTGGGATTCTGTGGTCGGCAAAGGCGGGGTTAGATGAACCTCAGCCAGTTGAGATTCTACGAGAGACGTAGATGGCCTTTCGCGTGAGGAAGGCTCTGATGCATGAGAAAGAAGAGAGGCGCTAAATCGCTCTAGAGGTGCATCTGAATGAGACGATGTGCTGAGTCTCGCAGATGTAGCAGTTCGACGCTCGCTTGATGCTCGAGATGAAGACCTAGACCTTCCAAACCAATTCCGCGGCTTTAACAAATCCCTCTTTTTGCTTTTCATTTCTATGTCCATGTTGTAAATTGTCAGGCAGGAGTTTGAAGTAGAACACCAGTAGTAACTGAAGGTAGCTCAAACGGGCATCGCAATGTCGCTTAGAACTCTGAAGCCCGCGTCGTGTCCGTGTGTGCAAAATTTGGGCGCATTCAAGCTCAATAGACTGCAATGTGTTTTGAGGTGTCGGTGAAATCACGCGGAGCATGTATTCCGGATTGGCACAAAATGACCCTCAGCGCCCAAAGGTTCTCCACTGGTAATTTTCTACGATTTAAACGAGCTGGAAACAATGAGACAACCAATGAAATCTCCGCTGCGGCAGCTACGTGGCAATCATTGAGTAGTCCAATGTAGCTTCATCTGCAGCTCATTCGCTAGAATTGGAAGTGGTATCACAGCCTCGTCTCTTGGCGTTTGGGGGAAAATACTTGCCTTATTGATCTCCAGCATCCCTTGTGGCCTAAAGCTACGTGCAACTTTATTTTGTCTCTCAGTTTTGTATGATGTCAAAAGTGTATCCATACAGTTAAAATCATGCCCGACATTTCTTGCAATCTGTCGAGTTGCGTAGCGGTGTTTTATACATCTAGTTCTGCTGGAAACCTGTAGGCAGGTATCGCGCTCGTTAATATTTGTGCACGCGTAAACCCCTCTTCCTCATATCACGGCAAGGCCAAATCTCAACTCTTTTTAGGTGACAGTGGAATAGGTAATTACAGAGGTATTCTTGCACTACAAGAATCGATGCACGACATCTTCCCTTTTCTATTGGATTTTGCGTGGGAACAAAAGCGAGATATCCTAGAGCTGTATACCAGCGTTACAGTTTTGTTAAGACAAGCTAATGATCGGCATGGCCATGTACATGAACCAATTTAATGTAGATGTTATCATTTGAGGGACTTCACTGGAGGGGGCGCTCAGGTACGCATTTCGACACAAAAATGTCACGGTTATTGGCCGTTGTGCTCACTGCATGACGGGTGTTTCTGTAAGAGCTTCCCGAAATCGCGCAGCTATATGTTTATGGCGAGATTATGGACCGGAAGAAGCGCTATGTAATCCAGATTTTACGGGAAAGCAAGTCTCCTTTGGAAGACGTCTCTCACTCAGCTAGAAGCGTCCAAGAAATATACAGGAATTAGCCAGCATCTTACTATTGCAGTTCTACTTCAGCGCATCTAAGCATCATAAATACATTTTCACTTTTTTTTAAAGTTCTCTTTACTATGAAAAGAAAACCGAGCAGTTGGTCGAATTGCAGACCATTTTACGAGATAAATCGACAACTCTACTGCGTATAGATGAAAATTACATCTCTTCAAATCTCCACTTACAGGCAGAATTCAGGATTGAGACAATCGAGCGATTATTTGTCGCCAACATCGCTGCCGTGGTTAGCAAGCGTGTAATTCTTTTGCGAAGCCTGACGCTATATCTTCTTTTCTTTCTTTTCCAAACTCCGTGATAGCATCATCTTCGTCGCTGCACGCACTTAATACCTGTTTGTCGCTGCTCATCACACAATATGGAGCATCTTACTAGAGCACGCCGACATCTTCTTCTCGCTGTGCAGCAACCTGTGAGCTTAATCCCCCCCCCTCCCACCCCTCCCAATCCTACCAGGCAACCCTAACCATCACTACATAGTCTTCCAGCGTCGGTGTATAGGAACATCGGGGGTTAAGGAATGTGCTACGCGTAAGTCAAAAGTCTTTGTCTTTCTTTCAGAATGGTATCTAACTTGAAACAGCTTGTGGAACAACAATTTCCTTTCTGTGAGGTTCATCAAGAAACCGTCCCTGTGCGCGTCGCTGCGGTATGCCCAACGCATACAACACACGCTATATGCCATGAATGCATGGCACAAGCCTTCTACGAACGTCCATTGAGAAGCGTTTCACGAGACTGCAATGATTTCCTTATCACATTCACCAATTTACCCAACCCAAGTCGCTGTGAGCCTATTATCGCTGCGTTTAATACAGTCGATGAAAATTGGCGTCGCCGACATCCCTGCCGCGGTGAGCGAGAGTGCAATTCTTTTGCAAAGCATGATGGGACTTGTGCAAATCCTGAGTGTACCAACTTTTTTTGCCCTCGCTGTGAAACAACCAATCATTTGGCAGCGAGTCCCTGTGATACCCAGACAAATGCAGAGACTGACACTCTCGTTGCGGCGCTCGTTGGCCGTGGCCATTTGATGCAGTGCGCGATAAATTATATGGCTATTTTTTTTTATTAATATCTACTATTATATCTATATTTTTATAATATCTGCTACTATATTTATACTTCTTTAGTATTTGTTATAGTATTTATATTTCTATAGTATCTGCTATTATATTTATATTTCTTTAGTGTCTGTTATAATATCTATATTTTTATAGCATCTGCTGTTATATCTATATTTCTGTGGTAACTGCTATTATATTTATATTTCTTTTAGTAGCTACTACTGCATCTAGTTCTATCTAGATGTACCTATTAGCAGCTAACCACTCTTTCAACTTTTCGTGATCCCGCTGAAGATATCTTGCTCTACCTCTGATTCTGTCCTTCGATACCTCCAACGCGCGGGCAAAAGCAGTAGTGTCTTTATCTTTAAAGAGGCTCTCAATTTCTATCAATGTTGATGCATCAGTCAGTGTCTGAAGCACTGCGCCAACTATGCGGTCCAAAAGAGTGGAATTCTTTCCAATCTTCGTCTCAATGCTGGACCAATGGGTCTTCATCCAAGTCCATTGTAAGAGGCGAGTTGCAGGATTGTCGGCGAGAGATGTCACTAGAAATTGCATATCGCCGGGAGGCACGACTTTTGCCCTCGTAGAATTTGAAGGTGCTTCGAAAAGCATAGGTAATACATCTGATTCGACAAGTCTCAAGTCTCCTGTGTGGCCGAGCGCTGTAAGACATATTTCTTTCCCATCAATAGTGCTCGTATTTTCCCATTCCTTGATGATAAAGGGAACAGCATCCACAGGATTTGTTTCCACAGCAATTCGGAAGACAATGGCCCGAAGGTTTGCAGGAATGGGATCAGAAATGGGGTTGTTTCTGTGAGCAGCAAACCGGCGATTTGCTTCTGTTGAGATACTATGGAGATGTCAGACCGGAAATCGGATAAGAAAGAATATATAGAATTGAAGACTCACCTTGGATGCCCGCTTGCCACAGCTGCGAGAAGCAATTGACTTCGCGTCAATGTTGTATTATAGTCTTCACCTGGTCGGGTATCCCATCCACACAAGGCGAGATTCTTTTCTATTAGCTGAAGGATGAATTTATCCAATCCTTTTTTGATGGTATCGTCATGATAAAAGATAGAGCGAACAACGTGGACGGAGTCCAAGACCTGTTTAATCACTCGGTAGTGCGTCTCGTTTCCAAATGCTTTCAATAAATCCAACATCGCTGCTGTGTTGCTAAGGCCTGCAAACGCCATATCCGCAGCTGAGCTAACTACGAAGATCTTGTCCTCGGTGCTGAGCCTATTTAGCTGAGAAGCTATGATGGATAGGCGCTCAGGAGGATAATTTACTTTATAAAATCCGATGGCATTGGCGTTGATGATATAAAATTCCTTGTTGATATTGAAAGTGTCTTGTTTTTGAGCTAGAGTTATGCTTGATGTGTTTCGCTTGTCAGAGACATCTTCGAGAGAAAGTGGAAGCCACCAGATGGTTGTATCATCTTCGGGTTTCACATCACCTGTTGAGAGAAACCTGGTTTGCCTCACGGTGATTTGGTTCCCGTTTTCTTCTATAGATGCAACAGGGAAACCCATGTTTTGAATCCACGGCTGCACAAAATCTCTCACTTCCACCTTAAAAACCTCAGACAGTGCGTCCCATAAGTTGTCTGTTACCGCATTGCCATATGCATGTCGCCTGAGGTATAGTGATATACCATCAAGGAACGTATTCAAGCCTATATGGCTCGCAAGCATACGAATAATAGACGCGCCTTTGCGATAACTAATGAGATCGAAAAGCTGAGATACAGCTGAAACATTTCCAACCTGAACTAGAATTGGATGCGAGGCGCGAATAGAATCTGCTTCGAATGCTGATTGCATCCCTTCATTGACAAATCGGGTCCAAAATTCCCAGTCTGGGTGAACGTGAGCAACGGCCAGCCAACCTGCCCAAGTAGCAAATCCCTCGTTGAGCCACAGGTCATCCCACCAATCCATGGTAACCAAGTTACCGAACCACTGATGAGCGAGTTCATGAGCCACAACATACGCGATGCGATCTCGGAATCTCTCTTCGGAGGTTTGCTCATCAAACAAGATTGCACTGACACGATATGTCACCAGACCCCAGTTTTCCATGGCACCGCTAGAAAACTCGTGTACTGCCAAGATATCTGACTTGGGAAGAGGATAATCAACGCCGAAGATTTCGCTGAAGTAATCAATGAACTTTGTTGCGTGTTGCAGAGCCCATTGAGTTTGGTGCTTTAATCCTCGAGTTGTGTAAACCCGAACAGGCAGCGGACGTCCAGAGTATAGGCGATCTGTGAATGCTTCGGCGTATTCGAAATCTCCAACTGCCCATGCTAGTACATAGGTACTCATAATGGGAGAACGCTCGAAGGTAACAAGCACTCGGTTTTGCTTATCGCCCACAGGGGTGATCTTCTTAACAGGCATATTGCTTAGTGCAACTTGATCTTCGGGTATTTCAATAGCCAGATCAAAAGTGGACTTTAGATTCGGCTCATCAAAGCAAGGCAAAGCCATTCGTGCATATCCAGGCTCAAAGAAGGTGCTGAGCATATAGTGACAGGCATCAGAAGCCAGTGTGGAAGCAGCGGCAGGAGGAGTAGCAGGTGTATATTTTGACCGATAGAAGCCCGTCATGTCATGACGAATTTTGCCGATAAAGGTCAACGATAGTTTTGATGGTTTGGCAATAGGTGCCTCTTCTTTGAAAATTATTGTTGTTTGTTGTGCTTGATCATCTTGTGCAATCGATATGGCCTCAGAGATTGTAGAGTCGTAGGATAGTGTTGCTCTGTTGATATCGAGATCCAAGGCATTGAGTACCACCCTGGTAGTGGATATAGTGAATTCGCCGTTTATTCTGTCCTTTTCATTAACCTTTGAATCTTTTCTTTGATCAATGCATCGAGGACTGCAACAATGCCGTCTTCTGCTTAACGCTGGGACTGGAAGCCTTACTCTACAAATCCTGTATAAGTCCATGTGTTGTAGTCCAAATTGGTAATAACGAGGGAATAATGAGAAGGCTTGAGAGAGGTGGGCAAAATATCTCGATGAGCCATAGCTTAGGGTTTGAGAAATAAAGGTGATGATACCGAAGATGTTTAGCAGTCTATTTGCTGCTCATTTGGCAGATAGTAATTTCGGTGGTCGAATCACTTGGGAAAAACAAATGCCTAAATTAAAGGAAAAAAATTATTCTTTCCCAATTTATATCTCAGGAGTCATTGACTAACAAGTACATTTATTATACAGTCTATACTCGCGATTTGTAGGTTCATCATCAATTCGCATATACGTGAACCCAAGTTCGAGCCGAAGCCGAAGCCGCAGCCGGAGCCGAAACTCGTATCTAAATCTTGATCTTGTAGACATGTAAATGTCGTACCCCCGAAATGCGCCCTCTTACTACTATCATTTACGCCCTCTTCATACACATGCGCATATTTGAGCAAAATTCTGCTTCATAACTGGTCAGTTGAAGATGAAAACGATGTCATGATACACGAAGCCATCAAGGTGTCGCGATGACTCCAACTTTGTCATATTTAGTTTCGGCTTGACGGCGGATAGACCTGATGAATTCACAGGAACCTATTGCGATAATACTATACTCCGTGAATCATAAAAGTCGTGATGATGAAAGCTAGCACGGCAAAATTGCCGCAGAGAAATTGCAATGCTATTCTTAGTGACAGATGAAGTATTTAAGAGAGCCGCAAGCGATGCTCATTGCTGGGCGCTCATCACAGTAAATAATTCAAACTTGTACAATGTTGTCTAAACGAATCTCTCGAACATCCGCAGATCTGGATGCACCTTGGAGACATACTCCTCGGTTTCAGAAATATGACCCAGTAACGAACACGGATGGAGTCATCTCTTTTGCAACTGCAGAAAATGCAAGTCTTCCGTCCAACAATGGCTGCACAACGGCTAATATTCGCATCAGGCTCTTGTTACCAAGGAGCTCGAGCAGTTTGCAAACTCCGGTGTCAGTATATGAGTCTTCATGACGTCTAATAATAGATCGTCTAATGCAATACAGAATATACACATTCCAGGAGCTGCCTTCATGTATGGATACAGTACTGCCGGTGGACAACGTTTCCCCAAAGCTCTAGCAACACACCTCAACGAGTACTTTCAACCATATAAGCCGCTGACTGGAGATGATATCTTGGCAACTGGAACAGCAACAGCGCTTCATGAAATTCTAGCTTTCAGCTTCGGCGATCCTGGTGATGGTATTCTCGTCAGCCGGCCATGTTATGGACGATTTGAGCTAGACTTTGGCAACAAAGCAGAGATGCCTGTGGTCTGGGCTGATTCCAATGCGGAGAACTCCTTTAAGCCGGAAGTTGTAATGTATATTGAAGAGAAGCTGCTTCAATCAAACGCGGCTGGAACCAAAATCAAGGCCCTCCTCATCGTCAATCCGCATAACCCTCTTGGTATGTCCATCCGACATCTGGGAGAAATGACGAGTGCTAACATTAGAATAGGACGCTGTTATCCAAGAGAAACCCTTGTTGCTTTAATGGCGTTTTGCCAGAAGCACCGCATACACTTCATCAGCGACGAGGTTTATGCCTCCACTGTATTTGACTCAGGAGAGCCCGATACCCACCCCTTCACATCCGTGCTTTCCATTGATCCAACGGGAATTATTGATCAAGATCTTGTTCACGTCGAATATGGCATGGCCAAAGATTTTGGCTCCGCTGGCCTACGTGTGGGCGCCCTAATTACCCGCAATGCCGCCCTCCAGAAGGGATTTCAAAGCGTTATTCGCTTCCACAGTCCCTCTGGCATGTCAGTCACCGTGGCAAGCGCTATGCTTGAAGACAGAGAGTGGTGCAAAAAGTTTCTAGAAACCGCACAGAGACGTATCTCTGAGGCTTTCAGACTAGTCACGACTGAACTGTCTAATATTGGAGTTAAATATCTGCGTGGCACGAATGCTGGTCTCTTCCTTTGGATTGACTTGTCTCCGTATCTTCCACCAGAGAGCTCTGGCTTGTCCAAATCCGAACGAGAGTTTTCTCTAGCTCAGAAATTGCTTGATGGCGGAGTTTTTCTTCATCCTGGTGAGGAGCATGCTCTTGAGGCTGGCTGGTTTAGGCTGGTCTATACACATGACCCTCGCATGGTACGTGAAGGGATTAAACGGTATGTTATCTCACTATCCCATCAATACACAGCCTCTCTGACTGATAAAGGATCCACTCCGTTCTTGATAAACTCTCATGGTAGTCTCGGAGCTGGCGTCCGGTCAACCCCATAATTGCTTATCAGAGGAGTCAAAGTTATTTCGGCTATGATCGTGAGATTGGCGGTTTTCTCATTCCGCAATAGCTCCTTTTTGCTATAAGTGCTCCTACCGTCTAGTTCTAGGATAGTACAGCTGTTGGTATGAGACAAGATGATGGGGGGCTGAAGTAACTCAATACAATCAACAATAACTATTATATGCACTCTGCCCACCCTCCTGAGCTGACTTTGTTTTCGTCATCTTCTTTAATTAAGAGGGCTCAATCAATTTCTTTACTGTGAGTGCATAGGATTCTAGATTTCTGACATGGGAATGGCATACTTATGTTTCAGCATTGTATTCAGGTTAACCCTGGCAACTGACTATTAGGAGGTGCTTTTGTATAGGCGATTTGGCGAGTGCCAAAATCAGCAACGATTACGAAACAAATATTATTCAGCACGCTATTTCATCATGAAAGCGATTAGGAATCATGTCACTATACCTAAGCCTTTTGTATATAACTCGCCTCCAAAACTAAGTCCGGATCGTGAAAGGGGCTCCAAGCGGCCGCTTATGTCCGATATTGGATCTTGTGATGCGTTTTGTTTAAACATGGAGACTAACAGGTTTTTAACTAGCACGCTGGAAAAATTGAAATGGAGCAGGGTGGATTTAGAATCCTAGCTTATTATTATTCGCAAAGGAAGCAGTCTTGCTGACCGACATGATAGTTCATATAATACTATGTACAACCGTTCGTACATAGATACACTCTCATGAAGAGATTGTTCAAAACTTGCTATTAAATGTTCATTCACACTTAGTATGAGAACTTTTCGCCTACAAGCTCCTCACTCTTTGCCCACAGCTTCTCTCCCTCGCTCCAGCTCGTGTACCAAATCTTGGCATTGTCATAAATCTGACAATCGCTCAGATACACACCCCTGCCCTCCCATTCTCCATCCTCGCCCTTGAGTTCTGGGCCGGTCTTTGCAAGATCTGCATCGCTTGCAATGGGCCTCTTTGTCGGCAGCGTCAATGCAGGGTCCACAGCAGCTACCAGAGTTGTGCTGGCGCCCTCACCTTGGTCCTTGAAGACCATGCCCTTCTTTTTGAACGATTCAATTCTCGCATTGTACTCCTCTGCAGGAACCTCTCGTCCGAGCTCCGTAATGATGGACCCGGGGTGCACAGCGAAACTCAGAATGCCGTAGTTTTCGTACAGACGCTCGTTGATACCCAAGCTGAACAGAACGTTGGCTGCTTTTGACTGTCCATATGCACCCATGGAGACATAGCTGTCAGCCTTGACAGTTTCCACGTCAACAGGCCATAGGCGCGTAAGTCCGACGTAATCAGGTTGTTCAGATAGAGGCAACGACCCGTTTGTCTTTTCCCAGTTGATGTCACTCCAGCGAATGGGGCTGTAGTTGGCGCCCATGGAGGAAACGTTGACGACACGAGTTGCCCCCTTTACGGCATCTGGCTTCTGAGCAGCCGCAATCAGCTTGGGAATAATCAAGCTCGTAAAGAGAAAGTGTCCAACATGGTTGGTCGCGAAATGTCGCTCTATGCCATCCTCGTTGAGCTGCCGATTGGGCACGTTCATGATACCCGCATTGTTGACCAGGATGTCAATGGCTGGCACGTCGGTCCATCCGTTTAGCGTGGAAGCGGCCGCTCTGGCACCCTTTTGCGAGTTTAGATCCAGCTCAAGCACGCGATACTTTGTCTTTGGATATTTTTCGGCTAGGACGTCGGCACATTCCTGCAGCTTGGCGGGGGTTCGGCCGGCTAAGATGATGAGTTCGGCGTTTTGGGATGCAAATGCTTCGGCGGTAGCGAAGCCGAGACCCTTGAGATTGACGCCCGTGATCAGAATAGTCTTTCCTGAGATGGCGGATGGAAAGGCTGCTGCAACGGTTAGGGCCGTTGTGTGGGCTCCAAACTCCGGGTGTGTTGCTGCGGAAGGCATTTTATCGGTATTGAGTCTGGATTTTTTTTTCTTCACTTTCTGTTTTCTCACAGATTCGTATCCGGTTATACAACTCTACTTTCCAAACAAAAACTCGCAAGAACAAAACAAGAATTCCTATGCTTTATGTTGGGGAGTACCGTCTTCTTCGTTATGAGAAAACGGTCTAATGCCGATAAGTCCATTTCCCACGGCCCCACTCCCGGCCGACGGTGCTAGCTCCCACGGGCCGGTGGCCGTTTCTGCTCTATCCTATCAAATCTTGCATTTGAAATGATTTTAGATCATCATAGACCACTAAATGGTAATTCCGTCAAGCCCGTGGCTAGGAATTACGCTTCAAACCGTACCAGATTCGGTATGGTGAAAGATTCGCCGGCAGCATACTCTTAGCGAAGAAGATATATCAAGAGGCCAAAGTACTCAATATTGATGAGTGCTTGATGTCTCTCGATTTGGTGTCTGGAAAGTATATCATATAAGATTCTTACAAAATTCGTGCGACTGACTATCTCTCTCTATTCACTGGCAACCGGTTACTCAACATCGTTCATACCCACAAACTCCGCCATGTCTATCATCGCACCATACGCCAAAGAGCACCGGGATACAAACGGCCCCGGAGATGCGCGCCCTACCGCCCTCAAGATCGTGCGTGACCAATCTCTGGACGGAAAGCTCGGCGGCAAGGTCATCCTCGTCACAGGGGGCACCTCTGGCATCGGATTCGAGACCGTGCGAGCGCTGCATGCAACCGGAGCGGACATTTACTTTACTGGCCGTGACACTAAAAAGGGTAAAGAGGCGGAAGCAGAGCTGCGGAGCGACGGGAAAGCGGGGAAGCTGGAATATGTGGAAATGGGTTTGGATTCTCTCCGGAGTATACGGGCTTTTGCTGCTGATTTCCTCAAACGGACGGAGGGGAAGCTCAACATATTGATCTGCAACGCTGGTGAGTTGTGAGCCTTATTGCACATGGATATCGCTCTCGACTTTAGTCTTTCGTTTATCTCGCATTCCTCTTATCCAACTGACCTTGTTCATCTAGGTATTCGCGGATATCCCAAGGGAAAGACTGAAGATGGGTTTGAGCTGCACTTTGGAACCAACCATTTGGGACATTTTGCCCTCTTTCAAGCTCTCAAAGATGCCTTAATCTCATCAAGCACGCCATCATTTCATTCTCGTGTCGTATGCCTATCAGCATCAGGCCACCGCCAATCAGGTATCCGATTCGATGACATCAACTTCGACCGCGAAGAAGAGTATCAGCCTCTGCTCGGCTATGCGCAATCCAAGACGGCCAACATATACATGGCTCTAGAAATTGAGAGACGCTATGGTGCCAGTAGAGTGCATGGTTTTGCAGTTCATCCGGGAGGTATCAGCGGCACGAGGCTCAACCGAATGACGCCAGAATCGCAACTCATCGCCCAAGTCGTCGATCCATTGATCTCAAGAAGGATGAAGAATGCGGAACAAGGCGCCGCAACGACCGTATGGGCGGCTGTTTCTCACGATTTTGACGAGAAGGGTGGTCTTTTCCTGGAAGATTGCCAGCAGAGCGAGCTGTGGAATGGCGATATGACGGTTTTGGCGCCTGGACATGCGGCGCATATTCACGATGAGGAGAGTGCTTCGAAGCTGTGGGATGTAAGCTTGGAGATGATTGGGCTAGGTAAATCCAACCAGTGAGGTATGCACGGGTAGGTTGGTTAGGATCTGAGAGCTTAGATGAAATCATGTGGCCAAGTTTATAAGGAATCTGTCATCAAGAGTTGTGGTGCAGATGTGGACCCCGTTCCGGATGGCCCCGGTCTATTTCGGAGATAAACCTGCAGTCTCGCTTTGGAGGGACGATTCAACAGCGTCTAGTTCATGCATGACATGTGGAGCAGCGGGATTACAGTTAATACAACTATAAGCAAAAGTATATTGAGTTATCAGTTGACTTTGCTATCTATTCCCGATAATTGCCGCCGTAGATCTAGAAGGTGGTGCTGATAACATCGCCAACGAAGCGAGAAGGGTACTCGCTGCTGAAGAGCGGCACACGCGCCAAGATCTCATCCTCGTGAGCAGCCAATGCCGCATCAAATTGCTCAGCGGTGTCAAAGTAGAAGAATGTAACAACGCTCCATGGGGCATCACGCTCCAAGGTATTGATGGTATATCCCTTCATGCCAAAGGGCTTGTAAAGAGAGTAGACCCACGGCATCTGCTGCTGGCTGTAGAAGTCCATGTCAAAGGTCGAGTCGTAGGTTGCGTTGTGAATCTGGGCGTAGTAGGCCATTGAGAACCAGCCGATAGGCGGACAGGAGGTGTCTTGGGCCTTGGCAGACTGCGAGAAGACTGAGGCAGTGGCGAAGAGACTGGATGTTTAATTTACTTGTTAGTTGTCATAGAGCTGGTTTTTCGGTTGTTCTAGATATCTCTTTGCGTTTGAACGTACAGAGAGGCCAAAGTCTGGAACTGCATTGTGGCGTTTCGGCTGAAGTATTGATCAAAAGTTGAATACTCGAGTTCTTTTGATGCGGAAATTTTGCAAGTTTTAATCGTATACCAAAGAGATGGTTGATTGTTTTGTTGGTGAATCCTGTGATGATTTCATTTGTTGAATTTACAGCGACATCAATGCTCCTTTATATCCCTTTCTTCTTCTCTGTTTTGATCATTCTCATATTCACATTCATCATCATGCGACGTACACGCAATCTACAACAGCGTATTGTGGATGATTGAACTTCTTGGCTGCCTCTCAAACATCAAAATAGGAAGCTCTACAGTTCATCTCGCAAACATGATGAAACCTCTCTATCACATGCATATCGAAATCAGTGACGATACGAATAGCTTACGACGCGTAAACATACAATGTTACATTCGCAAGAATTATTTTGAGAACAAGTTAAGACCCAGACACAATTTCTTCAATTGACCCCCAAACAGAGTTATAGACGCTATCGTGCATCGGCGTTAAACCGCCTCGTCCACCACATCTCTTCCACACTCAACCTTCCGCTTAGGCATCAACTCTATCTGACCACCTTCTCTACTTTTATCGCTGTACTTTATTCTAAATCTTTAAGTAATGATCTCATCATTGGACGTACTCTCCCAGGTTAGGAACTTAGGTTGTCCTGTCGTACCCCCTTGTCTTTGTCACTCGGACTTGCTGACTGGGCAGAATCGGCTTTAAAGTCAACATTGAAGCTTATCGCCTAGCTTCGCCCACCGACAGCTGCAGTCACCGAAAGCTACACCAAGTTGTGAAAAGGCCGTATTTTTTCAATCGGAGAAGCTGAAGTTTTGTATATAGGCGATATGGGAAGCAATTCCATCGGAATCGGATATGGAGAGACTATTGTTGCCGCGATGGAGGCGATTCAATGTGTATATTAAGAGGCCATTCGCCGTTCATTCTCTCAATTGTAATTACATAGGTAAACAACAATCACAACAATCACGGCGACACAGCCTCCAACTCTACTACACTTGCCAGGACAGTAGTATCATTACAACTCAATCCTTGCTCATAGACTATAATTCCACACACACCAACACAGACACACGCAATGTCGGCCCCATCTGAACAGACCTTGATCGTCACCGGCGCCAATGGCTTCGTCGCCCTCCACATCATCAAGCAGGCCCTGGATCGCGGCTACAACGTTCGAGGAACCGTCCGGTCAGTCAGCTCAGCAGGAAAAGTTCGCTCCATCTTTTCCGACTACGGTGACAAGTTCACAGTCGCCATTGTCCCCGAATTGAACAAAAAGGAGCTCTACGAGCCCGCCTTTGTTGGTACTCCTAAGCCTGTCACGGGTGTCATCAATGTTGCTGCTCCCTTCTCCCTGAAAGTCGACGACCCTGTCACTCAATTGCTGGATCCGGCTGTTGAGTGTGCTATCAGCATGCTTGAAGCAACTCGTCAATATGGATCTGACGTCCGTCGCGTCATCAACACATCTTCATTTGCCTGCATTCTCGATCTAAGCCAGGGCTACCGTCCTGGATACACATACTCTGAGAAGGACTGGAACCCAATGACACATGCTGAGGCTGCCAAAGCCGACAATGCCACCGCCTACTGCGCTTCTAAAGCTCTCGCCGAGAAGGCCATGTGGAACTGGGTTGAGACTGAGAAGCCCTCATTCTCATTGACATCCATTAACCCCCCTTGGATCTTTGGTCCTCACCTGAGCCCCATCACTGATCTTCACCATCTCAATGAATCATCCGAGGCACTGTGGCGTCTTGTTGGCGCAAAGGAAGTCCCTCCAGTTGACTTCGCTGGCTTTGCAGACGTTCGTCTCGTTGCCACTGCCCATCTTAATGCCTTTGAGCGCCCTGAAGCTGCTGGCGAGCGCTTCATCTGCGGCCAGCACTTTGACTACCAGAGTGCGGTAGATACTCTGCGTGAAACTCTGCCAGAGTTGCAAAGCCGTCTGCCAGTGGGAACGCCCGGTGCGGGTAAGACGCAGGCCGTCTACCAGCTTGACGGAAGCAAGGCGGAACGTGTTCTGGGAATCAAGTACATTCCCTTGGGGGTTACCATGAAGGATTCATTTGCGCAGTTTTTGCAAGCGGAGGCGTAAAGGACGACTTGAGCAAACATAGATACATAATTAGACAGAAAAGCGCTGGGTTTGACGGAGGAATCGGTTCCTACTTATATCGTTAATACAAAAAAATGAATATTGTTTATATTTACGTGTAACAATGGAGCAGAGTGATCTATCACCTACTAATCTATCCGAGAGAGATGTATATACTCTAGTACAAAACATTACAAGTGTGATGAATCCTCGAAAATACCTTCTAATGTAGCAAAATATCGTATCCATCACTGGTGATGCGCACCTCTTCCATGCCGAACCCATACTTGCGTCGTATGAGTTCAAAGATGATCAGGCCGGCACTTGTGCTTGGTACCTGCCGAATGGTATTCCACCAGAATCCCCGATATAACCACTTGCCCAGCTTCAGGCCTTCTGCTGATGCCTCAGCTTTGCACACCGCCAACGTCTCTTGGTATGCATGGTAGTATGCCCGAAGCATCCTAAACCTTCGCTGAGGTTTGTCGGGGTTGGCGGCCCGAGAAGCGCGTAGGCGGGCAGCTTTGTCGTCTAAATCTTCCAGATGGTCCCAGTGCTTGACTTGGAAATGAGTGAGAGGATGGAGAAGCAGCTGCTGGGCGAAGGAGGCACTGATGCCCGCACCAAGCAGAAACATGGGCTCTATTGCGTAATGTGGTCGAATGAGCTGAAGACCACCCTCTTCTTTGGGTCGATCGGTGGGACGCTTGGTCGTGAGAAGATCTACGATATCTTCTTCCAGGCCCCCGTAGTACCATGCTACAAAGCGGTAGTATGATTGTGCCTTGATATACTCGAATGTGCTGAAAAAGATTGCACATCCCACGCTGTCTTTCAAGAATGAAACCCCCCATCCCGCAAATATGCCTCTTAGCCCGATTTCTCTGAGTTTTTCGGCACTAAACGTCCACATGCTTCGTGGTCGGCCGCTCCCGTCGTTGGGCATCATATCACGGTGATCATACCGCGCCTGCAGTGCGTCCAATGGTGCTGCAAGAACACTCTGTAGTCCGCCTGCGAGGAATCCAGCCATAAATGTAGCCTGTGGAGGCGGCGGAGGATAAACTCTCTTGGTAGCCTTGGAGCTCTCTTCGTGAAGACGGCCAAGAATCTGCAGATATCCCGTATACAGCACAGCGTTGACGCCAATGTTGGCAATCAGCGGCGGCATGATTTGGTGCGGCACAATGCCCCAGCCCTCATGTCGGATCGCCGACGTCAAAACACCGGGAGTCGTGCTTCGCATCCATAGCCATGTCTGTCGGAGAGCCGCAACCAGTCTCGATGGCGAAGCATCTTCCGCAACAGCCTGCATCAGCTTCTTCGTCTGCCGCTGGTGAATCGTCCGGGCATACGCTAGATAGTCGACTCGGGTGCGGAAGAAGGACTTTGCAGGGGCTCGGAAGTAAAACGCAACGACCTGCGCACTGAGAGCCCGCACTCCGGCCGCCGAAGCTGCTGTTGCGGCATTGTTTCGAGGATGGCGATCGGGCAGCTCAACTCCAGGCGGGAGGACGGGGAGGACGCCGGTGGTTGAGTCGGGGAGAGGGGCCAGGATGGGAGCTTCAGAGCGGCCGGAGATCATGGCTCTTGCGGCTCGTTCGGCTCATCGTGGGAGAGTTTCGGTCGGGTTTAAGAGATATGCAGCGAGGGCATGAGGGAGCTTGTGAAGGTGAAGAGAGAAGCCGGAGCTGGGCTTGGGGGATCGGAAAGTCTGCAGGCTATCGTCGGATCCCGCTGACTAAGCTTCACAGTTATCATATAAGTCTCAAGACAAAGAACACACAGTCTCTCTCTCTCTCACTACAACTATCATGGGTTTGTTTTCAAGAAGAAATTTGGACGATTAAATTATTCTGCTATTTTTCCCATTACAATTTCCTCCTGGCATCACTCAATCATTGACTGAGGCCGGGCAACATCTTCCTTCAACTTTGTCCACCGGCTCTTATACACTCGGCCATTCTTCAGCACTACAAGAATGTTCTTCTTTGGCTCATCCAAAATCGTTATATCTTCCAGTGGATTGGCATTCAGTACCAAGACATCAGCGGCAAATCCATCTTTAATCTGGCCCAAGAAATTCTCCTGCTTCAACATCTTCGCTGCATTAACAGTGGCCCCCTGGAGGATCTTTGCGGCACTCAACGCCTGTGCCCGGATCCCGAATTCCTTACTCTGCTCCACCCATAGGGGCCCTAATAGATCAGATCCATGGCAAATGGTCACTCCAGCTTCGTCCGCTAGGCGCAGAGATTGCAGACCTTGCTCTAGAACTTGAAGGTTCTTTTCACGGTTTGCTGGTGGCAGAAATCCAGCGTATTTGTCGGAGCCCATGGCATGGTAGGTGACAAGCGTAGGAGTAAACCACACATTGTTTTTTGCCATGTACTCGGCCGTTTCTTTATCAATGAGATTGCCATGCTCGATTCCTTTAACGCCATTGTCCACAGCATGCCTGATTGATCGAGGAGTGTAAGCGTGAGCAGTCACATACGTGTTGTACGTCTCTGCGACCTCGGTAATCGCCCTAATCTCAGCAGCTGTAAACTGGATATGATCCAGTCTATCATTCGGCGAAGCAACGCCTCCACTGGTCATAATCTTGATAAAATCTGCTCCCTGGCGGATCTGCTCTCGAGTGGCCAGTATGGCAGCAGGCACGCCATCAACAACAGTAGAAAGACAGTTTGTGGTACCGCAACAGGCTTCGTGGGCAGATCTGGAGTCTCCGTGTCCTCCAGTCTGAGAGAGGGCCTTGTTGGCAATAAAAAGCCGTGGCCCAGGAAATACATCGTCTGCTATTGCCTCCTTCAGGGCCAGTGTTGCGCCGCCAGTGTCTCTCAATGTAGTGAAGCCTCGGTACAGCACCTGCGCCGCCATATAAGGCTGACGAAAGTGAGACACGGCCATGTCGGGATGAACTATGCTCGCCGTAAGACCTTCTTCCCCTGGCACGGAGGATATATGGGCGTGGCAGTCGATCAGTCCGGGACTAAGATATTTGCCCTCCAAATCCACCACAATAGCGGCGCTGGGGTACCATTCAGCGTGTTCAGCGGATTTATCGTCAATTATTTTGATTAGGCCTCCTGACAACTTGACAACACGGTTGGGAATAATTTTTCCATTTGCCGTATCAACGATATTTGCGTTCCTGAAGATATATGTCCTTTGGGGAGGAAGCTTCCATGGCTTGATAAGATCCGGCTCCGGCCCTGCCCCCAAGACGCCGGGACCTGGAGCAATTGGCTTCTCACTAATGACAGGAATCCTGCGTTGCGTCATTTTGACATTAGAGTCTCGTTATTGAAGTGATTGGGAATGGATAAAAAGTAATGTAGATATTGCCCAGTATGTATTTTAATGCTGGAGACGGCAAAGCACATTGAAGTGAGGGGCAAACTGATTCGCAGGGGTTCGACAAACGCGGGGATGATCCCGAATTCTTCCAAATAGAAGAAAGACAATTCTACATGTATTTCAGTGAGTTGCTACATGTTGCCAGTACTGCTGCGATTTCTGTATTAATTGCCATGACGATACGCACGACAGACAGTTTGTAGCTACATTACATGTACTCGAGGCTTCTAATAAGATGCCGGAATGAGCATGGAAAGAATCCTCACATTCGATCATCTACTAAAAAAAAAAAAAAAAAAAGAAAGTAAGAAAGAAAAAAAGAAAGAAATCAAGCGATCTGTTGTAGAAAACATTCCCGAATACTTCCAAGGAATAAAGAGCTTTTTTTAGATGTCCAATCTTCTTTTTGTAAGGACTCTTCCCATCCAATTTGAAATGTTGAAATGTTATTGAAGCATTTTAACGAGCAAAACAGCAAAAAACATGCCCCCACTCAGATTTGAACTAAGGACCTTTGCATTACGAGTGCAACGCTCTACCCCTGAGCTATAAGGGCCGTTTGCTTATCGATAAGCAGTGTAATTTATGATTCATATATGATGCAGAACATCAGGATGTCCTATTTACTACCAACAAAAGGTTGGCATCAGATGAATGACTTATACTAGAATGCCTATGCTCTTGATCATCAATTTGCGAGGGGTATATAGCCAATGTTCTCCGATAAAACAAATGCAAATTAGAAGAGACATATCTGAAGACTCGGTATTAGACAGCATCTAATATGGATGTTGATGGCTACATAATTCCTATATACAACCTAATTCTAACAAGATATTCTATTCAAATTATAACATCAATGACCAGCATGTCTAATTTCAAGGTAAGACTGTGTTCGTGATGGTTATAGTGAATTTTTCGCGACTTATAAGGGTATCAATGTGTTAACAAAGAGACGAGAGAGAAAACATAAGAAACCGTTTATATGGAATCGCATGGCAGGCAAAGTGAGGGTAATACAAGAAACAGCATATAAGTGCATTTCAGTACCTAACATAACTTACATTTATTACATGTCGCCTCACTAATCTCGTCTTTTTGTCTACACTTAGCTACATATGTGATCGGACCTGTCTACCAATATCATCCTCCAACCATAATGCCCGAATACTACCATGGGTATAATCCACTTTCATCCCTTGGTCGATCCAGTCATCATAAATGCCAGCACTGACATGTACTCCCCAGCGAACAGCTGAGTGTGGTCCTTCTGTGCCAAGATCATACCAAGACTGGATTGTCGCTTCTTTATTTCCTTCGGAAACTATTATCCCACAATCTGTAGGACAACGCGGGCAGGAAATGAATACCCACTGGCCAGGTATTTTTATTGCAAGATCAATTCCATCCTCAAGGTCGGTTATTACTCGAGGAGTGGTGGTCCAGCTCTGTGTCTGGATTGTAGCGCTGACCTTTCTCTTCTCTGCACGACTGTAATTGAGTCCACCTCGCAGACACAAGTGTGGGCAAATTGTTATATTTCTGTCTCGGAAAAGTGTCCAACGAGTTATAGTCTGCGACCACAATTTATTATATTTGTCTTCATGGCCGCCAGCTTTCCATTCTTGACGAAAAATAAACCGTTCATTGATAATCCTAGCATCTGCCGTGTAATGTGTAGGGCCCATGAATTTCGATTTCGATCGGAACGGCCTCATCATCGTTTCCAGATGTTTCTGTTCCATATTGCCCAGCCGTGCTAGCTTTAGGGCAAATTGAACATGATGATGATCGATGTGACAGCCACCAAGATTTAGTGGACTGTGCAGTTGAAAACCGCAGGGAGGACAGTTATCTCCTATAGTCTTCAGAGTATTGTCATTGACAAGGTGTAGCTTGCAACATCTCTGACAGGCCCAATGATTTGTGGATTGGTGTGCAATTCCTTCCCAAAATGCAAACCTATCCTCTCGGGAAAGCTTGGACGCTGCTTGCTTCCAGTCACAGAACATGATTCGCCGTAGCGCTGTGCATGTCTGTGAAAGGTAGACTTTATCGGACAAACATAGGTTGTCGGCGATTAGATAGATGATCTCTAGAGGAACCTGGAGCATAGCGACGTGACTGTTGACTGTAAGGGAGAAGTTTTCCATGGGGGGCATAGAAGTGGCAGCGTCTCGCATCTTGAATCTGCTAAGTAGGCGGCTTGGAAATCGAAGACACTTCATAAAATGTTTGAAACCGGAGTATAACGTTTGGAGAGAGTGATTGTTGGAGTAGTGATTATTGAAGAAGATGTCAAGACTGGGGCTTTGGCAATGAATGTTGAGAGGGACTACAGAAGAAGTTTCAGAAGAGAGTTTCAGACCAGGGACCAGCAGCCTTTATAACTTCTGGGAAAACAATGGCAATTCATTGCGCCTCACAGCGTTGCCGGGTGACGGTTGACTTTGTATTTATACTTATAAGGGGCTTATATGCTGGTTCGCTGCGAACTACCGTGGCTGAACCGTAACAAGGTTTTGCGGTGTAAAGTTCAATATAGGTCCATGTAAATAGTAACAGTGTGGACGCAAATCATAATCCAAACCATATGTCTGAATTGGTCTAAAGTGAATTCTGGTACTGGCACTCCTGCTCCCCCTTGACAGCAGTACATGGGGTGGGCTCACTTAAATCGCGCCGGGAACATGATCGAAATCCATTGCAGATTCGATATTACGGATCCCGTACATCACACTTGAGTTTCCTCATAAAATATCTTTGCGGAGATAACGGGGATGAGAACGCGTATGAGGATTGGCGCCCACAAATTAGCCATTCACAGAATTGTAGAAGTGCAGGGTGAAGGATCGGTTATTAGTTTGGCCATTGGGCTATGACTCACCGTTTAACATAAACTTCATACACTTCCCAGACTTCGTCCTTACACCAGCCACCCGATTTGAGTTGCGATAACAAATATCTACATACAAAACATCATGTACGATGAAACTATAATTTTGATCGGCCCAGAAGGTTCTGGCAAGTCTACCATTGGTAAAATCCTGGCCAAGACCCTGTCGAAAGAGTTGTATACCCTTGACCGACACCGCGATGAACTCTACGCACCATACGGCTACGATAAAGACCTCGCCGCGAAGATATACGAAGAAAAAGGTCTTTGGGCATTTTACCAGCACTGGAAAACATTTGAATACAAGACTGTCGTACACATCCTGCACAATGCAAGTCGAGAGGGCGATCAGTTTTATGGCAAAATTCTCGATTTCGGAGCCGGACACTCAGTCTTTGAGAATCCGCAAGAGCTGGAAAATATTGAGGCGTTGATTAAGCCTTATGAAAATGTCATCTTGGTAATGCCGTGCGAGGACGTCGATGAGGTGTTGAAGATTACAGAAGCACGGAGGGGCCATGAGCTTGGACTCAACAAGCACTTTGTGGAACATCCAAGCAATAAGAGGCTTGCAAAGCATATCATTTATACAAAAGACACCACAGTTGAGGAATGTGCTGAAAGAGCGCTTCGGATTATCAGAAGAGGTGGTGCACCAAGTGTATCGACTCTTACAAGTACAGATGCTGGTCCCGGAAACATCGCTTAGAGGACTGGGACAACTAAACCCATAGAAGAGTGACAGGGTCAATTAGAATTTGAAATAGATTAGTTTGGCCAAGCAATAATAACACTATAAATTATATCTCACACCTTAGGACTCTTGTGTCGGCGTATGAGCGAAGAAGCAATCCATATTGGGGAATAACTAGTCTTTGCTAACCAAACCTTGACAGATGGACATGCAGATTTATGGGCATGCCTACAACCCATTAACAGGAATACAATAGGATGCCCATATAACAAGCCATCTCTGGTGCACGCCGCGGAGCACTCAAGCAGCCGCTTCGGGCTTCTTCGATTCGCGAAGCATACACGTGTGTGTATAAGTTTCCCCGTCACTGCCTCCAGGCAGGTCTACGGTAATCTCTTCCATCACTTGAAATCCAAATTTCTTGTACAACGGCACAGCCATTGGGGAGCCAGTCACCCAGCAGGCGAGGCCCTCTTGGTCGGCCAACTCTGTGACCCAGGTCATCAGCAAGCTTCCGGCACCACGTCGCTGTGCCTTGGGATGTGTGCCAATGAGCTTCAAGACTAGAGAAGTAGAGGCTTAGTTTCAATCTCTAGAAAACATTTTTGTAGTGAAAGATGGCCAAAGACATACTAATAGCAGGCCGATTGCCCAAATCCCGAAATTGAGCCCTCGCGGCCCTACTACTAAATCCAGACCCCGTGGGAGCAGCAGTTGGCGCTTCTGGGGGCGGTAGACGATTTCTGACTATGTCTTCAGGGGCATCTATTGCCATTAGTTGAATACATTTGGTACTCAAAACAAGAAAGGGCACAAACCGGCTGGAGTAAATCGATCGGGATCAATATCGGTGTTCTGAAACCCAATCTTGACCCAACCAACCAACTCTCCCGTGTCGGTGTCGACGACCTTTTTATAGGCATTGAAAGCTTCGCAATAGTTTTTAGGCCAACGGCGAATAAGGCCTGCTACCCGCTCATCATATGTCTGGTCTGCAAAGGAGGCTCTCGAGTAAGGGTCGGTGTTGAACGAGGTGGCATACGTGTTTGCGTATGCCTCGGCATCTTCAAATTTCATGTCCTCAAGCTGAAGTGGCATTTTGTTGCTTTGTTGCTGATAGAGGGCGCTACTTGGCCTTATTCTGTGATGACGCTGCGTAAGATTTTAGTCATAAGAGGGTTCTGAGACGTTTTATTGTGCTCAAAGGAACATACATCCAGATGATGAGATATTTCTGACTTCCTAGATGCTGCTAAGGCTTCATATACTAGCTATGTGTATATTGATGATTTTATTGATGCTTGCCGAGAATGTAGAGTAGAAGGTCCCCGCCTCCGCGGAGAGGGAGAAAGGTTGCCACCTATCTAATTAATGTACATGTAACTAACGGTCCATGCAGCGTGCTCCCCTCATGCTATTCCGTGCTCGGTTCGGTTGGCCGACATGTCTTACTCGGTCTCGATGTTTTGCCGACCGGCTAAGTCTCTTCTTCCCAAATAACAAGCATATGTTAACGTTGTTGGTGTCCGGTGCTGTTGCGTCCAAGTGTCATGATCGAGGTAGATGAACAAAGCGCATGCACATTTCAGCATTTCAGTTGTAAAAATGAAAAAACGCATTTAAAGTAATGAGTCATTTATGTATACATTCTCTTGGAAAGAATACTACGGGTATCTTGTTCATGTCATTTTGCTACGTACATCTAATGATCTCTATCTGATGCTCTTCATTAGCCAATTCGACCGATATTATTAAATATCATAGTTCTCAGCTATCGCATCTTGAACTAATCACTAATACTGAGGAGTTGGGTATGAGTCTGACTCTCCTGGTCCTCATATCCTTTCACTTGATATGAAATAGCTTTCTGATAGCTTGACATACTGGAGGCACTGAGATTTCTTATTATATGCAATGGCGCTATGAAAGAGACTCTGGATAGGCCAACCACCTTAATGGCCGCTCCGTGGTTTCCCAACTCAATCATGACCCCATTTATCCTTTCCAGTGACTGGAGGTCCATGCGGCGGCATTGGAAAATCGTTTTCGTAATCCAATATCGTCTCTGCAAGCCCTGGCGCAGGCTTCCAACTGGGATTTGGTGTCTGTCTTGGCACGCCTCCATTGTCGTGCTCTTCCACCCATTCCAGCAATTTAGTAAAATTTCGACACTTGTGCATGGTATTAAAGTCAGGGTGGGGAGTGTGGTGAGTGAAGACCCAGTTGGATGTGACGGGTGTAACATCACTCTCACACATTATGACTTGGCGGAGATAATCGATGCAGTGGTCTAGAGTAAGATGCAGGAGGAAGCGGGTTATTAGCATGAATTAATTGTTAACAAATGAGAGCTAGACTCACCGACGTGGTTGAAGAATAGTTTATTCGTTACTTCAAACTCAATTGGCAGGTTTTCGGGTCTTGAATAATAATCTGCATAGATGACTTTTCTGATAAAGTTCTACTCAACGGGTCAGCCAATGTCTAATGCCAACAGATCCAGAGAATTTAATACCAGGCAGTGGAGCTGATGAAAAACCTCAATCTCGACCATAATTCCACCACCTTGTTCTTTGGGATAAGGTATGCCCGAATTTGTTTTATTCAACTCTGCGCGATACTTTTCAGGCATTGAGAGCGGATGGACTGGTGATGCAAAGTAAGTTATCTAATACGGTAATAGAAGCAATTATAAGTTTGGATGCTTACTTTTACCAACGCGAGTCCAAGCTTCGTCAAGTTCTGGTCGAGGGTGCCCTTTGTACACATTTTCTGCGTCAAGCTCCGCCTCAAACTGATAATCGTAATATTCTACTGCCTCAAGCAACGGCGCTGTGCTTGGGTCAGCTTCGTCAAAGTTGACTACAAAACTATGAACAACTTACAATAGCTTGAAGTCATACGGACACACTCCAACTCAGTGCATCCTGGCTTTAGCACATACCCTAAGGCTGCACCCACAAGTACACTGCATATGATCTGGAGACTGATTATAGCCCATCTCCATACTGTTGCCGAATTGGGTCTCCATTTCCTTGATCGCCGGGGTGTATCGTCTTCTCCGATCCATGTCGATGTAGAATCAAGCTCATCTTCAAGCCTATCGTAATAGCCTAGAAGCTTTTTGTTTTCGGCTTCGAGGCTTGGGCGCCCCTTCTCTGCACGCGACGCTGTCGCAAGATCCATTGTGAAAATGCAAACTAGTCTCAACGTAAGGTCAGTAGTAGTCCATACGAATGCGAAATCTGAAATATGTATGATATTCCAGAGTTTGTAGGTTGGACTTTTGATTTGAGGCTGGGTGACAAAGTCCGAGTCCGATGATGTTGCCGCAGGCTCGGAATTGAGAGACATGAAAACCGAAGTACATGCAGCACCTATCCGAACTGAGACACATACAGACATCTCGGACCGTTTTTAAACAGGCGGGAATCACGACGTCATGAAGATCGGAAACTTTGTACATCAGACGTGCAATTACGAGGCCCGGATTTGAGAGCGCAGAGCCGCTCATTACGCAATGGTGAGAGAATCGCGGTGACTCGGTCAACGGAACTATGCTGCACCCCTTCACAGAGGCTATCCCTTAACGAAAAAAGAAAGAAGTTTAGCCGTCATTCGCAAGACCAATACTTCATTCGCAATTACATAGTTTTATGGATGCACCTGAATTAGCCGGAAGCATGCCTATCTACTCGGGAGCTGTTACAGCCAATCGTTGGAGCCGCAAACTCTCTTTGCGAATCTCGAGAACAGTCACCAATAGTCGGATTTTACTGAATGATTGTGGCTCAAGATCCTCTGAGTGCAAGTGGTACAATTATGGCTAGCAAGAGGAGGTGTATTTGGGGGTTCTTATATCGCACTCCAATTGGACGGCTATATTTCATCACTAAACTTCGTAATGCAAGCCTTAAAATATATCTCAAAGGTTTGGTATCGCATACTTGTGTATAGTGCGATAAATAGAGCAGGAGGCACTTTGAACCTGGCTAAGACCACAGAAGTAATCTAGCATGGTGTAACTATCAGTAGCTTTACTTTATTTCATCGTTTGAACGTCCATCGAGAGGAAAATAAAATTGACAAAAGAACCATGGTCTCATGATGCGGCCTCATGAGGTGTGCTAGTAGTATAACCAGTAGAGTTTAACATTTAAGCAATAGCATTGAACTAAGAGATATCGGCTTGTCAATCAATAGAACAGCTCCTTAGAGCACGGCAAAAGTAATAAAATTCACGTATATTGTCTTTTGGAGAGCTAATGAAGGCAAATTAAACTATCCTCACATGTCCTGCATACGGCACAATATTATTGCTATCAACCTCCCCTACTCGCCATTTCAAAGCCTGAACGAAATGTCCGTCTTGATACCTTTAGCTTCTAGCGTAAACAGGGGTAGGTATAACAGAATCCCCTTAGTCATAGTGTTGCTTGTCGGGGACAACGGTATCCTCGCTACGCTTATCGTAATGCTGCTTGTCGGGGACGACAGTGTCCTCGGTACGCTTGTCGTAATGTTGCTTGTCTGGGACTACAGTGTCCTTAGTTCGCTTGTCGTAGTGCTGCTTATCGGGAACGACTGTATCCTTATTGCGCTTGTCATAATGTTGTTTATCAGGGACGACAGTGTCTTCAGTTCGCTTGTCGTAATGTTGCTTATCCGGTACGACAGTATCTTCACGACGCTTGTCATAATGCTGCTTATCTGGGACAACAGTGTCTTCGTTACGTCTGTCATAATGCTGCTTATCAGGCACAACGGCGTCCTTATTGCGTCTGTCGTAGTGTTGTTTGTCAGGAACCACGGTATCCTTATTGCGCTTGTCATAATGCTGTTTGTCAGGAACAACGGTATCTTCGTGACGCTTGTCGTAATGTTGTTTATCGGGAACAACTGTATCTTCATTACGCTTATCGTAATGTTGCTTATCAGGGACAACGGTATCGTCGGAGCGGGAAACAAGATCCAAGCTGTGTGGTGCATGTCAGCTTTTGATAAAATGTGGAGGATATGTTTTGCCTACGGTTGTGCCATTGGAAGCGCGAGCGCCATGGCAGTGGAGACCAAAGCGGCCATAGCAAAAGCTTTAGTGTACCGCATAATGCAAACACGTTATCAAACTCTTGTTAAAAACTTTGTTCAAGATATTGGTTCAGATGCGATGCTATCGTTGTTGAGTTGCAAGAATACTGTCCAAGCACCGCGGGGGATGACTTCTTATATAGCCTGAAAGCGACGAATCTCCCATAGTTACGTCTCAATACGTTAGTTGTCAAGACATGGAACAAGATTAGAATATTGCATCATTTGTCACAGAGAACTGACAGTAAACAGCCTCGATGTGAAGCATTTTGACGCACCGACACAGCTTCTATCGGACCCAGACAATGTCAGTACCGTTCTTTCATCGCAAATAGGCCTTTGCATTTCAGAGTCGCAGCTGAGCAGTAACGTCAAACAAAACTCAACGGACCATCCGAGACAAGCTTGGCATCATTAGAACTCAGTATGACGAGATGTAGAAAACGACGTCGGTGGTGGAAGTCAGTTGCCGGAATAGGAAATGTCGCAGAACCTCACTCTCAGAGATCCGACGGACCGAAGTGCAGATCCATCTAATAAAATGGACGGACCGAGCCGCTCATCCTTCGATGATGAACTTTATTGGTGTAGATCATCGGCAAGTACCGGTATTGTAAGCTTTGACCAGTGGTAATTCGTCACCGAGGTTTGCGACGACAGGAGGATCTGTTAGGTAGATGCTAAACTACTCCATCTCAGTTTTGTTTCACTGGCTGTGACCTCCACTGTAGGCATCTTCGCTTGGAGGACATTATCATTGGATTTCTACATAGCCATACCGAGAAGAGAAGTCGGATGCCATAATTCGCGAGTGTGGCTCAGCAGCTGCGCGGCAAAGCAACCACAAACGATAGTAGACTTTCAAGAGACGTGGAACAGGCACTACACGTAATCATCATATTGAAAATTGATTACTTGTAGTATTTAATACATAATGGCCGTGAGATCGACTGTCATATCCATCATCATCGCTCATATCCTCGTGTTAGAGGCTATGGGTGCTGCAATCGATAGCTTGTCGAGTAACAGATCGACACAGAGCAGCAAAGCCTCACTGACCAGACGTGAGATACCCGACTCTCACAGGCTACATGAGCGACAAAATTCCCACTGGGAAGGCCAATGGGAAAAACAAATCAGAGTTCCAGCCAATGGTCTGCTTCCCATGCGTATTGGTCTCGTGCAGAGTAACATTGACGAGGGAGCGCGTCGTCTACAAAAGATGTAAGCAAAATCCTAAGCCCTCCCATAAGTGTTCCCATTAATAACACAAGTATTAGCTCGAGTCCAAACTCACCAGATTATGGAAAGCACATGTCTCCAGAAGAAGTGATCGAAATGTTTGCTCCGTCTGAGACTGCTTTCGATGCTGTGAGGGACTGGCTTGTTAGCGCCGGCTTTGCTGACGAGGCCATCTCACTTTCAGCCAACAAGCAGTGGATCCGATTTGATTCAAGAGCTGAAGACGCAGAAAATGTTCTGTTTGCAGAATTTTTTGAGTATGAGCACCTTGCGTCGGGCAGCAAGACTGTCGCTGTCGAGGAGTACTATGTTCCTCTCCATCTTCGAGAGTACATAGACTACATCACTCCTGGTATCAAGCTTCAAGCCCATCCTAATAAGCTGAAGAAATTGATGCAGCGCCAAGTACAAGAGCTACAAGAGAAACCTATGAGCAGATCCGCGCATAAGAATGCGCCATATATATATGATGAAGATGGCAGAGGTATCGGCAACCGCAGTACGACGCCAATACCTTTTGTCTCGGGTTCTTGCGATACAGATCTCACCATTGCTTGTATCAGAGCTCAATACGGCATTCCCAATAATACAGTTGCCATACCTGGAAATGAGCTTGGTATTTTTGGCGGCCTGGATGAGCACTATAGCAAAGCTGATCTCGACACATTCTTTGCCACGCTTCACCCACACATACCGAATGGCACCTACCCAGAGGAAAGACTCATTGACGGCGCTATTGGCTCCGTTGAAGACGTTCCAGGATACAACCAGTCTGTTGCGGGTGTCGAAGCGGATATGGACATTGAGGCTGCCTGGCCGTTGATTTGGCCTCAAGGGGTTGTTCTGTTCCAAACAGACGATCAATTCTATGAAACCAGTCAAAAGGCACCGGACACACCATACCATGGCTTCTGGAACACTTTCTTTGATGCAATTGATGGGTCATACTGTACGTACTCAGCGTACAATGAGACTGGTGACTGTACTAGACCAGAATGCCTTGATCCTTCGTACCCCAATCCCAATCCCGATGGATTCAAGGGTCAGCTACAATGTGGTGTATACCGTCCTACGAATGTTATATCTATCTCTTACAGCGGCGGCGAAGCGGATCTACCTGCATCGTACTTGAGGCGACAGTGCAATGAGATTATGAAGCTCGCCTTACAAGGTGTAACCGTCGTTGAGTCATCTGGAGACTATGGCGTGGCTTCTTACCCAGAGAACCTTTTCACGAATAATGGATGTGCTAGTACTGACGGTAAAGTCTTTTATCCTTCCGCCGATGTAACCTGTCCTTATGTTCTGGCTGTCGGCTCCACGCAGTTCAAGAGGTTTAGAGACAGCAATACCACGTACTATGAGTCGTCTACCTCGTATAGCGGCGGGGGATTTTCTAATTATTTCGACGCACCCGAGTGGCAAACGGATGCCATCTCCTCATATTTCGATCAAGTCACTTTAAACTTTACTAGTTACGAAAATCCCGGTGTCAACTTCAGTGATGTTGGCGATGGTGTCTACAGGGCTGGTGGCCGCGGTTACCCTGACGTATCGGCTGTTGGGGAAAGATTGGTGGCCTTCAAAAGAGGCCGATGGGGTCATGTAGGCGGCACATCTCTCTCAGCCCCCATATGGGCAGCTGTAATAACGCTGATAAACGAGCGCCGTCTCGCTGCCAACAAAAGTACTGTTGGCTTCATCCACCCTGTCTTGGTATGGCTGTCCCAGTTCTCAGTAGCGATATTCATGGGCTAACCGATTCTAGTACGCCCATCCCGAAGTCTTTGTTGATATCACGGAAGGATCTAATCCGGGGTGTAATACAACTGGTTTTCCAGCAGTCAAAGGATGGGACCCTGTCAGCGGTCTTGGGTGAGATTCTCCCTTCAACTTAGCTTGGCCGTTGGTTCATTTGAAGCTAACCTCAGCAGAACACCAAGCTTTCCCAAATTGGTTGACTTGTTCCTCAGCTTATAAGATCTAGCTGATATAGAGGACGTATCACTACAGAAGGAAAGGGACTATGTTAGGGATAAAGGTAATTCCAAATAAGTCAAGCGTCCACGTGGTATCGGAAGCGATAGAGTAGTAATAATAATATTCATTCATCCTACATCATTATACTACCAGCCAAAACTCTCGTTATGGAACCAGACATCCCTATCTCTCTCGACCCAGTGTGTCACTACCCGTCTCACATCAGCAGCCATTTCATCAGGGCCACATACAACAACTCCAACACGTCTACCATGACCTTGCTGAAAAAAAGCGTTGACAATCTGCCTTATATTTGGCCGCTGAAAGCTTTCCACAGGTACACTGCTATCGTTCACTTTACTCTCCTTGTCAAGACTGCTCATTTCAACATCACTTATGCTTGAACATTCGTACGCCGAATTCTCTGTTGATTCAAATGCACTCCTTGTGCAAAAGAGGCGCAACCCACCCTCTTTCAAAATTCTGTTGCCTGCTTGAGTGGTGCACCACGCCGCTTCGTTGATGTTGCGGGTTGCCCAAATCATCTGAACCCGTAACGATGGGTTCTCTGTCCTGATATGCTTGAACAGCGGCAGAATAAAGGTTGCACCGACGCCTCCAGCAAATAACAACACGCCGTCAAATTCAGATCCGGAGAAACTAGGAAAATTGGTATAACCCCCGTATGGACCGTCAAAGCTAAGAGCAACATGAATGTCTCTCGACAATGGGTTCGAAAAGCTCGACAGAGTCTTCGTCGTCGGCCCTCTCATTTGACGGACAACGAGCATAAACTCCCCTGCCTCTTCATCAATAGCTGCGACCGTGAATGGATTGGATATGAATTCAGAGCCAAGATGTGATAACAGCAAAGGAGTTTTCTTTGATCTTGATGCAGGAGGAATGCTCAGGTAGATATGTGACCCAGGGCGAGATACCAGGCTCTTCATCATTTTGTCCGAGCCTTGTACTTTGATCTTGACAAGATCAGTGCCGGAAATAGCCTCTACGGCACAGAAGCTCGTTACCCTGGTATATCGGCGAATGCCAAGATCCATAATAGCCACTGCTAAGGCTTCAGCCATGTAGATCCTCCCATGCGGAACGTGGAACCAGACAATAAAAGGAACAGTCAGAGCGACTAGTATATGGATGATAAAGAATAGCCGGTACGATAGTCGACGTATCATCTTCAGCGAGGCAGTGTTGAGTAATGTCATGCAAAAAAACCCACTCATGCCCAGCGCTGGAACAGCGCGAAAAAAAGCTGCTGGCAATCCCCCGACTTGAAAGTAGTAGTTGAGATATAAAATCCCGTGAAATGTAATGAGTAAGTATGTCATACGACCAAGAGTCCGATGCCATCGATTCAAATGTTCATGCGATGTGCGTAAAATGAGCGCAACTGGATTAAACCATTTTAGTGATAGCAGGTAGAGCATGGGCAGCTGAGATATGCCGACAATGCCAAATCGTCGAGCCAGATGATGATAATCTTAGATTTTTTGAGCAAATTTTCTTCTATCAACGATTGCACCGACTATTCTTACCTGTTCCTGTGTCCTTTGTACAGAGAAATAGCAACCAAGCCGCCCAGACACCACCAAATATCAACTGATCTCTTTGACACAAGGTCAGGCCCGCGAATTCGACGTTGTCGCTAAGCCACCAGGTAAAACGGCGCCATAGAGCCAACGGTGAGCTTGCGACAGACGCTTCATAAAACGCAACGGCAGATGATGTTGCCTCAGCGTCATATGGTGCTTGTTTGTCAGTCAATTTACCTAGCCTCCATCGTACAAGTCTCACTAAGAGCAAACCAAGGATGGGTACAAGGGGTGACAAATGTGCATATAGGCCATGCTGATCGTTTAGAATACGGCGTTTGTGCCTATCAGCCTCAGAGAGGGTAACGAATTGATAGGGCCAATCCATGGCCTGGCTATAGTCATACAGCCGTTCTTTGCTAGCTGGCAGTGAGAGGTAGACCGAATATGATTCCCTTTTGAAAAGGGCCTCTAAGTCGAATGGCTTGGATAGAAAGAAAACGGCTAGCTAATTTGCAACTAAAGGTTGGTGTCTTGCGAGAGGCGAAGCCTCTCGCTCTGTGAGATACGTTGATTCCCGGTCCGAGTTAGTGTACATCTGCATTCGTACATCTATGCAGTCGGCTGGCCGGAAGTTGTTAATTTGTTCATCGTACCTTAATTAATCATTACCACTTGAGAACAGACGTCACAAAATAACATGCATTTCCACTATTTCTCGGAGCAGCGAGGCCAAGAATTGGTTCCGGTCCGAGTCCGAGCACATCACACCAAGTCGGTCCGAGGTGAAACAACAAATCATCATTGTGCAGCATAGTAAGACACAACTTTATGTTAGTCAATTCAACTTAACACGTGGATTTCAATCAAAAAACTGCTTATACCTTTGTTCCATAGGGATATGTGAGCCTGCTGTTCTAGTCTCTTGCTCTCGTAAGTACACGAATGCAGCTTCCTCCGGCTATGAATCACCAATTCTAATCTTGAATCGAGAAATATTTATCACTCATAGAGAAATCTCAATATGTGGCCTCTCAAAGTTAAGACTGTGTACGAGCGCCTTCACGGAAGCGAGGTTTCATCAGCCTCAAACTCGTTCACTGATGGTGATGTTGAGAAACTGGACGGGCCTCTTCCGTCTAATCCTCACCCTCGCAGCAAGTTCCAATACTTTTACGACGCTCTTCGCACATCAATCCGTTTATTTTGCCTCTGGATAGTTCTAGTGACCGCATGGAGAACCACCTTTCACTCTACTCCTCGTGCTATCAGATACGAGAAACAAACGCTGGAGTGCGGAAACACCACAGAAGAAGCGGCAGCGCGCGGCTGTGCCTTTGACTTGCTATCACACAACTGGGTAGCAAAGCAATGCATGGATTCTCTAACAGAATCGGAGTATCGCGAATACGTCAGCAGCCCTGATCGCAAAATGGGACCCTATCCCTACTTTCTCGACCCGGACGGAAAGAATCGCGTCATTGGCGAACGCGCCTTTGCACTTCTTGCCAACGGCCCAACTCTCGCTGACCAGCACGTCTATACTACTCGAGAAGAACACCTAGCACATTGCAAATATCTTCTTCGGCGTACTCATCGAGCTGCCGAGGGTAAAGTGCAGCTCAATGACGAGAATAAGCAGTTTTGGCATGCAGCACACTGCTTGGAAGAGCTGAGCAATCCAAATAAAAAGCCAATGGACGAGTTGAATGAGGGATTCTATGTAGGATTTGCACCTTGTACCATTGACGTACCAGTATAAGAAGATTGGCCCCGATCCAGCTTCGAGGGGGAGTAGAGGCTGGTAGATGAGGTAGCAAATATTTTCGTTGACAAGAGAGAATTCATCAAGTTCATTTCTGATCGATATAACACCATTCTTCATTCTGCTACTAATGATTGTCGTGATTATCTTTTGCCAACTGGTGTACAATTCTCATAATTTCTGTAACCTCCTCTTGGGGACCGTCGATATCGCCAATAGCCATACGTCCAAAGAACCCAACCGCCATAGAAAGGTAAGAAAGATCTTTACTATTGCTACCATCGCAAATTGTACTGACCGCCAGTTTACAAGAAGCGACGCGAATCAGTTGGTAAAATGACCTAGAAATATGTTAGTCGCGTACAACATTAGAATATGCGGTGAAGTAGCAAACATACATATCCAAACGTATGTCTGCCACGGTCAATTGATGGCTAGCCTCAAGGAGCTTTTTCACTGCCGAAATTTGTTGCTGATCTCCACATGATGGCCACATATTGAGATCAGTAACAGCTAGAGACTCTGTGGATGTCTGCTTTGCATATACTGCAAGTAGAATCTCATAGTACAGACAGAAAATGTGGAGCTTTACTCTTCGCTCTTGGGGTCTCATCATGTTCAGCTCACCCATTTGGCCATTTACTAATTGAAGTTCTGATGGCAATCGTTGCATCCATTTGCGCAGCTGCTCCTCGAGAGCAGAGATGGAACTCGAACATTGGCTTTGCAGTGCTCTTTGGCCATAGAACTCCTGTAGGATGAGCGCGCAGAGACTCGCATGGTGGCACCATATTGACAACCAATCAACTGATGCCAAATGCCCTTCTGGTTTTGGCGGTTCATGATCGATAAAGTCATAATTAAGAAGCTATATGTTTGTCAGTGCTGGAAATTTCGTAACATGGTCGGATGAAGAAATGACTGCAGACTGACAGGAAAAGTCTCTGTCCGAAGACAAAAGCGCTGCTCCATGGCGTATAAAAACCAGAAGGCCTTCTTCACTTTTCTCCTGTCATTTGGTGTAGCACACAATGCATTTATTGAAGTGCTTCTGTTCAAGCGCATTATCTGTGAATACTGAATGCAGTTAAATAGGAGACTGCGGGTTTCTCTCGATTCAATGAGCAGCCCGAAGTATGTCTACAGCAGACGCGAGTTTAGTATATGAGTCATTCAGTCATGCAGTCTTAGAAATACTATACCATTGCAACGAGAGCCTTTGTTTCATTATTAGTGTTCCATCTAGTGAAATACTTTGACGGGGCAACGTCCAACCTTACCTGTAAACTCTGAACAGAGAAGATATCATTCAACAGCTGATCTTTAAGCTTCAAGGCCTTAGTAAAGTGAAGGAGAGGATTGTGTTGGAGTTCTGGTAGTCTTTCACATCGGCCTTCGCAGTGTAAAAAATGGATTCCAAACGCAAGCACCATATGGACAAGGGCTTTTGTAGGAGTCGAGCACGGTAACTGACCCAAAGCATCGTGAACCGCGCTTTCTAGAGATGCCCGATCTAAAAATACAGAGACACTAGAGCTTTTGTCGGCAACACAATCTTTAAATAGATAGTTTTTATTGGTAGGCATCTTACCCTAGTTGATCACTTAAACACACTATGTTTAACATGTTAGCCATGAACTCTTTTCAACAGGTGAGAATAAGGGAGTGACTAACGGTACGTACCATCGATACAGTCAAACACAAACGTTCGGTGAGTGGTAAAGTTGTCAACATTCACCTCGATGCTACCAAAGGTTTCGGAAGGATGGATTGTGACATTCTGTGTCATCATTTTCTTCAATGTATGAAGAAGATGATCGTTTTTACCGAGGCATTGTCGATGCCAATATTGCTCAATTCCATCCAGTATCGTGTCCTTTATCAAACTGTTCTGTCTAGTTTTGACTCGGGTTTCGTTCATTTCCGACATGCACTGGTCTCCAGGAGATGTCGTTACCGAATAACCTAGTTTGGGACTTGTATATGAGTTTGACAACCGTTGTGTGGATGGCATCGTTGAATCCACAAACAATTGTTCATTGAAGGAAAATTGTCCCTTTGTATCGAACAGGCTATGGCAAGCAGGTATGATGGCGTCGCTCGTCCCACTAAAAGGAATCGCATTCGAGTCGATAAACTCAGCTGACTCTAGACGACCGGTAGAATAGGGGACAACGCATGGTGCAAAAATATCTCCAAGATATTCCGGTTCGAGAAAAGATAAGCCACTTTCACTAAATGGAGTATTGTCGAATGGCGATTCCATCTGCTGTGAGATGGGCGTATCGGGTAACGTCTCATCGATGGACGGTCGCGATTGATGCGTCGGTACATATTTGCAATCAAAGCCAAGCCTCTATATTATAGTGGTTAGTCTCATATCGAAAACACGGCTAGATCGGAGACCAAGACCTCGCATTCACTACATAGCTTTTTTCCATCACCTGCATTCAGGTTAGAAAGATCGTCAAACTATTCAATAGCCGGTAGGTTAAACAGACATCGAACCTTGCGAGCTCTACAACGATTGCAAGCCCCTCGCCGTCTTGTAATTCGCCGTGAACCCCCTAGTATGCCTTTGCTGGAATCGGCCACTACCATGTTCGGTTTTATGATTGAGGGAGGACTTAAGGTGAAAGAAGCAACGAAATTCCACAGCTTCTCGTACTATACTTAAATAGAGTACAGAGGGCATATATCTAAAACAGCTTTATGATACACCAGGTCAGGCAAGCTTTGATACCCCACTCATCGCCTGTTCGCCATCGGCGATTGCCGCTGTGGTGAAATCAAGGATGATCCTACAGAGAGATTACAGATATTAATTGCGACATTAATGCCTACGAGTATTAAATCATGGAGTAAACTTGCAGTTGAAATGACGTAGCTAGAGCCTAGGAGACTTTCTTGTAGGCCAGAAGATGCATGCTTACATGGTCTGAGCCATGTCTTGTTGTGCCAGAATTTGGTCTGAGAAAATTGGAGTCTCTCTATTTGATCTATCACCAAATTTTGAAACCTTTGACTTCATCTAAGCGCCAGCCTGATAGGACTACGTGTTTGGCCAATCTCACTGAATCAGGGACCCCACTGGTTGAGACTCAAGTAAGAGACTGCCACGCGCTCATGGGAAAAGATGAGAATTTAGAGAATATAGCACTATGAACTATGGAGTATACATCCCACCAGAAACATAAACCGTAAAATAACAGTCTATATTAACGGTAGAGGTTGACTGACTATAGATGTACATCGTCTGCCTGGACAGTGCAAGACGTATCCCATAGGGGGCATGGCGCCATCTAACATTTGCTTCTTGTTTGAGACACTCGCTCAATTAGGCACGGTAGCCAGCCACAGCTTTGGGCAATACGTCGTTTGTATCTCCTAAGCTACCAATAGAAAGTTTTTTTTCCTCATCAATCTGACCATTCATTCTCTACAGTGATCGTTCTATATGGAATAACTCTTCTATTGAAGTTGGTGGCAGATCTTTACGTCCAATGGCGGCCACGTTGAGGAGAAGTCCGAGACACGGTAAAGGATCGTCAAAAACAAAGCCAATAGCTCAATAGCCAGAATGACGAGTACCTGTACCCTGGCTAATGCAGATTACATCACATCACATCGCTAATGGTACATCTTGTATATTTATGCCCGTGCTCATCTTTCAAGATGAAAGCCATTTATACAGACAGATGAAATTGTATAATTTCAAGCGATATATCTCAAAGGATAAGAGATTTTGGCGTGGGCAGATACAAAATTGATTAGACCACAATCGCTACAATTTATACGTAGGCTACCAGACAATGTCACCGGATAGTTTAGGAGAATCGAATGCGAAACATGATGGCTTAAATGTTATAAGATCAACAAACATGTCGCCTCTGAGACAACTTGTGGCAGATACAAGTTACATCCACTTTCCCAATAGGCTATGAGCAGCATGTCGTTGGGTGATATAACAGATGCTATAAAAATGCCAACTCTGGATATAAAGGAAGGAATGTTATAGGATTTGAGATGGGGGGAGCCAACGTATAAGATAATTTCCCAACCATCGTCACCAAGGGCGTCTATGCCTACGTAGATAAACACAAGGCTGAATAGTGGCAAAATATGCTTCTCTAACCGCTATTGCGTGTATGAAAGCTGTCTTAAGCCAATGGAGTGCTGTAAATCAACCTCACAATGTTCAATTTGGGCTAGGTTAGCCTGGGTTTGGACACATTGCTCGAACCAAACTGACTCGGGACAATTAGACGTGTCGCGGCAGCACAGCATCTTCAAATGTTTATGAAGACTATAAAGTTCGGCACCCTGGTCCCGCTCTAGGGCCTTTCTAGGGGTCCTTCAAACTTCTGGTATATCCTTATGGGGCTTCAAACAATGATAGTAGTCTTCTGTGGTATTCTGCAGATCTTGACAGAGGTATATCCATGTTAACAAGGAAAATGGCGGAAGAATTAGACGAACCAAATTACTTCCCTTGTTACTTTTTCTTCAAGGGGGTGGGGATGATCATCAAGATAGAGCAGCAGCAGCGATGTGCGCTATGTTACACCAACTCTTCTGCAGGCACCGTGAGCTTCTAGTCAAGAAATGGATCGAAAGGAATGGATCCAGGTAACATGCCTTTGCTCAACCGCTGCGGAATATACTCAGTATGATTGCTCCACAGTCAAGTATTGGCACCGTCATATGCGTCCTTGATGCAATTGATGAGTGATGGGGCTTTGACAGACTTATGCTTATTAGTGAATTGCAAGACTGCCATAGAAGACGCAGAAAGAAACTACGATCTTGATCCGTATCAAAGCTCCTAGTTACTCGTTAGTCATTTACCGCCGTGAACCAACAGCTCCATGGCCCGGTCGAGAACTGTCCTGAGATCCTACTAGGCAACAAGAATGCGATAGAGGGAAAGTAAGTCAGCTTTTTATGAGATATTGCATCAATAGTTTGGTGATACGTTACAATTGAATGAGCACTAAGAAGCTGCATGTAGTATCCTTAACCGCAAGAGAGATCGGTGCAGCCCTAGTAATAAGAGTTATTTGGACATATCTTAAGAGACTCGAAGAGCAATCGTAATAGTCATTTCGTTTCATTTTTTTTTCTTTTTTGACATTCTGTATTGCTCAGTTGGTATAAACAAACATTCACATGGGTTGCACAAAGGAGTGTGTGGTCTCCACCCTATCACAGGATCACTGAAAAACGCCGTAATCTTGACATTGCCGCCTTGCCATGCTCCTATGATAGACGGCGCTTAACAAGTGCTATCTTTTGTGTTGTTAGTGTTTGCTTTATATGATGTAACAGTCATCATCTCCAATAGTGATTGAGGCCATTGCCAATGCAATCAAGAGTCATACAATTTTTGTCTACATAGACATGCTTGAAATGCCGATTCTTCCTTTAATACTACGTGTGGACTTCTGCCGGTGCATAAGAAATAGAAGTTCAGCACGTTTTTTATGAAGGTATATAACTAGTGCCGTAGCATAAGATATGCAGTGCCTCTGCATAGAATCGCGGGATCGTTGTATAACAAGGCATTGTTCGCTAGGATGGTGGCGCTCTGTCTAGACTCCTAGCGGATGGAGTATGTGATCATTGTATCATCTAGGACAGCAAATAGGACCATTTTATGTACTTCTTTCGTCTCATACCAAGTAAAACTGTCTTAGCATGTGATTATTCAGGCGCAGCTCGACGGAGACTTGTCCCGCGCATGCAGCAGGAAAGTCGTACTGTAGAACATCATAGGACGGTCTAGACCATCAGCACTGCCTCCTTTTCATAACACATAACCTAGGTCTTACCAAGTTGTCAAATCCTATTGTGAGGCTAGACTAAGAAATAGCTGCAAGGGGGCTGAAAGACTCGTCTGCCTTCGTATCACGCTCTGAGACAAACATCAGCCGCAGAGAGGGGTATTCAGCTCTCATAATATGTCTAAACTGCGATTATTCATTCCCATAGCATCATCTAGTAATCCAATCGTTCGTTGTGAACTATAAAGACTCGGACCTAGCCAAAGGTCTCATCATCCAGCTGAAAATTTACAATCACATACGCATATTAGCATAGACTCAAGGCAAAATGGTGAACATCGATACAAGCAGAATCTACGTCCTGAAGAACAGCTTCACAGCTGCAGCTAAAATACTTGCCCTATCAGGAAATGGCAACTCTCTCTCCATGGTAGACGCAAGCAATGTTACTACCAACAGCCTCTGGTTTCTTACTCCGACGAACTCAGCTAGCTACTATCGCCTACACACTATCGCCAATGGTGTGCAGCAGTCACTTGATGTCATTAATGACAATGGAGTGAATAGTGTCAACCTTCATTTTGCCAGTACTGGAGAATACAGTGGCCAATATTGGAGATTCGACCAGTGGAACACGAATCCTGCCTATCCGTACCGGCTGAGCAACAGCTTCACGGGAACAGGTCAACACCTAGACGTGTATTCCGACACTTACCAGGCTCATCTGGCTGGCGGCGATTACTCTGGGCAGCATTGGGCTCTGGTTCCTTCAAATACTGTTGTCGTGACCCAGTCTTGATGACAGCGCGCGTTAGGGACTTGTCGCTGTAAGATCTTCTTACTCGACTGCGATGACTATTTATACTAATTCAAGTTATAGATCTTTCAGATCAGAGGGCATTTCAACCTATGTACTCCTAGATATTTGTCGATTCTCTTTCGGTATCAGAAATAGGGATATCAGGTACAGGGTGTTTTATAGCAACTACATGAATGGAATGACTTAATCACAGAGCGACCTAATTCTAAACATAGTACATGTCATCCCCATTTTTACTGTTGAATAGGTAGAGTAACCCAAGTCAATAGTATCATTTAGTGTGCAATACGAATGACTTAGAAGCCCAATCAATTGGTGTTATTACAAATCAGAATTCAGTGTTGCTTCTTTGCCATTCTTGACATTGAACGCCGTATATATTGTGCTATGGGTGTCTAGTGTCTCTTTCACAAACCCTAGATGGTGTTACTCATAGAAAGACTTGTAAAGCATAATAGATAACGTTGCCCTTACACACAGAAGTCCCATAGAGTCAACTACTTAAACCTTGAGACCCTCCTCCGTAATCTTCTTGATCAATCTCCTCTCTACTTCAATCATATACTCTGCTATAGCTCCATCCTTGAACTCTGGCATAGGGGCGTTGAACGCGGGCACAACCCTCGTGCCTTCAGCCGTCGCCTCGAATATCGTCCCATCGCCATATTGAGGATCCTCCAGCAGTTCCAACATGGCGTCGGCAATATCCTCAGGGCTAGCCGCTAAATCTGCCCTCAGTGCGTTTCTTCTTTCTAGATCGTCGGTTAAAAGTGGTGTCTAAATGTCAAATGCAGTCAGCCTCCATTATTTTGGGGTACATTCGCATCCCTACATTTACAGCGCCTGGAGCAATCGCTGCCGTTCGAATACCAACCGTTTCTCGTAGATAACCGAGACTTCTGACAAAGCCGTGAACGCCATGTTTACTAGCATGATACATAGGCGTCCCGAGGCCGTATAGATAGCCAGCCATGCTGCCGACTACCAGAAGCGAGCCCGGAATTCGCCGCGAAGTCCAATGTGCAATGGCGAGTTGGCTGAGCCGTATTGGGTGTACTAAATTGATGTCAAGCACAGCATAATGTCCCGGATCGCCATTCGCATCATCTGTTGATGGGCTGTCTGGATTTGTTACCGACTTTGGCGGCTCCCAGAAGGAACTCCATTTGGGATCGAAGACTCCGGCTCCTGGCACAACAATATCGACTTGTGGGAAAGCTGCCTCGGCTGTCCGGGTCAGTTCTGTGAGCTGTGGCCAAGATCTCACGTCTGTCTTCTTGAATAGTGCAGCCGGCCTGGAAGCAGACGGCGACTTCGATGGCTCGTGTGGATATTGCTTCAGAAGTTCCTGGGCTTCTGGACGAAGACCCAAGTCACCGATCAAGACGGAACACCCGCGAGAGAGGAGCTTCTTTGCAAATGCAAGATTGATCCCTAAAGAGCAGTCAGCCTAGACTACCTCGCTAAAATGTAGAACGTCGTACCTGAGCCACCGCCGGTGATAATGGCATGTTTTCCCAGCACGGAAAGCGTCATATTTTCGCTTCGATATACGATATTCTAGGCTATACTGTTGATACTGGCTGGTGCTTTCGGTTCCCCGCATGAGATTGAAAGCCATTTTATAGACCACCTACAGTTGACGTCTTTTGAGACAATTCCAAGGTTGTGTTACATGGCATATGCACGTGCTAGGTATCGCCCTGCAAATGGACATTCTGGGAGCAATAAAACATTGAATACAATAGCAGATTCCAAATTCTGATGGTCTACGCGGGGATCGGTACAATATTTGCGGAGTTGTTATATACTTATCTCCGTAAACTATCTTTATCTTACCATTCTCGCAGTCTCCAAGATCCCGCTTACCGAAGTCTACATTACGCTATACCTGTCTCAAGAGGAGATGAAAGAGGCTCTGAGTCAGCATTATCCAATATGAACTGTATTTTGGTGAAGCATCTGGCAAATCGAATATTTTCTATTTTAGGTCATGGAGAGAGATTGCGGTAGAGTGAGGCTACTCCTGCTAGGAAATGTACTCTAATTACGAAACAAATACTTGCTAATCTGTTCTAAAGATCACGCGCCTTTATTCATCAAGTTGTGTATTAGAGCTAGATTCTACCTTTTTGTGTTTATGACCGTATACCACAGGGTGAACGAGTATAGGTAACGCCTAAATATAGACTTTCAGCCGAGCATGCCCCCCTCACAAGCCAACCGAGACTCGTCACCTTCCTGCTGTAAACTTTCATTATAAAGGTTAGAATCTTGCACATCTTTTATCCTGTGACGTCGCCAGAATGTCCCCCCAAGCCCGAATGTCTTGACCATGTTCGATGCTTATCTTCCGAGAAGATATGATTCATCGCCTCAGCCAAAGACACAGGCGGATTCTCAAGTTATACTCCTTAGCAGAGGAGCCCTGGCCTCTCGATCTTCTCAGAACCCATGGCTTCGGTTCCCAGACAGCATACCGGGATTCTGCGAGAAGAGAATATTGCCTTGAGACAAATTCTGGGTTATCGCCTTGGAACCCTCACCTCTTCGCCATACAGACTGCCCTCCATTGGCCAGTGCCTACCAGGCACTTGTATCAAGGATGTTTTACTCCTCGGCGTCGATGTCGATACAGGGGGCGGCTATGAAGCTATTTCGGAAGAGCAGAGCTTCCACATTGGCATATCCATTTTCGATACGCGAAGCCTCACAAAGCAGCCCCAAGATCTCGGCGACGCCGTCAAGTCGTATCAATTTATCAACAATAACTCAAAGCCGTGCAGATGGGCTGCCAAGTCCTTTCTTTTTGGAGAATCAAAGCTGATCGAACTTGCTGATCTTGCAGCAAGTTTCCTCTTGCTTACCCAAGGCCGCGATTATGTTTTGGTAGCGCACGGAATAGATGCGGATATCAAGTTCTTTAATAACCTGAACCCGGAGATTGCAAACGGCGCTTGCTACATATTGGATACGGTCAAGGCCGCTCAGTACCCCCTACAACTTTACTATCGGTATAGTCTAGAGAGCCTTCTGGGCGAATTCAACATCCGCTACGCGAAGCTCCACGCCGCTGGGAATGATGCTCATTTTGCGCTCAAAGCACTGCTAATGATTGCCGTTCGCGATGGCCAAATGGCATCCGCACCTGAGACTACTACGCCTATACACCAAGACCTATTCCGTATCCTTGACGCAATTGCACATGCCCCAGTCGCGATTCCAATCTGGACTGAGATACCACCGACGGCTTCACACACACCTCAAACCAAGCCTAAATTAGGCATATATGCAAAGCGTCGACTGCGAGCAGCAGTGAAGGCCGCTAGGAGAGCATCCCAGGAGTTGCCTTGCACCGATGAATCGAGCGAACAGGGAGATCATGATGGTGAAAATCAGGACAAGACAGCTGGAGGGCTCCCACCATGACTTTGTTTCCTATGACTCGCCAAAAGCCTAACAGACAGATGAATGTACCCATTTGGTCCACACAACGGCAGACCGAGACCGATATGAGGCCATCACGGGCATGCCAGCATATTTGGCCACCAAGGGAGCTACGGTTGCTTTTACACGATCAGTGGCTACGGACTTTGCTCTCCCCCGACATTCGCTAACAACTCAGATCTCCCAGGATATAGGCATCATCATGTCATTGAAAATGCAGTCATCTCACATCCAGCCAGGCTTGATCCCCTCTCACAGTCTACACGACGCTGTAGCCGTCTTATGAAAAGGAGAAAGTGACAATGAATCAATACTATCCAACATGAATTGTGTTTTGGTAAAGCATCCTGTATATCAAACATGTTCTATTTTAGACATGATATCCATATCCTATCCAATGCGCCATGTAATTCGCCAATTTTATCATCACTTGCATGCCAAAATCCCAGCTGTTCCACAAAATCATGCTGCTTCATCCCGTCCATCGAGCCACTTACTCATGTATGGACCATCCAGCCAGTAGCCAAGCTTCTTGTAATAACTTCTCACACCCACACCCGAAATGACGCTAATCTTGTCACTTCCGTGCTCCTCCCTGGCTATCCTCTCAGCCTCCTCCATCAGTAGAGTGCCAAAGCCTTGATGCTGGAACTTGCGGGGATCACGAGCGTGAATGGGCACAGCAGTACCATAAACGTGAAGCTCACGGATCATGCTAGTGGGCTGGCCCGTGAGCTCCTCTCGGAAGGTATACTTCTCCGTACATTTACGGAGTCGCAGGAGTGCGACAAGGATATCTTGCTTAGGATCTTCGTAGGCGAGGAATGTCTCCCATCCACCGTTAGCAACGTAGTCTCGGCGAACCAGCTCAATCTGGTTTGGCCTAATCTTGTGCTTGACCTCGTTGACTCCGACTTCTCTCGTTCTCACGTCTCGGCATGTCGTGCCGAAATCCTTCATTCGGGCCAAGGCCAACTCTCTCAGGTTTCCGTTTTCGACACCGGATGTGACCAATGGCATGGGAATATCTCGCTGAACACGGTAGATGCGTGTCCAGGGTGGAATAAGGGCCATAATTCTGGCCACTAGATCAATGAGCTGGTTGGGGGTATAGTTTTGGTATCTTCCTGTTCGCCACAGCTCATATAGACCTGTTCCTCGAATGACAAGTGTGGGGTAAATCTTCAGGCCATCCGTTCTGAAGGCAGGGTTTTCAAAGTATTCTCTGAATTGATCAATGTCACGCTCCATTCCCACATTAGGCAGATCTGGCATCATGTGGCTGACTACCTTGTAGCCAGCATCTTTGGCGAGGCAGAACGTCTCTGCCACCGCCGCTACGGTGTGACCTCGGTTGGTATCTCGCGCAACATCTTCATACAGAGATTGTACTCCAATCTCCAATCTCGTGCAGCCGTATCTCAGCATGTCTGAAAGGTGGGGTTGCAAACAGTAGTCTGGCCGTGTCTCGATGGTGATGCCGACACATTTGATGTTGCTCATCTCGCCGGCTTCAACTGCCTCGTCGACCTTGGAAGTCTGATATCCGCTGAGAGCATTGTGCAACTGGGCGATGAAATCCTCTCGATATGACTCAGGCAAGGACATGAAAGTTCCTCCCATTATGATGTACTCCACTTTGTCGACAGAGTGTCCCAGGCTCTTGAGCTGGTCTACTCGACCTCGGGCCTGCTCAAACGGGTCGTATCGTGCGCGGATGGCTCGCATTGAAGTCGGTTCGTATCCAGTGTAGGACTGTGTGCTGTACTCGAAATCTGAATCGGGTCCTCCAGGGCAGTAAACGCAGATATTGCCAGTGTAGGCGATGTGCGGGCATCGATGCGGTTTACACATGACGGCGACAACGGCAATACCAGATGATGTTCCTATATTCCACTTAGTCCTTTGGCTCGATCATCGTTTCAATGCATATGATTGTTCTTACGGATGGGCTTTGCGATGAGTCTCGGGAGGATGTATTTCTTGTAGTGTTCGGGGATCGCAGCAATGATGGCCGTGAGCGGCGGAATATTGGCCAGCTTGTGCTTCTTTGCCAGCTTCGCCCGCAGCGCGTTGAGGTTGATGTCTCGTCCCGGCCGGCCATTCTTGGTGGCCTCGTGGTCTTCGATCAGGGCGTTGGCAAGATCCGCGCAGCACCGCAGGAAGCGCTCGCTCTCTGGCGCAAGCTCGACGCCTTTCTTCTGCGACGTGGCGATCGCCGTCATCGTGGTCGTGGCCATTGTATCGGATCTCGTATGCGCCCGTTTGCGCGCTTGTATAGACGACAAAGATAGCCTGCTGAAGAGTGTGAATTTGATATGCCGGAGTCGATTTTGATGCCCCTCGTTGATGTTTGATAAGAACTTTTGGCAGACTATCGCCTCGGTGGGGCCGTTTTGATCTCCAACCAAAAAGTAGCCTGTTCCGTTAGCGTTTACAGAGCGAAAACTATAGGTCACAGTAACAGACGGAAAACGTGCGGCAAACGGAGCACCGTAATGCCCCTTACCGTAACCTTTTTTTTTTCTCTTCCTCTTTGGTGGCAGAAAATACTTGCACCGCTCGGAAAAAGCCAACTGCCGGGCGCCCGGCAGCACCCGAAATTCAGAGCTGCCAGAGCCGGTAATTTGCTGGCTGGACCGACGATATTCCCTTTCTGCAAGCTTGCAGCTCAAAACTCAATTCGCTCTCCCTCTTCGCAGCGTTGCAACTCGCGGCGCTTCTCTAGATTTCTTTTTTCCTCCCTTCTTTGGAACCCTCTCCTCTCTCTCTTCTTTTTTCTCCTCTTCCACAGCCATGCAGGCCATCCCCAGAACCGCCGCGCGCTCGGCGCTGCGCAACGCTGCCCGCCGTAACTACAGCTCGGCCAGCTCTCCGTACTCCAAGACGATCGAGAACCTGCGCATCAACAGCGAGACCAAGGTCATCTTCCAGGGCTTCACCGGAAAGCAGGGAACGTACGTCTCTTGAACACTGGCCTGCCTGCAGGAGAGCCATCCCGCGTGGGGGTGCCAATGACATGCTGACTTGGAGATATGCGCAGTTTCCACGCCTCGCAAGCCATTGAGTACGGTACGATAAAGCCTCGATATGCTGCTGCGCGACAAACACTGAGCTACGAATACTCACACCGCTTTCGCCTCTAGGTACCAAGGTTGTTGGTGGAACAAACCCCAAGAAGGCTGGCCAGACACATCTCGACCTGCCCGTCTTCAAGAACGTCTCCGACGCCGTCAAGGAGACTGGAGCAACCGCTACTGCGCTCTTCGTCCCGTATGCGACCCGAAACCCCTGAATCTCAAGATGCAATGGCATAAACTGACTTGCGCTTCCAAAAACAAAGCCCTCCTCTGGCCGCCGCCGGTATCGAAGAGGCTCTCGAGGCTGAGATCCCCCTTGCCGTCTGCATCACCGAGGGAATTCCTCAACATGGTCAGCCCCACCATAGATATCACAAAAAAGTTTCCCCCCTTCGATATAGCTAACCCTTGCCCCCGGTTCCCCGAATATCAGACATGGTCCGCATCACCCAGATGCTCAAGACCCAGTCCAAGACCCGCCTCGTCGGTCCCAACTGCCCCGGCATCATCGCCCCCGGCCAGTGCAAGATCGGCATCATGCCCGGCTTCATCCACAAGCGCGGCCGCATCGGCATCGTCTCCCGCTCCGGCACCCTGACCTACGAGGCCGTCAACCAGACCACCCAGGCCGGCCTCGGCCAGTCCCTCGTCGTCGGCATCGGCGGCGACCCCTTCAGCGGCACAAACTTCATCGACTGCCTCAAGGTCTTCATCGAGGACGAGGAGACCGACGGCATCATCATGATTGGCGAGATCGGCGGCTCCGCCGAGGAGGACGCCGCCGAGTTCCTCAAGCAGGCCAACACCGTCAACGGCGGCAAGCCCGTCGTCAGCTTCATCGCCGGCATCTCCGCTCCCCCCGGCCGCCGTATGGGCCACGCCGGTGCCATCGTCTCCGGCGGCAAGGGCGGTGCCGACTCCAAGATCGCCGCTCTCGAGAACGCCGGCGTCATTGTCGAGCGCTCCCCCGCTGGTCTGGGCAAGGCTCTGTACAACGAGTTCGTCCGTCGCGACCTGCTGTAAATCAAGTCTCGTTCTTTTGATGCTTTTTTCTTTACAAGGAAACAAGAAAAAAGAGGCAACAAAGAGTGGATTTGGTGAGGCTTGCATCATTTAATTCATCAGATAAACTAAATGTATAAAAAAAAAATTCATCACATGGAGGGAGTGGTTGGCTGTTTCAAAATGGCTGGGTGATGGCTTTCTGGAGCATGTGGATAGGAAGGAAACGGAAGAACATGTCCTTGTCAGGGCGACGGGCTACTTCTTTGTTTGTTTTCGCTTAATTCTGTTGTTTCGTAGGTACGTGATAGATTCGGTGTCATGGGAGGGCAATGTGCCTTTTCGTTATTCTTGGTCTACCTATGAACATACGTAGGCGTGCTTCTCCCTGTGATTCTTTACAGAAAATAAAAAAGACAAACGCTATATTGAGTGTAATATGCTACCTAATTCCGACCTTGATAACTCCAGAGTCGCTGTATACCTGACAGTATGCGCTCCCGGGGCACCAATGATGCCCTAAACACCTATCTCTCCTGAGCTTCTAAATGACTCTTCAGGCGTCCAGCTAGTCACCACCATTCAATAAGTGACTCGGCTCTCGTAAGCAACTGTCCCGTCAATCCCGAGTCTACAAATTTCAGGGACAGGATACTAGAGCACAACTGAGCCAAAGGATAGAGCCCCAGGGGAAGAAACAAAAAACCCAGAAAAAAATAATTCAACCCTCAGTCCATGTAAAGAAACTCCAATTCATTTCGCCGCTCGATGTTGGGAAGGGGATAGATTGGCGGCTCCTAAATTTCCCTCATGCTTCCTAAGGCTGCTCACCAAGAAGTCGGGTTGTTACGTCCGACATGCGAGACGGAGGTAAGTTTTCATGGAATTTGTCAATGCGGAAAAACTCGAGTGTCGCCACCACGTTATCGAGGTCAAATCCCATTGCCGTAAACTGTTCAACCAAGACCGGCTTGTATCCATGGTACCTGCGCCTCGTAGTTAGCCTTCTGTCCTTTGTTCCAGAGCATCCATAAGCATCATGGCATACCGGCTCGCATCGACAGCAGTTGTTGGTCTGGCCAGGCTTCTGAATATAGTTAAGTCGAGGTTTCGCTGTCGCGGCGCACCAGCGTGCCTGACTGCCCACTCGTGAGCCATCTGCACAAACGAGTCGGGATTGTCGAGCAGCATCCGTGCAACTTCACCGTCCTGTGGATCTGAGGGGTTTGGGTTTTCGAGAAGCATTCGGACCGAGAGGAGAGCCGTCTTGATCGTTTGGACAGGGGACCAGTTCTTGTTGAGGGTGTCGAGGCAAATGACGCCCTAGAAGCAAGCAAAATCGTGAGTAAAGATTTTTCGCAAGCAGTCCAGTAAATCCGGCAAATGGGTGACACATACCGTCTGACTGCTGACATTAGGATGCCAGATCCTGGTCTCAAACTTCATCTTGGGTGGCTTGAAGGGGTAGTCGGTAGGAAGCTGAATGTGAATCACGAATTTGCCACCAGCGTACGGCGTATTTCCAGGGCCAAAGAACCAGCCCTTGAGAGCGGTCAACGAGCCCTCTTGTTCCAGGGCAGCATGAATGCCGGAAGTGTCCTTGTCCTCCGTCAGATCCTGCAGCTCTTTCATTATACGGCGATCTCTGCTAGACATGATGCCGAAACTTGACGTAGCCGAAGCTGTCGTGGACGTAAGAGGGGTTGTGTATCTTGTAGAGCGAAAGTATGGGTCCAAAGGATACTGGCGATGGCGGAGCGAGCGTTGGAGCACCCTGACGATAAGTAACGCTTGTCGAGGTTTGGTGAGAGAGTCGAAGTCTGACGATGGCAGAGGGGTGATCGTAGGAGGCTTTGGGTTTAGGCTGGATGGGCAGAGAAGTCGCCTATCGGCGTTGTGTGCCAGGAGCAATCGATTGAGGAGGGGCGCTGCGGCTATCGACGTCAGGCCTGTTTTAGCGCTGCAGCTACCGGGTCCGGGTCCCTAGGACGGGCTTTGTAGGTGCAACTCCGAGGTCAATATTCGCTGTGAGTGGCACTTGGAGTGCTGGAACATTCCGAACAAAACCGTCCACTGCAGTCCGAGTGTCACGCAACGGCACCTTTGCTCTTGATCTGGTCAGGCAGAGAGCACGGAATAAGGCATTGAGGTCCATATTTAGCCCAAGTGCGTGCAGGGAACCGAATCCTTGCGCCGCATCACCACAGAGCAACCGGCAGCCAACCGGTCACTTGTGCTCCGGAGAGCGAGGTGGGTAATAATGGCTGGTGGTAGCGGTATCGGTACCCATATTGAGGCGGTATTGGCAATGGGCTGTGTGCTCGTGAACAAACTCAGGTGGCTTTTCTGGGCTGTGAATCAGGCACGCATGGCTCCGTATATGCGGGGTGTTTTGTTGGAAGATTCCAGAGATGCCAGGTCGCAGTGAGTGGGAGGTCAATTTAGGAGGTAGCCGTAGCATGGGCGAGCCATCTTTACCCATCAATTTGAAACAAAATTGTACGTAGTAATAGGAACTCGCCGCATCAATCCAGGCATGATGCAGTCGTTACAATCAGGTCTGGCTTGTGGATAAATGGTAGCCAAGCTTGCTTGCTTATGTGATCCTTGACGTACCATTCATCCATTCATCCATGTATCTTGCATTCATTCAGATGCAGCATTAATACGAACCAGCTTGGGACTGAATCTAATCCGCTTGAGGGTTAGCATCAGCAATGCCGAGATTATCGAAACAGAAGCCCAATGGAAGAAGCTGACAATTCCCAGCGTCCAGCTCTCTGTTGCTAATCACGTGATGTATTGAAGTTGGAGGCACGTGATCCGCCTGGAGCTGTCGTGTCTCTCTGGCGCCTAACCCAAAGGCATGGGTGCTTGTGCAGCATCAGCCTAGCGAGTGCCGACTCGCCTCTCCGTCATTATCATCATCAATTCAGCCTCTTCTCCAGCTTTGCTCGATTCTTAGAGGAGTGCTATTTTGAGAGAGAGGAAACGTCAAACAAGGCTTTCAAATAGCAGCCTTCCAGAGCTTGACCGGTCAAGATGGTGAGCTGCACTGCGTCTTTGTTGATCTTGCTATGATGCAGCTATGCTGACATTTACTTCTCCAGGGTCAAGGCCAGTCTGGTATGGGTGGTGAGGGGGGACGGAATGAAAAGGACAAGAAGGTACAGCCATCCACTTTCCACGCTCTCGACATAGAGCAGCACAACTAAACATTCATTGCAGAAGGATAAGCCCAAGTACGAGCCCCCGCCGAGGCCAACAACCCGGGTCGGCCGCAAGAAGAGAAAGGCTGGCGGTACTAGCGCTGCTGCCAAGCTCCCTGCCGTCTATCCCACGAGCCGATGCAAGCTTCGACTGCTTCGAATGCAGAGAATCCACGACCACCTGCTCCTCGAAGAAGAATATGTCGAGAACCAAGAGAGACTGCGCAAGGCCAAGGCCGCCAAGGAGGGTCAGACTGCCGGCCCCGACGTCGATGTCGATAGGTTAGCCGACGAGCGGGGCCGTGTTGACGACATGCGAGGAAGCCCAATGAGTGTTGGCACATTGGAAGAGCTCATTGACGACGACCATGCCATCGTGAGCAGCACTACGGGTCCTGAATACTACGTCAGCATCATGAGCTTTGTCGACAAGGACCTTCTCGAGCCTGGCGCTAGCGTTCTGCTGCACCACAAGAGCGTCAGCATTGTTGGAGTCTTGACCGATGACACAGACCCCATTGTCAGCGTCATGAAGCTCGACAAGGCGCCAACGGAGTCCTACGCTGATATCGGTGGTTTGGAGCAGCAGATTCAAGAGGTTCGAGAGTCAGTGGAGCTGCCACTGCTTCACCCCGAGCTGTACGAGGAGATGGGTATCAAGCCCCCCAAGGGTGTCATCCTATACGGTGCTCCTGGTACCGGAAAGACCCTTTTGGCAAAGGCAGTTGCCAACCAGACATCCGCTACGTTCTTGCGTATCGTGGGCAGCGAGCTGATTCAGAAGTATCTGGGAGACGGCCCCCGGTTGGTGCGACAGTTGTTCCAGGTTTGTCAACCCCTCCCCTGCACCGATTTTTCAATTGTCATTTGATACTAACACTGAGAAAAATAGGTTGCTGGTGAAAATGCACCCTCCATTGTTTTCATTGATGAAATCGATGCCATTGGTACAAAACGATACGATTCTACGTCAGGAGGAGAGCGTGAAGTTCAGCGAACCATGCTGGAGCTTCTCAACCAGCTTGACGGCTTCGACGACCGCGGCGACGTCAAGGTCATCATGGCAACCAACAAGATCGATACGCTTGACCCTGCGCTTATCCGACCCGGCCGAATCGATCGAAAGATTCTGTTTGAGAACCCCGACCAGAACACGAAACGCAAGATCTTCACCCTACACACCTCCAAGATGAACCTGAACGATGATGTGGATCTGGATGAATTCATCTCCCAGAAGGATGACCTGTCTGGTGCCGATATCAAGGCCATCTGCTCAGAGGCTGGTATGATGGCTCTACGAGAGCGACGCATGCGGGTGCAGATGGCGGATTTCCGATCTGCTCGAGAGCGGGTGTTGCGTACCAAGCAGGAGGGTGAGCCGGAGGGTCTGTATCTGTAATTTGTGGCATCCAAGTGCAGCATTAGGTAGTGAGTGGTTCTTGAGGGAGCCGGGGATGGGTGTGGCCCGAATCTTTTATAGAAGCATAGGAAATTGCCGGGGCACGGGGCAAAGTATTCAGCCACCAGTTGATGCGAGCTGTAAATCGAGACCGAAAGTAATGATGCTGTCAAGCGTGTCTATGAACGAAACCAAGTCGTCTGTCTGCCTACCCTCTATGCTGTGTTGACATGTATTTTGTAGTATACATATTATAATACGATCAGAGATAGCTGCCTACATGTAGGCACCAATCCATGTTGAGGTCCATATCAATGACATGCTGTGCTATGCCCAACCTCTGTTTATACCCAACCCCTGGTTTATAAAGTCCTTTGTGATTAACTCTTTGTTCACGTCCCAAATAAACTTCCATCACACACATTCAATACCTACCCTGTATTATAATAGCGATAACAGGAAAACCGTGCTCTTTCTTTTCTTCGGGCCCATCTACCACCATTTCAGCATCCAAAATGCTCATTCCGCTTAATTTCCCCCTTCGTCCATCTCATTAATCTCTGGTCTACGTACCAAAGTCTTGCACGTGGTGACATCAGCCAATACCAGCGCACACGTCACCTCACCCCCTTCTCCCAGCTCATCTTATCTTTTACAAGCCAGAACCAAAACAAAACAAAACAAACACACGCACACATATATTCATACTGAGTGCATCCCGCCCTTCCTCTTTTTCCCTCTGTATAATCGCCATCATCACCATCGTCCTTCCTTCTTTTCCATCTCCACCTCCGCATTTGGTCTCCTGCAGCCGCAACCGCAGCCGCTCGCTAGTCGCCCCCACCATCCCGCAAGCGATCCCATTCCATCATTGATCTCATTCATATCGTCTCATCTCATCTCACCTCATTTCTGAGCTCGCACTTCATATCCCACCACTACCAACAGCAACAGCTTTAAGGAACACACACAAGATATCACTGTTCTATCTTGATTTACTGCAAAACAATGTGCGCCGCAATAAATCAGGCCCAAAGCGATGACGACGCAAATGCTGGAACAAAGAGCCGTTCGACAGCGCTGCTGTCCACTGCGTACTCCTATGCCCAGAGCTCTTTCAACTCCTTGATTCCGCCGCCTTCTCGTCAACGCGCATATGATGCAGCATCATCATTTGCCTCCACTCAACCCATACTTTTCGTACGTGCACCTCTAGGAAAACATAAGAGAGAGAGAGAGAGAGTTGGGCATCCTTCGACTAACACATATATGTGAATGTTCAACAGTCCTTTACAGTTTTCCAAGCACTCTTTGCGCTTCTCCCCCTTATGCTATTCTTCTCCTTTGCGTTGTCAACCATTCTCCTGGCTCTTTCTGCCGCGTTTGCTTTTGCTTTTTTCTGGATCGGCATTGCGTGCCTCTTCTTGATTCCGACACTGTTCATTACGGCATCTCTCGCGGTACTGTGCTGGGGAACGTCAGTTGGGAGCTTTGTTGTTGCTAGAAAACTGTACCACTATGCGCCAGCAGCGATTCACTACGAAAAGAATGATACTAAGTCGCCGGGAAGCGAGAGTACGCTTGTTGTACCTGAGGTGGTAGTGACGAACGGTGTAGAAGTCAAGAAGGAGGATCACTTTGACGACATCAAGAGCTTGGAGTGATGGACTGGGGGAATGATCAGTGTTGTGGTTTTTGACAGGCGAAATAATATTATTCTTGCGTAGGTAGCACTTGGCACAGATTAGACGTGCTCTTCGATATCCATATGTTATCACTATAGAGTGAAAGGTGTTAGTTAAGAGATGTGACAATCCAGCATCCCACGTTCCAATCTTAACATTGACGTTGGTAGATATGAGAGGAGCATGGGAGGAGTGTAGTAAATATTAGAGGAATGTAGCGATAATGGTGAAGATTAAGAAGCAAGCTCTATGAGAGTAGCAGCGATAGCAATGGATTTGAGTATAAGTGACTGTTGCTTCTACATATTACTCATGTATAGCAACCCCCATCACATAAATCACTGAACTACTGTACTAAAGATCAACGCAACACTATTTGACATGTGATTATACAGACCGCTCGAGAAAAATGCAGCAGCATGGCTGGTGACGGTGATCGGCAGGAGAAGACATCCGTTGGTTCGCTTTACCTTAGGTACGAGGAGTTGTCAAGCACGGCGAACTGACAAAAAGGGTATTCCGTTCCTCAGACCCTGGAATAACGGCAGCATTCATTCCACCGCTTCCAGTAACCAGAAGAAGAAAGCTCGAGGTGTTTATATCCATCCAATGATTAATCAACGTGATCTTGTCCCCAGCCAATGCGGTTGCTATGCCATTCCCGGTAATATCCACGCCCAGATTCATCTTGCAGCACCGCCATCGCTATGCTTGTCTGGGCCTAGTCGAGCGATTGAGCCAAAAAGGCTATATTGTTTTACACGAGCTGATATTCAGGAACCACACAACGTCAACATGCGGGTCGTGGATTCACCGTAACAAATCAACGCCATATTAAATAATGCCTCGTTACGCCAAGAAAGAAGAAACTGATATGATATGAGCAGATCACGTCCTCAGCGAGTTAGACAACTGGAGATGGCACACGGCAAAGCATCTCCAGAATGACGTCGCGAGCTGCAGATATGGATCCTCGAGCTCGGAATTGCCCCTTTGAAAGCGGGCGGTATTAATTGATCCATGCGGTACGGGATGCTGACAGCAGCGGTACCTGCTCGTGCGCACGCTCGAGGCACTCCTTCGAGGTACAGAGATTAACCCCGCCATGTACCCCGCCAATCCCGCCATAGGGGCCTTTTTCTTTAGCCCAGGACCCCTCCAAAAGGTTCGGGTTGGGATTCTGATTCTGCCTATTTCGCATCTTCAATCTCAAAAGACATTGCCAGTAATCACGGCCATTGATCCAATCAAAATGGAGTTTGATACCAAGACACGTACGGAAAAATTCCATATGCTGCTCTCGTTATTACGATCAATTCATGGCTAACTCGCAATGCAGCAAAGTCGGTCACCAACGACCCCACGTCCTTTGCGAGCGACTCGGTTCGCATGCGATGGCCCATCATTCTCGTGAGCGATCCCTCGACTCGATAGCTTTCCACCAAATAATTCTTATCATTATCTAATAACCATCTTCATTCGATAGACTGGTGCTGTGGATGACGTCTACAAGACCGTTTCTGTTACGGAGGACCCCGAGAAGCAGGCCGAGGGCAAGAAGATTATTGAGCAGCTGGGCGCCCTCAAGTATGAGATGCTGCACGACCGACAGATGACGTATGGACTCCGACTTTCGATTAACAGAAGATACAAATATTAACGGCTATACTCTATAGGCCTCTGGTCGAGGACGGATTCTCAGACGAGACGGCCGCCTACAACAAGGAGCTCGAGCAGCTGGGTAACCCAACCTGGTTCCAAGTCCCCTGGCTGTTTTCCGAATGCTACATGTACCGGTATGTCGCAAATTCAGAAAAAATAATTTCTTGCAAGCTCTATCATACTAAATCACTGCACAGACGCATCAACACATTCTTCACCACGACCCAGCACTGGAAGTCCTACGACCTCTTTGCCCGTCAGAAGATCGACAGCTTCCGAACCTCTCGCAATGCCGTCGCAGAGCTTGCCGCCAGATATGAAGATATCGTTACAAAGATTCGCGCTGATAAGAACATCACTCATGACTCCGAGGCGGAAAAGATTCTCTTCATGGAAATGTGCGAGGTCTGCCTCTGGGGTAATGCGACCGATTTGTCGCTACTCACCACCATGACCTACGAGGATATCCAGAGACTGCAGGGCAGCGAAGCCAGAAAGGCCGCCGAGAAGAATATCCTGGTCAACAAGCTTCCTCAAGCTTATGATCTGCTCAACAAGGCTCGGGCCGAGGGCAAGAAGGAGCGTCGCGTGGACTTTGTTCTTGATAACTCTGGCTTCGAGCTCTACGTCGACCTGGTGCTGGCTGGCTACCTTCTTAACACGGGTCTTGCTACTCACATTGTCCTCCGCCCCAAGTCAATCCCCTGGTTTGTCTCCGATGTTATGCCTGCAGACTTTGCCGCCCTCCTGAGCGCTCTGGCCAACCCCAGGAAATTCTTCGAAGCTCCGACAGAAGAAGAGACGGTCGCGGAAAAGACCCCTGCGCCTCTGTCAGAGAAGGAGGCCCAGAGTCTGTCATTCGTCTTCCAGGATTGGGCGACACAGCATGGCGAGGGCCAGCTGGCTATCCGGCCCAACAGGTACTGGACTGCTGGTGGCTCTTTCTGGCGACTTCCCCATGAAGCCCCTGAGCTGTACGAAGATCTGAAGCAAGCTGAGCTTGTCATCTTCAAGGGCGATTTGAACTACCGGAAGCTGACTGGTGATGTAAGTGACTCCATTATGGCATTATCCACAAAGTCCATTAACTAACGCTTTCTAGGCTTGCTGGGACCCTACAACTCCTTTCACAGAAGCTCTCGGCTCCATGGGCGCTGGATCCGGCGTCAACGTCATGTCTCTACGAACCTGCAAAGCCGACGTCGTTGTTGATCTTCCCGCTGGAAAAGATGAGGAGCTGAGAGCTCTTGAGGGTGGAGGCGGTGACTCTGGCGCCAGGAAATGGGCATGGAGCGGCAAGTGGGCGGTTGTGAGCTTGTCTGAGGGCAAATAAAATGGAAAGTGGTATTATAGCGATATGTTTGTCGAAGAATCTGTTTAAATGGAAAACTGGAAAAGAGGGACTCATAGATGTATAGAGATTATAGAGCCCAAAATGAGGAAAAAGCTATAGATTCAGTATTCTGTGTGTCTTCAAATAAGATAACACTTGGCGAAAGTATGGATACCAATGAGAAGCATCTACTAACATATTCGACTAACTACCTATACAAAGAAACGGACAAATACCCCTTTTCAGATAACTACTACCTACAACAACCCTCAAATCCACCAAAAGAACAACCATCATCATTCTGTTTGCTTACCATTCCCCCACCACTCTCCTATTCACCCCTTCTCAGCATTGTCAATATTTGTAGTCCGGAATTCACCAAATTCTTCGTCCCCTGAATCCATAAGACGGCGGGAGCTCATACGACGGAATATCATAAGACGGAGGCCCATACGTAGGCGGAACAGGGTATCCAGTCGACGAAATCGATGCAGTTGAAGATGTCGCGCTGCTGGAAGATGATTTGGTCGTGGTTGTTGTGTGGAAAGTGGTGGACGTGGCTGAGGGCTGCGTGACTGCGTCGGCGGTGGATGCGTATGAGATGGTGCTTGAATTTGAAGATGAGAAATAAGACGTGGTGGATGTTGAGCTGGCTGGGACGGAGTAGTGTGAGGTGGTTGATGCTTTTGAAGTGGTTTCCGCTAGGGCGGAAGAGTCGATGGAGTTGCTTGATGGAGGAAGGATGTATGAAGTGGTGCTGGTGCTGAGAGATGTAGAGTGGGAAGAATATCCTGTTCCGGTGGGTGTTGCTGTTGTTGTTGCGTTGGGTAGAGTGTAGATGTGGGATGGGCTTGTGGAAGATTCGGTGCAGGAAGTGTATGTGGAGGAGTGGGTGGTGTGGGTGGTTGTGGCGGGTGAAGCTGATGAGTCGGTGGATCCTACGGAAGACGACGAGGAGGAGGAAGAAGAGGAGGAGGAGGATACAGATGAAGATACAGATGAGGAGGTAGAGGAGGTGGAAGAGGATAATAAGGTTCCTGATGGTGTGGTTGTGTATCTGGTTGAGATACTTGAGGTAGATGGTTGACTGGTAGAACCTGTAGATGTTTCTGAAGATGATCCACTGGTGGAGGCGGAAGAAGACCTAGTTGTAGACTCTGTTGACGAGGCGGTAGAAGATTCACTTCCTGAAGTCGTGGACGTTTTGGGGGATATTATACCGGTGCTTGTAGAAGAGGTCTTAGATGTAGATGCTGTTGATGAAGCAGTGGAAGATTGACCACTGGGACTAGAGGATGTTCCCGAAGATGATTGGCCTGTGGTAGTAGAGGTAGTTGCAGACTTAGATTCCGTGGAAGATACAGTGGAGGACTTCCCGGTAGACTCAGACACGGTAGAGTATATGGTTTGCGAGGAAGTCTCAGTCGTAGACTTGGTAGTGTCTGATGGAGTGTGACTGTAACTTTCAGAGTGTGAGTTTCCTGGAACAGTCACAGTCTGCGTAATAGTCGACTTGAGCGTCGTCAGAGTCGTGCTATCAGAAGCTGTCCCTGTTGTGCTCTCAGAGTTGGTCACTGTAGAACTCCCAGATGTCGTCACCGTAGTGCTATCAAATGATGAAGGCGTCTCGCGAGCCTGCGTCGTAGAGGGAAATTTGAAAGTAGTCTCTCGGCTGGAAGTTGAAGTCGAAAGCGAGGTGGAGGAGTGCAGAGAAGAAGATGACGTAGACGGGGTGATTGAAGTACTAGAGAGAACAGCCGAATCCGTGCTTCCTCTGGCAGTGAGCGATCCGCAGTTGTATCCTTGAGAGCAGTTTGATGTGGTGGTTCCAGGGAGTTGGCTTGAGTCGGTGGTGGTATTGGAAGCTCCGGTAGTGGTGGAAGACGAAGTGCTGCTCTTCACGGTTCCCGTGGTGATTGTACCAGTAGTTGTGGTGGTGCTGTATGTGCTTGAAACCACCGATGGTATGGAATACGTAGATTGAGAAGAGCTTGAGCCGGACGAAACAGAGCCAGTGGTAGATGTACCAGTGGAAGTAGACTTAGACACCGTCTCCGTCTCCGTTGTGGACGAAGTAGACAGAGTCAAGGAGGTAGTCGAGGTACAGCTGGTCACGGTTGAATAACACGACGAGGCACATGCGGTGACAGTCTCCGTCTTCGTGGTTGTCACAGTGACGGTTTGGTCCGTGGCAGCAACAAGACTGGCGCTGCTAGCATGTTAGCTTAAGGCCTTCTTCATCTTCCACGAAATCCAGATCAAGCTTACCCAATGCCCATGAGGGCTAGGAGGATCGTTTTATTCACCATGGTGAAAGGCGTTGCAGCGAGAGAATATTATAGCGAGTGTAGTAAAGCGAGTGACTATAAACGAAGGACTGTTTCGATCTGTGTCTTTGCTGTGAAAAGCAGAGTCTTGATCATAAATCTCCCCTGAGAGCTGCCATCTTTTATATGCGTTAGGAGATACCTTACATCATGAAAAGGCCTCCAATAGCACCTAAGATGAGACAACGAGGCCCTCCAGTTCGAGTCCGTATTGCGGCTGCACGCTCCCGTATCCCGACGGATTCGTGCCGTACGCTCATTTCCGCTGGACGTTACTCTAGATGACCCGCCAATGCTCATCATCATCACAAGATGGTAGAATGATGTACTCTACGTCTAAGAACATATCGTATGTCGAGTAACAGCTAGATCCTCTGTTCAACATCACTAGAACCGTTGGTTGGAGTTAATAGCTGCCGTGAATCCGAAGCTATTGTTTCAATCAGGGACATGCTGATGAGTTGCACAGAATGCCACGAGCCGTCTAGCTACACAAGCTGAGAGACACTTTCAGCTGCCGTGGACTGCAGACTCTATCGTAACATCCCCCTATAGATAGCATCTCGATCCTTTCTTTGGCATATACCCCTTTAGTTGTGACAAAAATTAGAGTCTAATAGGCTATAGATCGGTAGGATGAATAATGGCGGCTCCGCCACTCTATCGGGAAGCTTGACGAAAGATATGCGTGTTTCCATTTATTTCTAGTGTTAAGATCTGGGTACCTGCATGAATGCCGTGAATCGAGCCTCAAAGTCCGATCAGATGCTACCCCGAGTCCTTAGCCGAGTCAAGGTCAAATGGGGAGTGGTTACCCACGTATGGAGTAACTCAAGATAATCCGGTCCTGTGAAATAATGAACAGGGAGATTGACTTATCTAAACTTTGATGTGTGCTAATAGGGGAATGTCCCTTTCCTTTTGAGGATTATCGACTTACTCTTACATACTGTGCACATTTTGATCACCGTATCAAAGCTTCACAACATATCATTTCGCCAACAGTACGGCACACCTCGTTGTTACGACATCACTTGTTTCAACATCGCCAGCTGGCATGGGTAAACACAACGGTAAAAGTCTCAGACACGTGGGCAGTTCCCAGGTGGCGCAGTATATCGTCACCGTTTAAAGTCGTGTTGAAATAAAAGACATTACGACAAGCCACCATCGCATGGCTATATCGCATGGCCATGGTCGTTCTTGTTCAACTCGACTTGATGCGATCGTGACACACCGGCTGAAGGCCAATCTAGCATGTATGCCCCTATTGAGGGGATTCGTCTGATTACGCGATATTCTATCTATGCTCGTCACATATAGAAAAGAGCTACGAGACGTACCTGAAGATAACCATATTTGTGCGTTAGTAGTACAACACAGCATCATGTACACTGGGTCACACAGTTGAGATGGTAAAAGGGATACGATCTATGACGGTCACACATGGAAGCAGAAGGAATGGCACAATTTATTTCATAATCTTCAAGATTCCTACAAAGAGCCTACCTCAGATTCGCATCATAGCTCAAAGCACTGGGTTACACCATCTTACAAGGCAGCTTTGAGAATCTTGAAAGCGTCTTCCCGGTCTCCCTTGAAACGCTCTTCAGCAGTTGCCCAGTTGATGACCTTCCAGATGTTCTCCACATATGCAGCTTTGCCGTTGTGGTACTAATCAATGAAAGTTTAGCCAACCGTGGTTCAATTAGAAGACCCTGACGAAATGAAGCTCACCTGCAGGTAGTATGCATGTTCCCACATGTCGATACCCAAGATCGGGACTTCTCCGCCAACGACGGGATCCTGGTCCTTTGTAGTCACAATTCGCAAGGTATTGCCGTCTTTGACCAACCAGCCCCAGCCACTTCCCTGGAGGCCAAGCAGGGCCTTTCCCATCGCCTCCTTGAAACCATCCAAGCTGCCCCAGGTCTTGTCTATTTCAGCAGCCAAAGTAGGGGCGCTGGCGGGATCTGCGTCGGCAGATGAGGATGGCGACAGGTTCCTCCAGAATAGAGAGTGGTTGATGTGGCCACCACCGTTGAATTTGATGGCAGCCTGCAGAGCAATCTGTGAAGGGACGTCATTGGCTGTGATGGCGGTGGAATAGGTCTTGAGGGCGTTGTTCAGGTTGGTAACGTAGGCTTGGTGATGCTTGCTGTGATGAAGCTCCATGATCTGACGGGAGATGCTCGGCTCAAGGGCCTTAGGAGTAGTTAGCAGGATGTAGCACCTTGATGGACCAGCAGCCTAGGCGGGCTCACATTGTAGGCATATGGCAATGCCGGCAGTGAAAAGGTGCCAATCGACATTGTGGGCTCGAATGAGTCGGTAAGAGGTTCTTGAATCTTGACACTGGCAAACTCAGGCTTCGAAGGATCTGGAGAAGAAGAGTAGCAACCAAGAGGCAGCAAGGAGAGAGCCGTCAGGAGAATGACCCGATACGCCATTTTTGTCTATTTAACACGGCCAGAGAGGGGGTCAGCAAGGCGTGATCAACAATACCGCGTGCGAATTACTAATGCAGCAAGCATCACGAATAGAATTCAGTCGTCATCCATGTACTCGTAAGTCCTTCTCCATCAAGGTTCTCGCTCAGATCACCGGGGATGTGCGTTGGAGATTCGGGAGCATTTCCGCTCAAACTTGCTCACCCTTCGGTTACCGTATGGGGAAAGGAGGCGAGAAATGCGGCGCCATGATTGGGCCACTCGGCACCGTTTCAAGTAGCTTACATACATTGACGGCTCTGTATTATTCTTCTCAGCCACCGTTTGCGTCGCAAAGGGATGAGATGAGATGAGCCGCCATGAAACAAGCTCGCATTGGCTTTGTCATGTGGCATGAACAGGGCCATTGAACGATTTGCAGAGCGCTTCTCTTTGTATATAAAGGCACTGTTTGGGTCTGGAACAGAGCCCGAACCCACCAGCCCTTTCTCACCAACTCTTGATTATCAAAAAAGCACCCAACCAACACCACATCGAATACTTCATCATGTGCGGCCCAGAATTCACCAACAAACCCCGTGGAGGCGCACTTGCGGCCCTCAGTTCGCCAGATGATGCCGGCCAGCTAAGAACCATTTGCGGTGACCTCGCCTTTCACACTCCAGGCCGTCCAGAGAGCAACGAAGCAACGCATGCGAGACTGACGCCAGACGCTGCCTACGACGCAAGAACGCTGTCAAATCTCCATGTTGTTATTCAGTAGGTGCTCACTTGAGGCCCCCGACGGTTTCGATGCAGCTAACTTTGCCACACAGTTCCAGCGGCGACTTGACGAGGAGAGTGGAAGATTGCGGCACGTTTCAGCAGTTTCAATTTCCAACGACGGCGGAATCATTCAACAAGGCTTTTATTGAACTGCCACTCGATAAACCGCTCTCACTTGAGGTTGGTAACGATGGAATCATCGGTCGCAGAGTATCGCTGTACTCCCGCTCGGTTCCCAACCACATGGTAGCCGAGGGTATCGTGGGATTCAATTTCCTCAGCATGGCTCAGCCATCTCTCTAGGCTATGCATTGAGATGGAGCATTGTCGAATATGTCAGAGACATCAAGGTTCTGATGGAGACACCGGCTAGGACACTTGGTGCAGGGCTGGAACTTGCACCTTGATGGCCAGCCAGGATAAGAAACAGGGTAATGGCTCGGACCGTTTAATATTGTGCACCCTTGGAAAAGAAGTGTTCAAAACAAGAGGGAATTGAAAACAGATTCCTCACCTATTATAGAAAGGATATGTATAGATGGCGATGGTTTTGAGTTTTGATAGGAGTCTGGAGTAAAGGCACGGGTTTAGATGCCGGGACCCCGCAACGTGGCTTCACAATCACGTTAGAACTGTGGATTTTGACAAGCGGAATTCGGTAGCATAGTCAATGGAGCACTAACAGTCAATTGAGAATTAAGACTCGGGTTTAAAAGTTTTCTCCGGTAGGATGAAGATGCTATTCAACATGGATCGTTTGCAACGTCGAGATGAGAAGGACAATGGCGTTTACGCTTTAATCAGCGAAGGATCACGACTCCGAGTGCCGAGCCGGAGCATTTCATGTCCGAATTCCTCATGGGAGAAACAGTACCTGGAGCTAGCGTCATCTTGCACCTTGACAGGATGTAAGCATCAGCAATCTTCATTCTCGTCAGCATCACACCATGAGATGTGCTCCCATCAGATAGACTACGATCACTTCGAATAAACGTGCTTTTGACCTAAGGAGAAGAGAAACGACAAACGACAACTACCAGAGGTTGTGTCGCCCTACAACGACACAAGTCTCATCGGCGGAGTTAGGAGTCAAATATCCGAAGCCGCCTTACGTGATCATCAAAGGAATCGAGCTGCATTCGAGATCGCAACTACAGAGACAGACAAGCCTTTAGACCTTCACATATTATTTTTAAATATTAAAACGCATCATGTCAACTCCAGCTAAACCTCAAAACGTGTGTCGGGGATGCAGATCAAGAAAGAAGCGATGCGATGTGAGACTCACAAAGAGCAACCAACAACCGCCTTACTAATACACAATACCAGGGCAGCCGACCGTCTTGCTCATCTTGTTCCACCAGAGGTGAGCTCTGTTACTATGAGAGAAGCAACAGACACAATGTCCGTCATGGACAGGTTTTGAGTCGTACAAATGGAAACACACATCATGATTCCGGCCTTCCAACCTGGAATTCCTGGCCGATGGACGAGATCGACGCGTTGCTGGGGCTTGAAACCAATGAGGTTGCTCCGCCACTAGAAGATTCGTTTGAGTGGATGTTGTCAAACAATGAGCCTCTAGCAATTGACGTAAATACTTGTGGCCCGGAAAGACAAAATCCTATTGTAGCTCAAGCTACTGAACTGCCAACACCGCCAGCATCGGACCCGAAGTTACCGGATTTACCAGAGCTGCCAGACATATTGCAGCTAGTCGAGTTGTTCTTTGAAAAGTTCTACCGTTACTTTCCTATACTTCACAAGGAGGCCATCCTATCCGCCCTCAAATCACACGGGGCAGAAGGCATTCCACCAGTTTTGCTCTATGCAATCATTGCCGTTTCAGCAGGTGCCCATCCCAACCAGCGGTTTCGGAAATTACAACAGATCTGGTATGAGGAAGCAAAGTGTCGAGTCTCAAGAGAAATACGAGAGCCGGACCACGTGCTCCAAACTATGCAAGCTGCCGTCCTAGTCGTCTATCTTGGACTAGCATATGTCGACTATTCCACCTCGATAGTGATGCTTGGTGAAGCTTGGAGGAAGACTGTTGCCATTGGCTTTGGCGACACCTTGCGAAACATGATTGTGAAGACCCTAGGAACTCAAGAAAAAGCAAAGTGGATAGAGAAGGAAGAGATTATAAGAATCTCATGGATTCTCTTCATTATGGATCGCGGTATGTGCTTTCCTATCGGATTGATGCATGCGATTGATGATCGGCGGATGAAGATTGAGTTTCCAATGGCGGAACGCGACTTTCAGTCTGACCAGGTGCCTGCGCCTCGATGCCCGAATCGGTTTACCTATAACATGGACAACTTGATTACTGCAATGAGAGACAGGAGCTCACGAGGCTCGGCAACCCAACTGCAGTATCTCATTCTGGGATACGCAATGCTAGGGCGCATTAGCGAAGCGCTCGACCCTGCTGCTGACGACGACGAGGATGGGCGCAAAGAGCGAATAGATGTCCTCTGCACGCAGCTTGCCAAGATTCGACTGATGCTTCCTCGCTCTGCCACGGAGCTCTCCATGGCCAATTACGACGAGTTTATAGAAGTGATTTGGCTCAACGTCATCTTGAATGCATGCACGATTCTTTTGCATCACCGACCCCTTCAAGAAGGAGAATCCCTCGACGATGCGGGAACAGAGTTGGCTAAGAATTGGCCGCTCTGTGTCGCTGCTGCACGGAACACGATATCCGTTCTTCGAGATGCTTCTCGCGTATCCGTCGACTTTGTGAGCAACGCGCACTTCCCGTGTCTGCTGTTCACTAGTTGCAGGATACTCATGACGGAGTATATCTGCCCTTCGAGATATTGCGAAAAAGCCAAACCGGCGGATGGTGTTAGTTCGCCCCCGGCTCGTGATCCGAAGCTACGTGAAGACCTGGAGGTTGTTACCATGACATTTTTCAGGATGAGGGAAGTATGGCAAGGTCTGGGCCAGAAGTTTAGCAAAGGAATGCACTTTTATCTGCACCAAGGGGAGGATTTCGCGCGCAAGACAAAGGCCGGCGGTGCGCGGAGTCTGCTCGGGGTATGCGACAGCTGGACCGTAATTCCAGACGACTATGAGCTTACTATTCCAAGTTGAAGAAAAATGAATATGAACATGGTTTGTAAAAGACTGATGTTCTTTGGGGAGTCTATTGCGTATCTATGGCTTAATGAGATTCGGCATTACACACCTCTATATCCTAGCTTGATTCCCTTAGAGTACGAGCTGAGTTTTGGTATCTCCAACAAGACGACCTCCAGTAGTCTCAATAATCGCCCCCGTAGCAAAAGAATCCTTCATCAAATAGACATAAGCCTCAGCTACTTCTTGAGGCGAAGCAATCGTGCCTGTAATGGTCTCCTTCCTGAAGCTGTCTAGCACTGCCTCCCTGTGCTCTTTTGGGATCATGTCGAGCAGTTCCGTTTCAACGCCGCCGAGCATCACGCAGTTGCATCTCACAGGCCGCAGATCGACCGCAAGACCACGCGAAAGGCCTTCAGTGGCGCCTCCAGCGGCAGCAATGATGGACCAGTTGGGTAGCGGGCGCCAGGTGTTTGTTCCGCCAGTCAGGGTGAATGAGCTTTTCACTCCCTGGTTGATGTACTTGTTCAAGTACTTTGCAATAATAATGGCGCCTGTGTTACGAACTTGAGATGTGGCGTGAATCTTCTCGACAGTTACGTCGCTGAGACCGCCGGTGTTTAGAGCATCGCCAGCTGTGTGAACCACATGGTCGAGCTTCCCATCCTTGGTCGCGAATTCCAATAGCTGGACAACCTGTTCTTCAATGGTAGCGGGGTTTCCGAGATTGCACGTCTTGGCAGATAACAGCTTGTCCGCGTCTCCGAGGTTGGCTGCCTTGATGTGCTCCTTGAGACGAGAGACGGCGTTGTCCAACTTGGACTGGTTGGAGCTGCTGATGATGACTTGAGCTCCGTGTTCGAGAGCTGCTTCGGCAACACAAAAGCCTACGCCGGAAGAGCCGCCGAGGACAAGGACCCGGTGGCCTTGAAGCTTGTTGACGTATTTGAGGACGGCCATGGTGATAGTGAAGAGATGCTAGAGGTTTGCTGTGAGAGTGTTGTATTCAAGGAATCGGATCTGTTGTTTCAAGTAGTGTCTACATCTTGGCTGGATCAACTCTTCTATATATACTTACAAGCACTCATAGTAACTATCCGTGTTATATCCAATGTCCTTCATATCTCCCTCTTGGTGGAGCTTGTCGGCGCTTTGTCTTAGCGGCGGCGACGGACCGCTAGCGTCGCCGCTCTGATCGGATCCGCTCGATTGGATGCTGACCAGCCGGAATATTAGAAATAGAAGACGTTGTGGAATGAATAAGGCTATGCGGGTGGCCGATTCAGATGTATTAGAGGCAAAGGGCTGTATAAGTCGAAAAGATACTGATTAAAGGTGCACGTAATGGTCCTTTTTGAAGAGCTGCTTGCCGCCCATGCATAGAAACAGCTTAATATACTCCGTCCGGAGTATGCTCATGGCATATCACAGGGTGAGAGACCGTGACTCCAGTCTCTGCTCATTCCTCTACGATTTGAGAGGTAGCCCTCAACAGCTGAAAGTAAGAATGGCTCATTTGATGAACTCTTCGCTCCAATTGTTCGGACGTCTATTGATCAACCGTACTATGGATGACGGGAAGAGCTCAGCTGAATGTTACATTCATGAAGAGGGGTTCCCCGCAACGGTACACACACAGGGCACCCTTGCATCAGCATTCTCATTGTACGAATACCGATCCAGTAGTACCTGTCAGGGCGCAATGCTGCGTTCATGTGTTTCGAACATGACAAGGCTCGGTGGCGTTGCTTAGAATGAGGCTGCACAGCCTTGGACGCCTTTTTAATCCCCAGCAGTTGACCAGCGCACAAACCTGACAACTTCCTAACTTCCTAGCCTCAATCCTCCCTTGAATACTGCTGACCAATCCTATTGAGGAGGCCTCACAGATCGTCGGATCTCCGACGTGCCAACAACTTCAATATCTTACCGGTCAAGGCTCATACGCAGAATTATACACCGCTCAGACTACTGAGGGGGCTGACAATCCAGGCCTTTGCCTTGATGGTGCATGCACATGAAATTGCCTCGCTTTTTGGGCCCCGGGCGTGAGATTACGCGCAAGGCGCCCTGTGAACTCGTTGAGCGGCATAGAGAGGTTATCAAAACATCTCACCTACCGGCTGGCACAGCTAGGTCGCCAAGCCGAGGCTTCGAATGTCCAGCTATAAATCCACAGACTATACGGTAGGATGGATTTGCGCACTCCCTCTCGAGCGCGCCGCGGCAGAAGCGATGCTAGACTGCAAACATGGAGGTTCGAAAAGCAGCCAGTACACGCTTGGCAGTATCGGTGACCATAACGTTGTTATTGCCTGTCTGCCAGCGGGTTTGACCGGAACCAATGCTGCTGCCACCGTCGCGGCCAAGTTGATGTTGCAGTTTACGTCTATCCGATTTGGTCTTTTGGTGGGCATTGGAGGAGGAGTCCCGAGCAGAGAATTCGACATACGGCTTGGAGATGTAGTAGTCAGTCAACCACGTAACGGATATGGGGGAGTGGTGCAGTACGACTTTGGTAAAACTCGCCCTGGAGAGTTCGAGACGACTGGCTTTCTCAATACACCTCCGATTGTCCTGTTGAATGCACTGTCAAAGATACAAGCGAATCATCTGTCTGGAAATAGCAAGTTCTCGCAATACTTGCAGAGGATTACTCACCAGCTTGGGGTCATGCCCGACGACACCAAAATTGACATGTTGTTTGACTCGAGCTATGAGCATGCGGATGGGCCAACATGCGAGAATTGCGACGACGAGCAACTGGTACACAGAAAGCCTCGGAACCAAGATATTGTTATTCACTACGGTACAGTAGCCTCTGGAAATCAGGTTATAAGAGACGGCATCACTAGAGATAAACTAAGCTCGAAGCTCGGAGGGATCCTTTGTTTCGAGATGGAAGCGGCAGGACTTATGAACAGTTTTCCTTGTCTGGTCATACGAGGCATTTGCGACTATGCGGATTCACACAAGAACAAGGCTTGGCAACCTTACGCTGCGTCAGCCGCAGCTTCTTATGCTAGAGAAGTGTTGGCGGCTGTTAATTCAGACCAACCATCAATAGCTCGCATAGTTGATGATACTACAAAGGCTGTATGATTGGATTATTCTCACGATGAGAGAGAAATTTTGAGACTGACTTCACTTCTCGTTCATAGGAAATGCTTCGAGCTGAGATTGATTCCAATATTGATACCGTGGATTTGAGCTGGTTTCTCTCCATTTTGCCAGCAATAGATCAAGGAGAATATGATTTCGATCATCCATCACCAGACTGGGAGAAGCCAGAATATTATTGGATTTTCAGAAATGCGGATTATAAAGAATGGGACACCGGTGACTCTTCTCGAATCTTGTGGCTAACTGGGCCGCCCGAGTGTAACATACGCAAGGCGACGTCCTATATCTTACATCGAGAGATGGAGAAGTCATCAAAGACACAGCGACTCGTGTTACACTTCTTCTGCTCCGCAGCCTCAGTAAAAGGGTCATCTATGGCAATATTCATCAGAGCTCTTGCCCATCAAATTGTCTCGACTTCACCACAAACTAGGCAGATATCAATCATTCGGAAATTTCTAAGGAGCATTTTAAGCACTAGCTTTAAAAGGATATCTCCAAATGTACTGCAACGATTCTCATTGAGGGACTCGAATTCTAATATGAAGAACTTGCTCGAGTCTCCAGATGACAGCCTATGGGCAGCTCTATGGGCCATCATGCCGACAGAACAGAGTCCGGAATTATCTATCGTCATTGATGGGATCGAACATATTCGCGACCGGAGAGGCAAATTCGTTCGGAGAATCCGCGAATTTGTCGAGGACCTACAACGAACGTCCAAAGCCAAAATTTTACTCACTAGTGGGCTAGAATCTGATACGGCGCAAATATTCAATGGCTTGCCTCATGTCGAATATGATAAGGAAAGAAAAGGTTTGATTCAAAATCTTGTGTCCATACGCATCTGAATCTGCTCTAATATACTATAGCATGTCTTTCCAGCCTTTGCTTCGTCAACACGCGCTTTAGCAAAATCGTAAAGGCATCCGAGGGCACCTTTGAGTGGCTTTGGGACCACGCACAATACAATGCATGGTCGAAACCAAGCGTCTCCCGTGTGTTGCTGATCCAAGGGAAACCTGGGAGTGGGAAAAGCACTCTTACACGGTATTTCAATGAACACATACTTGAACGAGAACCAGCCGCAGGATCAGCCGTCGTAGCCAGATTTTTCTACAGCTATAGGGAGGATATTCTTCAGAGAAGCCATTACAACATGCTACGGTCCATCATCCATGATATATTATATCAGGATGAAGCCTTCTTTTATCATGTTCAACCAGAATATCGTCTCCAGCCTTGTAGTAACACTGGCGTCATTTGGGAATATGAGTCGTTAAAACGTACTCTTAAATCCTTACGCGACTACTCCTTGCGGCGACCACTCTATCTAATCATTGATGCAGTGGATGAATCTGAATACGAGGATAGACGCAATATTCTCAATCTTTTGTTTCAACTTTGTGCGGAGATGAAACATGCTGTCGTGAAAGTATTCATAACGAGCCGGCCAGTGGAACAGCTCGACGCCCGCCAGAAGAATGTCAACAACATAATACAACTACACGAAGAGACCGTGTCTGACATTTCCCGCTTCGCGCGCTCTATGTTAGACGACCTGCATATCTCGCGTCTCCTCGCTAAAGCTACAGATTTCATTATCAAGAACGCACACGGCGTGTTCTTATGGGTGAAGCTTGTTGGAGATCAACTGAAAGCTTCCATAGAGGTCGGTGATTCTGAAGACGTCATTTTTCGATGTCTCGAACAGCTTCCAACCGAATTGGACGACTTCTACAAGCTGATGTTTAAGAATTTGAACGAGAACAAACCATATATTCTAGAATCAAAAACCATGTTTCAAATCGTTCTCTGGGCAGTGCGACCTCTAGCGGTAAACGAGTTACTGCACGCCTTGGCCATGTCGCGTCTTGCGGATATCGAATCTGACCTTTCCGATGTTGTCTTTGACGGGCGAATCCCAACTAAGACACGCATCACTCATTGCGGAGGAAATTTCTTGGAAGTCAAGCAGCCTAATGGCGCCTCTTTAGCAAATGCCCGTCCCAGCACTTCGTACCGTCGAACTAATAAGTCTATTGGGAATGAGGTTGTTCAGGCCATGCATCAAACCGTGCGCGATTTCTTCCTCAGCTCCAGCGGATGCGTAGCAAACTCAGAGTTGCGAATGAGCAATGACGACGACGCTCACATCTTCATGTCTAAAATCTGTATTCGCTATCTCATGCTCTGCGTTGCCTGCACTACTTTAGCAAAGACACTACCTACTCCCGAATCGTGGACTTTGGAGCACTTTTACGAGTACGCCAAATATTTGCAAAAAAGACCGTTTGCAAAATATGCTCTGTGTTTCCTTAAGCATCATATGAGTCACAGTCGTCAAGACACAAGGGTTTCGTATCTTGCTATTCGGCTAACAAAGAGCCTGACCGGCAAACCATCGTCTTACTTGTTAGACAGCTGGGTATTATCGAATATGGGGACAAGGGTCCAAGGTTCACATGCCAATGAGCACGAAAGAAAAGCAATGGAATTCAGGGCTCAAGCCTTACACGCCGCAGTTTGGAATGACTTTCCTGTGGCCGTCGAGATCTTGTTGACAGCTGGGACCAACATCAACTCGAGGTGCGAGAAAGAGCGCACATTTCTGTCATTGGCAGCCGAGAGAGGACATGAAGCCGTGGTAGATTTGCTACTCGCACATCATGGCATTGAGGCTGATACAAAAGACATAGATGGGCGGACGCCGCTCTCGTGGGCTGCAGAAAAGGGCCACAATACGATTGCTGAGATGCTGCTGGCCCGCAATGATGTTGCGCCTGACTCAAAAGATATGGATGAGCGTACACCGTTATCGTGGGCCGCCGAACAAGGACATGGATCTGTGATACAAATGCTGCTTGCTTGCAATGACGTTGACGCTGATTCTGTAGACAAATCGCAACGGACACCGCTCTCAAGGGCGGCGGAAAAGGGGCATAAGATCATTGCCGACATGTTGATCCAGCATAATGCTGTTGCTACTTCGAGAGATGGACACGGACGGACACCGTTATGGCTGGCGGCAGAACAAGGGCATGAAGAAATACTAGAGTTGTTGCTTGCCTTGAACAACGGCGAAGCCGATGAAAGCGATAGATATGGACGAACAGCACTGTCGCGAGCGGCTGGGCGAGGGCGCGATACCATTGTGAAACTTTTGCTCAACCGCAACATTGCCGAAGCAGACTCAAAAGACCAATACAACCGGACGCCTTTATCATGGGCAGCTCGGCAAGGGCATGATAGCATAGTGGAATTGCTACTTGAACGCCACGATGTCGAGCCAGACTCAAAGGACTTTGACGGCAGGACGCCGTTGTCATGGGCAGCGTGGCATGGGCAACAAAACGTAGTCAGGCTACTTCTCGATCACAAGAATGGCGTTCAAGTAACGTCAGAAAAGAAAAATAAACGAAAGCTGTTGCTATCGAAGTTTGTACGGTATTACAAAGGCGCCAAGAAGCGCTTAATTGGCCGCAAAGGCGTCGAAGCCGATTCAAGAGATGATTATGGCCAAACGCCACTATCCCGAGCCGCTGAGCAAGGACATGAAGCCGTGGTAAAGCTGCTGCTTGATCGCAAAGACGTCGAAATCAATTCAAGAGACACGAAAGGGTGGACACCTTTATCCTGGGCGGCTGATCAAGGGCACCATGATGTAGTAAAGCTATTGCTTGCTTATAAGAAGATTGAAGTCGACTCCAGAGATACTTCTAGACGAACACCTTTGTCTCGAGCAGCTGAACAAGGGCACCGGGACGTGATGGAATTATTGCTTTCCCGCAATGAGGTTGACGTTAATTCGAGGGACGAGGATGGATGGACACCACTATTCTGGGCAGCTAGGCATGGGCATCAGGCTGTGGTGAAGCTACTTCTTACACATAAGGGTGTGAAGACTGATATAACAGATGTATCTGGACGGACACCATTATCATTGGCTACCCGAAATGGACATGAGGAGGTGAAGCATTTACTTGGTGCAACTCCTCTCATTTCATGAAAGCGGTATATAGAAACAGGGCATAATAATAATATATTAAATCTCTATATATTTCGTTACCCCTTGTCACCTATTCATATTCAGTCCTTGGTAATGACGCTTCTCCGATATTCAGGCTTTCATACCAGAATTTACAGGTATTGTCGGTAATCAAATCTGACAATCGGCAGTGCGGTTAAAGACGTTGACCCTATCTCTTTCATACCCCAGTAACTGTCAGCCCAATAATTCGGATTGGTTACCATTTATTCAGGGGTAGACTAAAGACAGCAACTTTCGACGAAACTAGCTCAACCGTTTCTGCTTTACTCGTATTTTCCAATCTTATGTATGGCCAGCCCGTGTTGTAGTTAGTTCGGCAATTCACGAACGACCCGATACGAATCATTTTGCTCATTCTTGTCTTGTTTAATTGGAAAACAGACTAGGCGTTAATGCTTACAGAACGCTAAGAGAGCTTGACACCGTGGCGCGCAGTGATAACATGCCAACAGCGAGCTATTGTGAATCCTTCAACAAGAACTTGCTTATGAGTGAGCGATGGAATGCGTTTTCCCCAATTCGCCATGCGGGGTGCCAATGGTGAGAGCAGAATCTTATTTATAGATGCATCAAGAACCAACAGCTATAACAAGCTTGCCTTTGTTGGTTCAATGCTTGGTCATATACTATCCTGCTCTCGGCAGAATCTCAAGACGCAAACTTCAGTCTCTCGTGTGCGATGAGTGTCAAGCCCCCCCTAAGCGCTAATCACGGGTGAATGAAATTAAGTTCAAAGCTTTCCTCAAGCTATCAGCTGATGACATCCAAGGGGAAGTCCTCATATATAGTTAGACGATAGGAATGCAATAGAGCACAATCGATTGACACATTGTTTCACTCATCTTTAACAGGATTGCTCTTGTGACTTATATCCGAAACAGCGACATCATGAACGTCAAGGCGAAATCCTTCAGCGAAAAGATCATTCCTCTTTCGGCGAAAGACCAATGGCGGCCCATTGACAACATTCGCACGTTGGTCTTCATCGTTGTCCGCGATATTCTCGATGGAGAGCTCATGAGGGTGTCTCTGGATAAGCTAATTAGGAACCATATACCTATCCTTGGAGCACGAATCAAGCCCAGCGGAGTCGATGGCTTACTTCAATATCATCTAATCACTCCCTTCCCTGATAATCACGAAATATTCGGCTGGTCCACCAGCAATGTTGCTTCAACGCTCGAAGAAGCCAATCTTGTGCCAGAACATAATCCACAAAGAGGCATCACCATCTTACAAGATGTGACTGTTATGGAACGGCGTTGGATACCATCCGACTGGCCCGTCAGACGCGACCAAGACAAGCCAGACACGCCGCTCTTGCTCGTCCATCTCACATATTACAAAGATGCCACGATTATTTCTCTCAATTTACTACACTGTGTAAGCGACCAGATGGGCTTTGGCAGCCTCATCACTTCCTGGATAGATGTTATGAAAGGCAAAGAACCCCAACCTTTTATCGAATTGCCAGAGGACGGCCTCGACGGCGACAAGGACATTACTTTCAAAGAGCTTCACAAAAAATACCACTATCGGTTGAGGACCAAGAGAGAACGAGCGGAAGTACTGATAGGAATTGTCCCCGAGCTCGTTGCTCGCCCAAAGGAGACGAGATGCACTATTTTCATACCTGTGGGTATAGTCAATGGACTACGGGACAAATGGAGGAAAGAGTTAAAGGCAAAACATGGCTCTGACGCAGCAAATATTACAAATGGAGATGTACTTGTCGGGATTGTAGCCAAGGTATGTGATGCCCAGTCTTGTGATGAAACATCTGGATGCTAATGCCGTCCTTTAATATCTAGTTCGCCAACATGCACCGTAAAAGGCCCAAGAAGCAAGTCGTCACCGGTCCAGTAAACCGTGAGTCTAAAACACATATATAACATAAACCTCCTCCCCATCACCGCCCAACTAACATCAAATTTCTCCAGTCCGCGGCTACCATCCCCTCCTCCCCAAAAACACTCCCTACCTCCACAACGCCCTCATCTTCGCCGTCTCCCACACAGCAATCAGCCGTTCCAAGCCCCCAACCTCCGAAATCGCCTACGGGCAACGCCTCGCCGTGCTCGACACCCTCAAGCCAGACAATATGGAACGCGGTCTAGCAGTGACACGAGAGCTCCGCTTGAGGAACATCCCGATGCACATCTGCGAGCCGTGGGAATTCAGCTACGGACCGACGAACTGGTGTAACGCGTGGCATGGCATCGAGTTTTCCGCGGCCAGCGCAAATAAGACAGGGGAAGAAGTTGCTGAAAGGAAAGACAGCGCGGTTGCTGAAAGGAAAGACAGCGATGATGCGAAGACGATGGATGGAGGTGATTCAGCGCCTATTATTTTGGGACATTCGTCGGAACGGAACCATCCTAATCGGCGTAAGTGGTTCATCTCTTTGATTTAAATGGTTCTATTTTCTTTTCTGACTTGATTTGTGTGTTTAGTGAGTGCTTTTATCATGTCAAAGGCCGAAGGAGGATATTGGGTCGACTTTGCGGCGCCGAATAAGGGCATGGCGGCCGTAAAGGCGCTTTTGGAGAGAGATCCTAACCTGGAGACGATATGATGTTGTTTGTGCGTTTTTGTTTTACCTAGATGGCCTTGATATAATACCCAGGTCGCTTTGGTTGAAGGAGTATTTCAAAGTGGTCGATTAGGAGATGCTTCATGTAGATGGATGTTACTCTGCCCGTTTTACGTACAGCAGGAGAATAGATACTATATAGTTACGCATCAGTCCAACCGAGGAGCTGCTTGGAGAAGCCTCCTCCATTATGCGATAGACTGACTAGACATTCTTACTCAAAGGGCACGGTGCAAGGAAAGGAACAAGTTGGATGAATCTGATGCTTCTGATATATAGCAAGGGATATCAAGTAATAACCAATCCACACGGCCGTAACCGCAACCACCCTCTGAACAAAGCCATGGTCAGAGAGAAAAAAGAATAACAATAGTGCAAACCAAACTCCGGCTAAATGCATTCCGACTTAAACAGGTATAACAACCAAACCAATGCTCCAATGCTTGAAAAGGGAAAAAAAATATGCCAACGCCTAGAAACCATGCATGCTCTGCTCTCGCTTCTCTCTCTCTACCAGCCATCTCCAAACGTCATCATCTGCGAACACTCCTCTAGCCTATCAAGGCCCTTCTTGATGGTCCTCGTCATAGCATCTATCCTCTCAAACGCAAACATGTCAAAGTGGTGACCGTCCACATCAAACACGTCGCAAAACATCTCGTCGTCGTAATCGCCCCAGCCGAGCAACTCGTCCTCTCGGTTCAAGTCCAGCCCAACCATGCGACCATCCTTTGTCGGCACGTATTCCTTTGCGCGCAGCAACACCACCCGTGGCCGTCGGTTGTAGAGTCTTCCAGACCACTCGGGAAGACGCCATTGTCGGACCATGCGCACAGCCTCCGCCATGCATCGCCTGGAGTGGATCTGGTTCTGCGTCAGGCCCTCTCGGTCTGTCGAAGCTTCGTCCGACGACGTGTCTTCTTCGCTGGAGGACTCGTCGTCGACCTTGAGGCCACGAATCTTGATTTTGGGCATTTCGACGTCGGGAAACCGCTTGACCGGAGGTCCGGATGTGGGCACGAGAGGGACGTAGCCTGTAGACCTGGACTTGCCCGGGTAGATGCTGTCGATCATGAGGATGCCCGACACTCGCACGACGTCGTCGTCTGCCAGCTGTCGCGCAACCTCCATGCTCAGCAGGCCACCCAAGCTCCAGCCACCGAGCATGATGCTGATTGTGCCCTCGTGATTCCTTCGCCTGGCGGGAAACTCGTCTTCCTGCACGGTCTGTCGGATCCAGTTTGCATAGGTGCGGCCCATCTCGGGGATGCCGCCCTCAAAGACCTCGCCGGTGTAAAAGTAGGGGTTGTGGACGCCATAGACGTAGCGGCCGAGAATCTCCAGGCAGTGATAGGCAAAGGTGGTGCCGCCGCCATCGTGGATGAGGAAGACGGGCGTGTTGTATGAGGGCTGATCTGGCCGAGCCCAGTCTTCCGGCTGGATCAGCTCTGGGTTGGGACCGCGCATTGTTGGTGGATGGCTATCGATAAGCCTGAGCTGAGCTAGTCGTTTTGTTGAGACGCGCCAAGAAGGACAATGACAGTGACAATAGCTGAGAGATCGGCGACAGATTAAAGGTTAAAGGAAGAGGTGCCAGAGAGGACAGCAGAGACAGAAATAGTAATGGAAAAGTCAAAATCACAATAAACAAGCTCGAGTGACTGCAAACGGCCCAAGTTCCGGTTCCCCAGGGTCCAGCAATTAGCCTCGCTTATCAGTGGATCTCAAGCTGGGCGTTGTTGGGGTGAAGCCGCAGTTGTGCAGGCGAGGCTAAAATCTCAACGGTTTTGCTGTGCTGCTTCACAAAAGCTCTCCGTAACCAAACAAACACCTGACCTGTTTGCGGTGGAAGAGAAAATAGCAGCTTTAAGGCAGATAAAATCACCCGAAGCCGAATGAATAGAAAAAAAATATCTCTCATTCGGCGATTTTTAATCACACAAGACAAGTGAAAAATGAAACGGCCCCCCGTAAGCCGGCGAATTTAACGGGCCAAGGGAGCCGGTCTAGACGAAGTCAATAGACGAGCCTCGATAGGATTTTTGTTGGGTCCACCGAAGAACTCCGAGACGTCACCCTGACCAATGTAAATGCGAGTAGCAGCAGTGGTTCTTGTTCTATTTGCGGGGGATCAAGGATGCCAGATGATAGTATGAGAGGAGAACAAGAACGAGCCTAAGTACGGAGTATATAGAAGAAGGGAATGCAAACGGAAAGCTGGCGTTTCTCGAGGGCCTTTTTAAGCTCGTGGCTGGCTTGAAGAGGCCTTTTGCGCATCTCTGATCTGACAAGCAGTAATGCGGAGCAAATACTACTCATTGCCGAGCATCCAGGGATCTGGCTGACGGGACGCAATGGCTATGCTTCAACTGCCTGGCATGGTAGGGATTCTCTCGATTGTGCCATGTGAGCCGCCTTGTGTCAATTCAATCGAGCTTCTGAGACCCTTGTGCGAATCTAAGCACAAATGTCCCCTCGAGATGCATCGTGCAGATGGAATCGTGTGTCGTCTTCGGAGTCCGAACTCAAAGAAAGTCCCAGAAGAATGGCTGAATCCTGGGGGAACAATTGGTCCTCGCAACTATAATCCTCCGGACTCACACACACTCACACATGCCCCAGACTCTGGCACCAACCAAGATTGCGCGATTGACAACTCATCTCCTGCATATGTGTGTCCCGTCTCTTTCTGCATCTCTGCATCTCTGCATCTCTGTACGCACAAACAAGGTATTGCCACTGGTATGCGATTCACCCAACAAAAAAAAACTGAGCCTTCGGCCATGTGGGCCCCATGATCTCCGCCGCGATTTCACACCCGCTTTTGAATTCCAGTTTGATTTCCAAGGTTCTCTTTACCTTGGTAGATTACACAAGGCGGCGGTTCGCCAAAGCGCACTCCGCGACTCCGGGCCAAAGAAATTGGAAGGGCTGAGACAGACACATTCCGTCATGGAGTACGGATGATCACTGTAATCGCACATCTTGCTTATCTCGCCCGTGTTCCTGTACGACGCTGACCTCTGGAAGCTAGGCAAGCTAGGATGGATCAAGAATAGTTGCAGGGGAGCCAAAGTCTCCATCCTTCCGAGGTAAGCTAGTGTCCAGGGCCGGCGTCTCCGGGGCCCAGGCCGCGCTCTGAGTGGTCAGTTTGGTTCGGGATTGCTGCTTTCGACTATGATTCATTCGCATGGGCGTCCAAAATCGCCGTCGCATGCGTGCAAGGAATATTCCATCGAGCAGTCTAGTCTCCGTATGTAAAGTGGAAGCAGCAGTCACGTACATACCGTCGTAACATGGACTTGCAGGTACTGCCCTATCCGTTGCTCGTGTCACACACGTGGAGGGGCATCTTCTTCATCCCAGAGTCCTGCCTGATCCTCTCTCTCTCACGTGGCGATTGATATCCCATGCTTCGATGCGACTCATCCTCGTAACAGACCCATACAGATACACAAGGTCCAGGTTGCGCCCAGCTGCCGTGCTGATAACATGCCTGGCATCGCCCATGTCATCTCACTGCCGTCGTGGAGAGCTGCCTGCATCTGGTGCCGCCAGATAGCCCTGTAGCCTCCACAGTAAGAGATGCAGCTTCATCACGCTCATACTTGGCCATTGCTTCAGCACGAATATTTCTCCATCTCGAAACAATTGAGCCGAGTCTCTCAGCCGCTGCACCTCCCCCTCGCCGAGCAGCCAATGTAGATTATGCACAACCATCTTCCTTCCGTATTGAGCTTCCCCGATATCCAGTGTTGCATACTGATCTGCTGCATCTTTCTTCGCAGGCAGCCAGAGAACACAGCCCCGCAATCTGACGCCTTTGACATCCTTCCAATTCGCACAGGGTTCGATGAATTTGTGTTTGGGTTCGTGTAACCGATTGCTACGAGTAGCTAGCGCATCAGTTGCCTGTTGACGCATCATCTGCAGGAGCACATCGCCCATATCTTCCCTCCAGACAGCAGTCTTACTGTCCGGGGCGATAGCCATGCCGCTTCGGGCCGCCAGTAGCATTGCGAGGTATTTCTTGTTTGGCCCACCAACCATGTCAACCAGCAGCTTGCGATTCAGCATGTAACTCGTTATGGGTGCTCTCCGCAGTCGGCGGACATGCTCCTCCGGGGCTTCTGCATTATCGTTTCGACCTGCAGCAGGAATCGACATGGGCTCCGCCGCCGAGGCCTCTCCATCATGTGTGCTGATGCTGGCTTGTGCTTCGTCTAATCTCTTTGTGGGCTGGACATGCTCGAAAGATAACGGGCCGGGAGCCCACCAGGGCGTGCCAGTCGTCGGGTGCTTTATAAGCTCAAAGTCCTGTAGGAAGTAGCGTGGTAAGCTCGTGTTGCTGCTTGGGCATCTTCGTATTGGTGTAGCGAGAGCTTGTGCTACTGTCTATTAGCTTCTTCCTCCTCTCATCGTGGGAACAGACTTGCCATACCAAATGGATTGTTTGCGAGCTTCCGTCGAAACCTGCCAAGTGGCGGACCAGGAGCAGCCTTTTCAGTCCTCCTCCTAGCCTGCATCCATGCTGGATCAAATATCGGCGAGATTGGAAGATCTCCAGCCGCCGTCGAGATGATCTTGGCCTCGGGATCAACCTTTAATGACTCGCCGTCCGTGTCGTGTCCAAGGCCAGCTTCGACTTTCCGTAGCAGCGCCTCTTTCGTCAAGGAGACTTTATCGTAGGAGTGCCATCGTTGAGCCTGGCGAGGCCCCAGTGTCCCAAGGCTACTTGGGCGGAGCACCGTGCATCGTTTCATCGCCTGTCGACTGAATTCCAAAGAATCATGTCGCTCGTGTGTAGTGCAGCTTGTGCATGCGATTATTTTTTGAGTGACGCGCGATAACGATAAGCTCGGCTGAGATAAGATACCTAATGTGGGGAACAAGCTATAGCATCATGACATACTTTGGACCTTTGGAGCTGATCCCTTCACCACTCATCAGCTTCTCTCTGTTGCGCATCAATCCTCTTCCGAAATGTTACGATCACGATTACTACCAAGCCTAAGGGCACTCCCCATTCGCCATGCAAGATCGTTTGGCTTCTCTAGCACCGCTAGCCCCGCTAGCACCTCCCCATCAATGAACATCCCTATGCCGTATATCGAAGAGACTTCAGTAAGCGGCGGCATCAGCGCTGTTGCCGTGAACATGGGCTAAAAAGGGAACAGGCAACTGGCAGAAAAACATGTACGCTCACTTCTGGACCGCTGATTAGGTGATCGATGTACTTACAGGTTCAAGGGGACATCTTTTCGAAGCTCCTACAAGTAAGCCTACGCCAGCATTCACGAGTATTGTACTTGCAGCTTCTGACCAACCCAGCAACGAATAATATGTTTAAACGGCGAAATCGACGACTACATTTCAGCTTCAATAGTAGCACAGCTTCTTTGGTTGGAATCAGACGCCCCCGATAAACCTATCACGATGTATATCAACTCACCGGGAGGCTCCGTCACATCAGGTGCGCTCCCACCCTTGTCCGCGACACGGCTACAATGATTTATAACAGTATTAGGCATGGCGATATACGATACGATGACTTATATCAAATCTCCTGTCGCGACCGTATGTATCGGAGGTGCCGCGTCCATGGCAGCTATCCTACTAGCTGGCGGCGAGGCGGGCAAGCGCTGCGCCCTTCCACATAGCTCTATCATGATCCACCAGCCATTGGGCGGCACTCGAGGGCAAGCATCGGACATTTTAATCTACGCGAACCAGATACAAAGGATACGAGAGCAGTCTAACCAGATTATGCAATACCACTTGAATAAGGCGAAGGGATTTGACAAGTATAGCCTGGAGGAGATTAACGATCTGATGGAGAGAGACAAATACCTAAGTGTGAACGAAGCACTGGAGCTGGGAGTCATTGACGAGGTATTCACAACGAGAAAGGAGAAGGATACCCAGCCAAAGAAGGAAGAGGAGGAGGAGAGAAAGTACTAATCACACGGGCCCAGCCATGTCTTTTTTTGTGTGTGCTAATTGCTGGCAAAGGATGTGAGTGCAGCAGTGATGGATCCGGAGAAATGCAAGCCTACTTGTGCCTTGTAGTCCGAATAAGCCAAAGAGTGTCAGGCTGTTGAAATATCGACGATGTTGTCTGGGCTGCAGTCGGTATATATGGAGATTCCGATAGGTGATCCGGCACTCATTGTAAGATAGGTACTAAGCAATGGATAATTATGCATTGGCCCACCAATCCAAAGCAGAAATGGAAGCCATCTCTCCATTAGACGCTCATAAAGTCTGAGACAAATTATTATCTGCAATAGCAACACTCTGCTGCATCGGTACAGGCTCTTTTCACAGAATATCGTGTGTTGCCGATATCGGCTCGTCGCAAGTTGAGCATCTCCACTGGCAGCTTTGGTTCAAGTGGGACAGCTTCATTCGGTGTCCGAGGAACTTGTATCTCCTGGATTCGAAATCCTGCTTCATGAAATGCAATAGTAATGCAATAGTTGAATATTACTGCTAAGACTCACCGTTCAATGCAGTTTAGCATCTGCTACATACGTACAACATCCAACAGGACTGGTATGACTAAAGTCGATTCTCATCTCATGTCAGACAAGCTGCAGCCATGCAAGGAATCTGGACATCTTGCTTCTAGCAGGGGCTCCAGTCGCTATAAGCCCGCTCCAGCCAATCAGGCGCCTCCAATTAGCTGCTCTCTCGCAGCTTTCAGCGGCAGTGCGGGGCAACAATTTTTCCCAATTGCGATCAAATCTCTTAGTGGGAGCTTCCTCTGCAGCAGCTCGCGGGATCACAGGGAAGATCACAGGGACAAACCCCAGAGAATCACGTCAGCCATTGCGGTCCGACTATCTGCGATATCGATTGCTGAAGAGTCATCGGGCAGCACTTGGACTTACTTCGACTTTTCACAGCACTGAAGCTTGGAGATTGGCGCGAAGTTGCTGGATTGATTGATTGATTGACAGGTACGTACGTCAGTGTGGGCTTTGGCCAGCTGCCCAAGTTGCCAAGGCATCCGCGATCTGCGGTCCAAGATATTTTTTTTCCTTTCCTTTCTGCAGCGTTGGTTCGGAGAGACATCAACCATTGCTTCCTGTAGTTCACCAGAGCCATCTTGGTGCAATTGCTTCTTTTTCTTTCTTTTTCTTGTTCGCCTCTGTGCGGAATGCGACGTGGCTCATCCGTCTAGCAGAGATCTAATTCTTACTCCGATAATAGGACCTAGCCTTCCACCGGCCCATCGTCACGATGCTCTCGCGATTGCTGCTCAAGACCCCTTCAAGGGCGTTCAACGCTCTGTCAAGAGCCGGCACTCTCTCCACAAGAAATCAGGCGTAAGTAAAGGCATGCCACTGACTCAATGCGAATCAAGCTGACGACCTGATGATCCTCACAGTCGCCTGCTGTCAACTTCATCAGCCCGATATGCGGACGAGAAGCTCAACAAGGTCTCCGCCAACATCACACAGCCCAAGTCCCAGGGTGCATCCCAGGCTATGCTTTACGCCACCGGCCTTACAGACGCCGACTTGAACAAGGCGCAGGTCGGTATCTCCTCCGTCTGGTACGAGGGAAACCCTTGCAACATGCACCTGATGGATCTGTCTGGGCTTGTCAGGGAGTCTGTGGCCAAGGCTGGTCTTGTTCCCTACAGATTCAACACCATTGGTGTCAGTGATGGTATCTCCATGGGTACCACTGGTATGCGATACTCGCTGCAGAGCAGAGAAATCATTGCCGACAGTATCGAGACTGTCATGAACGGACAGTGGTACGATGCCAACGTCAGCTTGCCCGGCTGTGACAAGAACATGCCCGGTGTCGTGATTGCCATGGGCCGTGTCAACCGGCCTAGCATCATGGTCTACGGTGGCACCATTCAGCCCGGATGCACAAAGGCTGGCGAGTCCATTGACATTGTCTCGGCATTCCAAGCATACGGCCAGTACATCTCCGGAGAAATCACCGAAGATCAGCGATACGACATTATCCGTCACGCGTGTCCCGGAAGCGGTGCCTGCGGTGGCATGTACACTGCCAACACCATGGCGACGGCCATCGAAACCATGGGTCTGACCCTCCCGGGCAGCAGCAGCAGCCCTGCCGAGGACCCGAGAAAGAAGGCCGAATGCGAGAGTGTCGGTGCTGCCATCCGGAACCTTTTGAAGGAGGACATCCGCCCACGCGACATCCTCACCCGACAGGCCTTTGAGAACGCCATGATTGTCACCACCATTCTTGGTGGAAGCACCAACGCAGTGCTTCACTTGATTGCCATTGCTGACTCCGTCGGAGTCAAGCTGACTATTGACGACTTCCAGGCCGTCTCTGACCGCATCCCCTTCCTTGCTGATCTGAAGCCGTCTGGCAAGTACGTCATGGCTGATATGCACAAGATTGGTGGCACCCCCGGCCTGCTCAAGTATCTCCTCAAGGAGGGCCTCATTGACGGCTCTGGCGTTACCGTGACCGGAAAGACCATGAAGGAGAACGTTGAGAGTGCTCCTGATTTCCCTGCCGACCAGGACATCATTCGACCTTTCAGCAACCCCATCAAGCCCACCGGCCATATCCAGATTATGCGCGGTTCTTTGGCTCCTGGCGGCTGTGTTGGCAAGATTACTGGCAAGGAGGGTCTGCGATTCGTTGGCAAGGCTCGTTGCTACGATGCCGAGTCTGATTTCATTACCAGCCTGGAGCGTGGTGAGATCAAGAAGGGCGAGAAGACCGTCGTCATTATCCGCTACGATGGCCCCAAGGGTGGTCCTGGTATGCCCGAGATGCTGAAGCCTTCTTCAGCCATCATGGGTGCTGGACTGGGCAAGGACGTTGCCCTGTTGACTGACGGCCGTTTCTCTGGCGGCTCTCACGGCTTCATCATTGGACACATTGTTCCCGAGGCCATGGAGGGTGGCCCCATTGCCCTCGTCAAGGATGGCGATGAGATCACCATTGATGCTGACAAGCGCATCATTGACCTAGAGATTTCTGAGGCGGAGATGGAGAAGCGAAGGAAGGAGTGGAAGCCTCCTGTGCCCAGATACACCAAAGGAACGCTGTCCAAGTACGCCAAGCTGGTTAGCGATGCCAGCACTGGCTGTGTCACTGATGGTCCGATTGCTTAAATTGGGCGACTTAGCAAAGAGGATGAAAGAAAAAAAGGAGAAAGAGTGTGTATAGTGTGATGCTTGGCTATTTTGTGTATGCATGAGGAGTTTTGCTTGGATATCCGGATGGATTGGCTTGACTATAGTTCCATTTATATATATTTGAACATGTCAAATGAAAGTCCAATACACGTGTGTACTTGGTGAATAATTGATAGGCGTAGTATCTTAGCAAGCGAAAACCCCAATTCTTGCTATGCTGCATCCTACAACGCATTCGAAGCTACAATGTACAATACCTCAATAACCTACAAACACCAGCCAAACAGATCAGAGGCCTAAATCACGCCTATTTTCCAGTCCACGCCCGAACAAATGCAGCCTTGTCCTTCATTGTCAAGCCCACTCTCTTGACTCTGCTCAGCCTCGCCAGCGCCTCGCCTATCCAATCCAGCAGCTTCTGCTCTTCGCTGTTGATGCTAGCCCCTGCTCCACCTCTATAAGTCAAATCGCTAGGGATGTTGTCGCCGGACTTTGCGGCAGCCTTGTTCGTTTGTCCCTCGGCGATGCGCACACGGATGCACGTCGTTGGTCGAGAAAGTAGAGTCCACAGGAAACGAAGCCATTGTCCGGGAATAGGCGTCGTGATCTCGGAGGGGGTGTAACGAATGCTGACGGGGAAGATGTGTACGTCTGGGGGAGTTTGAAGAATGCTAGGGCTAAAGGGCAAGATGGCCTTGCCGTTGGTGGTGCCGCATTCGGGGAATACGGCGATGACGCGGTTTGGATACTGCTTCACCAGGTCTTTCAGGTCTACCAGCTGGGCGCTTGGTGCGGGCTGCGTGGTGACTGGCGCAAGCGCCTTCATCACAGCTTGCAGCAATCCTATCCTCCTGACCTTGCGCTCGCCCGGATATGAGATGGTAAAGACAGGGTCGAAGATAGCCGCCAGGTAGATGGCATCGACGGGGCTGGTAAAGTTGGCGGCTATAATTGATCCTGGATGAGGGACTCTTTCGCGGGGCTGCTCGGACAAGGTGCCGCGCTTGACGCCGTCGAGCTGGAGGTCAATCCACCAGATGCCTGGGATGGCCATGAGGCCCCATAACGCTATCTTGCGGACGAAGACGGGGAGCGGCAGCGGGTGGAAGACGATGAAGTAGCCGAGGGCGTAGGTGAGGAATATGGGGAGGCGGACGAGGAAGAGGAGGGTGTGGGTGAGTGTCGAGATGGCGGAGCTGGGGGATGAGACGGGGAGGAAGGGCGCGATGCCGGTTGCTTTGTTGCGTATAAGTCAGTCTCATATCAGTGAGCAAAGGGAGGACGAGGAAAAGAGGTGTTTACCTCTGTCGCGAAACTGGCTGTATTTCTCCATCTTGAAGCACAGCTGAGTATCTGAATTGTTGCTTTTTTTCCGGTACCTCCAACAGTTATTCTAATATCGAAGATCGAGTAGACAACGTGGCGCTATCGAGACATTGAAGAAAGCCAAGCTGAAGAGGATGGAGCTCTTCTCTCCCCTCTTCACTTAACAAAGAAAAATGACTGTGAGAATGGTCGAGGAGGGGGAAGCTGAGAAGAAGATAGGGTAGAGTATCTACTTTAGCAGTAGAGATGCGGTTTTGTGTGGGAACATGGAGAAAGCTATGGGAATAAAGGTCTCCATAACTTTGGGACGAACGTTTGGAAAGTTTGGAGGTGAGATTACATCAGCAGCGCTGCTTTAAGAGCTTCTTGATGGTGGTGGGGTTGTTTGGCGTGTATTGCCATTGTCGCGGGATGGACGAGATACATACGTACACGTGAAATAAGCTTATGGAACGATCGATGCGCTTTTGTTATTAAGATGGCATATGTGGAAATAAATCTTTGGCAGATCAATACCACTTCTTTGGTGTTATGATTGATCGAGGCGCGTACAGAAACAATGAATTTAGTACAAAGTAGAAGTGGCCTCAGGATTTTAACCAAGTACTAAGGTACTAGTCCATCACCACATAAGAACAATCTTGTTCTGGTGATATATCATTATGATGAATAACAATTATATACTCTAATTGAATATACTTCCAACAACGTTGCAATATAGGTATTATAAATCGAGAGAAGCGTTATCAACTGGCATGTGAAAGTCGTGTCTTTCTTCAAAGCAGCAGCGACACTAAGCCTCTTATAGACACTCTCAGCTCTTCTCGTCAAGCCGGGTACATGGTACACGCAACTCTACGCTCGCCGAGATAGAGACGTCATTGCAGCTGGCATGTGAAATCAGCGGATATAAGACGGATGGTGAGCTGTCATTCGGGGTAAAGGAGGAACCATACAGGGCCAATCGACTTCTGCCTCACGTTACACTGCTGAAAAAGACGATACAATACGTGGTAGTGTAATTACAGGTAGAGGTAGCACATCAGTAGCATTATAGTGTGTCCTTCCAACAACCCCTTGGATTCAAGCCCTAGGATGCGATCATCGCCTCCTACAGCCGCAACTAACGTGAGCTACTGTTGCATTCTTCCGTCTTAGCACCGTGGTTGAATTGCACCGGATTATCCGTAGAATATACAGCATTAGCGTCACGAGAGAAACACCATGTGCCTAAAGTGACTGCGCCCCAAGTCCCTAACAGTCAAGCCACAGTACAGCACCTCAGCCACCGTTGCCCTGCCGACGCACCTGCAGCAGTAAATAACCTGGCCCGTGCTCTCAACAACTGCTCCACACCGATAACACAAATCAAGCATCAAGCCATTCCGTTCAAATCATCTTGCGTCAACAACCGAGCCAGGGGACGACTGCACTGCCGTGCCCTTTGACTGCACTTGTACGCTCCTATCCTCCATCATCGTTTGAATATCTTCACCCGCCCTGCAGCGATATTCAATCGCCGGAGCGCTTGCTCCACCGTTTCGACGCGATCCTCGACCTTTGGTTTCTTTGTTGATATTTTTTCCCTTATTGTTACAATGGACGCTACCGAGAATCAGGTTCGCTCTCTCGCACAACCATGGATCGCCGATGTATAGCAGAGAGTCAAAAGCTGACTGCAATGCTCCCACAGGCTGCGCGACCCTCCAAGATCAGTCGCTTGCCAGCTCCGACAGCGCACACCGGAGGACTGACCGAATGGAGCGAGTCACAGCAGAATGCTCGAAGTCAATCCTCCATCCCCGCGCCGAGGGGCCTCAAGCGCGAGATTCCGCCGTCCGGTACGAAAGAAGCGATATATACTCGACATATATTCTCGATATGCTAACGTTTGCCAGCTCCCCAATCCGAGGCCAAGCGCAGACCCCTCGCTGAGCGTGCACTCGACTATCCATCAAAGACTCCCACAAGTGCGCTTCCACGATCCACCATCAAAGGCCAATCTCTAGCCAACATCTCACAAGTAGGGATCTCCCGGACGCTCGGAAGTAAACGCCCCAGTGGCTCGATGGCTGACATTTAATGATAGCTCAAACTACCACGACCGGCATCTACAATCCCTTCAGCAAGCAACAGCTTCGCAAGGAGCTTCGGTCCAGGTCGAAATGGCGCCGCAGAAAAATCATTAGTTCCCAGACCAAACACACCAGCCAACCATACAAGATCGAAAAGTCAAGTTGCGCGGCCACGGACGGCACAGGGCTTTCGAGAAGAGGAAGGCAAAGATGCGACGAATAGTAAGGGTATGATCCTCACCCAGCAACTCACGACCATTGCTTTCAACACGCTTTCCCACCACAAAATCAGAAATACAAAATCCTCTTCATCCTTATCCTCTTCCAGAGATAGCTCTCTGAACACGAGATTCAACGGCCTTTGTCTCGACGATAATACTTCCCTTCACAACACAAGTCAAGTGACAACCTCGCCTCCAGACACTGCACTTGCTTTAAGTAACGTCACTGTCCACCGCCCCGGCAATGAGAAGAGAAGCAGCAAACAGCCACCGTCCGCTTTGGTAGCTGTGCAGGGAACCTAGGGAGGTCCCTCTACGACACCAATTGATAAGCCAGTCAAACGGCCGGTGGAAAAGCCTCAAGGATGCATTGCTCAGCTCAAATCCAGTTCTCCCACCAAATCCCCCATCAAGTCACCCATGCGCTATAAGAGTTTCTTAACTAAGGATTCTAACCTCACTGGATTTGTAGCCTTTGATGCCGAAGAACATGTCCGCATGACGGAGTTGCACTTTCAAGAACTAAAGAAGACCGTAACGGACGCCATGGTACATACAACACAACAGGAGAAAACATACATGGCCAATGCTCTTGATTTGGTCAATAAGAAAGGTGAGGACAGAATCAGCTCCAGCTAGATTACAGTGTAGCTAACATTGTTTACCCCAGCCTCGGAGTTGGAGAGCTACAAGGCAAAATTAGAAAGCGACAAGTCGAAATTAGAGAGCACGGCCGAGTTCCTAACGAAACGAGGTATGAACAAAACGGGCGCTCATTGAGTTGCTTGCAACTAACATGTATTCCTTCAGTCTCGGAGTTGGAAAGCGACAAGTCAAGATTGGAAGACAAGACGGAAGCCCTGAAATCAGATCTCGACGCCTCTAAAGAAGAAAGTCGGAAATTCCAGCACGATATCGAGAAACTTGAATGGGAACACTCTCGACAAATCGATGACCTTACCAGAAAGCATAAAGCCGAAATAGACGATATCGCGCGGCAACACCACACAGCAATAGACGATCTGAGCCGAGAACTCGAACGACTAAAAACGCAAGAAGCACACGAGCATCAGCAACAGATTGACGCATTGAATCGACGGCATCAGCAAGAACTACGCGATGAGCAGCAGAAACGGGAACAAGAGCTTCAGAGCTTACGGAGCAAAATGGGAAATGAGCAGCAGGAAGCCGAGATTGCTCTGCAGAAAAAAGATCGAGAGGTGCGGGATATGCGCTCCGAGGCAGAAGGTGTACGATCAGATCTCCAGCGCGAGAAGGCGCTTACAGGCAGTTTGCAAACGAGCATATCCGAGCTTTCGGCCTCCAACACGACACTGGAAGCGAAAATCAACTCTCTCCGATCCCAAGTCGAGTTTCTCGAATCCGACACCAAGGCACAGTCCGATGCATTCGCCGCCATGGAAGACAGGCTTCAAGATGCTCTGAAGTATGCCGAGGAAGCACGGCAGAAGCTCATGAAGGAGGAAACCGAGCGCCGCGTGCTCTTTAACAAGTACCAGGAGCTCAAGGGCAATATTCGCGTCATGTGCCGAGTTCGACCGCCCCTTGGACACAGCGAGGGTCAGGTAGCGCAGCTCTCCTATCCCGACGACAAGACTTCCGCCGAGATACTGGTTGCCGGGCCTGAAGAAAAGTCCAGTCTTGGAGTTGTTCAGAGGAAAAGCTATCCGTTCGAGTTTGATCGAGTGTTTACGCCTGAGATACAAAACAATGAGATCTTTGACGAAATATCCCAGATGGTACAGAGCGCTCTGGACGGCTACAACGTGTGTATCTTCTGCTACGGTCAAACCGGGTCAGGAAAGACCTATACCATGTCATCTCCCGACGGCATGATTCCACGAGCTACACATATGATATACGACACAGTAACCCAGCTCAAGGAGAAGTCATGGGATTATACCTTGGAGGGTTCCTTTGTTGAGGTTTACAATGAAGAACTAAACGACTTGCTAACACCCAATGAACGCACCGCCGAGGGACGATTGACGAGGAAACTGGAGATCCGACACGACGAAGTCAGGAAGCAGACGACCATCATGGGTTGCAAGTCTGTTCGGCTCAACTCGGCCGATACCGTAGAGCTTATGCTGGAAGAGGCACAGAAGAATCGGTCTGTAGCAGCCACGAAGGCCAATGAGCGATCCTCTCGGTCTCACAGCATTTTCATCTTGAAGCTCATTGGCGAAAACTCAGCAACGGGCGAACGATGCGAGGGAACCCTCAACTTAGTTGACCTAGCCGGATCAGAACGCCTCAAGCATTCGCAAGTCGAAGGCGACAGGATGAAGGAGACGCAGAATATCAACAAGAGCCTGAGTTGCCTGGGAGACGTGATTGAAGCGTTGGGCAGGGGATCAGGCCATATTCCGTATCGAAACTCCAAGCTCACACACCTACTGCAATACAGCCTGGGTGGAAACAGCAAGACACTCATGTTCGTCATGGTATCGCCATTGGAGACTCATCTGAAGGAGACTCTGACCAGCTTGAGATTTGCTACAAAGGTGAGGAACAAAATCTATGATGCTAACAAGTGTAGACTGACTCAGCTAACCCATGCAATAGGTACACAATACCCACATTGGCACAGCAAAAGCGACCAAGAAGATCAAAGGAGATTTATGAGAGTGGAGAACCGCTTAGGTGAGGGAAATTGGTTTCATACAGCGAGGGAGGGTTATGGTGTTTTGGCCTTGACTTGTGGGAGTTTTGCATCTATTTCATGGTTTGGTGGGCGTGATTTCAACGGCTTATGACGGCTTGTGACGAACTGATATCCTCTGGAAGAGTAGATATGTATTAAGGGCATTGGAGTTTTACGGAAAAAGATGGTTGATGAAAATGTGCGTCGCTTTATATAAGCTCTTGCTTGACGTTCAAATGTCGGAATTGAATATGAAGCCCTCGAGAGGCGTCAGTGTCCTCCTCAGCATACCATGTCACCATGTCCATATCGAGACTGATCAGTAACAATTGTCGAGTCGAGGGGCAGCCTCTATGATGCAATCCCGCATTGTTATTGGAGAAAGGTGGAAGCTTGACGTGACAATTGCGTGTTGAATGTGAGAAAGTCGGTATTGTGATGTCATTCAAGCGCCGTGGGTGGAATTGATATTTAAGGTTGCACAAGTCGAAGATGGCTGTTGAGTGAGTCTACTCGGTACAGCTGAAGCATAACATTTACAGAGAGAATCTGATTACTTGAAAAATGCCTACTCTTCGAGAACGCAAGAACCCCAGCTCGGGAACCAAGGTGCGTCTCATTCATAATAGCAACTATCAATTGGCATATGAGTGTTAACAAATGAGGTCAAGGTCCACCCGGGCAAAAATGACCCAGTTCATCGTGAAGCAGCCGGACTCGTTGCACCGGAATCACTCGCCGCGGAATCAGTCGAGCACGGCGGCGAGTTCGCACAGAATCGCAATGTTCAGCAAGAGGGCGTTGAAAGCTCCGGCCTAAAAACCCAGTCCGGTCGCGAAGGCGGTATTAGTAGCGGTGGTAAATCCGCGGGTGTCAGTGGTGGTAAATCTGTAGGTGAGGCGCCGGGCTACGTGGCAGATCAATACATCAAGGATACAAAGGGCCCTCATGGGAAGAACATCAAAGAAGGTGTTGATGAAGGCAAGGCAGGAGAGAAAAATGATGGGCTTCAGAGGGCGTTGAGGTCGGAGCCGGGGAGTGAGGACGATCCGAGCAGGTTGGCGGAAGCGCAGATGTTTCAGAAGGGGAGTTTGGGAGCGAGGGGGGCTGGGCCGAGACAGAGCCATTTGGAGGGGGAGACTATTTATGACAAGTTGGATAGCGAGACTTCATCGTGAGATGGGTTGTGATATGTGCCTGTCTGTATAGTACATGTAGTATCAAATTGAAATCTTGGTATAAGGAGAGAGTACCCGTCCATTACGTGATGCATCTGCTGCGCCCTTATGACTTGCGTATGTTGTCACCGCCCCTATAATATCAACTGCAAAATAGATTTGTCTCTGTACAACGAATAATAATATGGAGCCTTGCATACAGCTCTGTTTTTTAACTTGCTGCCTGCTCCGCGGGTTTCGTGTTAATTCCCGCCACTTCTGGCATGGCATTATCAGAGGCCAAAAGTTGAAACGGGTGGGCTAGGCACCAGCATTTCAACACATGCCGAGCCTTCCATATACAAGGCGGCGCGGGATGCTTTGTCTTCTTCTAGACGGTATATTAGGTAGTAGTGGGCAATAAAATACGCCTGATCTGCTCCGAGCATCGCTGTTTTATGCAGCGCTTCTGGTGATGATGACGAACATTTTGTAAGAAAATGAATGAGGGATGCTACATGAACGGGAAATTGGGCTAATGTGTGTAATGTTCAGATGGCTTCGTCATTTATTCGACCGATTTCATTCCAGAATATTCACTTTTCGGGAGAATCACCATCCTGAAGACGGGTCTTTTTACGGCAAGACATACGAAGACATGCCCGTTATACCGGAGGAGAAGTCATCGCTTCGACCGCCACGACCATCAGACGTTGATTCAGGGAAGCAGAACAGCATATCAGGTCCAAAACAAGAAGAAGAGGCTCGGAGAGATGCGTCCAGAAATACAAATGTGCCGTCTGAGCAGGATGTGGAAGCTGAAGAGATGGAGCATCAGCGATATGGCGAGGCGCAACCGCAGCTTGTGCCGACGGACATGATTGAGACGATGATATCAGCGCAGGGGCGGAAGAAGGAGAGTCCCAACGACGGATGAGATGAGATGAGATGCCACAGGGAAGATTTTGCATTCCGGCGACACCGAGATTGAATCATGGAGGACACAAGCGACAGTTGATATTATGGAGGATGCCGCATGTTTGGAAGGATGATACCAAGAATACTTGTTTAATGTTGATAATATTGTCAAATTTCCAGATTTGGTAGCATAGGTGTAGGGTAGGTAAAGGCAACGGAAAGCAAAGGCAGAAAACTCAGATGCGGTGACGACCCACTAAGGCGAGGGTGACGTCAAGCTGCTTCAAGGTTTTTTTCTAGCATGTGCCAAGGCGAGACTGTACAGTTTGGCAGCAGATTGACTGTGGAATAGACGTTGGACCTGGCTTCGAAAATGGAGAAAAAATACTTAAAATTATGTGGATAACGCTGTATGTTCTAGGTATCGCAGCGTGACAAGCAATTGGCATCAGATCTCAGGTACGGACTCACCGTAATCTAATCGCTGTGTTGGCTCTTACATGTGTATGTACGAGTACTCCGTAGTTTATGCCTTAGCTTGATGCCTGACTGTGGCTCCCCCCTTATCTGCCTCGACGCCAAAATTTTGATACTGGGCCCCACCATTCAAAAAAAAAAAATTCACCCCGCCCATTCGAAGAATTCCAAGGCAGCAAATCAGCCCAGTCGGATTATTCCAGCCCGTAATCCATCACTCGGATTTTCTTCTTCTCTTGCATTCTTCGAAAAAAGTAGTATTCGGCTGTTGTTGAATATTACGCCTGGGAAAAATTGGGACTTGCATTGTTTCTTTATTTCCTTTTCCTTCTTTTTTCTTTTTCTCTCACGACATCACTTCACCCCACCATCTCTTTTCTCTTTTCCTCTCATAAACAAAACTTCTAGACCGTCACAATGCCTCCCTCAAGTTCCAAGGAAAAGAGACTCGCGAAGAAGGCCGAGAAGGCCGCCGCTTCAGGCAAGAAGGGAGCCAAGGGCAAGACTGAGCCCGAACTCGACGTCCATGGAAATCCCATCACGGACTCCGATGGCCCCGCCACCACTGATGACAAGCTGGACGAGGTGAAGCGTCTGGCCGATCAGATGGACCAGCACGGCATTTCCGACCGAGTCACCACCGGTGTGCTGTCGTCCACCCAGCAGAGCAAGGACGTCAAGATCACCAGTACCTCTCTCGTGTTCCATGGCCGAGTCCTCATCACCGATTCTACTCTCGAGCTGTCCTTCGGCCGCCGATATGGTCTCCTCGGTGAGAACGGCTGCGGAAAGTCCACTCTGCTCAAGGCCATCGCCGCTCGCGAATACCCCATCCCCGACCACGTCGACATTTACCTGCTGAACGAGGGTGCTCCCCCCAGCGACCTTGGTGCCCTGGAATGGGTCGTCAAGGAGGCTGAGAACGAAATGGACCGTCTCGACAAGCTGGCCGAGAAGATGCTCGAGGACGAGGGCCCTGAGAGCCCTGTCCTGATTGACCTCTACGACGTATGTTGCCCGCTATTTCCCACCAAAACGTCGTCAAATCGAGTACTAACATTTTCTGGCAGCACATGGACAAGATGGACCCCTCCACATTCGCCACCCGTGCTTCCCTGATTCTGACCGGTCTGGGTTTCAACAAGAAGACCATCCACAAGAAGACCAAGGACATGTCTGGTGGTTGGAGAATGCGTGTTGCCTTGGCCAAGGCTCTGTTCGTCAAGCCTTCGCTGCTCCTGCTCGACGACCCCACTGCTCACTTGGATCTCGAGGCCTGTGTGTGGCTGGAAGAGTACCTCAAGAAGTGGGAGCGAACGCTGGTCTTGGTTTCTCACTCCATGGATTTCCTCAACGGTGTGTGCACCAACATGATTGACATGCGCGAAAAGGCCCTGCAGTACTATGGTGGTAACTACGACTCCTACGCCAAGACTCGCGAGGAGAACGAGACGAACCAGATGAAGGCCTACACCAAGCAGCAGGAAGAAATTGCCCACATCAAGAAGTTCATTGCCAGTGCCGGTACCTACGCCAACTTGGTCCGACAGGCCAAGTCCCGCCAGAAGATTCTGGACAAGATGGAGGCCGATGGCTTCATCCAGCCCGTCGTTGCCGACAGGGTCTTCACCTTCCGTTTCGCCGACGTTGAGAAGCTCCCCCCTCCCGTCCTGTCCTTTGACAACGTCACCTTCTCCTACTCTGGCAACCCCGAGGACGACCTGTACCGCAACATTGACCTCGGTTTCGACATGGACTCCCGAACTGCCCTGGTCGGCCCCAACGGTGTTGGCAAGTCAACGCTGCTGCGTCTGATGACTGGCAAGCTCTCCCCAACTGGCGGATCCGTCACCCGTCACACTCACTTGAAGCTTGGTCTGTACTCTCAGCACAGTGCTGAGCAGCTTGACCTGACCAAGTCTGCCCTGGACTTTGTCCGTGACAAGTACAAGGAGAAGTCCCAGGACTACCAGTACTGGCGTCAGCAGCTCGGCCGCTACGGTCTCACTGGTGACTCCCAGACCGCCCTGATGGGTACGCTGTCCGAGGGTCAGAAGAGCCGTATCGTCTTTGCCCTGCTGGCCATTGACGGCCCCAACATGCTGCTGCTTGACGAGCCTACCAACGGTCTTGATATCCCCACCATCGACAGTCTGGCTGATGCCATCAACGCCTTTAGCGGTGGTGTGATTGTTGTGTCCCACGACTTCAGGTAAGATTTTTCTCAAATCATCACTATATTTTAAGCTAATACTAACAACCTTTTCTCTACAGATTGCTGGACAAGATTGCCAAGCAGATCCTGGTGTGCGAGAACCAGACCATCCGATCATGGGACGGCACCATTGGCGAGTACAAGAACTACCTTCGCAAGAAGATGATCACGGCCGGTGCTGTGTAAACGGAGCGAATGCATGAGACGCAAAAATTTAAAAGTGCATATTGAAATGGCAATTGAAATTCTTATAGAACGGATGATGAATGACAGGGAATTGGACGGCGGCTACATGGGATAGGATGTCCACACGCGGCAAAAAATGGCCATCAGGGAAGATGGCGCGTTAAAGAAGAAAAGCACAAGCCGCGCAGAGAGTGCGCATGAGCACGGCCGCGATACCCTAGAGATGCGGGATGCATGCATTCATGATCGATGTTTTTTTGTTTTCAATTTTACGGGATAGACTTGGTAGTATCATTTGAGATTTCTTCTTGGGGTTAGTTACTACTAGGTTTGAATGATATGGGAGGGCATTAGACAGAATGAAATGAAGCCAGGATCTTGTCAATACTTGATGGGTTTGGATATGAGTTGTCCTGTTTGCAACATTATGTGTAGGTAGTTTGGTGAGATCACAATGATGTTGATTTAAATCGGCGGGTGACTCATGCCGGCGAGGGAATAAGATCCGTCAAATTATGTGAAAATACTAGTTCTTTGGCGGAGTAAACGCCCTTTAAGTGACACGGGGGGGCTTTATGTCGAAGTCTATGGTGGCTGGGTTAAAAAATCTCCATCTCCATTTTCATTCCAGTACCATTTTAGGTTGAAAGAACAAAAAAACGAGCCTACAGAGCAAGCACTGTCGAAACAAACACAAGCCGAATACATTGAAAGTTGGCGATGGCCTCGGTTACGATACGGCCCGCATCACCGGCCGATGCCCCCGCCATCGCCGCCGTGCATTACCGCGCGCAGGAGAAATACCACGGCTTCTACGGGGCGTTTTTCGTGCGCAGCCCGCGCGACATATTGATTCAGGCGACGGCGAGGGCAATACAGAAGCCGGAGAATGTGTATTTGGTTGCTGTGGATGAGGAGTCGAACAAAGTGGTTGGGTTTGTGCGATATGTTGTGGAGGAAGAGAAGAAGCAGGCGGAGGAGAAACAAGAAGAGCCTGCTGTTGTGAGTGAGGAAGCTGGGCCGTCGCTTCTTGGTGTCAAGGAGCATTTGAAGGGGTTGTGGGAGGAGTTTAATGAGAAGCAGGTTGCGATGGATGGGTGTTATGAGAAGGCTGCTGATGGGAAGAGACATATCTGTAAGGCTTTTCTTCTTCTTCTTTTGAGAGTGGATGAACTGACGATGTGGCCAAAGATGTAAATCACTTGATGATTGACCCTGATTACCAACGCAAAGGCATCGGAGGAAAGTTACTCGGCGCCGTGTTAGCGAGGAGCGACGAGGAGAAGGTGCCGACGTTTTTGATGTCGTCTGCGGAGTCGCGCGGGTTGTATGGCAAGATGGGGTTCGAGATTCTGGGGACGTGGAGGGTTGATAATGGGGATTGGGCGGGAAGGGTGGTGGATGTGGAGAGGGGATTGGGGATTGTTGGGAGGGAAGGGCTGGAGGAGGAGTTTCGGGGGGTTGGGGAGGTTGAGGATGTTATGGTGAGGAGGGTGAGGTGAGTGATGGCGATGGTGATCTTCAGGTTGGAGTTGAGGTTGGGAGGTTGGGGGATGTGCATGTACATAGAAAGATGCTGTGTATAAGTTTGTATCAAGCATTCTACAACGTGCTATTAGAAAAGCACTCGTAATCTGTATAAGAGGCGTTGTGAATGGCCTTTGCGGCTCGCTTGATGGGATGGAGAGCGGGTACGGGTATCTGCATCAAGGGTCTACTCTAGTGCTGAGATGCAGACGGGGATGATGAACTTCGCGCTGGATGATTTACATTAGAGTTGATAGACATGAATCTGGGCATCTAGCACCTGTAATACCCACCAACTACTACTAATCCATCTTATAGAGTCTATGTGTCTTATGCAATGGTCAAGATATCTAGATGCTCATGGAATCGTTTTGGACCAAAGGCATCACTCATTGCTGCCCAACCTGATCAACTGATATTTATCCTACCCTACATCCAACGGGCCCTAAATGACGGTCCGTTTTTTAGCGCACGTGCTGGTGCCCCAACCCCCAGCCAAGCTCCCTTCTGCAAGTATCAGGTACCGCGCCGCACGCCTGGAATACGCGCAAAGCACAGGTCCGGGCTACCCCACCGCTTTCACCGCCTGGGATTCGCCGGGCATCATCACAAGCACTCCAACGTCCTTGTCCCTTGTCCGCCCAGTCCTGTCTTGTCCTGTGCTGTCGCCAATCCACCTTTGAACCTCCCCGCCTCTGCCCGGACCCCCGCGCCTCAGACGAGCTGCGAGTGCGAGGCATTTGCATTTGCTCCGATCTTTGCAGTCGACACAGCGTCGAGCCAGACATGACTCGGCCAGAGCCATGGATTTCGTGAGCAGCCCTTCATGAACAATAAGGGGGAGAGATGATCCCCTCAGGACGCTGAGCCTGAGCGGGAAAAAGAAAAAAAAGAGAAAACGTGCGTGGGATCCGAGTCTAACGCATCCTTGTCTGTGCAGTGGTCGCGCTTGTTAAGCCCCCTCTCCTCCGGGAGCTCTCGTCAGGACCAGGCAAAGGACCCTGCCAAGCGTCTTCATCGCTTCGAGAAGGAATATGCCGGCTTGTTGGTGAGTTTGTCCTCCCCTTTTGCTCTCTTCTGGTGCTTTATAGTCTGTCGTGGCCATCTTGCGCTGTCGTGTGTGCTAACAGCAATAATCTTGCCCTCCTCTTAGTCCATCTGGCGTAAATCTACGAACCTGTCCCAAGACATCGACGCCGCCGAAACCGTCGAGATCAGGCTTCAAGAGCTGACCAACATCCTCAGCGACGAGAGCCGACGCCCGCTGCCCCATCCCTGCATCCAGTATGCCTCGATCAAGCAGATATACGTGCCCATCGGCAAGATTGCCACCTCGTCCTACAATGAGTGGATCATAAAGGAGGCCGTCCTCTTCTTTGCAACGCTCATCGAGAGCGAGGAGGAGGCTTTTGTTGAAAACCACACCTTTTCCGCCAGCTTGACAAACCTGCTGGTGCGCATTACAGGTGTCAACAGCGCTCGTCTCGGGCTGGATACCGAGTCACGCGTCGTGGAGCTAGCTTTCAACATCACCACCAAGATCCGCCTGGACCCCGAGATCCTTCCTGCTTGGTTTAAGACGCAGCAGGATGTCAACCGTCCGAGTGACAGGGCCGCGAGTGTCCGGGACAAGTTCGCTGGCCGAACTAAGAGGGCTGACTTTCCACTCTTTTACATCCTGATGGACTACATTCACCACGAGGGCAAGGTGGGCGACTTTGCGCGCACAGGTCTTTTATACATCATCGAGGCTGCGTCGAGCTCCGAGTCCCTGGAGCAATGGATTGTCGAGAGTGATTTGTCTACTCTCATGGCCACCGGGTTGGGAGCTTTATACAGTCAGCTAAGTCGGAAACTCGTCATCGATCACCTGCCGAACAACCTGCCGCCTATCCTCGCCCTCTCCGACTATCAACATCCTACATCCAACTACGAAATTGTGAGCTCTTGCTCTAGCGAGTTTCAGTCCCACCTCGAGACCTTTTTGTCCCACCTTTTGTTTTGGCAGGACGTCTTGAATCATTGCAAATCAGTCGAAGTCAAGTCGACACTGCTGGAGCACTTTCAGGTTATTTTCTTACAGCAGCTTCTGTAAGTCTTAATGCTGCCCCTGATGTTTGCGCAATGCAGAGATTCATGCGCTAATGACCAACCATTCTAGATACCCATCATTGCTTGAGTCGTCCGATATAGACGGAGGCTCGTCTGTGGCAGTTTTGACCTACCTCCGCCGCATCATTGAATCCCTGGATCACCCCGACATGATCAACCTCATTCTTCACTACCTTTTAGCCTTGCCCGAAACTGTTCCCTCGCAAGGCCCTCCCTCAGGGACTGCCATAAGCGCTGCTCGCCAGCGAAAATCCATGGATCTCGCTACCATGATGGCGGAAAAGCCCGACACAACTGCGACTCCACTCCTTTTCAACCTGGTGGATCTTATTCTTGCCTGTCTCCGATCGCGCAACCAGCAGACCATCTACGTGACTCTTCAGCTGGTATCAGCCATTGTTAAAAGGCACCATCGATATGCAGTCCTCACCCTCCTCCGAACCGACATGTTTCCCAAAAACAATATCAATCGAACTGTGGGTGCTCACGAGCAAGAAATTGAGTACTTGATGGCCCTGGCAGAGAGCGTTGGCGGCCGAGACGACTTTAACGAGACGTACGAGAGCATCTTGAAAGACACAATGGCTCGGCTTGAGAGTCACCCGTGCTCTCTTAGACTTGTCGCCCCTAGGCTGTCACAGCACAACCACAAACTGCCTACCATTCCAGACAGTCTTCCAGGCGCACCTAAAGACGTACGGGAGCACACTCTTCGTCATGACGATCTTTTACTCAACTCTATTCTTGACTTGATGGAGAACTTTTTCATGAATCCGGTGGAGACGAATCTGTCAGTCACTGATACTATCGTGGACATGGCGATATGCGGCTACATGAGCATCGAAGGGTGGCTAGCTCGGAGCCCCGGCAGCTACGTCTATGTCGAGGACGAGCGGCAGTCAAAGTCTGATGAAAAGAAGGAAACCAAATCACAGCAGGATGCAGAGGGCGATGAAGAGACACAAACAGAAACGGGAGCAGATGCCGAGACCGAGATTGGTGATCGGTCGCTGGCCGACGAGCTCGGATCGCAAGACGATGCTTACTCGGTTGGCGGCTTCTCTACATTCTCAGACGACACAGAGGCGGATCGTCTGGACTCGATGGAAAAGTGCAGGCGTCGGCCAAAGTGGACTCAGGACTCTCTTCCTAGAATCCTCATCGTGCTCAAGCGTCTCTGCGACCAAGTGGAGGCGTTCAAGCAGACGGTGCCCCGGTTTGACGAGCTTCTCCAGCAGCGCCGGGAAGCCTTCCAGACTGCGGATTCAATCCTGGATAACCCCCCGCCCCCTCCTGTTCTGAGGACCCCGCCGCCACGACCTAGCTCCAGCCTTGACGAAGTTATCCGGTCTGTATCTCCATCGCGTCCAACTGGACTCGAGGGTTTCGCCCAACGGCTGCTTTCTGAGCTCGGAACGCCAAGCCGCTCTGTGACCCCTAGAGGACGCAAGAATAGTACTCGAACATCCGGTGCTTCTACACCCTTTAACGTGTCGGACCTGCTCTCTCCTAGCCCCATGCCAAACACCTCCAAGCCACTGCCTGACCCCAACAGGATTGCTCTTAGCCGGAGCCTATCCCCTTCAAGTGCTCAGAGCGAAGCTGGTGGGCACCAACACCGAGGCAGTCGGCAGGGTTCAATAGTCGTCCAGCCGGCGGATTTCGCTGCCGTGGACCAAAGCATCCTGGCCCGGATGGTAACCTTGCCAGGCGATCATGTCAAGCCGATACAGTTGGACTTGGAAGGGAAACCAACTCCCGATGTTCCCGAGTCTTTAGTCTCGGGAGACGAGTTGTCTAGCTTGGACGGATATGACAGCAGTGCGGACCGAAGCGAGGTTGCCACTGAGCCAACCGTGGTGACGGAAACGACTGACAACGCCGAGCCAACAAGCCCGACGAATGAGAACATGGTGTCGGTATCGCATGTTATTACCAATGTGCTCATCTACCAAGGGTTCCTGCTGGAGCTGGCTAGTTTGATGCAAGTTCGCGCCGGGTTGTTCAACGAGGTGCGCTTTGTTTGATGATGCTGAATAATGAAATGCCACTTGCTCTATGATAGAATATTTTTCCCTCCTTCGGAGATTAAAAAGAAGTTTCCACGGGAATTTACTCGGGGCAGCGTGACTGTCCACGGTGCCATGTTGTTTATGTGTGTGTGTGTGGGTTTGTGGGTGTTGTTGTAGTAGGAGCATTGTGCGTACTGTATACCTGAGCTGCCATGCACCGGAAGAAGGATGCATCTTATCGAGGGGTGGGAAGCTGAAAGAGTGCTTTTTTCCCTTGCCTTTTTCCTTGATTTGTTCGTCCTATTGTTGCTTGATCCCTCATACCCTGACCACACACCCCCTGGTCACTTTATGGATGGGCATAAGGAAGCGGAGTTGGCAATTCAGCCGACGGGTTTATTGCAGATGAGTTTACGACATACCTTTTTGCATGTATGTTATGTATGCGTGTATGGACTATGTAGGCAAGTAGGAGAGTAGATGCCGTATGCCGGCTTGGCTTGGTTGTCAAAAGGCCCATGGAAAACAGACTGACAGGCATTTCTTGTTCATGAGTTTGCTGGTTGCACTGTGTGAGTTTGATGTGATGTGTCGGGATGGATGGCCTGCAGATGAAGTGCATAGCTGAGTCCGATTAGCGACGGATGGTTCCGTGCTGAGTGAGGCTGTAGGTGAAGCGGATGGAGTGTTCCGGTGGACGAGTTTCCGGGGCCGGAAGACGGATGTGTTTGTAAGACGGATGGGACCCGGAGGTTGAGCTGGAGGAGGCGGTTCCGGGATTTGAGGACGGGGACGGAGCATGGGCGGATTAATTTGTCGATTGGGGATGGGGATTTTGCGTTTACGGGTTTATTCTTTACTATATATAAGCTTATGTGGACGCTTATGTTGGATGGTTCCTTGCTTTACTCTGTACTCTTATGGGAGTTGTGTTTTACCTTAACGGGCGTTTCGAGGTTATTTCGGTCTTTCCCCTGCTCACTTCGATGAGTTGTATCTATGACATGACCTAGCTTCTTCTCTTTCTGGGCTTCGTTATCGACGACACGGCTGCCTTTGCTCACAGGATGCCAGAAATACTTGCTAATAGAGATTGCTTCACCAAGAAGTGTTGACAATGGCCTTTACTAAGCGAAATCCTCTCCATCTACGAATTCTGCAGCAGCACTACCGTTGAGGACGACCTTTGTCACTGAGACTGAGACTGGACTGCATCGCGCTATCGTTTCCCCTCCGCTTGGTATACCGGCTATTTACGATTACCCTCGCGGCAAACATCATGGTCGGCTGGCAAAATAAATGGTTGGGTGTGAATAGGTTGGAAAGAGCTTTTGATGGTTAAGCTATTCAAGCCGAAAGCGGATCATGTTATACATGAGATGTCGGAGGGAGCGATTTGTTTAGCACCATGGCTGACATGAGGCTTGTCTGTCCTGTGCATCACGAATATAACGATACACTGTACGTAAGCGTCACAGACACCTTCGAGCATCGATCACACTGGCCCCCTAAGTTACAATAAAAGGGAGCTCTGGCGCCAACACGGAGCCAAATGCCCTTTATTTTTGAATTTGGATTCAGAAGAGGGAGATGTTGCTCCGTCTTTTGTCAGTGTGTCTCAAATAGTTCATCGCCCTGCTCACAGGCCGCCCAAAGCTCTCGGAACACACCCGCCACTGCATGTATGTTTGCTTCCATCCCTAGGGGGTAAGGTACCCGTGCACACGCATCCCTCCCTGTCGCTATAAAAAGAGACAAGCAACAAAGATCCCAAGAAACAAGGTTGAGGCTAAGACAGATGGACGGGCGGTTGAAACATGCGTGGGTGAGACGAGACAAGACACGCCAAAAATTGAGACAAGACAAGACGCTTCGATGTAAGACATTGGAAGGATGACGGGCATCACGGGTTAAGGGATTGAATTGATCGGCGAGAGAGGGATTGGAGCGATGCTACTTTGGATGGGTAAGCTTAATTGGGTGGTTGACAGGGCTTAATGTGGCCTGTTTGTGTTGTGTTGTGTTGTGTTGCTGGGTAAGTACAGGTGTTATTACCGGTAACTGTCATCACTGCAACTTGTCGAGATGATCATCAACTTAGTAAGTCATGTCAGTACTGAGACTTGCAACTTGCAGCAGACCATCATAGGTAATCACCAGCAAGTATTAGCATTGAACCCTGAACGATTTGCTGTTTAAGCTCGTCTGATGGCGCATCGAATACGGGGTTTAGCGTGGGCCGAAGCCTCGTCACGCTCTTCTCACATGCTGCCGCTGCAGCGCACCTCTAACTGCAACAGGCAGTCGCCGAACCTCTTCGTAATTCATTGCATTGATTGATCCTTCGCCATCGTCAAACCAACCGCCTGTGGCAAATCGGTGAATCCATGCGGATTGTCACTCGTTGAGTCGCATCGCAGCGGCTATTCTCAGTTTATACTGACTCTACAGTAGACACACAGAACCAGAAAAAGAAAAAAAAAGAAATGGGACGCGCCACCTGCTGCACTCCGGAAAATTTGCAAAGCTCCAGCTCGCCTTTTTTCGTTCCTGGGCGATATCTAGCCGCTCCATTAGCCGGCAAATCAAACTGGGCTGGCAATTTTACCAGCATCATGGCGCTCTTCAGCTATTGGGCACGTCAGCTTATGGTGCGGCGCAGCAGCCAATCACGGCGGCCCGAGTGGCCTCGTTCAAAGGGTTCCAGACGCCGGGCCATGAAGCTGTTTAAGAACGACTAGACGATGGCGGATCCACTGCCTTGCCTGGGGGGTGGGAAGAAACCAGAATCCAGAGTCCAGAGAGGAAGGCCGAGAGGACAAAAGGCTTAAATACAGAGTTATGTTTTAGCCAAATTGTCGGATGGCCATCGATATTGCAACCCATCCTATACAGTTCGAAGAGGAGGGGACCCTACGAGGATTGTCGACGTTGGACCTCGATGGATTTCTCCCAACAACAGCCTAAGCAAGCTCAGCCCGTGCCCGTATCGTATTTGAGACAAACGTCAAAAAGGCACAGCCCGGCTCCATCTGTGCCTGTGCTGGCGCAGCGCTAGCACGATGCTCTAAGATAGCTTAATCTCACGTATTTGTTCCCTACAGGACAAGGAGGAGGCTCAAAGGAGTATGTAAGGCCGTCGTATTGGCTCCGTCGTGTCTTCCTAGCTCCAGCCGGGGGTTGGTTCGCTTTCTTCTTTATGCGCCGTAATTTCTCTTTCTCTCTTTCGCGCTCTTTGTCCTCGTCGTCGTCGTCACCATCGTGAGCGGTTTTCGCTCTTTGTTCTTGTCGTCGCGTGATCGTGAATCACACTTGTGAGAGAGACAAAGAACAGCGACCCCCAACTTTCAGTTCAGCAGCAATATGCTTCTCCACGAAAAGCAAGACTCCTTCTCGCCGCTGAGGCAGATCCTGGGCCATGTCTCGCAGCGCCGCTACCGAAACTACGCCGCCGTCGGCATCGCCCTGGTGCTGCTCTCCATGGTCTGGCTGAGCGGCAGCCTGACGCTTCACTCGAGCAGGCAAAAGTTCCACGACGACTACGTTAGCAACCGCGTGCCCGAATGGACCAGCAGGGTCAGCAAGTCCAACGATAGCCACCTGATTCCCGCCAATATCTGGCAGATCGTCTTGCCCAAGACTCAGCCGTTTATGGGCGATCCGAATCACGTTCATATAGACGCCAGACAGCTTGAATTTACCGCTTCTTGGCTAGCCACAAACCCAGACTGGCAATAGTACGTCTATCAGGTGGTCCTATCTTCCTTAAATCTTCTATTTACTAATCTATACTGTTTAATCCCTGCAGCACTCTGGTTGGCCAGAAGGGTGGTAACGAGTTCGTCGAGAGCCACTTCAAAACCAACCCCAAGATCATCGAGACCTACCACAACATCAGCAACGTGGGCCAAAAGTCGGATTTCCTGCGATACCTTCTCCTCAGCGTCTACGGCGGCGTCTACACAGACACTGACACCGTCGCCCTCAAGCCCATCGACGTCTGGGTCCCGAAAGCCTTCCGGGATAAAGCCCGCCTTGTAGTGGGGATTGAGTTCGATCGCCGTGACGGCGGCCCGTGGGCCGACATCCCCCACTGGCTCCAGTTCTGCCAGTGGACCATTGCTGCTGCTCCCGGCCATCCTGTCTTTACTAGGATGGTGAACCGTGTGCTGAAGTCTCTTGACGACTTGTCGGATCTTCACGGGGTGCCTATTAGCCAGCTCCAGCCCGAGAGCTTCGAGGTCATGAACTCGACGGGTCCGGCGGCCTGGACCGACATGGTCTTTGAGCAGTTGCAAGTGTATAACCCTCTTCTCAACGATACACAGGATCTGTCTTTTATGGAAGAGCCCACCCTCATCGGCGACATTTTGATCCTGCCCATTGACGGCTTCGGCATGGGCCAGGATCACTCAAAAAGCACAAACGACGGAAGCATTCCCCCGACGGCCATGATGAGACATATGTTCCAGGGATCATGGAGAGGAGACTAAATGTGCTGGGATGTGTTCCTTTTGTATGAATAATGGGATTGTACTTTTTTTTTTATGAGGAAGCGTTTTTGGCTATGGACATGATATACGTTACAAAGCATCTTGTGTCGAACGGGCTTTGTTTATGAGTTTTGGCACTTTTGGGTTATACGGCCTCTGGGGCGATTTTGTATTGCCTTTTTTTATGTATATAGTAGGGATATACCAGAATCTGTTATTTTGATGAATGTTTGCGTTTTGATGGTTTGAATTGTTGTGTTTGGGTTGGGTGTTGCTTGTCTTGGTGTAGCGGATTGTGTAAGTTACATGTATGATAGGGATTGAGAAGAGTCTGAGAGAAGAGGGGGGAGATGTCTTATAGATGTGTATTATTCAGAGTCACTTACACGATAGACGCCAAGATGCGCGTTTCTGTCATCAAGGTCGCCAGTTTCTTTGCATCGATGTCTCTCAGAACTCAAGATGCATCAGAGTTAATATTCACCTATATACTGAGCAATTAGAGTTCATTGTTGATTATATGAGTTGTGAGAGACAAAGGAGAGAAGATTCTTTCTAGGGTATGCCAAAAGAGCTCTGGATCTCACCAGTGTAAGAGTGGAGTCTCGTGAAATATCCCGGCTATTTCTTACTTTACTCTTTTTTTCCACTAGGCGTCCTCGAGTCTTCGATCCGGTTGCTATTTACCGGCAAAAGAGAAAAGTGAAGTACAAATTTATGATTGTCTAAAAGGCAATTTTTGTTGTGATTGGTCACTAGCTATATGAAGCATATGAGGTGTGATACCACGATAAAGGGGGAACATGGTCTCATCGGCTATTGAACACAAGTCAATTTCCACAAAGAAATCATTCTTCTTGTCTAGAGTTATAGAAAAGTCCGTGTTTGGCAAACGATGTCCTGTATACGATACATCAACCGAAACCTCCTTTTGTTCATTCACAGTGCTTCAAGGCAATTATGTAACAATCCACAACATTAGTCACAAAAGGATAATTGCTAGATCCCTTAGTTTGACCCGGCAAAAACTATATAAAGGAAGCCTTTATCCCCCCCTTCTTTCAAGAAATTGGCGAGCAACAAATCCTTCAGTTACATCTGGCTGCTCTCCTTATTTTACAGAGTAGTTGCTCAATCTCTCAGCCTTTCATTATCTCTCTCTATAAAAGCTCTCCTCTACTAATAGAAGAACTGGCAGATGAGCACCGTCACATGCCCTCCATGAGCTTTCCGGCGAGCATTTAATAGCACAGATGATGTTTCCAAGTCAGGTTATTTATGAAGGGTATTGGACCAACTTTATATCACCCATAACTGTTACAGTTCTGCAAATAGAAGACACGGAAGCCGCTGGTAATCCCAAAATTGTAGGCTATCATGTAAAATTTCCATCTCCTTTGATTAAAGATTCATCATCTAGCAGACACCTCATCTTACAAAGTAGCTCTGACTCCCAAAATTCAACCACACTCAAATGGTCCAATTGTTCCCCTCGTGCCCATCGTACATCTTTCACATTAATTTCTAGTAGACATACCCCTAAATACCCAGACCCTGAAGAAACCAAATCACGTCATGAAGCACAAAAACCTACCTCGGCTTACAGCCCGAAACCACGGACGAAACCCATCCAAAGCTTACCGAGAAGCCATGTCAGACTCATCCATCCTACGAACAACCCCAAAATATCCTCCTAGACTCACTCCTCTGTCTTTCCTGGTAAAGCTCAATGACTCGTAATGTGTTGCAACGTTAGAGACACCCAACTGCCCCCAAAACACTAATCAAAACCACGGTAATCTGGCAATCTCGGTTTTTTCTACGCTCTCAGCATGCTTCAAGAGTGATCCAAGGGGGTCATTCTCGGTGAATCTGCAAGGATTTGATCTTGTGACCTCTTAATCCCCTGAATTCGTATTTCGCGAGAACCGGACGTACTATTCTTGTGGCTGATCGCAGGTATACAGCACCGTAAAATCACCATTACGCAGGTATTTGGCCGAGAATGCTGAAAATATTGCATTCCGTGGATTCATTTTCAAAAGTTCGACCGTGATACCCACAAGAAGCACTCTTCGCCGGATAGACTCCCGGCACAGGGCTCCGTGACATTCACATCGGCCTATTTACGGGGTCCCAAGCTGCAAGACGCCGTTGTTTTCGTTTCATTCGACAGCATCCGGTACTTGCCGCCGGACAATGCATGAATATCGACATCGAGTGAGGCCTCAATTCTGGTCATCTGCCACTGCGCATCTTCCCTTGAGCCGCCGGGCCGAAGTCAGTTGAACCCGCGGCACCAGGAATCCAGATAACAAACTCCACTACGCGATAAACTCACCGGCGTTCCCCCACGAAGTACATCCCAATGAGTATCTCCCTGTATCCAAACATGGCAGCAATGTTACGAGATAACTGGTAGGCTTCTCGGGCCGACCCCATACGCCCGCAATTTTCGATCAATGCAACCGAGAAGCGCCCGAAGGCAGCAAAGATAGATTCAGACGTCGTATTCATCGCCTTTTACCAGCATTCCGACAAGAGACGTCGTGTATCATTCATTCTTCAAGGCAAACATCGAATTCTCCCAACCCCCACGGAGAGAATTGAGGGCTGAAGCTGGTGTTGGCGAGTGTGGAGCTCCCTCTTGACCGGCGACACGAAATTTGGTACCGAATAAGGCCGTGGTGACGAGCCAGTGCTTTGTGAATGTTGCATTGTTGGTAATCTGACATGTGCCTCGCGCAGCCGACTCGGCGTATCTTTGCTCGGCGAGATAGCTTGCTGTGGAGAGCTCCAGATTATGCCATATTAATTCTGGCGAGGCTGGCGAGATGAGATTGAGAACAGCCCGAGATGCAAATCTATCCACGACTGTTGTTTTGACATCACAATTGTAAAATTATAGTAGGGCACGCAAGAGCCCAGATGTGACATGGATGTCTTCGAGATCGGGGTTTCCAAGGCGACGTGCAGCATCACTAGCAGTTGTCAGCTAATGCTTGACCGGGTACAAGGCGCTAGCAAATCAAAACTGCTTCAAGCAAACCGAAAATTGGGTGAAACTCGGCATCGGCAAGTCTCGGATTAGACAATGGGAATCTACTATTGTTTCCCACGTGCTGTAGTATTTTCTTGTTCCCCCTTTTGCCTCCGGAATGTATTTCAGGATACGCGTACGCGCCAACGTACCTGAGGAGAGTACGTGTATAAGTGAGGAGAGGAAGAAACAGAACAAGTTAAATCACTGCAAATCCACAATGGCCACATGGCAGCCAAGAGTGGGCTTGAGCTGGAGCATTAGCATTCATGGTGTTAGTCGGGACAGGGCAGGGCCGATTGTGGTGCCAATCCTTCGCCGTCCAGCCGACTTGGCCGTGGAGCCTGTGGCGTTATTCACCGAGAGCAGGGCCCCTTTTACGTAGAGCATGAGCAAAACACCGAGTAGGAGGCCGGTCAAGCTTCAGAACCCGGTGCCGGCCATGGAAGCGCCGTGCCGAAGATCAGCGGCTTTTCGTATCGTGCTTGCGGCGTCACTCTAGCGGTATGGATGGTTGACTGCAGCAGCCCAAGCAGCCAAGCTACTGTAGGGCATCGCCTGCGCTACTCGATCCGGCCAGGTCAGCCAACGTTTCGTGCCGTGGGTTGCCGCTCGCAAAGATTCCCAATCAGGATGTGAACGGGACTGGTGGCTTGTGTGGCGCCTTATACCTCCGAGACGAACTTACCCGCGTTGCAGCCATTGTTTCTTGGGCATCGAAAACGACGGCATGTGAAACTGAATTTGGGATTGGCGATCCGACAAGATCTGGGAACTGTATTGCTGAGATCTTTGAGGTAACAACGGGCGGGGAAACGAGATGTCCATGCTGCAAGATCTGTTGCTGTCACGAATACTGTGTACAGTACCGTAGATGGGTGTTGATGTAAAGAAATCTGTTGGTTCCGTCTAGCGTAGGCATCCCTTCGGTCCCCATGGTACGATACATGTATGCCCAAGCCAACGCTCCATGGCTTCTTGATCAGCGGAGACGGCATGAAGGGACAGGTCACAAGATGGGGACCAATTGGCCGTGTTTCCAATCACGGGTTGATTTGGCCACGCGGTTTTAAGGCTCGGATGCAAGCTTAAGGGCGCGATACAACGTTGTACGGTACAAACAAGCCTTTTCTGCATTTCTCAAAGTCAAGCTCAAGCCGTCTGTCGATGTGAAGCACCAGCAGCTAAGCAGAGCATGCATTGACACACCAAAGTCGGGGTTTTTGGTGAGCAAATGAAATTTTCTTTGGTTTTCCGTCTGTCCGCTGCTGAGTAAACAATTGTTACTCTGCCATTCCCACGGTTATGCTGTCAGCCTCGTGTGGAGAGGCAGACGGAAACAGCCTCGGAAAACCACACTCGTTCCGAGAAGACAGAAGAAACAGAGACAAAAGCAGCAGTGGAGATGCCCGTGGAATTGTGATCCGCTCCAATGGAAATGGGCCGGGGAGCCAGGATGCGGTTAGCCCTTGCTTTCGTGTCCGTGGAAAGCTTTGGAGCTAAAAAAGCCGCTGCTGTTTGATGATCATTTCAGCAAGAATAATCAGAATTGGGCTGCGGCGGCTGTCGCCCACAAGGGTAAACCGACGGCCATTTCAAGCATTGGACAGGCATACAAGCACTGTGCATGAATTCGGGACTGCGAGAGGTCCAGCGGCAGGGCCCTGGTATGGCTCGCTAGGGGCGTGTGCAGCTCTCTAAGGATTAAAGCCCGCGGAGGTATAACTCTATAGAGAAACAATAAAGCTGTGAGGGGCCCTATTGGCTGATCGGAAACTTGCTGATGCCCGTGCAGATGGAGGCATTTAGGCGAGGTGAGGCGCGAGGGATTCAGTTCAGAGCCGTCGGCTGGTGACATTCTCACGAATCGACTCTAAAGTTTTTGACAGGTAGGGGGCTGGCGTTAGGACGACGTCATAAAATCCGAAGCGCGAAGAAAAGCATTAGATTAGTTGAAGTTGGCTGCTCAGCCATATATCATGTGATGGATTGGGGTCCAAGAAGACGTGCAGAGAAGCAGTCTCGTTGTTGGCGTTGGTTGTCGACAATCAACGTTGGAGCGATACGATTCAGCAGCCCAAAAGGACATGCCTAGACTTGGGGAAGATGGAGAGCTTGGGCCGCTGCTGGCACCGTGTCGAACGAACTGTATGTGAAGGATCCATGCCATGTGCGAGGTCTCCATCCCTCAGATTGACGGGGTTGTTGCTTACCCATACTGTACAATCTTGTGTTGCATCGGACCATCGCAGTGGAGAAGAGGAGCTGAGTTGGAGTCGAGGGGAAGCAGGGACTGCTGCTCTGTTCCCCTGATGACTGGCGTGAATAATCACAAAGACAAGAGTCAGAAAAACAAAACGAGACAAGACACCGGGAGCGGATCGGCAAGCTGGAGCCAGGCCAGGCAAGGCCAGGCCATGCGGAGCGGAGAGCGGGCGGCGTCGAATCAGCCAACGCGGAGGTGGACTGGGGATGGTGGTGTGACGAAGCAACGGTCGAGAGTGAGAGTGAGAGTCTGTACGGAGTACTCGTACGTGATACAGGATCAGAAGTGGGCACTCGGTCCATGTCCGGCCGAGTGACTGGCAAATGAACGAGGCCTGGCGAGAGAAGAGACAAGATTCAATCCAATGCCTGGGCTTGGTCATGTGCGGGTGCAGCTTTTCGTGCGATACCGTGCGAGGCTGCCACGTGAAACACTGTGGGCAGAGCGTATTCTGCAAGAGCAAAAGCCGATCACTGCCGTTCTGAGTCGGTGATGGACAGCGAGGTCCAGGTTCGCCGTATTTGCTGCGGGGCAGCCTGGAGGTTGAGTTATTGTGACGAGTAAATCCGAATCTACAATGGATGGATGCAAGTTGCGGGTTCCTGTTTTTTTTTTCTGGGGTTTCACCAGCCACCATGGAGTGGCCCTAATTTCACCAACTTCATCAACTAAGGTACTGGAGTATTAACAGCATAGAACACAGCTTACCGCTTAATATCGCCTCGCTCGCCTTATTACGCATTCATCGATAGCTGCTAGTAAGTAATACCGAACGACTGCCGCTCCCTTGTGCATTGCCGTGCCAAAGCCGGCGGAAGATAATTTCAAGCCAGGCGACGTCATTTGGCCAAAGCCGGGGAAGTGGAGAGCCACAGGCGCCTCTTCAGTGGCGCCGAGGCCTAAAAGCCCTGGCCGGCGAGCCACTGGAGCACTGGGTGTCGGGAGCTAGCACACAAGCGGACAAGGGCGCCTCCGCTAGCATGAACCTCCATCTTTCGACATACGAGGCCGGCGTGTAGCATCTGCTTTCAATGTGACGGTCGTGCTGCTGTGGGCGTGTGTCGTTTGATGTAAATGCTAGATGCAGCTCAGTTTAGTCTAGTACCACTACCCGTAGAGAGTTACTCGTACTCTGTAGTAGCGGTAAGTAAGAGGAAGGAATGTGAATCGGACTCATCGTGCATCGAGACCAGAGGACCAGGCAAGGGATGAGTCAAAAGCGCCCCCAAAACAATTAGAAGCACCACGCCAAAGTCCTACCGGTAAGACTCCATGTTTCTCCAGATGCCATGCCATGCCATGCACACCATAATAAGATACAGTATGTCAATATTGCTACAGTGCCAGATGGGCCCTGGAGGCATCCGGCAACTTGCTGCCGACAGCGAATGCAGGCCGTCGCCAAGAGGAGGTCCGGCACCAGCGTCTACTCGCTGCATCGCCATCTCTTGCCAGCTTCTAGTGGCCATCTAGACGACTCCCATCCAACCAACCTCACCCCCCTCCGGCGGCCAGACTCTCGGCGACATGCAACCCCCCAGATGACTCGGGAGGACGAACAAGGACAAGAGGCTGCAAGTCGAGCAGACCAGCCGGCGATCCTCGAGCATGGGGCTTAACCCGGGTCCGGCTAGCACAGGCAAAGGATTAGCATTGGCAAAGAAGCTTGTGCCTTGGAAGCGGCATGAACAACTAGGGTGCCATATTTTTGCATTTACGTGTAGAAACTCGAGAAACATGCGTGATACGCGTGAGAGCTAGGGGCCCAAGGATGCAAATGGCAAGATTCGGCCGTGTGACAGCGGGTGGTGTTACCCGGTCCTGGGTCGATGTATGTATGGACAAGTACTTGTACCACCTGTGCGAGCTGACGAGCCTCCATGGTATCTCACCACGTTTGGCGGAGCTGCTCGATGCTTTCTGCTGGTGGTTAGGAGACGAAGCTGCTGTTGTGTACGTAACACAAAGAAGCGAACCTTGTATGCATCAATTGAGTCGTGTCGTGTACCTGGGAGTAGTACGAGTACAGACACCCAGGCAAGGTACCCCCTCCGGTGGCTTCGATTACAAACTCATCCACCATTTACGTGTATTTTTTTCTCTTCTCTTTTCCAATCACCATCCAAACTGAATCTCATCCTCGTACTGTATACTGTATTATCCTGCATGTGCTGTACGCTTCTGCTTCTGGACTTTTGCATCGTCCTCCCCTCCTCGACAACCCACAAAATACATCCTGATCTAATCCAATCCCCAACATCCAACGCCGCTTTCCCCAGCTCCGATCCCTGGACCTGGAGATACAGACAAACCAACCTCGGAGGGGTGGTGGGGGAACAGAAACAGCCTTTTGGGCTTGGACCTTCTTGGGGGTCAGGGGTGTCGGTGTCTATGGTACATTGACATGTACAAAGTGCCGGATGGGGCAGTACTCGGAGCGGTACCTTGGGCCATGTACATGCAAGCACAGACACAGACTACAAGGTACACACAACTACACACAACTGCAGCATCTCCTCATCCCGCATGCGACTTACACGCGCTTCCTGGCTTGTACATGTGCCTCTGCGCATCCCGGAAGCGTCAGTACCAGCTACTCGTCCCGCGAGAGCCACTCATGGGCGTGTCGTGTACTCGATACCCCGGATCCTGGCGATCCTGGAGCCCCGGCCGTGGCTTGCCCCGAGCAACTCTCCTGCCTTGCTGCTTGCCCATGGAGAATCCCAGGAAAGCTTCCAGCACACTAAAAAAGCTAGAGACCGGGGTCTGAGAAAAGCATTCAATGGATGGATCGTCTGTCTCGTTGTGCTCTGCCCACGGACCACATGCCTGGACCTGGCAAATCTGGGAAGCTGCCACAGACAGCTGCCCGCAGCATTCACTGGCAGCTGCTCGCACAATTCCGGCGTAACGGAGAGCGACCTACGTATATCTATATATAAGGCCCTCCCCCTTCCTCTCTCCTCTCCCCTCTTCTTCTTTTTTTGCTCCCGTCTCTGTTCACCACGATTCATGGTCAAGGTCCTCTACACAAAGCATCAAGAGTGAGCCATGGCTATCGGCAACATCTACGTGATTGCCGGCGTGTCCGTCGTCGGCGGCGCGCTCTTCGGCTTCGACATTTCGTCTGTGTCGGCCCAGCTGGCCGAGCAGTCGTATCTCTGCTACTTCAACCAGGATGAGAACCCTCCAACCACAGCCGATGGCAAATGTGGTGGTCCGCGGTCTCTCGTCCAGGGAGGTATCACCGCCTCCATGGCTGCTGGCTCCTGGCTGGGAGCTCTGATTTCTGGTCCCCTGTCTGATCGACTGGGCCGAAAGTACTCCATCATGGTCGGATGTATCATCTGGTGAGTCAAAAAACAAAGAAAAAAAAGGGAGAAAATGTTTCACCTGCTAACCGCCGTCACCCTAGGGTCATTGGTTCCACTCTCTCCTGTGCCTCCCAAAACATTGGTATGCTCATTGTCGCCCGTATCATCAACGGTATCTCCGTCGGTATCGAATCTGCTCAGGTCCCCGTCTACATTGCCGAAATCTCTCCTCCCTCCAAGCGTGGTCGCTTCATTGGTATGCAGCAATGGGCCATCACTTGGGGCATTCTCATCATGTACTACATCTCCTACGGCTGCTCCTTCATCGGCGATGACAACCCCATCAGCTACAACACCGCTGCCTGGCGTATCCCATGGGGTCTCCAGATGATCCCCGCCTTCTTCCTCTTCTTCATGATGATGCCCCTTCCCGAGTCTCCTCGTTGGCTTGCCCGCAAGGACCGCTGGGAGGACTGCCGAGCTGTTCTTACTCTCGTCCACGGCAAGGGTGACCCTAACCACCCCTTTGTCGCCTACGAACTGCAGGACATCAAGGATATGTGCGAATTTGAGCGCCAGCATGCCGACGTTACCTACCTCGACCTGTTCAAGCCACGCATGATCAACCGTACCTTCATTGGTCTCTTCACTCAGATCTGGTCGCAGCTGACTGGCATGAACGTCATGAGTAAGTTTTTTTTTTATGCTGCTGTAGAGCGCCATTGGACTAACTCATTCTCCTCACAGTGTACTACATTGCCAACATCTTCTCCATGGCTGGTTACAGCGGCAACGCCAACCTGCTTGCCTCGTCCATTCAGTACATCATCAACGTCCTCATGACCATTCCTGCTCTACTCTGGGTCGACAAATGGGGTCGCCGTCCCACGCTTCTTATCGGTTCCGTCCTCATGGCCCTGTGGATGTACGCTAACGCTGGCATTCTCGCCACCTACGGTGAAGTCGTTCCCGGCGGTATCGACCATGTTGCTGCCCAGTCGATGCGTGTCACCGGTGCCCCTGCCAAGGGTCTCATCGCCTGCACATATCTCTTTGTGGCTTCCTTTGCGCCCACCTGGGGTCCCGTCTCCTGGACCTATCCCCCGGAGCTGTTCCCTCTCCGTCTCCGAGGCAAGGGTGTCGCCATGGCCACCTCTGGAAACTGGGCCTTCAACACCGCTCTGGGTCTCTTTACCCCTGTGGCCTTTGCCAACATCAAGTGGAAGTCGTACCTCATCTTCGCCGTCTTCAACACTGTTGCCTTCTTCCACGTCTTCTTCGTCTTCCCCGAGACTGCCGGAAAGACCCTGGAAGAGACTGAGGCCATGTTTGAGGACCCCAACGGCATTCCCTACATGGGAACTCCCGCCTGGAAGACCAAGGTCGCAACCAGCCTCACTGTCCGTGCCGAACAGGGCGACCTCGAGGCCAAGATTGCCCACGACACTGAGAAGCCTCCGATCCACACTCACGAGGAGGAGACTACCCAGTAAATGGGACATTTAATAACATCTTGACGATGATAATCTTGTGTAGGGCGGTAGGCTTTAGTTGATACCCTGGGGGAAGTGTGGCCTCGTCCCGCAAGAAAACTTATGATGCAAATGTTTAATAGTCGTACTATACCAATACCATCACATGTTGCATTTACTTTGAACCTTTCATTGATTTGTCTGCCTTGATATATGTGAATTGCGTTTGGAGGCTGAAGTGATGGTGATGTTATTTTGCTCCAAAGTACAATGACTAAGCTGGATTGACTGGTACTGTAAGTGACAATCCAGCCAAGTGTGCATACAAACTTAGCAATCTCAGTTGAAATACGTACTATCTTGGTGTATAGGCATTAATACGTAACTATATCTAGTAATCTTGGGCTTGAAGCTTAGTTCTTCATAGAGTTTATGTATTGTCCGAGCCTTTTGATTTAATTTGCCTTGTTTTTTGACCGTCATATGGCCTCTCCTGTGGCTTTTGATAGTTTGGGCTGAATGCCCACGATTTTGTCGATCGAGCCAAAACCTGGAATCTGAGTTTAGCTTTTAGCTACATCGACTGGGTACAGCCTTGAACTATATCAGTCGCAGCTGTACATTGGCCTGAAGAAAGATATTAAGTAGTCTATACATTGAAGGAAATCTCTGTTCTGTTGGACAAAAGCCAAAGATTCCCTGCTAGGTAGTACAGGATGAGATTCAGCCACCAGTCTCAATGACTTCTATCCCCACTCTCTGTAAATGGGCTTAAATCTATGGGGAAATGATGGAAAGCATCAAAAGTACCGTACTGTTGCGTCTTCTAATTCGCGAGCTGAACTCTCGCTGGATTGTTCATATGAGACATACATTACTTGGGGGACGTGTACATGAACTACGATGATGTATATAGAAGTGTGCTTCACCTCTATGGCTATGCTTTGCCAATAGGTATGGAGCTGAGATTGATGCTCATACAGATCAAGACATAACGATTCACTTTTTTAGGCTGCAACCAATCATTTGTATAAATGCTTCAAACGCTCAATTCATTTCTAAGCGCTATACTATCTGTGTGTCTGTCTGTCTGTATTCTATTCTAGGAGTCATAAACGCCGTTCCATGCCATGCCATGCCATATAAACATCATGCTTCAAAACCATCATGAAACACGTCAATACGCATACAAACATATTCCTTCGCTCATCAAACCAATCATTCCCGCTTCAATCATCAAACCAATCATTCTTGCTTGAATCATCGTCCACCAACAAGGGCGCCATCGTCCCAGCCCACCCATCGTCGAATAATGTCGTCGACCATCCTGACACCGTCCCGCGTAGCGTCGACTTCGAACCACTCCTTGTGCTCTCGTCCACAAGCTTCGCAAGCACCAAGGTCGGCGCGAAGACCCATTCCGCCGAGCTCGAGGTGAATTAGGCGTTCCACCTTCTTGACGTGAGGCGTGGGATGGGGAGAGGCCGCAGAAAGTGGAGAAGGAGCCCGTCCTCTGGCATGCGAGGCGGAAGAAGCATCGTAAGATGAAGGAGTGGATGAGGAAATGTAAGGGTAGAAGCGGAGCAGGGTGATGTCGTGGCCGCACTGGCGAGACCATTGGGCCATGCGGCGCTGGACATTGGCGGCGCGGCCGATTTTGAGGAGCATCGTCTTTGGCTTGGGGTCCCTGCTGTTCTTGTTAAAGGAAGAAACAACGTCGCTGGGGCTTCTGCTGCGGCTGCCGCCGTTGTGAGGGGGAGGCTGGAGGAGGCTTCTTGCGGCGTCGACAGGGGCTGGTTCGGCGGATTCGGGCGTCAGCCAGAACATGTAGATGTAGCCGGGCTCGTCGGCGTCAGAGGGCGGTTTGGCGACTTCAGCCATGAGGGTCGTGGTGGTATGGGCATCGAGAGCGTCTGGGATGAGAGACTTGAGGTGGCCTGCCGTGGGAGCCGAAGAGGTGGTAGGGCGAGAGTGACCTTGCGGACGGGCTGAGGAGGTAGAGGGTCGAGCATGTTGAACAGGCTGAGGCTGCGGTCTGGGCTGGGCAGGTCGGGGAGGCTCATCAAAGTCCTCCTCCGGCACGGTGAAGCAGAAACAAAAGGTGCTCGACTTTGGCTTCGTGGGCCTCTCGTCGCCGTAGCGCTTCTCGGGATCGTACCGGCCGGGTCGAGCGTTCAAGTCCACCAGCCCCAGCCTGTCGGCGAGAGTATCCAGGCTCGAGCGCTCCTCGGCGATGCCGCCGCCGTAGGGAGATGGCCGCGGGGTCGAACTTGACTTGCGCGTCGAGCGCCCGGCTTGGTCCTTGTGCTGCCAGCAGTACGAGTCCTCGCCGTCGTCGTTGCTGGGCGCCAGTTTCTTGCCGTTCTTGCGCGGCGGGTGGCCTGAAGGAGAGACGGGGCGGCGGCAGGGACGGCCGTTGGAGGTGAAGCCTTTGCAGGTGGCCTCTGGGTTGAGGGAGTCGTTGCGCCCGAGCATGGACTCGGGCGTGGTGCCGGTGAAGGCAGGCATATCGTGGGAGGGAGTTGGAGTCTGGGAGTTGAACAGATGAAGAGACTGAAAGGAGTCGGAGTCAGGTCGCGTCTTTCTTTGTTCGTCTGTGTCTTTGTCTGTGACTTTGTCGTCGAGAAGAGAAGAGAAGAGAGGTCTGTGTGTTCGTTAAATACGAGGACAAGGCATCAGCTGTTCTGCAGAACCAGAACCAGAACCAGCATCAGCAGGGCCACGTCGGTTCGTCAAGGTTTTCAAGTCTTTGCTGTCCCTCGCCCAGGGCATCAACGCATTTAAGCTACCAGGGGTCCCGTCGTCCAACCGCCCCCGTGTTCTGCACTGATTCATCGCAACCGAGTCCAGCGTCAGTCCTAGCGATTGAACCCCCTGGCAAGCGCCGTCCAAACCTTCACCTAGGCCTCTCACCTAGGCCTAGGGGATGCGGCCTGAGCGGAACCTTGTCGTCTGTGGCCATCGTGTCTGGTGTCGTGTGTCGTGGTTCCACAGCAGGTGCACGAGGTGGCTGGGCGGTGGATTCCGGTGGTGGTCACGCTGGGGATTTGTTGAGTTTGTGAGAACTCAAAGGTTTGTGAGCTATCACGCCGTAGGGTGACAATTGCCCATGTGCTGTTAAGCTGCTAAGATGCAGCGGCATCTGCATCTGCATCTGCAGCCTTGAGTCGATCAATCAGGAGGAGGAATGGAGGATTCATCCGTTGGGCTGAGCGCGAGGGCGAGTTTGCACCGCCATCGTCAGGCATGCAGCACCGCCACAGACCTGCGGCCTCTACCTTGCATCTTCATCTTCTTCAATACGACGATTGGTTGGGTGTGGTTCATCGTTGCGAGACTCACGCTCTCCTTGCATCAATGATGTCGATTTTATTTTATTTTATTTTTCTTTAAGTTCTCACCAATTAGACTGAATTGCGATGCCGCAAGCTCAAGGGCATCGCCATGTCTGTTTGTATGGGTGTTTGTAAGAGCAAGCCGAGGACACTCGCCATGAAAACTTCAATTGGCCAACTCTAACTTTAACTACATGTACCTATAGCAGCATCCAACCACACCCGCCAAATCAATTTGTAGTTTAAGTGACATTACTTTGACAGAATATGGATATTCTTACGATAGGGCATTTTGCAAGTGTAAGAAAGCGATCATTGGTTCCTTGTATACATGTGTCACCAGTCTGCAACTGCTTGTAGAGACTACAAACCAAAACAATGCATTCACTCTTGTTGCCTATCAGAAAGACAAAGCTTTCCGTCATTCAATCACAATCAGTTTTGCGTAGTACCTAGTACTTTTTATAGATAGAAAGTACCCAGGCAGCGGATGGGCCCAATATCCCACTCTAACATACATCTAGGGATGATTGGATGCGGGTGGTTTCAACTACATGTACAAACGAGCAAAGAACAAAGAATCATTTTGCTCCCTTTGTTCATTTTACTGCACCTATCCGCCGTCTTATTGCATAGCCCCGACTCCAAGCGCTGTTCAATCGCTCACTAGCCGTGAGAATCCCGGGCTCATACCCATTGAAGCTATAGCAAACATCTTTCGCTAGAACCACCCAGACCGACAAAGGCAATATTAAACAAAGGAATTCATTTTCGCAGGGTAGCTGGTAGACTCGCTGAACAACGCTGGGTGAATGGTTCTTTTCGGGAACGGCGTATAAAAGCCTCCACCCCGCTTCATCGTTCTGCTATGTTTCCTCCAACTCCTCTCTTCAACAAGCAACACTCTTCACCTACTACTGCTTCGTCGATTCTAAATACGTACTGGTGCCCTTCCATCTGTCATTGTTTGGCCATCCCTTTCTCTACAGCTGTCTACTGTTTCGCCAGTCAAAACAGCCTTCGCGCCTCAACCAGATCTCCCGATCAAACAACACGTTCTAAACTTTCCAATGGGGAAAAAGACTGTGTTCGCCTCCTTATTGGCTGTTCTTGTTGTGTTGCTGCTGTAAAGGATGCTATTCTTCTCATCGAGCTTTCTGGCTCTGTGGCTATCAACAGTCTGCTATTGGCACGTTTGAGCAAGTGGCTTCTTCACTTTAAGGCCCGGGGTGAATCCTCAAATCGGGAGGCCTGCAGAGGGTTGATTGCTATTTTATCGCTTGAGCTTGCGCCACTGTCCGCTCTTCTCCTTGTGGCAATTTTCTTCTTCGCCATCCGCATATGCATACTGGTGATTTTTGTGTGCTCCCGCAAGAAGCAATGGACATGGAACGAGTACCACGCCAGTTTTAAGCAGTATTCTAAGATTGATTATATAGAAAACTGTTTTGAGAAGTTTAAAGAGTGGTGCGGAAGGCAATGGTGGGGCAAGGCATTGTTTCCCAGAGAAGAGAACTCATCTACAACGAACGAGACAGATTCACAGGGAGTCTGAGAGGAAGATTGGAATTCACCGAGAAGTTCATTTACAAACGACTAGATATGGGTGATGTGGGTGGTAAGAAGACGCCTACCGACCGTGGGTATGATGATCTGGGTCACTGATTGAGAATTAATATACTTCCCTCCAAATGAAACTAGGTACTGTTACATAAGTGACGGTGATAATAGTTTCATTAGGTGGTGGTAGTTCCATTGGGTGTCAAATATATTATTTCATCTATAACCTAGCGAATGATGTGTAAACTCTACTCATAGTTCAGCTAAGTATCCGGTGTCCAAATAGAAACTCCTAAATTATACGAACATCTTCTGTTCTCAGTCAACCACTCTTGTTCTCCTTCGAAGCAACAGCCCCGGCCAATTAAGGTCGGAATCGTCCCGTTAGCAATGGCAAGTTTGAACAAAGATTTTTCCGAGGACGTATCGGTCACTTCTTCTTTGAAGCTACAGCAAGCATCAATCAACGCAGGTAGATTTGAACAAAGACCTTTAGCCATGCGGTTTACCTCATTAACGGCGTTGGACATGTGCTTCTTTGAGAGTAACAGTGACATATAAATACCTCTCTTGACTCTTTACCCTTCCACCTTTATCCAATTCTTCTCCTCTAGAATTCACACTCTGCACCTACTACCGTCATTGCTTCTTTTACCCTGACCTCATATTGCCGCCCATTTAGCAATAATACAAGAATTCTTATCATAATTGCTTTCCATCATCTTTCGCCATCAGCTATCTGTTTCTTTATTCGCCACTTCCCGCTACTTTTCCCGTCAAACCTGCGTTTATACTTTAATCGAATGCCGTCTAACGAGTCTCCCGTTGCTCCATGCATACGAATAGTCATCCATTGTGCATTTATGCTCACACTTCTGATCAACTACGGCTTTGCGATTGGACTTACACTCGTCGATGCGTGGCTCCTGCCTACTTACTATGAGTTTACCGATCAGAATCGATCCGAAGATGAAGTTTACGCCCTTATTATCTTCATTATATTTATCCTCATGATTATCCACACTGCATTATTACTTCGGATTGACTTGAGGAGGTATTACAAATTCCAATCTGAGGGTTTCGTGAGCTTGCCTTATAGAGTACATCCGGTTGTCGATATTTTCCAGGGGTTGTTTGAGGGCGTATTCCTACATCAGTTCCTTCAGTGGCATGCGCAATTTAAGGCCAGTGGTGATTCCCGGAGTGCCACGTACTGTACATTAGCCACCGTCCTCCTTGCATCCAATTTTGCATGGATGCTCTTTTACTGGTTATTACCGGCTTATTACGCTCTTCATCCTTGCTCTTCATACTATAGAAGGATGAATGTATGAAGCTTCGGCAGACTGTTAAGGGAGGCCGAATCAACTGTGAAAATAATAACAGAGGCCATTTAGAATATAACAGGCATGGACGACGAAAACTTGGAGTAAAAGGCTACTTGTTTGTTGGTACAGCTGGCAAAGATGCCTACTGAGAAAAGATTCACGGATACTAGTTAAATCTTTAGTCCTTTATTTAAATTGATACTAATATTACGGTGGAAAATCACACTAGTGGGAAAAATAACAATTCTGGTAATGGTAAATGATGCAACATGCTACACATCTTTAAGACGTTACTTGTTTGACTGTTTGGCTGCAGAAGGAGCCAGACGTAACGGACCATACGTTGATACAGAGCAGCCCATTGTTGCCCACCTATCTAGGATACCTCTGTAATATATGTAAATAATAGTACCAACGAATTAAAAAAAAAAAAAAAAAAAGGATCGTTTCAAGCTAAGCGTGAGTATTTGCAGACTCATGAGATAATTCTAGAAATTCGGGCTGTTACGCCTACGAAGAAATGTTGGGTTTTATCACAGCTCAGCCACTCATTAAAGTTAAGGCTCCAAAAGGTGCACCAACTTCTTCTCATTTAGTCGCCTTTGTTCTCCCTTGAAGCCTCAGATCAGACCCAGGCGGGTATCCCCGATGGACAAGTCTGAACAAAGATTTTCCCGAGAACATATCAGTTTCCAATAAAGACATTGCAGGGTACTTTATTAACATCCTTAGGTATCTATGTACTTCTTTGATGGTAACGGTGACATATAAATACTCCCCTAGCCCTTTATCCTCTCACCGTCATACATCTCCTTCATCATCATTCATCGCTACTTTACCCACCAAAGCTGCGCGTTTACACCTCCATCCATGTCGCCTCACGATTCCTCCTCCGATGAATCCACTCGCAACTTCAGCCGATATGAACATATAATCTTGGCTCTATTCCACGGTTGCTTTGTGATTGGATTCGCTATTGTCTATGCGTGGCTAGGGCCTACCCACTCCAAGTTTATCCATCAGAATCGATCCGAAGATACGAACTACGCCATTATTGCCTTGTTCGCACTCATCACCGCGATTGCCGGCCATGGAATAATGTTTATTATGAGCTTGTACAAAATGTACAAATTCCGACCTCGAGGTTCAATAAATCCGTTTTTTGATAGATACGGGTTTATATTCGGTATCATTATGCTGGGTTTTGATCCTGTGATGGTATATCAGTTTCCGAAGTGGCATGGACAACTCAAGGCCGCTGGTGATTCTCGGAGTGCCCAATACTGCACTTCAGCTACCGCTCTCTTCGCAATTCACATTCCGTGTGCGGCCTTATGCTGCTTATATTTTTTGGCCAAGCACTGTTTCTACCTAGATGTTATCGCACATGAAACGTCGGTGGTCCGTGAGAGTGGCAAAACAGACAATAGGGAGAATGGAGAACGCCGGTTGAGAAGATAATCGGGATGAGCAATGAGGACCTGGAGTGGAAAGCTATGTTGGTATAATCAGCAAAGATATTTACAGAGAAATATATGCGAGCATTATATATAGGGAAATACTAGCCGGCACTACAAGTCGGCTATTTAGTATCCCATCCATCTCCTAGATTTAAAGCTACATAAGTAAGTTGTGGGCAATACTACTAGCAACTAAAGAAATGCAAATACAGTAGCAGATACTAGAGAAATGTAAGTACAGTAGCAGATACTAGGGAAATGTAAATACAGTAGCAGATACTAAAAAAAGAAGCAATAGTAGTAGATACTGGAAGAAAATATTGACAGCAGCGGAAAGTTTTGATAGTAGTAGATAATTTGAAGATGTAGACACAGGCAGTTACTACTAAGATGCTAAAATACAAGGGCTTCTTTCGTATCTCATTCTGACACTTGAACTACACGCAGTCGTTGGTGTGTTGGTCAGCTAACTTGAGTTCTCATCAGTATCTGCCTGAAATACATAATCTCGATCGCTGACTGAAAATAATATACAGTTTTTTGTAGGAAGCTGCCTAAGTTACGATTGTGAAACAAACACGGCGTCAAAGCCCTACATGCTTGACCCCAGTTTGAGTCTCTTGTGTTGTCAGTAAACCGCCTTTGTTCTCCCTTGAAGCTTTGGTACCAGACCGTGGCCGGCATCCCCGATGAGCAAGGACATGTTTGAACAAAGTGTTCTCCCGGGGTCGTACAACTTTCTCTTCTTTGAACCTACAATGAGCTTTAACCAACAATGGTAGTTTTAGGCAAACACTCAGATCCTGCAAGTGTTCAGAAAAGAACTTGAGATCATGGGGTGCGTGTGTTTGCTGGTGACAATGGCGAGTATAAATACCTCTCATGAGATCCTTGCCCTTCAACTGTTTTCACCCAATTCTTCTCTTCAACAATCACCACTCTATCTCTACTATTGCTTCTGTACTCCTGACCTCTTCTTGGCGTCCCATCAGCAGCGGGAAACACACTTTTACCACAACTGCCGTCCTATCTTTCTTGGCGGTTGTCTAGCTCATTCATTCTCGTTCACTGCATGCACTTTGTTTGCATCTCCACCCGACACTTCAATCCAACACTGCAGCCCGACGCCCCATATCAAACGCCGCGTTACGAACCGTCTAGCAAAGATGCGAGCCAAGAATGTTATACACTACGCATTCATAGTTTTTTACTTTGCATTATTCACGGCTGGATATGTCGTCCTCGATATATGGCTGTGTCGTCTATTTCAAGAATTTCACCATCGGCATCGAGGCGGAGATACAAGATACGGGATAGCTGCATTTTCCTTCTTTACTTTCTGGGCCGTTTGCCATTTCCTTTGTCTTTTGATCACCCTCTTTCCCCAATACTACACGCCTTCATTCCCCGGGCCTTTGGGCCTCTTTGTCGACATGGCCGTTCGAATCGTTTTCTTCATTCGTTTTTCTACTTGGCTATCGCATTTTAAGATCCGTGAAGAAACAGAGAACGTCGCATATTGCATTGCATGTCTTTTTGCTCTGGCATGGGGATGGTTGGATCACATTTGGTTCTTCCGTTTTGAAGAGCACCGGTGGGTTGCGCGAGCTCATTTTATCCGTGAAAAATGGCGGAAGGAAGACAATGAACGAGACGCTGAGAGAGTGAATGTGAATATAATGATGGCGAGAATGCAAGAGCTCGTGGAAAGCTTGGGAAGGGAGGGAAGGGCGGGAGGGGCAGAAAGGACGGAAAGCTTGGAAATCGTGGGAATGGCGGAAAGAATCGAGAGGGATGTAGAGGGACAGTGAGAAGGCCAGCTGAGAAAGACGCACCCGTACCTAGTACTGATGGCAATATTGGTGTAGGTTCCTCTCCGGAAGCTATCATGTACCTGAGTGACTGTATTAAATGAGCAATACTCTAAAGCATGCGACATGTTGTATTTGTGACTTTGCATGTTTGATAGCTTGACTGTATCAAGAGCCAGACTCACGGCATTATGCATAAATAAGCAGTGAGCCCTCCTTACCCAATTGTATCATGATGCCTCCCCATAGTGTACGAAAGTCTACGGCCTGGGAGAATAGCCAAAGAACAAATGGGGAAATTGGCCATGGATTACATTGCACTTTGGGACTTGAGTCTGAGGTATTTACCAAATCACGAGGTGAGTTCAGATAACCTCCATTCTGATAAGCTACAAGCAAACACTAACCACGCTCAGCCACTTGTCAAATTTGGAACTCTTGAAATTATATCAATCTCTTCTTAGTTGATCTCTTTGTTCTGCCTTGAAACTACTGCAAACAAACTGAAAAAAGCCTTGAACAAGGGTTTAGAGTTCTGTGACATTATATCAAGCGGGGGATGGCAGGCTATAGCTCAAGAAATCCGGAAGAAAAGGTCCAATAAAAATGCAAAGTGGGATGTGGTTTCAGAAGATGTTGAGACTTCTACGGTAAGGGAGAATGATTGTGAGGGGCGGAGAGGGGCGGAGAGGAACGGCAAAAGTGCCAGCCGAGAAGGATACACGGGGATAAAGATGTTTAATCTGTTGATATAAATACTTACTGGGGAATTGATGCTCCGTCACGAGTCTCGCATAGGCCTGGAAGCTTGCGGCATGTCCTGATTGCGAATATCCACTGTTCTCATTTAATCGCCTTTGTTGTCCCTTGAATTCTCGGCAAACTGAGGCTAATACACTCCTCTAACAAAGGAAACTTTAAAGAAAGATTTTTCTCGATGTCGCACCGATTTCATCTTCTTTGGAGTCACAGAAAACTTCAACCTTCACCAGTGATTCCCAACAAAGGCTCTTTGTCTTGCAACTAAGCGCCGCGTCAACAAACCAGATAACATTGGGTACTTGTCTTTTTGATAGCGACGACGATATATAAATATCTCTCATCAATCTTTGCCTTTCTGCTATCACCCAACTCCTCCCTTCAACAATCACCGCTCTATGCCCGCCATCTGACGCCTCATTCCAAAATTGCAAGCCAACACCGCTGATCCAACTCCACGACACAGACCAGCTAGCGTTACACTTTATCGTGTGAAAATGGAGGCCTGGCAAATTATACACCACCCGCTTATACTGTTAGGCTACGCATTCCTCACGGCTAAATGCCTCGTTCTTAATATATGGCTGTGGGATATATCTCACGACTTTAGCAATCGACAAAGACACAGGGACGAGAGATACGGCAAGGCGGCCTTTTTCTACTCTCTCATCTGGACAGCACACTACGGCAGCTATTTTGTCTCAGCCCTCTGCCTACCTCTGCCCAAGTTGCCCAAGTCGCTTAGACTTAAGATGGAAACCCGATTTAGCTCCCTACATGAAATTGCCATCAGAATTGGATTTGCGCTTCGATTTTATCAGTGGCTGTCGTATTTTCGGGCCACTGAAGAAGCAGAGAATGCTTCATATTGCCTTGAATGCATTTTCGGTTTGGCATGGGTGTCATTTTGGCCCATCATGAATTCTTCATTGGACATTTTTTTCAACATTGCCTTTGACATGTATTGGCCATTCACGGCTCAAAATATCCGTCGAGGACGGCCTAATCTGGAATTGAAGGGGGAAGCTCAGTTTCAGGAATTGTTGAGTGTTGAAAATAAAAAGGCAGAAGCCTAAAGGATTTTTGAGGCTTATAATTTAGCCAGGGGAATTCGACAGCAGATAATGCTTGAGGAGATAGTACCTCTACACAAGATGGAAGAGGCTAAGAGGGGCGGTACGGACGGTAAGAAGGGAAGCTGAGAAATATGATCTAAGTAAATGTAGGCGGCGGAGAAAACAATGCGCCTTCTGCATAAAAAGCTATCCAACTGATTGTAATAAATGTATGTTGTGATGTTTTAAAGCATGCGACATGAGCTGTTTGTGACTTGACGTGTTCGATAGTTTGGCTGTATCAGGAGCTAGACTCACGACATTGTGAATGAATCTAATGTTCAGCACTAAATTACCGCTATAAGTCTACCACAAAAGCTCCCTATAACATATGGAAATCGACGACCTGAGAATTTAGTTAAAGACAATAAGGAAATTGACCCCTTTGTTTTCCTTTGAAACCACTGCAAGCAAACTCGGATTGGCGTCATCCCAACTCACCAAGTGAATTCGAACAAAGACAATCCCCCAGACGTAGCATAAGTATGAACGATGAGATGACCATCAACATCCGCAAATCGACGACTTGGGATGGTAGATATGTACAATGTTAAAGAGTGCTGCCTAGGATTGGCCATCCAGTTAAATTACATTATGGGATTGAGGGCGCGTAATTGCAGAGCCACGAGTTATATTCGTGTAACTGTGCGGTTATATTTACGCATTACTCCAACATATTCATGGCGGTTCTTTTCTTTGTCCCATTTGTCCCTTTTGTTACCTATGTTGCCCCTCGAAGCTTCGGCAAACTCAAACCCGAATCATCCTAGGTCACGAGCACAAATTTGAACAAAGAACTTCCGACTGGTCGCGCGTAGATGTACTCGGTAATTTCAGATAACCTCTTACCTAGCGGTAAGGGCGAAGCATAAATACAGCTTCGCTCTGCGCGTGTCTTCATTCAGCTTCCCCCCTTCAGCGCTCAATACTCTACGCCTGCTACGGACTGCCTTTGAACTTCTTCACCACTGTTTGACATCTCTTTAGAAAAGAGGGAGAGATCTCGACACAACCATCTTTCGTTTTGCTGTTGATCATTACTTTGCCAGCCGGAACCTTATCTACACGTTTCAACTATCTCGGCTCAGTGTCTTGTCACAATTCCTCTGGCAATAGTTTTAGTGCTCAAAAATGTACGACAGGCCTCCTCCAGTCATTAGAGGGTTCTTTATTGGACTAGGCATTTACAATGTGCTTGTATTCTCTGCGCTCAGCGGCTGGATGATCTATCTTGTAAGCGACTTTCGCCATCTGGATCGAGTTACGAATCAAATCGAGTGTATTTTGATCATTGTTCTATTTCTTTGCAAGGTCATCAAGGGTCTACTATTTTTCGATCCACGATACGTATCTTCCTTCATCAAGAAGATTCAGAAGGGAAAGCTTCCGGTTTTATACGCTGCGTTCCTTGATACCTTGCTCATTATTCGCTTTTTCGCGTGGATTGAACAGCTCAAGATCAACGATCAGTCTATGAATATCATCTTCTGTTATGGATGCATTGTTTTCATGATAGTCGAACTCCCTTTTAGGCTCCTATGTTTTCTATATGAAGTATGGCCTACAACACTCTGGAGGTATTTGCTGGAAAGAATCCGAAGTAAGGGATCGAGGGAGACAAATGGGAATACCGAGAGGGGCGACGAGATGATCACAGAAGCCCGGATATAACTACTAAAAACACTTGGGATGACTGAAGAGAACCTTGGGGGGGGGGGGCATTGGGACGTATTTGGAAGCGAAGGACATTGGGAATGAGCAAACAAGATAGCAAGGAGGGTACCCGGCCGAGAATGATCTATTGGAGCCTGATTTGTTGAACAAGTTTCTGTTATACAAGTTGATGTTTGGCTCTGCCTACATACCTAGCAAACTATTTTAAGTGAAGGCACATCAAACTGTGTGCATAGAACCTTTGTTGATAAGCCAGAAGATGAATGCCGTAATCGGCCTGCTGCCTTGAGGAGTGCGTATCTGTATCACAGAACACATATAGACGCCACTGAACAATGATGAGAGAGATAGTGTAAAGAATGATCGTCTATGATGATTCTTCAACTACCGTCAGGTCATAGGTCAAGTACCTACCCAAGTGGAGGACAGAGAAACCGAGACCGAGAAGATTTCGAACACCCACGAGTTAAATCATACGCCTACAAAGGGAGTAGCTACTATATCTACATTTCGTAAATGTCTACTATTATATTTATATTTCTCTAGTAACTGCTACTATATCTATATTTATTTACTAACTGCTACTATATTTATATTTATTTAGTAGCTGCTATTATATTTATAGTTATTTAATAACTGCTATTATATTTATATAGGTAATAAAGATCGGGTGCTGGCTATAGGCGTTCCTCTATAAAAGCAGTACTCGATGAGTTAATAGGGTGCTTGTATTACTAAATGTATGCACTTATTCATTTGCGTTCTCGCTTTTTCTGTCATCCACTTGCTACATAACGTCGTAGGTGAGAGGTTCCCCAGCAATGCGTAAGCATATCAATGGTATCTACTTTCCAAATTACAGAACATGATACGAGTACAATGATCAGATGACCATCGACATCCTCCAATGAAGATGTGGAAGTAATCTTTCCATCATTTGTGCTCCGACTGCTGCCTGCTGCAGAAGTTTCGGGTCCTTTGTTCTCCTAAGCGGTACTCTAAGTTTAGATCAGAATCCCTTGGCGTACAAGAACAAGTTTGAACAAAGGATCTTAGACTTGTAGTACCGGAACGTAGTCACTCAATTTTGGCGCAGAGAGTGAAATATAAATACCACTTCATTGTCTCGTCTTTCTACCCTTTTCTTCATCCAAGTTCCATCTTCAACCTCAGCACTCAACACTTGGCATTCTACACCTGCTACTAATTCTTTACCCGAACCACTCTGGGTGATATTTCTTCAAGCATGGAACAATCCACATCAAAGGTATTTCTCTCCATCTTACTGCCGAGCCTCTCTTTCACTCATTGTTACCCGCCGCTTTATCTACCACGGCATTTGTCCCTCTACCCGATACTATAATCCAGCTCCTTGAACTAACGTTATGATAAAAGCCATCTAGAGTTACGGGCACAATTAACCCACGAACGAGTCGACAAAAACTTGTATCTGGATTGGCACTGCTCAAATTATCAGCGAAAATTATCCTCGCCATCGGATACATCTACTTCGAAATCTGGCTGTGGGGACTTATCCGCCAGTTTTACAGTCAGCGCCAAACCGTGGATCTATTCTATGCCATAATAGCCTTTGCCTTTTTCCCCATCACAGCGCTCTACAATGGACTTGGTTGGTATGTTTGGGCCGTGTTCTGCAGCTGGCGTAGAGAGGTCGTCTCAGAATCTGAAGCGGAAAGGGACATGTTCAATGTGAATACTCGTCTCATAAACCTCAGGTGTACCTTTGTTTCGGCGATCCATCTCTCGCTCATTTCGCGACTATCTCTTTGGAGTCAAAATTTTCAGGCTGATGGCAAGGCTAAAGATGCAAAAATTTGCACTTATCTTGTTGTTTTCATAGCATTTGAGGTTCTCTTGGTGATTATGGACCTTGGTAACGCCCTTCATGATTACGTATCGCATGTTAAAGCGAGTGGTGGAGCAAGTTGCAAGGCCACATTCTTGAAAAGTGATGAGCAGGAGTCTGAGAGATGATTGAGAAGTATATCGAGAAGAATTGATGGCGGATTTAGGAGAGAGGTAACCTAGAATGACAGATCGCCGTCTTGACCGGGGTTGCATCGGGCTTGAACTGCAAACGCCTCAGTCAGATGGTCACCAAGCCCGCGGAGAGTTCTTTGTCAAATACCCAGTGGTAGACAGTAACCAACGGGTGATGAATCCATTGATACAACATTGGCCATGAGACGTGTCTTTTGAGAGTCCTTGATACTTTTTAGACAAAGCGACTTTTGGGGTTTCTTTGACTTACTTTCCGCATTTCAGTTATCGTAGCTCTTCGGTCACTCGGAAAGTCTTTTCTGCTTCATACTTTGATCGTCTCCTTTGAACCTCTGAGTGACCAACGTGAAATACTCATTACCCTCTTACATCTTCTGGAGATACAGTAAACCCCAGGATGTTTTTCTGCACATCTCACCTCGATCTCGCCGCTCGGCTCATAATGTCGATTTCCAAGGCGTCTCTTCTTGATCTCGGCGGAGACTGTCTATCGGAGTTCAAGAATGCTCGGAAATGGAACTTCTCGCACAAGGATTAGGTCTTTCAAGCTATTGAGATTGTGTTCCGTCTCTAGGTCCATTCTACTAGTGTTGTAGTAGAATTTGAGATACTTTTAGAGAGGAACTAAAAGCCAACCTTACGGGACCTGAGTGTCTCTGTCTGCACTGTGGGGCATCGTCCAGCAGCTCCATGCTGTCAGGCTACATGGTTTGGTCTTTTATACACCCTCCATTTACAATGGGCATCTCCCTGCATTATTATGGCAAATATTATCCAGCATCCCAAAGTCGTTACCCAACAACCTAGCGACTGCGTGGGGTTCATGTATTAGAATAGAGTGTAAAGAGAATATGAATAGAAGCCACCTTTATACTACTATCGCCACTTTCTGCTACTGTCACTACTTTCTGCTACTATCACTAATTTACGCTACTATCACTAATTTATGCTACTATCGCTACTTTCTTCTAGTGTCTACTGTTATAAATATATTCTTCTAGTATCTGCTGCTATTGCAGTTTTTCTCTAGTATCTGAGATTATTCTTTAGTCCGTATAGCTTTCATGTAAGAAGACATGGGATGCTGGATAACAAACTTGGGTGGCTGAATAACTGCTCCCATTATTATTCATCTAGCTCTTCACGCGGAAGCACTACAGTCCCTGTTGCACAATTTCAGTGAGTTGAAGCACTGCAGCTGCTCCTTACCCAGAGCCATTCAACTGCCTCTCCCTCCGCCCCCATAAATCAACAAACTACATATATCGTACTATGACGCACTGATAGCAGGCACGGCATTCACTCTTCTGTTTGCTTCTCCACACCACTAGATCCATCCATACGCAGCCACAGCAATAGATAGCGGAGCATTGGAGCAGCAACCCCTGAAATTCTCCCCAAGGCTCCAAACTCCCCTATCAACCAGTAAACGCTGTGTACCTGTAATCATCCCAACTCCCGCAAGAGCCAGCAATACAAACGCATTCATTCCCGCATACTTCTCCACTATTGATGATAGCAAAACTCTCCGGGCCAATGAGGTTTTCCCCAACTCTTTTCATTCACTCGCTAGTTGAACCCAACGCTTTCTCTCATTATCTATTAATAAGGGTCCTCTCTCTTCTCTCTTCTTTCCTCCCTTCCTCTTCTTCTTCTTCTCTGCCATCTTCACTCATTATGGTCACATCCATCACTTCTTCCAACCGCATCACCACATCACCCCCATCTCTCCTCCCTACTCCTTTCTTCCAATCACCACATCAACGTTCCAACCAGCTTCTCAACGGCGAGAAGAATGGCGATGGCTACAACTACTGGTGAGTTTGCTTTGGCTTCTCTTCTTCACCTTGCCGCTCGTTGACCTCGATCCCAGATTGATACAAATCCACCTCCCAACATCATACCCTTACAAACGCGGACACGCCCTTCCCCAGTGGCAGTCCTGCCTGTAGAGATGGCCTGTGGCAAGCAGGTGTGGGCCTAGTTTTCGTGCTGGTACCAGACGAGCAGAAGACTAGGCTCACTCAGGCTTTGCCGTCTGCGTAGCCTGTCGGGGTCACAGCTCAGCTGATGCCGAGAATGCTGAGTGAGTCGGTCTTTGTGCTGGTACAAAGACTGGCAAAAGACTGGCTCACTCATGCTTTCTTGTTTATGTTTGTCGCTATTTGGCTCGCTCATCAAACATGGATGGCCTGGTCTTTGTGCTGGTACGAGATTAGCAAAAGACCAGTGCCATCCATGCTTTGTCGTCTACATAGGCTTGTCGGGGTTACAGCTTAGCTGATGCTGAGAATGCAGAGTGAGTCAGTCTTTGTGCTGGTACAAGACTGGCAAAAGACTGACTCACTCATGCTTTGTCGTCTACATGGGCTTGTCGGGGTTGCGGCGAAGCTGATGCCGAGAATGCAGAGTGGGTTGGTCTTTGCGCTGGTACAAGACTGGCGGAAGACCAGCCCATTCATGCTTTGTCGTCTATGTTGTTGCTGTTTCTGCTCTGCCATAAGGTCAGGTGGTGTCTTGTTTTGAGCGCGCGGTAAGTTCAACATGCTGCTTATTTTTCTACCATGCAGTTTTCCTGACTGGATGTACGCAGGCGAGAAGGGCCACATTGACGGTCGGCTGTGTTTTCTCATCGGACTGAGTTTTCTCACGGGTCTGGGTTTTCTCACGGGTCTGGGTTTTCTCACGGGTCTGGGTTTTCTCACGGGTCTGGGAGGATTCATATATGGGAACTTGCTGGTGGAAAATTCATCAGCATTCGTCTAGCTGTTGGAAAGGAATTGAAGCGTTCTGGGAGGAAGAGAGGCTGCAGATCTCTAGGAGGCATTGGGCGGGAAGGAAAGTAGAAATACAATATGAAGTCACATCACACTCGAGTTCAGCCGATGATAGTGTCCGTCATGCTGTATCCTATCTCTATGTTTCGACTTGATCTAGAAGTTCCCCGTCGTATGCCATCTCTGGATACCGTGTTTTATTTTAAGGCATTAACCATATCAAAAGACTCCGTTTCCACCCAAGAGAGTAGTATTAGATCATTCTATATTCGCCGCAAGCTTGTACCGTTTGTCACTATTACCAAAACTCTGGAGCACTCTATAGCGACGAAAATTCAACTCCCCAAATCCCTCCAACTCCTCTAAACATCGCCTCCATGAACCAACTTCCCTCTAACATACACCTGCGCAATATTCCGATCATCTCCCGTCATGACAAACTTCTCCAGCATCCTCTCCGCTGAATCATTATCTTCATCCAAAGGCACATTGACGCCCTCTCGCCCATCTCGCATATCAATCACCAACGCGTCAAACTCCATCCCAACAGCAAATCCACCAACCTGCTCATCGAAGCCCACGACTTTGGCTCCTCCCTTGGTAGCCATGTAAAACACCTCTTCCCAACTCAGTGTCTCTCCTCCACCTCCTTCTTTGCTAACGGTTTCATTCTTCTCGGAATCGAATTTAGGATACAGTGCCTCTCGCGCATACGAAGTGATGAGAGAGTGCCTCATGGCATTCAACATGCTCGAGCTATATCCACCACCCGAATCCGTTCCCAAACCGACATTAATCCCCTTCCTAAGAAACTCTTTGACAGGAGCAGCCATGAAGCCTCCCCCGACAGTCATGTTGGCAGTAGGGCAATGAGCGACGCCACATCCCAAATCTTGCAGCTTATTGATCTCATATGGTGTCATGATGGTGCAGTGCGCAAGGATACTTCGCGGCGTGAGAAGCCCAAAGGACGAATACAAGTCAGCTTCGTTGCTAAATTCTGGAAAGAGAGATAACGTGGCGTTGATTTCCTGCGCAGCTTCATTGAAATGCGTCTGAATTGCCAGAGAAGGATCTTCGTGGGCCATTTCTCCCAAAGATTTAAGCAACTGTGCCGTACACGATATTGCGAAACGAGGCGTCAGAACAGGCTTAACAAGAGAGCCCTTTGGATCAATAGTCCGAATATGCTGAATACAAGCTTTCGTCGCAGAAATAGACTCTTGAGCAGACGTCTCGCAGTAAAACGACGGTGAGTTTCGATCCATGTTGCATTTCCCTATCAGAGCCCTCTGACCTCCTTTCAAGCAAGTGGATGCCAACACGCGAGTTGCCTCCCCATGAAGAGAGCCATAGTACGAAGCCGTCGTGACGCCCTGCCTGAGCATCCCCCGAACAAGCTTTTCGTAGACTTTTTCCGCATGAGACGCATCTTCAAATTTGGCTTCGTTGGGAAAAGTTATACCGTCGAGCCAGTCTAGGATGTGCATTCCTTGGCCGAGGCCTCGCTGCATCCATTGTGGGGCGTGGTTGTGTGTGTCAACGAAGCCTGGGATGAGGAATTGGCCATGGGAGAGTTTGATGAGGGGAATATTCTCAATGTTTTGCTCGACGAGAATTTTGTTGATATTAGAAGATGAGACGTTGGGCTGGAGAGTGAGGATAGTGCCGGAAGAGGAGACGGTGATGAGGGCGTCGGGGATGACGTGGAGCTGAGTGGGAGAGAGGGAATGGATGAGTGTTGCGTAGATTGCCTTGGAGGGTTCCGTCATGATGAATCTTGGTTGTGATATCAGGGGAATCTAATAAAAGTATTGAAGCTGTTGTTGATGATTGATTTCAGTAAGATGACGTTGAGATCAGTGTACCACAAGAAGCCGGAGCGGGGCCGTGATCCTTTGATCCAAACTTGTCATTCCAAGGCGGGGGCTGACTTGGTTCCTTATCAAACAACCTGTCTTACATTAGCCCATTGTTACAGTTGTCTCTTATCGTGATGTCTGTTACCAACAGATTCTCTAAGTTACACGAAAAATCCAGAGCAATTGGTGTAATGCACTCTCAATACTCATTTATCTCCCACAGAAAACAGTCATTGAGCTCTGCACCCATAAGACTCCCGTGGCCCATGCATACAACAACAACCAAACCAACCACCAAAAGAAACCTCACCCCGAACACCTCAAAAACAACAACTTCACAAACTCCCCCAAAAAACATCAAATCATTAAAGAAAAAAGCAAAAAGAATGTCCTCGGTGAGGCTCGAACTCACGACCTTCAGATTGCCCAAACTATCGTTTAGATCATATCGAACTTAATATGAGACTGACGCGCTAGCCAACTGCGCCACGAAGACTCTTTGATGTCCTGCCGATCCACATGATTGGATCATATGGGCTTCACTGATCAAGTTACCAGAATCGCCACCGAAATGGAATATCCAGACATCATTTGAACAATGCTCTCACAGACCAAGTTTCAATAAACCATATACGAGTAGCGAACACAAAATCATTCTCGCAAACACTGGCATCGTAATTCTCAATTCTTATAAAGTCCTGTATAAACCATCACGATACCCCCACAACAAGGAGGACATCTTAAAATGAATATATACAAGTTCAAAAAGAAGCAAAAAGATAAAAAAAGTCAGAAGCGAAAAGGTAAAAAAGGTATTTAAAAAGAAGAAATTTTCAAAGTATTGTAGAATCGTAAAAGTCAATACTGCTACCGTTCTAATAGCCAAAAAAACAAAAAGTTGCGGAACACGCAACACCAATGATGCCTTGTATATCAAAAACAAAAAAGTTTGAGTCCCCCAAGAAAAGAGGCCATACAAATCCTGGATCCAAAGATACATGAAAAAAACGACGATAATTATTTCACTTTCCTATAAACCTCCAAATCTACATACACAATCCCACTGTAAAAAAAATCCAAAGCCTCCTTTTTTAAATTTACAGGGCAATCATGGCACCGCCGGCAAGCATGGCGACACCCATGTACAGGGCGACGGACAGCTCACCAATGCTCAGGAGAGAGGCACTGGGGCGGCCGGCAACAGCGGCGCTCTTGCTGGTAGCAGCGCTCTTGTCGCCAGTAGAGGTGGAACCGGAGCCGACGGGGGAGGTGGCGGTGGCAGCAGCCTTGTTGATGGAGCTGGCAGAGGCGAGAGCGGCAGAGCAAGAAGAAGCAGCCTTGGCGCTGACAACCTGGGCCTGGCCGTTAAAGTCACAGGCGCTGGAGGACTTCTGCTGGGAGTTGTAGTAGGCGTCGAGGACGTAGTCAAGCTTGGCACCGTCATCGCACATGCTGTAGGCACCGTAGACACCAGTGGAAGCATCACCGTTGATACCGGCGCAGACGGCAGGGGACTTGCCGCAGATGAAGCCAAAGATGTCACCGTAGTCGTCAGAGGAGAGGTTGTCGGCGCGGACGCAAGACAGGGAGGTCTGCATGCAGGTGCAAAGGCCGGAGTCAGGGGTGGGGGGGAGGTCGTTGATGGCCTGCCAGTCATCGGTCAGAGCAGGGCAGCTGGCGGGCTTGTTGGTGGGCTTGTAGTCGCTGGAGTCAACACCCTTGGGGTCGGCCTTGGTAACCTGAGACTGGAGAGCGCTGAAGTCCTTGAGCTTGGTAACCTGGTTGTTCTTGACGGAGACGAGACCTGGAATCACGTTAGTTATGCGATATCAAGCCATCTTAAAGAAAAGAAACTCACCGTAGTCGTTGGCCTCCTCGAAGAACATGTAGACGATACCACCGCTGAAAACCTCAGTCATGGTGTCAGAGTACAGGGCAGCAGTCTCCTGGAAGATACGGTTGGCAGCACCGTCGGGCAAGTTGCAGCCGTACTCGGCGAAGAAGACGGGAACGGAGTAGTTGGAGAAGAAGGTGGTCTGCTCGTCGTATCCGGACTTTTGCATGGAGCTCTGGCCACACCAAGAGTAGATGTTGTAGCCCCAGAAGTCGATGGCGGAGTCCTGCTCGCCGCAGTTGAAGTAGTCGGCAATCTCGGCACGGATGTCGACGTCGTCGTTGGCGGCGTAGCCAACACCTTGCCAGCGGTAGTTCTTGGACTTGATGTAGGCCTTGGTGTCGCGGACGGCGGCCTTGACGTAGGCAGAGGCGCCGGTGTTGTTCTTGGCGTTGGAGACCTCGTTACCGGCAAAGTAGCCAATCACGTTGGAGTACTGGGACATCTCGTCGACGACGGCCTTGTAGCGGGCGAAGAGGTCGGTGTTCCAGCTGGGGGTGTCACGGTTGATGGACAGGGAAGGCTCTCCCAGGTCGGAGAAGACGTAGATGCCGGCATCGTTGAGGAGCTTCATGCAGGCGGAGTGATCGGCCGTGGCGTCAATGGCGTAGGTACGGATCACGTTGGTGCCCAGCTGCTGGAGCAGAGGAATGTCACGCTTGCAGTTGGCCTCGCTGGAGAGAGGGTCGATGAAGGTCGAGTTGCCAGAGGTGGTGGTTCCGGCCTGGCCGACATCCTGCTGGTACGCAACACCCTTGATGAAGAACTGGGTGCCGTTGGGGTAGAAGAACTTGGAGCCCTATTTTTTTGACATCGACAATCGACGATTAGTGGTTGATCTTTGGAGTTGGCGAGTTGAAGATCTGGAGAAGGAAAAGTGGAAAGTGGCTGCTCACCTTGGCGGTAATGGACGGCAGATCAGCAGAGAGGGCGCTGCCAGCCAGGGCGAGCATAGAGACGGAGAGCTTAGACAAGCTCATTTTGACGATTCTTGATGGTTTTGAAATGCGATATTTGCGTTGTTTCTAACGATTGGAAGTGCTGAAGAGCAACAAGGGAGTGGTTAGAATGGTAAAAGTTGATGTGGTTGGTGAAGCACCGAAATGATTGTTGTTTCTAAAGAGTGTCTGAAAGGCCAACTGTACGAGGCGGCCACCCTCAAAAATGATGAATTAGCTACAAAATCAAAAGAAAGATGCGAAAAAGAGATCTGGTCCGACCAAACGGCGCCATGGAGCAGGCGGCGAGTGTTTTGTTGTCGCGCCAGGAGAGTCGGAGGATCCAGGGCAAGGGGAAATTAGATGCGACAGAACAGGGGTCACCCCTGGCTAGCAGGCCTAGGCAAGGTACCCGAGCGCCTACCTGCCCTGAAGCCATTGATCAGTGGATGATCCATTTGCTGTACGGAGTACTACATACCTGTAGCCACTTGCACTACTGGGACTAATGGGAGGCGCAGTTGAGGAGACTTGGAAGCTTGTTTTGGGCAGATCAGGGCCAATGGCGGCTCCGTTCAGGGGGTCCGCGACCCCAGATCCCCTGTCACAGGACCCCTGGCCTGCATTTGGACGGTGCGAGCGAGCGAATTAGAAGATCGAGTCGCCACTGTTGCATGTGCCGTCGTTTCTTAGCAAAATATCACACACGAGCTGCCGTATTTTCGCTAATTTTTGCTAAGAAACAACTCTACACGAGCCTTCTTGAAGCCGAATTCCTGCACTGTGTGCCATCAGGTGTAGGAAAGGTGTGGACCCCAGCTCGCTCTGGTGAGAAAATACGGAAAGGGGGCTTTTGAAATGCGACTAAAGAGATGCTCTCCACAGGCGTATTTCCCCTGACTACTGTACATACAGCACGACAATGCGAGGCGAGGCGAGGCACGTTACAGGTCCCGTCTGGGCGAAATGAAGCAATAAAGTGACATTTGACTGCTCGCAGAATGATCTTCACGCTCGCGGTCCTTGCATATTCTGGGCGACTGCGTTCCAAATTAGCATGGAAATGAAGCTCTCGGGGTTCCTAGTGCTTGGCACATGGTTTTGCTTGTCGAGGCACTATTTTTTCTACATTTCTTGTCACGAATACAATGAGAATGCGTGGTGATTTGATTCAGCCGTCTTTTACGAGGTACTTGGCATTTGCTTGGATTTTGCTTGGTATCAATTACAGCCCTCTCCCTTTTTCCCTCGGGTGACGCGTCAAGGGCCTCCAAGTCTCATCTGAGCCTCTTTTCACATGCGACAGGCCGTGCTCGCCTTGTCTTGGCCAGCCTTGTTGGCACATGTTGCTTCATTGTTGCAAAAATATCTGTGCTTGCTTCCATGCTGTAACTGTAACCTCCATACCATACCGTACAGAAAAAAGATTCCACCCTTCCTCCAGCCGAGCCTCTCTCTCTCTCCAACCTGATGCTGTTTCGCATCGAAAAAGCGGCTAGCCCAGGAACCAAACATGCCCCCCGGCCCACCCTCGTCTGACACTCGCATTATTCCCTCCTCTCTTCGCCATTCTTTTTCGCTGCTCCTCTTCTCGATCCAGTTCTATTTTTCCCATTTTCGGGACCTCGGTGCCGTAGTGGCTGAGGAGCTGCGCTACTCCGTTCAACTGCCCTTTCGGACTCGCGATTCGTGAACGTTGCTCTTTTCCTCCCTTTCTCGGAGCCACGGCACACTGATGAGCAGCGCTTCGGATACGGCCCGTTTAGGAGCCGACTATCCGGCCCTGGAAGTTGCTCCGGGGCTCATTCACGCTGCTTGTTCTTTTTTTTGTTTCTTTTTCTATTTTCGCCTAGGTAGGTGAAGATGCGAGTTTGAATGGTGCTCGGGTCATCCGTATCGTAATGCAATCTGCTCTCTAAAATGGGACCACTCGCTTATGCAATGCCGCAAAGTATGAAATCGATAGAAAACATTGAACTTATCCCCTTCGTACTTTGTAGTAAAAGTCGCCAATGCTGCAGAGCACTTCGTCCCAAAACCTCATGGCGCTCCAGTTCTCTCGTCTTGGGCGGTGTCGATCGCGGTTCGACAAGTCCCGGCGGTGGTAGTGCCCACACGCATGGTGGTAGACGAGCTCGCCTTCAGACATATTTAATACGAGTAATACTGATCTGCGCGGAAGTGCGTTGCCACGGATAGCAGATGCCGGAGACTGAAACAGTCTGTGCTTTTTCAGCTGGAGTGATGCTGTGATGTGGTTGCTTTTATTGTATCAATCGGGTGCTGATTGGCGTTTGACAAAAATACGTGTAATTTGAGCTTGCATCGAATTGTTTTGGTGGTGATGGATGCAGGTGTTGATGTCAAGAGATGAAAACAGCAGAAACAACCATCAACGGATGATGGGTTCACCGCTTTATTTATTCTTGTTCCTTCCTGGATTCCTTCTGGCCCAAATAATACATGATCAACTCTGTACGTTTCAACCAGTACAATATGATTCTGCCTCGTGCCTTGGCTTGAAGTCATTTCTTGGTCATCTGCGTCGCCGGCGCCGTGACGGACAGTCACGAAGGATTCCGGCCGCCAGATCGGGTGTCCACTATGCCGATCATATGCATGTCCGAAGGCAAATTCTGTGACCTGAGGGGACTTTCCCCCAACATGCGATCATTGGAGCGCTCTTGTACCGCAGAGCATTACAGCCAAGAGAGGCGCTGGTGGTTGGACCCTACATGCGTTGGCTTGTACTGCACGTTCATGAGGCTTCCAGCTGGGCTCTCAAATAGGCCAGAACCAGAGCTGTTTACCCTACAAGCATAATGAGAGCATCAATTACGGCGCCATATACCAATTAATTGTCATGCGATTTGTCAGTAGAGGGTATAGTATAATATTGTGGGCTTTAAATGAATAGCAATGTATCCATATAGCGCTTGCTCTTCGAGAAATCATAAATGTTGTCTTTTATTACAGCTACCTGATAGAGTGTGCGGTAGCAATCTGGAGATGTGAATTGGAAAACTCCATACTTGAACAAATTGGCTAGCTAGTATTTTACATCATGGCAAATCGAGAAAAGGCACACGTAGCGACGAGGGGAAAAAAAAAAGACATTTCATATCAGTCGCTAAAGACAGCAATACGACAAATTTGGTCGAGCTTGCTTCTGCTCAAGTGCTGTTTGATGCTCCCAACGCAAGGCTGCGATCACCGACCGACGCCCCCACTACAGCTCCTAAACATCAATCATCAATAAATAACCGCCTTTGATTATTCTTGATATAAATTCACTACCGTTCAGGCGGACAGAACGATAGATTTGTTATCAGCTCTGCCCGCTTGTCATCGTGGCTGCTTGTTTCCCAATGGTTTTGAGGTCGGGAGAGGCACGACAAGCCACTTCAGGGCCAGCCACCAAAGGATCCATGTAACCAAAACCTCACACTTCAACCAACCTCCAGGCAGCTCTCCCCGCTTGCGACCCAGCACCTGCAATGGCGAATGCAATACGATAGAAGTATTCACTTCTTGCAGCCTTATTTCTTTCAGCATCAGATACGACGTCCACCCACCTCCAGCCTGTTGCGCGCAAACTGCGCATGACAAAGGCAGCTGGCTGCGATCTTGTCTGCCCCGCATCGAGTGCCGCACGCGATTCACGACTTTTCCAACACAACCATGAATCCAAGCGGCCTCGGGGCGTCCATGTGGGCGTCAGCCAGACGACGCCCCTACGAGCGATCTTTCGACAACCGCTCGAAATCCATGCCCCCCGTTTCAGCCTTGCCGACAGAGCCAAGCTCCGAACCGACGGCCGTCCTACCACCCTCAGCCTCGTCCGCCTCGCTGTCGCCGATCCAGGCCTTTCACAGATTCGAGCAGGCATGCCAGCGCCTGCGGTGGAAGTACATCGATCTTGAGTCCTCGTACCAGCGCGCTCTGTCTCCGCAAGACTACGGCTTCTCGACGCAGGACGCAGAGGTCAACTTCAAGGTCGATTTTCACGAGTTCTACGTCCGCATCGAACAGGCGCTGGTGTTTGTCCTTTTCGTCTTTGGCATCACTGTTCCTCGGGGTAGTGGCGGGCCGAGAAGCCAGGCGGCGCATACATATCATCATAACGTGCTCAAGACGTTGGAAGAGGAGGATAATCCGCTGTTCGAGGCGCTGGGAAGAGGAGATGTCAATCATGCGCTGTGGAAGGCCAAAGAGTTGCGGAATCGGTGGAAGGATGCGGCCGAAGGGAGGGAGACGCCGCCGCTCAAGATGTATGATTTGACATGGATCGTTAGACAAGTGCTCGGAGGCCTGGAGGTGTCATATGGCATCGCGGCTGGGAGGATTGAACAGCTCAGGATGGAGGGTGATGGGCTCGCAGAGAATGGAGGCACAGGCGGCGAGGCGGAGAATGGCGATGGGTGGGAGTGGATGGTAGAGATGGATTGGGAGGCGTAAAAATATATACGTTGGATGAGCGTCTCCATCTGCTGGACGGTTGGAGTTTTCTTGTATGATACAATACCCACATATGCACATAAGCCGGCGATTCTAGGTGGGAGCAAAATAGGTTGCTGTTATAGCACGGTCTTTATATATAGAGAAGCCGAATATTGAAGAAACGCATTTAATGTCATTTACATATAATTTCAGTATTCTTCCTCCTTTAATTTGTCTACTTTCCCCTTACGAAATGCCTTCCTTAGATCGCATTTACCATCATTTCGTCCTCCAGAGCGACACTCGGCGCACTTTTTGCCGTGGTTGACCAACAAGATATGCAGTCCGTATTTGTCTTCATCCGGCACCCTTGCTTCCAAATGTGCCTGTGCCTCCTCTCTGTTTGCCGTGGCTGGCCGCCATCCTAAGAGCCCTGTTATGCGATATACGTGAGTGTCCACTGGGAAGCTATCCCGCTGCAAACAGAACAAGAGAACGCAGCTCGCAGTCTTGGGTCCCACGCCTTGAAACGAGAGAAGTTCGCGCATGGCGGAATCATTAGAAGCGTGAAGGAGATGATCTAGAGAGTAGCTCCCATATCGAGCTTTTGTCTGGCAGAGGATGTTCATGATGACTTTGCTTTTGACGACGCTGAGACCGCCTGACTTGATCGATTGCTGCAGTTTCTCTGTTCCCCCTTCAACAATCGCCGCCCAGTTGTCACTCCCCCCGTATGTTTCGTCCATGGCGAGCTTCGCTCGAGTACTATTCTTATCACTCGTGTTCTGACTCAAGATCGTCCTAACAAGGGCATCGAGAACGGATGGAGAATCCCCACAACCGGCGCGCGTACTTGGAGCGACGACGGCTTCTGCTCGGCGCTTACGCTCGCCGTGGAGAGACGCGAGGATACGATGAGCTAATGAACATTCCTGAGGTGTCGGATGGGGAAAATCTGGGAAAGGAGATGTTTGAGAATGAGCCGTGAATGATTTGAGCTTGCGGGCTTGAAGGATGGCGGCCTTGTCTAGGGATTTTGGTGGAGGAAGTGGTTTAGTCGTAGAGAAGGGTATTTTGGATATGGATAGATCTGATGTGTTGAATTTGGATTCTGATTTGATAGATGAAGCTGCGTCTTTGATGTTGAGGTTGATGTTGGCTTCATGCTTCTTGATGTTGCGGAGGCTGCGCCTTGGAGGCGGCGATTCTATAGCTTCTTGTTTCATGGTTGAAGGAACTGTTAAGAGGGAATGATGAATGATGTTAGGTAGTGATGTATAAAGCTTGTTTCTATAGATTGAAAGCGGTTTCTCTAAAATGTAATATTTAATGAAGCCATTGGCGGTGTAAGATGAGAAATGTCAATGTGAAGTCGATGAGGTCAACGATTGCCACCATGACTAAGCTGCGAATCGGTACAGGTAACTGCCCCTTCATACCTTTCATAATTGCACCCGAATGTCTTACATGGCCCAGAAAACATCTTTCAAATCTAAGATTGATCTACTTACTGAAAATGGCTTTGTAATGATCAATTTGGACAATGAGACTCTGGCCTGACTTGTGGACGCCAATTTAACTGCGACCCAAGTCTTCTATGTTCTTAGCGTCAGCCGTAGTTGTAGAAAGATTGTGCGAGTTTGCGGGCCTGGCTGAAGGGGTACTAGGTTGATGACTCTTAGGTATTTTATTTTATTTTATTTAATTCTTCTTCTTTTTCGGCTTTTTTTTTTTTTTGTTTTTTTTTTTTGGCCTCGATTCGTTGATTGGCATTTTTGATCGGCTTCCCCATCACTACCTTGCCGCTCGAGAAGATGGGTCGAAATACATCATCAGCTTCAGGTACGTTGGTCAAGTTATGTAGCCTGGTTAAATATCTCACTTTTCTTGTGGTGACGCCCTGCATAGTATCCTGGCAAAAATAGCCTACAACTCTCTTCTGGCAAGTGTCTTGACCATGTCCAGGTATCAAGCAGTGATTGCAAACAAATTTCCATCTGGAGACTATGACGATGCTGTCTAGTGATTTAAGGCGATTATACGGCGTACAACTCTGCATATTTGTCTAAAATGTTACTGTAGTATCCTAGTAGTCCAGTAATTGAGATCGGCTTGGCGTTATCAGAGGCCAGTGGAATCTGAGGGGCAGAGTCATTATGAATCATGAGTGTGGATACTACTATTACTTTGCTTGTACCTCCTGACATGTCTATGAAATTTAACTATATCTACTCGATCTATTTATATCTACTCTATCTATCTATATCTGCTAGATCTATTAATATATACTGGATCTATCTACATCAACTGGATCTATTATTGATATGAACTAGTCTGCTCAAATAGTCGCGGTGGTGTATCTATCTTTGTGAGGATTCCAGAAGATATATCGTCGACATATTGGGCGAATATGCGAATTGGTCATCTTCTGACGAAGACGACGAGCTATCATCACCTAAAGACACTCCGCCATTCTCATCATTATCAAGCAGCTCTGGATTTTCGCCATAGTAATCATCATTACCTTTCTCCTCATCGTCGTGGCGTGGCGTTTTATGCTGGCCAGATTGATTATTAGGTCTGCGACTCTGAACATTCAACCGAATCTCGTAACGGCACATCCAGGAGGCGGATCAAGAACGTTCAATTTTTCCACACCGTCTACCGAACCTTTGCTGAATTGCGTATATGTCTTACCCGAGACAATTTGGTATTAAAACGGGTAACCATTAAACTGTGAGTAGGACTGAACAGAAGTGGGGATGAGTATATCTGCATCGGGGCGAGCTCCATATGCTGCCGAGTCCTGAAGGCGGCCTTATCTCGAGATTCCTCTTGGACGGCCGAAACAATGAGCTGAACCACCAAAATGCTCTGGCCGCCGTCTGGGCGTTATATTGCATAAATCGGCTCGCATCGTATATCATTTTTTAAAGCTCCTCTGCTGCAGAGCGTTTCTGCTGTAGTTAGTTTGGTATACCTCTTTATGGGATAAAGAGTCCGCGGCTTACCTTTAGCAATTCGTTGAGCCTCTGGAAATAGTTTCCCTGCGTAGGTGGAATGGCGCTGGGCAAAGTTAGACTAGCTTCTTGGAAGATTGGCCTGATACCGGAGAGGCAAACACCGTTGTTCATGTCGAGAAACGAGTTCAAAACGTCAGCGAAGTCAGCGACTCAATCCAATCTCTCTAAGGGCGACATATCCAAGATGTCAAGGGCTCCGGACGGCAAATTGTTTGCATCGTGGCCAAGGATCTTATCTCAAAATCGGCCCCAATCGATGCACAGGATCTCGTACACACATAACACGATCATGGCGAAGCAACGATAGCCAAGGCGACTTTTGTCTCTGTACACATGAAGGGCTAAGAGTTGTCTGATACAAAGCAGTGAATATACAAAAGTCATCATCTTTGTCATTTTTCCTCTGTGAACTTAAGTATTCATTCCAACGTTCAAATGTGGCCTCAAAGACAAGTCCATGCAGCCATCTCCATTCGCCTTCATGACGCCTCTCAGTGCGCCACGGAACCGAGACTGGGAGTATCCTTGACACACTCAGGAATCGAAAACTCCGAATACACATGAGAAACTATGCATTACTTCATCGATTGGCATGTTTACCCCTCGTTCCTGGTACTTTTGGCGCAAATACTGATACTACCAGATAGGCAACTCTATTTAGCCTTTTAGGAACCATGAAAAGGCCGAAATTGCTGGCCTCAGCCCCCATATGCGGAGAACATGAACAGGGATCACAGCTCCCTCGGAAATCGTGCAGGCTGGGGTATTCAATATGTGCTGAAGACCCGGATTGATGGCCTCATAGTCCGGGATCGTGTCCACTAGCCTTATCCTTAGAACAATGAGATGAAGAGGACCTGGATGTTTTACCTGGGGGTGGATCTGCCAAATATTGGCAAACCCCGAGAACTCCATGGAATGCGCTGCTTTTGATCACGCGCGGCTTGCTCGCAGATCCTTCCGTTGTACTGCCGATTTATCGACTAATGTGTCTCATCGGACCGAAAACATTACAAACTCCTGGTCGTGACGATTTGACAAGCCTCTATCTCCAGTTCCGTGGAAACAGAGTTCTCCAGAAAGTTAAACGAAAGAAATATAAAAGTACTGTAGTACGATGGATTTCACTTTCGATATATATACTAGCAAGGAGTCGAACCTTCGAGGCATTGATCGTGGATAGTGTCTTGTTCTCATCGCAAAGCAACATGCCGTCTCTCAAAACACGCTTCGGCGCTCTTGCGCTGGCCACGGCATTTTTACCTCCTCAGTCATTGGCCACGCCAATTGATTCTTACGACTACATCATTGTTGGCGCAGGGACAAGTGGACTTCTCTTGGCCAATCGCCTGACCGAAGACGCCAATCTCAACGTTGCTGTCATTGATCCTGGTGCCGATGAACGAAACAACACAAACGTTGTCAATCCGCTCGCATGGCTGGGATTAAGTGGGACATCTGTCGACTGGAATTATTCGAGTGTTCCTCAGGAATACATTGGTGGAAGAGTTCTCCCGTACGATGCAGGTAAGGGGATAGGTGGGACCAGCTTGATAAATGGTATGAATGCACGAAGCCCTTAAATGGAGATGGGATCAATACTGAGTCAGCTAGGGATGACATATATTCGAGGAGACCAGGCGCAATTCGATTCCTGGGAGGATCTCAATCCTGGGTCAGGATGGAATTGGGATACCATGCTACAGTACTACAAGAAGGCTGAGCGATTCTTCCCTCCCTCGTCATGGCAGGAGGCTGTTGGCGCACTATATGAAGAGGAATACCATGGATCCTCAGGAGGAATTGACGTCGGCTTCAGCCCAGTCCTGCTCAACGGCTCTTTTTACGGAGACGCCAAGACCGCTTGGGCAAATCTCGGCCAATCTCTCGACAAAGATGTGAATAGCGGACACACGGCTGGATTCGACGTTTGGCCACAGACTCTGAATCCAATCAATAACACACGATGCGATGCTGCCACGGCGTTTTACTGGCCTGTACAAGATAGACCAAACCTGACGTTAATCAACGGCACAGTTTCTAGGATTCTGTGGAAGAATTACACGGGCTCGACTCCTGAAGCGTCTGGCGTTGAGTACGTGATGCCGAATGGACAGAACAAGACTATGAAGGCTGAGAAAGAAGTAATCTTGTCCGCAGGTGCCCTGCGTACGCCGCTTATTCTTGAGCTCTCCGGTATCGGTAACCCAAGTATTTTGGAGGAATTGGGCATTGAGACGGTTGTTGACCTACCAGGCGTGGGAGAAAACATGATTGATCAACCTAACATGGCCCTGTCCTACTCGACCAACACCACATTCCCCGGATACGCACCGTATGCTACATTTGTTAATGCTACTTCTCTTTTCGGGGACGGCTTTAAAAGGGTATCTGATGTAGCAAAGCTGCTCTTACCGCACTGGGCACGGCAGATTTCCAAGGAGACAAACAGAGCTTTAAACGCCACGGCAGTCGAGCAACTCCTTCGAGTTCAATACGATCTAATATTTGAGAAGGATGTTACCATTGCTGAAATACTATCTACTGCAAGTGGCACTGGCGCTTTTTCAGCGTACTGGGGTACTCTGCCTTTCAGCCGTGGGAGTGTACACCTCAACTCGACCGACGACATCAACACACCCAAGATCAACCCGAGATTCATGGCTATAGACTTTGACATGATTGTTCAAATCGCCATCGGACGCCTTGCAGCAACGTTCTGGAATACCCCGCCCATATCTACCAGTATCGAGACTGAGTTGCAGCAAGCTCTTTCGCCAGACGCTTCATGGAATCAATGGAAGAACTTTACAGACAGCACCCTGATATCGAACGCACACCCCATTGGGACCGCGGCGATGCTTCCGAGAAAACTTGGCGGAGTTGTCGATCCGCAGCTCCGCGTATATGGCACGAAAAATGTGCGGGTGGTGGATGCTTCTGTGATACCGTTGCAGATCAGCGGACACCTTACTGCTACACTGTATGCCATTGCGGAGAGGGCAGCGGCGGAATTTATTGCTCCAGCTCGGGATGCTGTGTGATGCGAGATGCTACCGTGATGTAAGGGATGTGGGGGTGTAATGGTGTTGTGAGAGATTTGTCCTGTCAGTTGAGTCTTTACATGCTACATTATGAGTCTTTTAGTGAATCAATTAATGAATGCTGATTCTTTCATATATGATTGTACAATCTATCGAATAACTATTTCGTCACTAATAGTCATGAGCCGGTTCCGCAGTTCTCGTTTCCTCGTACTCCTTGCCACCCCATAACCGTGAATGAGACGTCTACATCAAGGCAGTGTCTCATTGCCCCCTTGATTCGCCATCATCATCCCGTCCAAAGTGGCTGCAGCAAACTCACCTGCATGACATGCCCCTTCTCCGCATCCGAAGGCAATCTTGTAAGCGGGACAAGGCATCGTCCTCAGCAGTTCGACCACGTATCCCAAGCCACGCGATGCCGCGCAACGAATTAAGACAATGCTCTTCAATTCAACAAGCCGCTCTACCCCTCGTGTCAATCGATCGTCCCTCCGATCTAGTTGCTTTCCGAGTTAGAAGAGGAGCTATAGTCTGACAGGTTGAAGGTTAAAAATGTTAGTCGGCTGTCGCACCCGTCATCACGGTTTCTATATGGGGATGTCTCACATGGCGCAGCCAATACGCAGCGTCGGGTTGGACAAGGTCTCCGAAAAAGTATAATCGTGTTGGTATAAATGCCCGTCTTGTTCCCATTCGAAAAAAAAGGGGCGAGGTGATGTGTTTGACAAGGGAGACATCTTGATTCTGCTTATTGGAAGTTTTCGCAACGCTGCTGAAGGGTTTCCACGATGGTGAGCCTCGTCGCTACACTTGCTTCGCCGCGGGATTGGCCTGCTAGCGCTTTGCTGCTGGCGGCTACTCTTGTTATCTCGCTTCTTGTTCGTTTGTTGAGGCGGCCTGGCCTCCCTTCGGGTGCGTCCTTTACGGAATGGGGTGTGCCGTTCATCGGCTCCCTCAACTTCTTCACCAAGAGAGGCGATTTCCTGCGAGAAGGCACGAAACGTAGCCCCAACGGCTACTTTAACTTTTATTATGGCTCGTATCCTATCGTTGCTCTCTCAGGAGAAAAAGCTCGCTCGGCTTATTTTAACACGAGAGGTCTTGATCTGAGCGCTGGGTATGAACTCCTTCCTTGCATAAACACCTGCGTTCGGGGCGAAAGAGACTGACCAAGCCGTAGATTCAGGAAACTCTTTTCTGCTGGCCCTGACATTGACCACATGCTTGGCTGCAATATGAGTGCTTACTTTATAGTACTCTTCAAGAAGCTTACCGGCAAGGAACACTTGGCCACTTGTCTTCCCTACCTGAATAAAGACGCCCGCGATGCCTTCTCCGCAATCGATACGTCTGTTCCCATGGATCCTTTTGTAGTTCTTTATGATTTACTCTACAAATTCACTCATCGCACCGTCGGCTGCCATGACGTTGCCGAAGACCCTGTGCTTCAAGAGAAGACGATGCGGTTGTACGAGAAGCTGGATAAGACTGCCGCCATACAGGTCATGTTTCCGTGGCTACCCACGCCTACGAAGCTCAACAAGTTATGGGCGGGGGCAAAGTTGCATATGCTCTTTGGGGATATAATACGGGAGAGGAGAAAATCTGGCCGTAAAGCAGAGGACGTGATGCAATACCTGATGGACAAGGGAGAGAGCGATTTGCTGTCCTCGGCCGTAAGTATCTGACTTGATGGTTAATGTAATATGAACTAACCGGCTACTGAATAGTTCATTATTGGCGCTTTGTTCGCAGGCTTGATCAATACGGGAGTCCAGTCTGCATGGATCCTTTGCTATCTCGCTTATGACCCCGTTTGGTATGCCAAGGTCAGAGTTGAAGTCGACGCAGCTGTTGAGAAATACCGGACTTCAGACGATCAGACACCCGTAGATGTTCTAGCAGGACTTTCTCTCGAGGCATGGGAGTCAGAATTCCCTTGTATCGACTTTGGAGTGCGGGATAGCATCCGACTGAATCTCATGGGAGCTTCAATTCGCCAGAATACTTCCGGGAAGGATATTGTGCTAGGTGATACTGGTGTCGTTGTCCCGAATCAAGCTTTTGCGGTGAGTTTTTAGCCAAAGGGTAAGAGTAGGCGATGCTGATATTTTTGTTGAAAGGTATATCATGTTTCCGATATCCACATGGACGAGGCCATTTACAAAAATCCTCTCAAATGGGATCCTGGGCGATATTTCCCCGAAAGAGGAGAAGATAAGAAGCGCCAGCATGGATATATCGGCTGGGGAACTGGATTGCATCCATGTTGTAAGCAGATTCTGATGCTCAATCCGTTGTGATTTGGATGCCAAGCTAACATTGACTTAGTGGGCATGAGAGTATGCATGAGAAGTGATGATGAGTGAACAAAAAAGCTAACGAGTTGATAGATTGCAAAACTGGAATTGTTTGTTTCTACGGCCACCTTCTTCGCCATGTTTGACTTTAAAGCTGTGGACAAGAATGGGAATCTGGCGACGGGGCCGCTGCCGTCTTATGATAGCAATGCTCTGGCGGCGAAGCGTATGATTGACACGGTCTATTTCAAGTGCGATCGCAGGTTCTAGGTAAGAATTGCGAACGGAAATAATAGTTAAGATGATGGTAGCGAAGATGGAGAGTGGGTTTCCATATTCCATGTATTGGCGGCGCAGCGAGGAGAGGGACGCGATGTTTAGTCACAGTGCGGCGTATTCTTTTTGAAGAATGAATAGCTTAGGTGTTGAGACTATCTACCTTCCATTCGTGTCTATTGGCTTTGCTTAGGTGTAGGCCCTGATAGGCATAAGTTCTGCTAGGCGGAAGTCTTCTGTTGCATCTCGTGTTCAATCTGTGCGGCGAGTGATGCTGGCGTCTGGGCACCCGTATTGCGAGTCCGCTCCTAGCCACATTGTTAGCAAGATGTCTCTAGATATAAGACCCCATATTATTTACCACAAAGTCCTCCTTGTCGGGATCTTCCAAAGGCATCTTGTTTTGATCTTGTGTCGAAGTGATTTTTGGGGCGAGATTCCGCTGCTTTGCAAGGAGGCTCTGAGATGGTGCTAGATTCACTATGAGCATGGATGAACTGATGAAGAAGGAAGATACTGATAGGGGTTGATGTACATTCCGTTGTGCTCGTGACTGGGCCTGGATAAGTTGGAGGAAGCTGCTGCTGGTAAGCAGATTGGCCTGCTTCGCGATTCGTCATTGTTAATGAGAAGATGGTTTGCAGGATATTGAGCTTGTAAGGAATTTGATACGACCGTGGAGTGTAGAAGGCGAAGATGAAGGTGAAATTCTGCTGTGAAGATGTGATGTTATTGTTGCTATAGTGATATATCGTCTTGCAGTGATTCACTCGACCAAGGTCCCGTGACTTATTAAAGTTCAACATATTCCCTTTTTTACCCTATCGATTAACTCATGGTTTGCATTTAGAGTGATACTTGGGCAGAAAAAGTTGGTCCTTTAGTAGTCCAACAGCGGCACAAGTCAAGCCTATGTCCCTCAAGAAGATGCCAACCATGACTGTTGGTGCTGGCATCTCGGATGCTGCTCCTAGCGGACAATCTCCTTGTCTGGATACCAAATCAAGATGTCGAGATGCACGAATACCAACTAAATCTCTGGCCACTAACGCAGGTATGAATGGCCAGGCAAAAGCATTGCACATGACGCGTTTATATGCAAGTTTCATCTTCCATACATTTTGAGCCTAGCGCCTTTAGTATTTCTGTTTGTTCAACTTTGCCCTTCGCTTTCCCTTCCCTGATTACACTTTTACCCCTTATATAATAGTAGTTGCTTGAGCAGCCCTCGATTCCATTCTTTATTACAGACTGCACGACGAAATCAGCAGCACAGATCGGATGGACGATCCTCTTCTGAAGCCTTGAAATTCGAGATAACCAAGGGCCAGTTAGTCAGACGCCTTTCCCTCAGCATATAGCCAGCCTCTCAGCATGCGATTTCCGTTGTCCGATTTCTGTTAAACAATAGCCTCTTGTCTTTACTAACTTAGGTCGTTAAGTCTAGGTATACTCGCCCCGGTCCCTAACTGACAACAGTATCGGTTTGTTATGCTTAAATAAACCACCTCTGAAAGATACACGAGAACGGTTCATCTTGAAACACCTGGTTGCCAGTCCAGCGTCGGTGCTGCAACTACAGCACAGACGTAGAGGTCGACTTATGTTCCACGCCAGCAGTTGACATTGCACTACTTCTTCATAACGCCCTGATGTGGTTTTCTTGTTGGATCTTGAGCTTTATAGCTCCTTCATCTCCACAACGTTTGATGTGAGTGCTCTTCCAGAGACTACTCAAGTGCAGCTTACTCACTCTCTCTTAGTTCACCTTACTGGACTACGCAGACCTGCCTGTTCAAAAGATCAGACTCGACCCAACGAGAAGCCTCATATGTCGCATCTGCTTCTGATCCAAACTTTGAGGTGTCATGTATGAGCAGTAGAGAGAATGCAAGGTAGTTTGTTCTCTGCAAGCAAAGCATACATGGCCATTTCCCGGTCCTGAGCCGTTCCGTGATGAACCCTCTCTGTCGTGCGATTGGCTTGGCTTGCGCTGCATGCTACTAGGGTATCAAGCGGAGGTCAGACAAAGCGAGACCGCAAAATGAATAAGTGCATATATCCAGCAATATACATGTAAACACCTAATCAGATCATCAAGTTGTGCTTTTGTAAGAGGGCGCCTATTCAGCTAGCGCTGGAAATTTACTATGTAGCTATAGTAGCGGTTACTAGAGAAATATAGATATAGTAGCAGATACTTGAAGAACTGGTGTATAATTTCTCGTTTGGGTGTTCGAAATCTTCGAGTGCCCTCGCTGTTGTATAACCAATTATTTGGCAGCGAGTCCCTGTGTTGCCCGGGCAGATGCAGAGACTGAGGCTCTTATTGCGGTGCTCGTTGCCCGTGGCCATTTTATGCAGTGCCCGATTTGTCGGTAAACCTATGAATGGACTGGCGGTTGCAATTACATCACGTAAGCGTCTGTGTGAAATATTTAATCGTTCTGTTGCTAATTCTTTTCTTTTATTTCCAGCTGCTTATCTTATTTATGTCGGTATTATGGTGTCGTCGCTGTGGACTAGGGACTTTCGATTTCAATGCCGCTCTCCACTACAATCACGGTAACTGCCAGGGTCATTGGCAACAGTTCCAAGATGATGAGTTGAGGGATATCCCCATCGATGTCGCTGCAAACTCATGAACAAACGCCAGACAATCTCGCTGTGGTGGTCGCTGACCGCACTGTTGCTGTGTCGCGTCTTTTCCCACTTGGAGTGGACCGCGATCCTGAGCGTGAAAGGGTGATTGATCATTGCGCTCACTACTCCGTCTTGGCGGATGCGAACAGGGCGGACAGGCGCCGGTGGATCTGTGAATTGTGCCGAAGCCATTTGCCACGACTCTGGGCTTGTACTACTCGCTGCGAGACGCGGTTGTGCATGCGTTGCCGGGATCAAAACCAGTGGGTGAATCGGTGAATATGGTTCATCTACTTTCGGTGTTGCGTGTTCTCTAGATGCAAAGAGTCATTAGTCTAAATGTCACAAAACTCGTTCATAACCTACCTGAAGCTCCTGTTGTAGATTTAGTGTGGCTTTTCCGCTGCATCTTGAGCTTTTACAGTCCCTTCATCTTGAGAACTTGACGTAAGCGCTCTTCCAGACTGGAGACTACCCAAGTGTAGCTTACATGTATGTACTCACTCTCTCTTAGTTCACCCTACTGGACTCGACCCTCGGAGTACGTTTCTGAGGAGAATTCTTTTACGTATCTTGTCGTCTCGCTGGAGACATTCTCTTTCCCCCCAAGGAGAAGCCTCACATGCCACATCTGCTTCTGATCCAAATCGCGTAATCCCGACACATCGTATCAATCTCGCTTCTCCCTCGTTACCAGACGTACGTTCTACAGTCACCATTAGACCAGCTTGGACAGTGCTGATCCGCAATCTCAGATCATGTTAACAAGCACCCAGTCGCGTTTACCAAACCCCACAGACCACTGTGGCTCCCGTTGAACTGCAAGCCCATGCGTGCGCGGACGCAGCTCCGGTGACAGGGGAGAAACCCCCCACAGCCGCTCCGTTGATCAACTTCGCCGCTCGAGAGAACGAGATCGACTACTAGCTCGCCTTATCGTCTGTTCCTGGAATGATACAGGCCGCCGCCGGGATTCTGAGAGTCCAACCCAAGCTGAGGTGACAGATGATGGAGCCCACCACGCAAATTCATCATCATCACTATCATCAAAGGTCTAGCTTGTCCATCTGGGCTTGGGGACCTGGCAGCAACTTACCGTGGCCGCCTGACATATACTTCAACTCTTTTACTTCTTCGTAAAACGTTTTAATGTATGAGCCCTCACTTTCTGAGTGAGCCTCATTACTCAAGAATGGATTGCCCATCGAATTCAAAGTCAATTGTTGGGATAGCAATATCACGCTGACAAATTTTGACACGACCAACAAACTGCCTAGAATCTTGAAAGTGGCATTTTTCATATCTACACACTGCAATATGTCATTTTACCATACACGCCGCATACCAGAATCTCACACACCTATTGGGTGTAATCAGATGGGAAACACGAAGAATAGATTCATGGTCGGATGTTTGTGCACGGACCACTGAACAAACGAGCAAAACACCTTCACCTGCGCCTTTCCTCCCTCCGCCTTTCTCTCCTCTCTACTCTCTTCCTACTCTTCTCATGATCCTTCAAGAATCCACCAAGATGGACGATAAGATCGATCAAGAAACGCTACAGATGATGGTATCCTTGGAGCTTCAGGATGCCGATTCACAAATGAAAGGAAAACACCGCGAGGGCGATCCTCCTCCCGATGCCGAAATCGCAGCTTGGCTCTATGAGCAAGAACTGTTGTCACTGGAGACATTTTACGCGGATCGTGACTTGAATAGCGGGTTTGCATCATCGTAGGATAATGATGACCAGCCTCAGGCCACTGCTGGACCTGCACCCAGACAAGAAGCACTGGCCGATCCGTTCACTACGGCTACCAGAGCCAGCTACCCTGAAGATTCTCAGCTAGACACCCAGAAAGGTAAAGCAAACGAACCCAACCAATGCGATAAAGCTAGTCAAGAGGATGAGCGCATGGTATTAACTGATTCCATTGCAGCCGCTGCTGTTGCCTTCACGGAAGCCAAAGAAGCCCCCGAAGCTGAAAAGCCCAACCAAGCCAAGGAATCCAAGAAAGGACGCTGTATCGTCTGCAAGGAAGAAACCCTCTTCACTGAGACTTTGAAGTACCCTGGAGGTCATATTTATTGTCACGGATGCAATGAAGAACGATTTCAATTAGCTATTCTTGATGGGCTTTTCCCTCCCCTGGATGCTGTGGCCAAGCAACCCCCCTCGGCGTGATACGGCAGGGAGAACAGGACTTGCCACTGAGTCGGACATTTCTGAATACGTTAGACTGGAGATTGTTGGAACTTTGAGGTGTCATTTATGAGCAATAGATTGAATACAAAGCAGTTTGTTTTCTGCAAGCAAACCATACACGACCATTCTCTCGTGTCGGGCTCTTTCGCGACAAACCCTCTCAGTCGTGCGATTGGCTTGGCTTGCGCTGCATGCTACTAGGGCATCCAGTAAGCAGATGCATGTAACAAGGAGCCAAAGGCTATTCCGACTTCAACTGTTCGTAAGGCTTACAGAGCCATTAGAAAGCGCTGCTAGAGCCTGAGCGGCATTACGCATCCTTCAATTTATTCCTACTTGAGGCAGTGCGGCCCGCCAAGAAGAGATCCTGTCACAATTACGAAATCAGCATAAGCATTGCGATCAGTCAGCGCAGATATTACCGTTGCAATTGCCCGGAAGCTGAGATGAAATGCGTACATATATTCAACTGTTCTTTCTGCAGTTGATTGACAACTCTTTTTACAAGTCTTTTTCACAATCCACCACACATCCACAAACTCAAACGCGCAAATTGATTGGCATATCAACTCATCGCCACCATGGCAACCAACACCAAGGTCGAAGAGTACCGAGCGCTATACGACTCATACCTCCAACACTGCAACTCACACAACTTTTCGGGGATGGAAAGTTTCTACACTTCTCCTTTAAACGTTAATGACGAGCCCTGGGACCCAAAGAAAGTCACGGCGCAATTCGAGCCGCTGGTGACTGCGTTTCCCGACTGGCACTGGGAGTTGAGGCATCTTACGATTGAAGGGGATTATCTTGCGTGCCATTTTAGAGTTACGGGGACGCATAAGGGGAGTTTTCAGGGAATTGAGGCTACTGGACGGAAGATTACGACGACGCAGTTTACGTTGTATCATGTGGTGGAGGGGAATAAGTTTGGGGATGTTTGGGATCTTGTTGATATAGAATCTGTTGTGAAGCAGATCTCTTGAGAGGAGGATGAGATGACAGAAGAAAGACATGTTGACGAAATTGCTTTCTGAAAGATGTGGATGGGGATGTGAGATTGAAAACGATGTGAGAGGTTCGCCACAACTTCGGTGCATCTTTACAAAGACTCAACGCTTGATCCGCCTTGTTACATGGGTCCCTTAACCACGGTGACTGTAAACAAAATCTATTCATAACCCAAGTAATCTACTTCATGTCTAAGCTGAAAAGACCTTCTGTACTTTGTCTGTGCATTTCCCAACCTTTCCCACTCTCTTCTCTAGCGCATTTGTCAACGGAGTCTTCGCTTTAATATAATCTACCAGCACCTCATCCAGCGTATCCAACACTACGAAATCACTTCTCTTGGGCAAGATGTTATCTCCGCCACCCGCAACGAAATCCACCGTGGCAATGACGTATTCCTTCTCCGGGTCGATTCTCTGTCCCGAAATCCTTGCATCCATGAGCATGAATCCAGGAGGATTCGATGGGTTATACTTGACGTTGAGGTTGTGCGAGATTTGGAACCAGGAGGAGAGCTTCTGGTTGTTGAATTGGTTGACGCGGGATACGCATCCTTCAAGGATCTGGAGGAGATCTTCGCCCGAGTAGGTCAGCTTGGTGACGGCGTTGCCGAAGGGGAACGAGGTGATGACTTGGCCTCGCGTGATGTTGCCGGCATCGATGGTTGCCCGAACACCGCCTGCGTTGATGAGTGCAAAGCTCGGCCTCTGGTCTTCTGGAGCGTCTGTGGTAAGATTGTAAAGGTACTCGAATGCGGCATCGGCCATGACCTGGCCGAGGAGACAGTCGCCGCTCTGGCAGGCAGTCTGGTCGAGAGTATTCTCAGTGGTGCCGATAATTTCGTTGGCAAAGTCTTCGAATGGGCCTCTCCACGCGGTGACCTTAGCTTGAAGATCGGGCTCCAGCTTGGTCGTGTTGTCCATGTGGATCGGAGCGCCTTGATATGCGAGAGCTTTTCCATCATCGTCAAAGGTGACTGAGATTGACCCCAGATTTTCTCCCCATCTCCACGAAGTCACGATAAAGACTTCGTTGCCAGCCAAATCGTCCACAATCGTCGGATACTTGCCCTGCGCACCCTCCATGTCTCCAAGCAGCGTGTGGCTGTGGCCGCCGATGATGAGGGACAGGCCTTCGGTCTGAGCCGCAAGCTGCTGGTCAATGTCGTAGCCAATGTGCGTCAAGGCTACAATGCGCTTAATGTCGGTTGTGTTGCGAATCTCCCAGATGGCCTTTTGAACCTCTTCCACTGGGTCGAGAAAGGTAGTCAGCTCGCCAACATGCGAAATCGTCGGAGTCGTCGGCGTTGTTGCCCCAATAACAGCTAGCCCATGCTCTTCAAAGATGTGGTAATTCTTAATCGTCGACTTGAGATCTGTATACTCGCTCTTCACATTGCAAGAAACAACAGGAAACGTCAAATTCTTCAGAAACAAGCCGAGCTTCTCATCGCCGCCGTCCCACTCGTGGTTCCCCAGCGTCATTGCGTCGAACTTGAGGTCGTTCATCATCTCGGCAATCTTCTCTCCGCCGTAGAATGAGTAGAACAGCGTGCCTTGAAATTCGTCACCGGCATTCAGCCATAGGTGGTCTGGGTGCTGGGCGCGCAGCTCGGTGACTTTTGTCTTGATGCGAGCGTAGCCGCCGAAGCATCCCTTGGAAGGGTCGGTGCAGTCTGTGCCAGCCTTGACGTACTGATCAAGATGAGCATGGACGTCGTTGACGTGGAAGAAGGCTGTTTGAGAGTGAGTCAGCGTAATAGATCTAGATGGGTGAGTAGTGAAGCGAAGCCTTACACATGTTGTAGTGCCCTTCATCGTCGATGCCTCGCTTGAGCAGCCGCCTGCTGTAGAGCACATCGTCTGCCACTGCACAGCCCGCAAGAGCTGACAGCACGACTGAGGCCTTCATGGTGGTTTTTCTGCCTCTCGAGATGCCCCCCCCACCGACTGGATTCTTCGTATAGCAACGGCCTAGTGAAGCCTAGCTGGAGAATCGCAATCAATCAGTAGCCAAAAAGCCTGGAGGTTGAAGCTCCTAGACAGTATCGATAAAGGCGCAAGACGACGAACGCTCGCTTTCTTATATGCGCTCAACTCTCGCCCGCCACGTTCTTTTGTTCACCGAGACTTGTGGGTTCGAACAGTTTTTTCTTACCTGCCTCCCTTGAAAGAACTTTTTGATGGCCAAGACTTGCTTTGACGAATGGGGCTTGTGTTGCCAAGGTCCACGTGGGTATGTCACGTCACGGTGCGGGAGACACTGTGTCAGCTTTCAGTTGGAGATGGAGTTTAAGCCTGTCTGAGCATTGGCATCGGCATCAGCATCTTATCTCGTTCGTTCATGCATCTTCATCTGCACTGTAACGCTCGCTTCAGCTCGGCATCGTCCGTCGGCGCTTATCCGTGAAGATGCAGGAAGGAAAAGTCAACTCATGGCACAAGACACCGATTGTGATGAGATGATAACATGACTAACATATGAATAAATTCTTGAAATGCTTATTTACCGTGTAGCATTCTGCAGTTGTTTCTCGATAATAGAGATTCATTGTTTAGTACCGGTTTAAACAGCTCCTTCTCCATGTTCTTGCACCCCATATCGCTCGACAAGCTTCAATGTCTCTTCCATTGAATCAATCATTGTGTTCTCCCCATGACAGTATCGGGCAACTTGCCACATGGTTCCTAGGTCGGAACAGGATGCGAAGGAAGCTCTTTAATTTACATCTCCCCAATTTTGTATCTGCCACCATGGCTGCCTTCTTCTAGTATCTATTATAATGGTATCTTTAAATATGAGATATAGGACGCTGGATAGCAAAATTGAGACACTAAAATGTAATTCCATATTTAGGGAAATGGTGGTTGTTGTGGAAAAACGCAGTATTGGTAATGAAGGTACCGCCTTGAACTTGACAGCTGTATGCCACTTAGGTAAAGTAGCTGATGAGCGTGCGGATTGTTTGCCAGCTGCGCGATGCCAGAGCAGGCCTTTTATGCCTGGCTGTTCTCCACACACTATAAAACCAGGACTCTTTTCTGCTCTCTTTCTCCTTTTCTCCTCTCATCACACACCTCAACTCAACGTTGTGGCTCTTGACGAACGCCAACACCAACACCACAACCTCCACTCAACAACCATACGCATTACACTCCCCAAAGCAAATAGGTCACGAAACGATCATGGCAAAACATCGTGATAATGATCCGATAGTCGAGATTTCCGACCCTCAGATCGCATGGGACGAGGCAGAGCTGGAGAGAATACAGACGGAGTTCAAGGCATTGCAGAAAAACTACAACGGCGTTGACGCCATAGATACCCGAAACCTGAGCGAGATTGAGCAGCGCGGATATTGTCGCCAACTAGTGCAAGGCGCATTTCGGCTTCTGCATCTCAGACCTCAAGATTATCCAGAATGTTTCGAAGCGTGCATCTGCAGATGTTTGGCCTCACATGCTCTAGAAGCACAACGTTGGAGCCGATGGGGCGGTTACAACGATGTCATTTCCAAGATAAGAGACATCGCGTACCTTTCCGAGCTACACGGTAGATATCACATTCTGCCTGCTACAAGTGTGGTGGCCTCAATTGTTGTCAAGCGGCTCCGCAAAGTTAACACGGGCGGAGTAGATGAGATTACCTGCCTCATGAAGAGATACAAGGTATTCGAGTTTGCACACGCGTCAGTCAAGCACTATAGCGAGCGAGGAAACAAGATCATACGAACCAAGCACGTCATACCAAACTGGAAGCCTAAAGCCGTGAAGGCTGAAATCCCTGGCAGCTTCGGTGACATGGGATTGACTCAACCAATCCCACATAAGTCTGCTGAGGTAGAGGATACAACGAGTCAGGTTGGCATGATACTCAAGTCTCAGATGCCACTACCACCCGTGGCAATAACGACGACAAAGAAGATTACCAGAGAACAAGCAGTAGATCTGGTTGTCCCCCATATGGTCAAGATCATGAAGGAGTTGTGGTCAACGACTACAAACGACGAGTGTGCGGCAGCCCTAACCAGAGAGATCGTCATAGTGTTGCCCTCGGAGATGAAGGAATGGCTAGAGGTGTGGAGTAGACAAGCAGGGAAGCAGGAAGTTGAAGTATGGGTGAGAGAGGCAACTGAAGACCTCGAGACTTACGAATGGGGAGAGACTCAAGTGGTACAGGGTCGGCCAGCCGCGGAGCCAATCTACGCCGCCATCAACGAGCTGGAAGAATTACACAACGAAAATGTCACATCTGTCGCGGCACGCCACAAACTTCATGAAGGGACGACCATGATCCGGCATTACATTATGGGAATGGAGGAGAAATGGAAGGCGTGGGCATACAAAGAGCTTAGCAAGGAACTGCTCGAGTGTCAGGCAGCAATTGCGACTGATGTGAGCTTCATTCGTCGGTCCCTCGAAGAGAATGACGAACGTTGCTGGAAGAAACGCCGCGCCAACATGGAAAACGCAGCAAATGATGATGGAGAGAAGATAAACTGGCTGCAATGAGCAGATGTCATGGATGGTGATGGTGAGCTAATCTACGGGTATATCGGTATGGACTTGCACAACGGGAATGTCTATGGCGTCTGATTAGAGAAGCGACATTTCATTGGAGCGCTGGGAGGATTCTATTCTTAGGAAGTTATTCAGTTACAAGGCAAGAGCTCGTCAAATCTCAGTCATCAGGTTCTCTTAGAAGTTTTCTATTTTGAAGGAGCAGTTATTCAGCTGTCAACTAATAAAATATTTGATTAAGCTAATGTTGGTAGTAGAGGAGTCGCAAAAACTAGTGTTGCGATAAATACCCTTTCACTCATTATGATTGAGGCTAATGGTGTGAGTGATTCACGCTTTAGGAGAAAAAGTGTGCAACAACAAACAACTCACTTGTGATGATGAGCAGGCTATACGTATCAGCTCTTTCTCGCAAACGAGGCAGTGATTGTGATGTAAATGACATCTCTATATACTCTGACTCTCTCAGATACCCCACGAACAGGCCCAATACCCTCCTCATAGATAAACTCGAAATAACCAAAATGCTCCCTGACCACTTTTGGCCAATTATCTTCTTTCTATGTCTCCTCATGTCTATCGGCATCCTCGCATGCCTAACATATACAGTCTTTAGCATCATTTTTGAACGTAATGCTACCCGCGAGGCTTCTCCGGATGAAAGATATTATACTTTTGAAAGATCGGTCACCGGGCCTTTTGAGGATGAGGCTCCCAGGCGTACCGCTTCAATGTTTGGCATTCCTCAGAAATTCTTGCGCCGAAGTGACAATGCGCCGACTCTTTCACGCACTAAAAGACAACCTCCGCCCAATCAAGTCGGTGGAAGCTCTCGTGATGACGGGAAACGGCGCACGAAACCTTTGAAGACGCCGGCACGACGAGTCTTGTTCAACGCGCAGCAGGGCGGCAGTGTGCGCCATAGGGGTCCTTCAGAACATGAGAGCCTCACTCCGAGAACGCTTCCGGGGCCAAGCAATCAAGCGCTAGATCACAGAGATGTCTTGTCATCAATCTCTTCGAGTTTGGTGGTTCATGCACCTGTGAAAGGGAGGGCCAAGAGGGATAAAGGAAAAGAGAATGAGGGGCAACCGGGGCGAGAGGATTTCTTGTTCAATATGTCAGTCTGAGAGATAGAGAGAGGACGGTAGCAGTACTAGAACTCCCAGACTTATAGTTTATGGCCCATGTAATCTACCCATCATGTAGTCCCATTTGTCCACAGTTAGGATATGCACAATTTTTTCGATTTCACTTCTTCAGATACTCAAATGTCTTCAATGGACCTATTTCTTACTTTATTCGATTATGGGGTGTTTAACCAGTATCGAGTAGGCGTCTGTCACGTAGTCTGAGGTATAGCTCATCGCCCACGACCAGTTCGACTGGCTTACGTTGTCTTATAGCACTCGAGAGAGTTTGATAGTATATGAGATATAATTTATATCATTACTGTCGTTTTAAAAGAAAGAATTATTATACGTAGCATCACAACTCATTTGTTGCCATCATTGGTCATGTACACGTAAACCTTGGTTCACTCATATTCCTCCAGATTCATCAATACGTGTATCTGAAACCAGGCGTAGCATCCTCCTATTCATCGTTACAGATCAGTTATCGTCACATGTCAAAAGCGGGGTGTGTCACTTACATCGTGAGCTTCAAGCAGAAGACCTTCCTTGTCTGCCTTGCTGTTCGCCCTCCAAAACCCGAGATCGAGGAGGAGAACAAGGATGATGTTCAATAAAGCACAAGCAATGGAGGCATATAGACCTGGCTTATATCCTGTGGCGGCATCTTGCTCTCTAAAAACCAAACTGCCAGCAATGCCTCCCAGACCGCCGAACCCAACGAGGGTCGCACTGCAGAAGGCACGCTTCCACTGTCCACGCACGTTATTCGCCTGTAACGACATGGCAGCCGGGATATTGGCATTAGCACCGGCTGTGACAAGGAAGACGCCGAAATAACGAACGCCAGGACTCGGAGCCCAACCCATAATGGGTAGTCCGATGAGGCAGAGTACCATGTTGAAGATGACAATGGGGCCACGGAGCCGCAGTCTATCACCCACCCAAGCGCCTGAGAACATCACAATACCTGCCAGTACATACGGGGGAGCAACGAGACACTGGGACGCTCCGATGGAGAAATGGAGGCTTTGTCTCAGGATCAAAGGGAGGGTGAAGGCCAACGAATAGGTTATCGTGGTCGAAAGCCCAAAAATCAGAGCATATGCCCAAATTTTCCAATCAGTTCCAGCACCAAGGAACTTTCGCAAATTGAACTTTGGGACCTTTGAGTCACCACGGTCGCGCTGGATGCGATGGACGATCCAGTCGAGCTCACGCTGGCCAAGGAAATTCCACGTCAGACGCTTGGAGTCGGGAAAGTCGACGAGGAGCCAGTAGCCGGCGATACCCAGGGCGCAGGTGAGGGAGCCTTCGATGATGAAGATCCAGCGCCAGCCGGTGAGGCCCTCGCGGCCGTTGAGTTGCATAAGCTGTAGTTGATGTGAGCCTTTTGCGCATATTTATAATGAATATATATGACTTACACCGTAGGCGAGAATGCCGGCAAAGGCCGAGGCAACGCAGCCTAGGAGATAAAACATGGAATATCGCTTGCCAACCTCGTACCTAGTGTACCAAGTAGACAGAAGGTAGACACAAGAAGGGAAGAAACCGGCCTCGAGGACGCCTAGGACTGTTCTCATGGCTGCTAATTGCGGGAAGTTCTTGACGAAGCCCATGCCGATCATGACGGCGCCCCAGAGCAGTGTGATGAAGGCGAGGTGCAGACGAGGCCCGATTTTGCGGATGAGAATGGTGGAAGGGGGTTGGAAAACGATGTATGTGGTGAAAAACACGAGATTGGCAATATTCTAGAGCGTTTGTGAGTTGTTTGTTCTAAGAGGTGTGGTGTTGAGAGGGGACTTACATAGCGGTTGTTGATGAGCTTCAGCTCAACACCCATACCTAGGGGAATCAGCTTGTGGCTTTTTACGTCGAAACAGTGAATATACCTGCTATATTCGCGGCGGATAAATTTGTGCGATCCATGAGCGAGACACTTGAACGCGTTAGAATGAAGTCTTATGATCGATTGGGATGAATCTTACCAATACATGGCTCCAACGGTAACGACCAAGCGCCTGTCGACCTTCCACAGAATATTGCGCTGCTCTTCAGGTGTGAAGCCAAAGTCCTCTTCGCTGTCTTGAAGCGTCATGGGCTTGGCATTGCTCTCCGAGTCGCGGATCGGATCAACGCCGACGTCCTCGAGCTCGCGCTTCTCGAGGTCGCGCTTCTCAGACTCAGCCATTGCGTCTATTTCTCCTCACTTACGAGTACGAAGTAGAAGCGTTCAAGTCCTGAGAGATGAGAAAACTAATGAGAAAAATAAAGAGGTAGAATGTTGAAAGGTGCTTGTGTTCCCGCGCCCGAGAGACATGGAGAGACACGCGAAAAGGGATCGGCAGGGAGAATCATGTACACGCATATCGGCCTATATATACACAAAAGCAGATGCGTCGCCAAGATCATCCCCCAGCAACTTGGCGGTCTCTTCCGTATCTTGGACCAAGGAATTAATTCCCACGCGGACAAACCATCCACATCAACGCTCAATCCATACTACTAGTTCCCCCAATACCAAGACAATTATCCAGCCTACCTATCCTATCTCATCCATGTCTATCCATGTGGCGAGCAAACTAACGTCCCCAATTCCCCTCACCCCCTCCAGCAGTACATAGTAACAACAGCACACAGCTAGAGAACATCGAATCCCTCGCAAGCCATCCCTCATCCCGGTTCTCGCCAAGAAAAATAAAAAAGAGCCGGGCCCTTTCTTCCCCCAGACTTTTCCAAGTGGGGTCCCCGCCCTTTTTTTAAGCTCCCAACTGTGAGGGTCCAGATTCTGGGCCCTACTTAATAGTAGCCTATTTTATGCTTATACCAGGGTGTTGGACCAGGCTTCCGGGGAGGGGATATACTCGTACATCCATGTTTGCCGCTGGGGGAAGCCGGGCAACGCACGCTTGGACATTATGCGGACCGAGCAATGTCTTGGCTGAGATATGCAATGTTGGTTGGATAGCAGATAGGTATGGATACATAACGGGGGTTGCTTCGTACACCTATAATACAGCGGTGACGAAGCCGCTGTCTTTTGCAGTGTGAGACACCCACCAGTTCTCGGAAATAGACGCAACATCTCGCATCCAGGTAGATTTCACCATAAGATAATCCCCCAAGAAACACAGTAAGCAGTCCCTCACGAATCACACTCCATCATCATACCGTTATACCATCAAGCAAACGACAAAAATCTCGTGTGTCACAACCACCCCGGCCATCATCCCCATATTTGGAAGTTGGCCCATCCGCGGGGAAGAAGCAGGCTAGACAAGACTCTAAAGGCCCTAGCTGCGTAGCTTAAATGGCTAGCCCCGTGTATATCACAACAGCAAAAAGTGGCGATGCTTCTCCATTCTAGGGTCTTGGGAGTTTTGCTGTCCTAGGTCGAATTTGGCGATTCATGCGTAACGCTTCATGTTGGGGTGCATGAAGATGGGGGCAATTCTGTGTGTATGTAGCACCAAGAAGCGAAGGAGTCGGTTGATGGATCATCCAGATTGAGATGCCGTGTTGTACTGGACTGTGCGTTTGCATTTGGCATCTGTGCTGCAACACCAGATTCCCCCAACTGCCATCTTGATCACCACCATCCTATGAGAACCTCCAAGAGTCAGTACACACACCCACAATCTCATAACCCTTTCATTCCACGCGTAAACAAACTCCCGACACTCTATCCACTCTCTCCCCAGGTTCCCCCCCCAAAAAAAAGAACGCCACATTCTCCTCTCCTCCCATGCTTCTCCTCTTCTTCTCCTTTCGACCAATTATACGCGTTTCTGGCCTCGAAGATGCCGAGGCTCGCCATCTTCCCCGGTCCCATCTACCCGCCCTTCCCCAGAGCTAAGCTAATTTCAACAACGACATGCTCTTGGTTTTCAGCTCAGGCGATATTTACTCCAGACTTTTGGCATGCGAGATGGTAGCCAACGCCGACATCAGCAAGAGACACACGAGAAAATCCCCGATTCGCTGCTCACCTGCTGGTTTTCCTGCTTCGCAAGGTTCGTGTCTTTCCGGCAAGTCCGGGCTGCGACTATTTATTCTTGGCATCCAGTCACCAGTCTTTCTTATACCAATTCCATCTGCGATTCGGTCGAGCTGGCGTTTTGAGGCTTGGTGACGCGGCGCCTCATCACTCGACTTGCTCCGTCCATCTCCTTTGTCCCCTCATCCTGACATCTTCTTCCTCGGGCATCAACCGATCGAGCAGCAAACTGTCCAATGAAGAACGCTTCATTATCTACTATTGCCACTTCGAAAGTGGTACTAAATCCAATACAATCCAATCAACCCAAGCCAAACAAGCCAAGCCCAGTCAAACCCGATTCCTTCCATTCACCATGATACGCGATGCCTCGGCAATTCATAGTTCATCCAAGGCAAAGTCCCTCCTCAAACTCCGCACCATCAGAAGACGCCCAAAAGTCTGCAGTTAATCGTCTTGATTATCCTGCCCCATTGGTTATCCAAGAAAGAAAAGATAAATCCGTGCCAGAAAACATACCATACTAACGCTAATAAAAACCACAAACATCGCCAAAACGCTCTTAGGAAATGGTTTAAAGGTGAGGTGCCAACGGAAAAGGCTATTCTCCATTTGACAACCTCAAACCGATAAACTTCACTCTACACAAAGATGCCGAACCTTCTGCCGACCGCACCTCCAAATCGCTGCAAATTGTGCCAGACGAGACCAGCAATGCCAACAACAGAGAAAACCTGCAGAATCTCCAATGGAGTCTTCGTTTGGACCTTGGTCTCGATAAAGTCGACCTTGGATCCGGCCATGGTAGGGAATCGTCCTGTGGTCAGGTACTGTTCCATCAATGCGTCCTTCTTGTACCACTCTGCACGCAGCCAGGCATCGAATTCGTCTGCGTCATCGAGTGGAATATCTGAAAGCTTGAATTTTCGCCAGTAGAAGTTGACGGACTTGGGTGGTCGGCCCTGGAGGTAGGTACTGGAGAGTGTAAAGATGTTCTCGCCGTATTTGCCTCGCCTAGGTATTACTGGTCAGTCATCTTTGGTCCATTACGGTTTCTTCGGTTGGATCAAGGTATCTCAGAACACTCACCCAACACCTTCATACGCCACTGTGCAGTCGTAGACATATTCTACCGTTCCTCTGAGTTCGTTGAGACAAAAGAAGCTGCCAGTGCTACGAGGGAGCAGCACGTGCTCAGGATCTTTCCACCCTTTCTTTTCTGCCCAACTAGCAGACTTTCGTCGACCGTTTCCAGAAATGTTGGTGCCTTCAGGGAACAATAGCAGCCACATGGGTATGCGATACTCCTTCCCACTGGGATCGGTCCTGGTCTGCTTGAGCTTCTTCAGTCGGTAGGCAAGTCGGGGCTGATCTGTTGCCATTTTTCGAGACATGAAGATGAAGCTGTAAAACGTCATGCCCCAGCCGATGATGGGAATATACTGCAGTGACTGCTTCAGAATGATGTAGATGTGGCCGTGCGCCGAAGCTCGGTTGACGTAGCCAACCCACCAGAGGTACAACCAGTCGGTATAAATCTGTCAAAGCTCGTCAGTTCAGTATTAAAAGTAGTCTCTAGGAACACTAGGTCGAAACCAAGTGTCCTCGTACGAATGAGATTGCATATGAGAGTAGCCAATCGACTGGTGTCGACGCTGCCGCATTCCAGAGCTTCTTACCTGATGGTTCGCTATCATCACCAACCGCTCGGGAAAGTTGAACTGCACTCCGCCACCTTCCGTGGGACGGATCTCTCCCGCGACTGACTCATCGCCGCTGATTCGGATCGTTACCGGGCCCCAAATCTGCGTCATCCAAGTTACGACTATGGCAAACCATCGTTTGGTCAAAGCCATGTAATCATAGTATATCTCGCGGTTCACGAAATACAGCCAACACCCAAGAACTTGCGAAGCGACAATACTGCATTCTCGTAAGCATTGGTTCTATCCAAACTCATGATATGATCACTAGCCCAGTGAATCGCAAACGTACGTCACACAGCAGATTAAAAAGTACACAGCGAGAGCCAGACCTCGTAGTATCTGCACTCCTCGGCCATGAGCCCGCTTGCCCGATGGATGAACATCGTGGCTCGCAGCGCCTTTTCCAGGCGTCTGAGTGAGTCCCATGGCAGCTGTGGGAGCAGGAATGTTGATGTCGGACCCCTCGGTATCAACCGCCATAAGCGTAATGTTTAGGAATATGTATATGCGTCGTTCTAAGGTGTAAATATAGGTCAAGGCGCGCAAAAAGGCTCAACCCAGCAATCTGGCATGAGCCCCAAGGCAGATAAAGGACAGTTCCAGAAGAGAGGCGGTGATGTGGCTTCCTGGTGGTGAAGCTCGCCTTGCAGCAGCTATTGGGCCAGGTCAGGCAGGCAGCTCAGCCCGCCAGGCAACGCCTTTCCTGATAGGATATGCTCACGGATGTGGACTGCCGACAGCCTCGATCAAGCCGGGCTAGAGCAAACGGCCAGTCAGGGCAGCTGGTCAGATGCAGGACGGAACAGCAGGCCAACGGAGAGCGGTTCCAGCGCCCTCGAGACACACGACACCCGTTGCTTGTTCGCTTTTCCGCTTTGAGTCGAGTCGAGGTCAGACGGTGTAAGGTGAAGGTTTGGCCCAGCTCGAGAGCAGCACATGATGACGCAGGTGTTGCGGCTGCTTATTCGCTCCCTTGCTTCTGCCTAGCTCGAGCTGTCTGTCATAGTGTGTTAGCGCTATTGGATTGGCCCAACCACGGCGGATTCGTTCAGCCCTGGGGCTAGGCCAAAGCCCAAGCTGCTGGGAGGCTTAGCGGGAGCTTCGGGGTTTTCCAGAGCCCGTGAGTCGCTGGCAGTGGATGGCAAAGCTGGTGCGACCACAGAAAAAAAGTGGTCGTCGTGGCAGTAAAGTGGCTACAGGAAATGATTGATGTCTGGCATGGATCGGATAGGATTGGATGTGATTGGTGTTGTAGACACAGGCATTATTGATAGTGGACATGTAATTCTGGGCGGTGACTGAAAGCGGCGGCGGATTAGGCGGGACATATTGCTGAGGGTACTTGTTCCGGTACTTGACATCTGATGTACTGTTTCAGCGAGTGACCTGGTGTTTTCTCTACTGAAAAAAGGTCATCTATCTCAACTACATAAACTCTTGTGACGATTTACCCATTAGCGAGAAGCCTTGTTCTCCTACTTCATGCAACCGTGAAAGCTATTACTGAGAAGTGACTTGATCACATGCCAGTGCGCGGGTCATCCAGTTCCTCCGTCCCAATATCGCAAAGCTCGTATCAGCGGTAGCTCGTCAATGCAATACCCCGCCTGCTGCTTTCGGCAGGCGGTGGCAGCTTGTATTCACTGAAATGGAGCCAACCAGCCCGATAAATCCGGGAGGATCACAATGAAATGAACCTGTGGAGTTATCAGAAACGTAATTGAACTATTATTTAATAGTAATTCCAGGCTCTTCAACGAGCTAGGTTTCATTTGCCATTGATAGCAGTGGTTAATCCATATGCCGTTGATGTTAACAGCACGTGCCCATCCAAGGGAAGTAGGTACATGTATTGAAGCGACATGTTCTTTAATCACGTATAGCATCAGAAGATTTCAAGACGATATGATGATAACAGTGGCAACGAAGAACCTAGAGTAGCAGTAGAAGAAAATGGCTAACACCCAGAGCTATGAACCGAGCTTGTTTTGTTCTAGAGAAACCACAAGCTGAGCAATTCCTATCAGAACGCTGAGCAGCCCAAACGCCGCCGTAAGAAAAAGACCTATGAGGGCCACCGTAAGTGCAGTTCTCTCCGATGTGTGCCTCTCGACCCATGACACGAGATCATTCGATGGCGGAGGGTGATCCACGGCTGCTTGTAGATTCCTCAACCTCCTCGTCCAGTATACAAGCTTGAAGGAAGGCGGTGCCGTGCGAAGCGAGCCGTCCCATACAATGAGATTTGGATCAAAGGCAGAGTCGGACGAATCATTCAAACCATACGTTGAAGTAAGCTCTCTTGCCAACGTATCCGACTCATCGTCCGTTACGTATGGGAATAAAATTTCGTAAATTGTGTAAAGGGTCTCGAAAAGAAGCCGTGGAGGAAGAGTCCCGCTGTTTACGAATTAGCATTTGCATAGGTTCCTACAAGGAAATATTGAGATGGCAAACTTGGCAAAACTCATCTCTATGCTCTCTTCCAAGCTTCTATCTGCTGTATATCGCACTTGGGCCTTGAGCCACTCGACTTGGTGAAAAACTGCCAGTGTCTTCCTCTTTGGGTTGTATACAAGATGTTCGGCCAGATCATTGGTAGGAATTATCTCGATACCCAATCTCTTTCTCAAGCTCCATGCCATCAGACTCGTACATTCCGTGTTACTGTGCCAACAATCCACTGACTCAGTGGGAAAAGCTGCATGAAAAAACTGGATAAATGTCTGGTTTGGCAACCATTTGACAGGGTAAGCATCCTCATTCTCGATTCTGTATAGCATGGAGTAGATATCTCTTGATGATGGATCAATCATGAAAGCTAATCGGGCGGTGATTCTTGCCGCCACTTCTCTCTCTTTAGGTAGACAATCCGGAAAAGCAGCCTGTTGAAATGCTTCCAGACCAGCTGCTTCATTGCATAGAGACTTTAGCATATCAACGGCCCCAAGGATAGCAGTGTGAGATGTTAGCCCCGGATTGCCACTGTAGATGGAAATGTCGCCAGTTTGCTCATCCGTGTGTGTCATCTCGTGATAAAATCGGCGAAAAGCAACAAACTGAGACTTGGTAGGTTCGGCTACATTGCAAAGAGCTATAATAGCATCATTGAGAGATGTTATTTGCGAGGAGCCCAGAGTGCGAAGTTCCATATTAACCACGAAGATACAAAAATAGCTCAGAACTTAAAAGGGGATCTTCTGCAATTCCAGTAAGCCTCTTGATAATGCAGAAACACATAGATAGATACAGGAAGATGCACATGAAGTATATGTATATATATGTATGTCAAAGGCTGGGGCGTAGCCTTCCTCTGACCTAGCTATTGCAGCTTTACTGACCCTCTTCTTAATAAATATGACCTCTATATATATATATATGTATGTATATAATGAGAAGAGGCGTATATCATTCTCTATACTATGTTTTTTTGTTAATTATTATTGATTCATAAATGGTTTTTTAGTTGGAAAATTGGAGTTTCGTTTATGTCCTCATGAGCTCTTGTTGGCGACTTGTAAGGGCGAGACATTCGAGCTCATGAAAACGGGCATTTGCGTGAGAATATATATCCGTGGACCTCATACCACTAACCTTAAGACTTGATCGTTTTAGGAAAATAAGGCGTTTTGTTGTAGGCCGCGCCCACCGCCAGCCTCACCGATAATTGACTGCATGTACGCACAGCCGCCGCAGAATGCAACTGCATGTTGGTCGTGTGCAAGCATGTATGTGCTGCATCTGCCTGCCTCATTGGCTCATGAACATCACCATTGATGCAATCTGCAGCAATTTGCAGCAACCAAGCCACCGGGACCATAATTGGACCAATAGTCAATATACAGGTCATCCATGCTAATGCCGGTCGGTCATCGCAGAGCCTTGTGAGGAGAACTGGAATTGCCCACCGCCTCTTATTTATCTATCGAAATTTACTTCTTCACCGCCGACTTTAGTTGATTTATCACATTTAGACAAAATGTATGTAGTCGATATAATCGCATGGTGGGTAAATCTGAATGCCACTCAATATTGCCCGCATTACGTTACTTCGGACCATACTCTCAATCTCAACCAACGGACATACAAGAATACGCTTCCAAAGATTCGGTCCTATATTCTTAAACATATTTAAAACGTCATTAAAATGCCTTCTCATATCTCGGTTGAACCAACGCCTCTGAATTCAACGCCTCTGAATTCGGCTGGAACCAAGAGAACGCGAAGTGGGAGCTCGAGCACCGGAGGACCTATCAAGAAGTTGAAAAGTTTGCATGCAAGATTCAGCTATGGTTCGCAAGCTTCGGCTTCAGTAGCAAAGTCCCCTGCCACGGGCTCAACAGCATCTAGCGGCGCATTGCGACCAGACGCACTCCCTAAAGAGAACAACCCTGGTGCAGGAAGGTTGGTGCCAGGCTCCACGCAAGTCAATGCACCAGATCAGCAGTTGGTGTATCAACACCACACGCACGCTCATGCTCCCGATGAAATTCCTGGTGCTACTCATCTGGACGGCAGTCGTGTCTATGTTTTCCCTCGTGCGAATTGGTGCATCCCCGAGGATTACCGCAAACGATATCTGGTTGTCAAGGATATTTTCCAAAGGAATCTTGAAGAAATCGACTTGACGATTCTCAAGCATCCGGCTAAAACGGACTACAAATTGAGAATGTGTGGCACTAGCATAGACAAGGCCACGCCTTCGATCTTGATATACCACCCTCAAGATGATAAAAGCATGGGCCAAAGGATCCTGCGCCATCTACATCGCCCGCAGGTCCGGAAGCAATACAATTCTAGCAAAATGGCTGTGAGTTTCGAAATTTACTGGTATAGCGGGCCTGCTTGGAAGTATTTGGGGCGCCCAATAGATGGCCTCAACATTCGAATGGAAAGTTCGTACATTGCTGGAGCATTACTATTGGATGATGATTATTATAGGCTTAGTACCATCACTTGTGGCATCCGGTTTCCAAATGTGGATGACGCTATTTTTCTTCTATCAACCGCTCATGCCTTTGAGGAAGATGACAGAAGTGGGGATGATGATGAGGATGAGGAGAGTGTCGAGCCTAATGGAGGCGAAGATGGAGATGGGGATATATACAGGTTTGGAGATGTAGAGTATGACATGGCTGAAATTAGGGATATTTATGAATGTGATAAAGAAAACCAAGCGCCCCAAGCTACCGGACAGCAACAAGATCGCCCACGACACAAACAAGACCTATCCAGTGACCTTGTTTGGGATTCTGGAGACACAGCTTCTGTCAGCCCCAACCGAGTCTGGGGCCGATCTCGGGAAGCTGAATGGAACGACTCTCTCAATCTGGACTGGGCGTTGATAGAGATTAAACAGAGCGAACAGTGGAAGACAGAAGGACTCCGTCTAGCGCTGCCTGATATCCCTGGCTCGGGTTATCAAGAACGGCGCGTGGAAGTAATGACATCTCGGGGCGCGCTCTTTGGCACTATTTGCAGCATATCCTCATTTATTGCCAATTCCAACAAGCTTAGCAAGCTATGCAAAGTTTGGACTGTTTCTCTTCTAGACCCAAGTATGGCTTTGCAATCTTCTTTCTACTATCGCTGCTAATTGCATGCATGGCACAGGCGAAGTATCTGTTGGAGACAGTGGAGCCCTTGTCATAGATTGCCTTACGGGCAAGCTTTATGGATACATCATTGGGATCAACCACTTTCAAGAGCTATACGTCATTCCATTACAGTCCGTTCTGGAACAGATAAAGGAGATGATACCTGATTCCTACGGTAACCCGGAAATATTCATGGAGCTCGTCCAACGCCGTACACCCAGAGCGCCTCCTAAAACTCGCAAAATTCGTGGGCTCACCAGATATTTACATCAATACTGGCCAGAGAGAGATTTATATTATATTAGGTATGAAGCAGCAAAGGATCGCTCAACATCATTGTGGTGGCGCTGACGAGTTTCCCAGTTCATTAAATTTTGAGCCACGATGGCTTGGGGATGATTCGGATGATAGCGAAAGGTAAGAAGATGCTATCAGCTATTGCTGAACTAGAACATCGGTATTAACGCACACTACTTTAGTAGTAGCAGCAGCCACTACGTTGATTGTCCGACCAGTCCTATGCCGAATTATGCCAGTGAACCAGACACGCAGCATCACTCTGTGCCAACTAGCTTTGGTTCATACGACGCAGTAATAACGCAGTCGCCTGCCACGCAATTTTCGAGCTTTCAGATATTGAATGACTCTATGGATGAGAAAATTGAGAACTCGAAGTCTCCTAGCCCGGAACCTGACGGTGATAGCCCTCCTTCTTCGTACCAGACCGCGGAGGACGGGTCCAATTCAGCGCCATCTAGCCAAGAATGAGACAATTTGCAACCGTTTTTTTTTTGTTATTTAGTCGCATCTTTTATTCTTATCGTTACTACATGGAGTTACGTGGGTAAATAGACGAAAATCTGGGGTGGTACAAGCAGTAGAGCTGATGCAAAGGGGCCATAGAGTGAATATATTTAGTATCGTTGTGGCATGTGACGATAACTAGTGGAATAAACCAAGAGAGCAAGAGATTAAACACTATAAAACTCAGTATTTCGTTATTATCATTACTATAGAACGGAATGGACATATTTGCTATCCCCATTACTCTGCATATATGAAGCCAAGCAGCATCTCTAGATTGCATGCAACTCTTTTCTAGCCCAACAATATTTCCCTCCATGTCTCTTCGTCATGAGTAAATGCCGTCTTGAATACCTTTCCAAGAGCAACCCTTCTCCAAAGGCCTTCTTGGGCATGATATTCAATAAGCAAAACAAAGTATATATCCCACTCCGACTCAACCCTCTCTTTAGGAATGTAATATGTCCACTCTGGCATTTCTTCTGTTGTAAATGACTTGGCCTCTGAAATGGCAATGAACCGGCATTGGCGCGGCAAGGGTTCTTTTGCCAGCCATTCCGAGTCAACCATAATGGAACCACAGCGGTCGCCTCGTCGGTCTAGGATGTAGCATTGACTGAGAGGTCCTTGGCTGGAAATGCTTTGCGCGCCTGTTGGTGGTGGAGAGCCGTTAGGGAGCTTTTCTTTTTTCGTGTCAGAGGTGACATCAGTCTCTTTGACCGCGATGCGCAATTTGTTTGACCAAGTAAAGAATTGCAAAATGGGCAAATCTGGAAATTCTCTGTGATCTCCAGTCCGACACTTAGATTCTGCAGCGGGGACGTGGAAAGGGTATTCTGGCAAGGTGAGCGCAAAGGTAGGCTTTGTTGGATTCTTGACGTTGGCTCTGGCCGATTCCTCCAATGGACGGCCAAAAGGATCAATAGCTGGGGGTCGTGGCAGTATTTCCACCATAGGCCTGTAGTCCCTGGCACGGCGATCTTCGTAGTAGCGGTGATGGCCGTAAGAGGGCCTCAGAAACTCTGGAGGAGGCCGGGAAGTCGGAATCCGGTTGAGTAGTGCTCTGTTGGTACGACTTCTCGATTTCTGCTTCGCTGATGCCCAGATTTCTGGATGTGAAGCCTCGCTAACTTCTCTGCTGCTCCTGCTCATACTCCTGCTTCTACTTCTACTTCTGCTCCTACTTCTGCTCCTGCTTCTGTTTACGATTCTGACCATGGCTCTGTTTCTGGTGCTGCTGTCCCGACTCCGGCTCCGGCTGCGGCTTGGATTCCTGTCTCTGGCCCATCTGTAGCCATCATTGTCACTGTTGCTATTGTCGTTGCCACGGTACCCTCTCCATCTTTCTTCGGTGCTTCGGTCCTCTTTTGCCCAGGCGTTGTCCCAAATTCGCTGTGGCGTTCCATAACCGTCTCGAATATGCCAGTCAATCCAAGTGTGGTCCCTCAGCCAGGTACGTACGTCTGACAAGCATCCCTCAATCATTTGCCGGTTATATAGTACGCCCTCACTCTTCCATCCACACCATGACCAGCTTGGGAACTTCATATTCTGATACTTTTCGTCTTTCGAAATGGGTTTATCGAGTATAGACGATTTGCCGACTGGTTGCCACAGAAGAGCGAAATCAAAGTGCGAGGTCGGCAGTCCGAACGTGAAAGGTGACCTCAATGTCCCTTCTATGAGCTTGCACATTCCGTTGAACGCTGCAAGGATGTCAAATGGCTCATAGAGCTCTCTCTTGGTGTATAAGCTGACACAATTTGCATAGAACCATAGAGCTCTCTGCCTCAGCTGCGTCAGCGTCTGCAAAGGCGCTCCAGTGAGATCCAAAGACCAACCCTGGCCGGTTTTGTCGACAAAGATGTCTTCTGACATTCCAGTACTTCTGCACTGGAAGTAAACTTGTCCCTTGGTAAATATGAGGCATCTTCTAGAGAGGAGACGCTCTTGAAATGTCCAAGCACGCCGGTTCCACTACTCAGTGTAAGTGACTGACAGTTTTGGCTGATCCCAAAGTGCTTACCACAGAGTCTTCTATGTTGGATTCTGGCGACTGATGTAAGACCAGATGAACGTCAGGGGCAACTTGTCCAATATTCTGCTCTACCGAATGGTTCTTATCAATAGCCCTTAAACCTACTTCAGCACTGGCACCATCCGCGGCGCAAATAGTCAGTGTAGAGTTGCCATAAACTGCAGACTGTAAGAATATGTCCTTGAAGATGGGATGATGAAGTCATACTTAGGTGCATTGTGCGAGAATTCAAGTTCCAGGAATGACTGCTATCCTGAATGATGCAGAGAGAGTCAATCCAGATGTAGCGGATACCCAAGTTCTCAATCAACTCAATACTCTGTTTGAGCGCCACAGGCAGTGCGTCGATGGTTGCGGCCAAACCTCCAGACTTTAGTCGGTCTTGTATGTTGTTTAGAGTCGTTCTATGATCACGAATATTGCCCCATACATAGCTTACCGTAGCGTACGGTTGAAACGAGAGATAATCTTTGTTGTTTGTGTAAGGCAGTGGAACCAAGTTCTGGTTCTGAATGTCGATGACTCCAAAATATGACTGCTTGAGTGTCTCAGCAAAGGGATCCTCGATACCAAGCTTTCCGGTGCAGCGCTCATCATGGTTGTTCTCGCATAGCCTAAGAAATTCTCTAATCAAGTTTCTTTTATTGACAACTGGTCCAATCCGTCGACCCAAGAACTGTGTTTCCTCATTTAGTAGGAGAGGGTAGTCCAAATTAGATTCGTCGTAGGAAGCAGGTGCAGCAAGTACGAGATATGCTTCATAAGCTTTGAGACGCTCTTGACTCCAACGAATTCTTAACCGCCGTGTTCGTTTTCTGCTTGAGGGATCGAGAGAATCGCGACCGTCTAGTTCCCACACCAGACGACAAGTCGTGTTTCTGGCTTTGACCTCCGAACGAACCTCTGGAGGGATAGCAGCGGCGATGATTTTGCAAAGTGAACACTCGGCAGCTCTCGCCTCGATTGTTTTTAAAGTGGCAAAGAAGGGACTTCCATTACTTGGTCGCAAAGACTGTGACGACGAGGGGCTGCAACTGTTGCCGCTGCCAATCTTGAACATGTCAACGCTAAGTTCAAGCCTTTGACACTGGTCGCATAATTGGTAGCTCATGGCGAGGTAAAGTGATGCAAGATTTGAGATTAGGATGGGTAATGAATGAAACAGGTAGGAGAATTATTTCACGATGTGTAAGTAATGGAGGAGTTGAGATTAAATATGTATGTATACCTACGGATGTGTCTATAGATACTTCCGAGGCAACACAGCTTTGTGTGACCACAAATTGCCTTCTACATGTAGATAGAACATAATGAACAGCCAATTTATAATCGTTCATGGTCAAGATTGAGTGGACAATCAGCCTAGCATTCAGCCCAGCGCAACTGAGGATGCTGCAGGATTCCATCTCAGCCTCAACTCTATTAGCACTAACGTATCACTCTATGCGCCTAACTGTCTGTACATCATGCAGCCTGACGTACCTACAGTGCAACCCTAAAAAATCGCCTGACATGGTTATCAAAGCGCACGAATATTTGATATCCATCCAATCTAATATGAATAGGCAAGTATTAGAGAAATGTCGTCATGTGCTGCTGGATTGTACAAGCACCAAATGGTAGCATCGAAACGGATAGTTGGGTAAACCACGCTATGGCAATACGTCTCCTCTATATGAATAAAATTGTCTTTTGCTAGACATCTGCTCGCTGCAACGCTAAGAAATTCATCCACAGCAGAGCTCCATCATCATGGAAGCCATCTTTACTCTGCTGCAAAAGAGCCTGGCTCACGATCCCGAGATCACTAAGTCTGGCCGTTTTCTTCTTGTTGCGTTGCCAACATGATAAGCACCTCTTGATCTAAGTCATGTCTACACACTTTCGAGCTCTCCGAGGACCATGGCGCCAACTTGCTCAAGCTCGGCCAGCTCGGCTGCCGTCGATGGCCTCTAACCGGCGACATCTATCCACCACAGATGCTTTAAGGCCCGCGCAGTCGCGCAGTGTTGCAGAGCTTCCAGCAAGGACGATTCCCCGATATCTTCAGATTTCAAAGCCTGGCTCGTCCTTGCTGTCACTAAACTGGCCGCGGCCACCCCGCAATCTGTTGCTGGTGCAGAAGCTCTACTCCCCCGAGGTGACCGAGTCTGTCGTCCAGTTTGCAAAGCATATACGAAGCGACTATCCCGAAGTCAACATTGTTATTGAAGCTCGCGTTGCCGTCCCGATACAACAAGAGCTCGACTTCCCCATCTTTGTCGTCGATAACGGTACCAGCATCGCCGACAAGATCGATGCTATTGCGACCTTTGGCGGGGATGGCACCGTTTTGCGTGCCGCAAGCTTATTCAAGCTACACGGATCCGTTCCTCCAATCTTGGCCTTTAGTATGGGGACCTTGGGATTTCTAGGAGAATGGAATTTTGCAGAACACAAGAAAGCGTGGAGGGAAATGTACATGAGCGGAAGCGACGTCAGTGCGGGGCGCAATGCAGCGGTGCCGAGAAGAAGAGATGATGGCATGGACACGAGCAGAACCGTTGGTGAGGGCTGGGAGCGAGTCAAAGGCAAGAGTATGGGAATGAACAGAGCATCTCGAGTCTTGCTGCGGCATCGGATCAAGGCCGACATCTTTGACAGAGCTGGTAATAACATCAACCACCAAGTCTCCAATACTTTGGCGAGCCAGCCAAAGTCGGGGATTGCTACTCCAAAAGAGATATCACCTCCCCTGCGCGCCATCAACGAAATCTCAGTCCACCGTGGCTCGCACCCGCACCTGGCCATCATTGACATCTACCAAAACGGCCATTTTCTGACCGAAACGACGGCCGACGGCATTCTCATCAGCACCCCTACAGGCTCAACAGCTTATAGTCTAAGCGCCGGAGGGCCTATTGTGCATCCATTGGTAAAGTCGTTGCTCATTACCCCCATCAGTCCTTGCAGTCTCAGCTTCCGATCCCTCGTGCTACCGTTGGATACAAAGGTCACACTTCGGATGAGCCCCAAGAACAGAGGCCGTGAGCTAGATCTCAGCATCGATGGCCGACGGTGTGCCGGTGTCTCACCCGGGTCGGAGATTCACGTTGAAGGCGAATTCGTCGGGCGAGCAGGGCCTGGCGAGGAGTGGCATGGCGGAGTCCCATGTGTGATACGAACAGAGGATGACGATCCATGGGTTGGCGGACTCAATGGACTCCTTAAGTTCAATCACCCCTTTGGCAGAGAGCCCCCCAATGAGGACTTTTCTGACTAGTGGTATAGGCCTAGTGCCTCGTAAATCTATATTGGATACCTCGAAATCCACGAAATGATACCCTATTCTATTACTCGCTGAAGTTTCAGATGTAGTATCGTTTGCTGTATCAACACCATCATGTAAAAGTGGTGGTATTCGAAGGATCAAGCAGATGCAATGGGAACGAACTGAGTAAAAGGTTTATTATTGACAAATCTCAACCATTATTTGAAGGCAGTTGTAACTTGTAGATATCGATTCAGAAGAAATCAACCCAGTGAGAATATCAATTCCATAGCCCAACACTGGTTGATCCGTTGCGGTTGAATGCATCTCCAACCTCCAATGTCACCCAGCTAGCGCAAAAAACCCGAGGTGAGATGGTTCAAGTTGACGTCAGCTATGACCCCATAGAAGCTCCAGCTGCCAGCTATGGGGAGCTACAGCGGGTGGTAGCGGGACTTTTGTAGGCCGCAGGGCTCCCACTGGCTGCAATTCTAGCGCTGCTGCACTGAGCTGCACATGACACCCCACACTATGGACGGTACCTTGCTTTATCACATTCCTCATGATGCATTGATCCTGTACTCTAACCTGCATCTTTGTGCTTCACCAGCCAGCCAGCCTTTTTCTTTCTCTTCCTCCTTTGTTCTCCCATTTCCAACGCTGAGCGTCTCGATAGGCGCTGGCCAAGGGATGACGCATGCGACCTAATTCCCATTATTCTTAACCCCTACGCCCTTCAACAGCAATTCTGACATTGTCCAATTCCATCGCTTGCGCCGCTAGACCTCATCCGCTCGCCGAGCCGCAGCTCCTCGCGCTCGTCTTGCATCGTCCCATGATCGGGGCGCTGCTCTCCGGGTTACACCATTGTCATCTCTCGATCGAAAAATCACCATGAAGTTCCTCAATCCGTTCAGCTTCAGTCCGGGGCCCGTGACCTTCTGGACGACGGTAATCTACCTTGCCGTCACCATACCGCTGATTTACGTCCACGAAGTTGTGCCGCCTGTTCCATCCGCCCATTCTCTCAAGCAAGGGTTGAACCTGAGCGAAGCGTGGTTCGACCTGCAAACCATCACGAAACAGTACCATCCGTACAACAGTCGGGCAAATGCTGAAGTCCGCGAATACTTGATCAAACGCTCTCAAAACATCTTGGACCGGAATGGCGTTCCTTACAAGACAGAGACATCTGGAGGAGTGATCTGGGACGACAAGTTGGTCCACCGAGAATATCTAGGAGTCGTTTTCTTCAGATTGTTGACAAGTATCATAGGTTCGAACAATCTGCTGTTAGAGATACCCTTGACGCGCCGAGAGCCAATCGAGCACCAGGTGCCACAATCTTCGATGACCGCATTTCGAACGTGACTTGGACCGTCGACTCGCTGCTACAAAGCACAAAGGGCGGATCAAAGACATGGCAAGGCTACTATTTCGAGGGTGACAATTTTTACGTCTATATTCACGGCAAAGAAGACCCCGAGGGCGATTGGTGGTCCTCTCAGGCTGGTGCTGCAAAGTACAGCCAGTCAGGCGGTGTCCTCGTCAACTGCCATTTCGACTCGTAAGTCCATATGCCGATTTTCCCTTACTCAATTGATAATGAATCATCAGTATGCTTACTTTTACAGTGTGTCAACCGGATATGGCGCCACTGACGACGGCGTGTCCTGCGTAAGCATGCTACAGTTACTGAGCTACTTCACCACCGAGGGACACCAGCCGAAGCACGGTGTTGTGCTTCTCTTCAACAACGCCGAGGAAGACGGTCTATTGGGAGCTCGTGCATTTGGCTACAGCCCACTTCTCAAGTTTTGCCACACCTTTGTCAACTTGGAGGGAGCTGGAGCCGGAGGCCGTGCTATGCTTTTCAGAACCACGGATCTTGAAGCTGCCGAGGTCTACTCCAAGAGTCCTCATCCCTTTGGATCTGTTGTTGCGGCAAACGCGTTTGAACGAGGAGTCATCAAGAGCGGGACGGATTTTGAAGTATTCGCGCCCAACTTTGGACAGCGAGGCATGGACATTGCCTTTTATCATCCTCGCTCACGCTATCACACTGAAGATGACGATGCTCGTCACACTTCTGTTCGCAGCATTTGGCACATGCTGTCTGCTGCTCTGGCCTCTACAGAGAGATTCTCTGAGGTTACTGGGACAGTCTTCAGCGGCGATCGCCCGGACGGTGATAAAAGCTTGGCTCAGACTGGCAAGCCCACCGAGGGTGTCTATTTTGATTGGTATGGCAGTGGATGGTCAGCGTTCCCGCTTAGAGGGTTGTTTGCGTGGTCGCTGACGCTGCTCATCGTGACGCCACTGGTCCTTGCCGTTGCCACGTTTTTGCTCATTCGTTCTGACAAATATTACTTTTGGGCAAAGGACATTCAGCTGGAGCACTCCGAGATACATGACGACCCTATTGCTCTCAGCGGATGGCGTGGCTTCTTCCGATATCCTTTGGCCCTCATTTTCGCCGTTGGTTTGACAATTGGTGCTGTCCTCCTCGTTGCTAAAGTTAACCCACTCATCATCTACAGCAGCGGATATGCAGTGTGAGTTTTACCCCCGTTGTATATTTATCGTTGTTTTCTTTCAACTGACGTATTACTAGCTGGGCTCAACTGTTATCTCTGTTTTACTGCAGCTTCTGGCTCATCATGAGAGGCGCCAACTTTGTCCGACCAACTGCTCTCCATCGCGGGTTTGCCCTCATTTGGCTGTTTATCCTCTCTTGGATTGTTCAAGTCATTGCCGCCCTGGCTGAGGATCGCATGCACATTGGTGGTATCTACTTTACAGCATTCTTCCACACGGCCATCTTTGTGTCGCTCTTCATTTCGCTGGTCGAGCAATTCGCACTTCCAGGAAAGCAAGAATTCGCCAACCAGTATCAAGACGACGCAGCTCCAGAACACACCAGGATTACCAGCTCCGATAACACCATCACCGGAAACGAAGACGATCAAGATGACCAAGGGTATGCAGCGGCAGAGAGTGCTACAGAGACGACGCCGCTGAGAGCTGGAGAGCAGGGTTATGGATCGAGCGACCAGCCGACATTTGCCAGCACTTACCGACGTTCGGCTCAGACATATGATCAACCTGCTCCATCGCCTCTACAGAGTTATCCCCCGTACGAACATGAACAGTCGTGGTCTGGACGGCTACCAACTTGGACTTGGATAATTCAGTTCCTCCTACTCGCCCCCATCCATGTCATTCTGGTGGGCAACCTGGGATTGGTACAGACTTCCGCGATGGCCATGAACGGCGCCGATGGTGGTAGTCTCTTGCCTCCCATCATGGGTGTCGGGATCATGTCAATTTTGCTCCTGCTCCCTCTGACACCATTCATGCACCGCATCACTCACCACGTACCACTATTTCTCTTCGTCGTCTTCGTCGCCACATTCATCTACAATCTTGCCGCTTTCCCATTCTCCAACAACGCTCGATACAAATTGTATTTTCAAGAGGTCATCGACGTGGATGCGGGAACAAACGTGGCTTCTCTGTCGGGCATCTATGAATACGTCCACTCAGTCGTCTCAACTATCCCATCTGCTACTGGCCAAGAGGTTAATTGCAAAGCTTCGACACGTTCAGGACTTACCGCCTGCGAGTATGATGCGTCATCTCTCCCCCCGTATCTTGCGAATGGCACAGAACTGAAAGACCTGATCACTGCGACGAGCTCAGTGTCACTTGACGGCAAGACTGCAATTCTCAAGGTGGATGCTTTGGATACCAAGATGTGCATTTTGAACCTCTCTCAACCGGTATTTGGATTTGAAGTCAAGGGTGCAGCCCCCGCAGACCGCCGATTTGGCACAATCCCGCGCGATGGATTGCGAACCATTACTCTCTTCCGACGAGAGTGGGAGGGGCCGTGGGACCTTACCTTGCAGCTGGTCACCGACGACGGCCGCGTTCTACTGGGCGATGATGATTTGGAGGTGACTGTGAAGTGTGCCTACAGCGATATGAATGACGACAAGACAATACCAGTGCTGCGTGAGCTGTACCAGTACATGCCCAAGTGGGCAGTCATCAGCAAGACGGCGGTTGGTCTTGTTGAAGTTAGGAAGAAGTTTACTGTATCATGATGAAGATGAAGCGAATTAGTTGGTTTAGCAGCTATTGAACTTGTATGTATCATTATTGTTTGGCGACATTGTGGATATTCAAGCATGACTAAATATTATGAATTGTTTGGCCAATTATACTCGTATGCTCGAAGATTTGTATATACGCAAGTTGAAGCATGTAGTGAATCACCAGATAGGTATCTAAATTGTCATATTTTGCTGCCAAACAGTGGCACTGACAGTTTCAACTACTTACGGGTTGGTGAAGATGGGAAGTTTGCGACAAATCATGTACGCCTTCAGAAATGGCCGATGTATAATCCTTTGTTGTTCTCGTAGCCTAGTTCATATCCCTTTTCATTTGACAATTTTATCGTCAGCACATGATCAATAGCCTTCAATCCACATGTCTCTGTCTGCTGGATGTGCACGGCTCTCTGCCTCTCATGGCACGAAGCCCATCAGCTGCCAGACAGCTGTCTAACGTTCTTGCAGCTGCTTCTATTCTGCCGGTTTCCACCTTATTCTACTTCTTCTTTTCCCTTTGCTTTTTTCTTCTCTCTCAATTCCTCTCTCTTTCTTTTCCCTCCTCGTTCATCTCCATCGAATTTTCTCGCATCATCGCAGAACAAAGCCTTCTCTGCTCACCTTGTCTTTGGGCTCCCTGTCGATCGCTATCACAGACTGCCTTCATGGGAGATTTTCCCCAAGGCTATCCACCGGTGAGTTCTCTTTGGCAAGAATCAATTGTCCACTCTAACGTTAGGTGGCAGATGACCATAATTCGATGCCACGTATGCAGCCTCACGACACCATGAGCCGAACGAGGGCTCATGGCAACTCGATCGACGGTGGCAGTCGCGATATTGGTGGCAACCTTGGCTTCAATGATGCCTCCGTCTCAGATAATCCGACCACAAACGATCGGCGTGCGGATGAACGCTCCTGCAAAAACGAAGTTATCGACCTGACATATTCGTATATCGCTAAGGAGGAAAAGGACTGGTTCGGCAAGCCTATCTCCATTGTGCAGCCCAGACTCGAAGGGCTAGTTCCAAATGATTCCGGCGACAATTCATTTCTACTCGCAATGAGTCGTTATGTCTTGGCAATGGTATCCGTGGATATCGATATTCTTCTTGCTGAAAACATGACTTCCGCTGTGGGTCTGAAGCGAGGCCACTTTCAGCAACTTGTTCAGAAGCAAAAAGAGGTAGCTCGCGTGATGGCGGAGCACGCGTCTTGGGCTGAAAGCCATCGGGCTTGCGTCGACAATTTTGGATTTATATACGTGGTAGAGAACGATCCAATGAACCCATATTTGGGAAAACTGGAACTCGGATTCTTGATCGATATGCTCGAAGCATCCCGAAAGCATTGCGCTTGGGAAAATGCAGTAATCCAAATCAGTCGTCTCTATCCCCTCAAGAGACCAATTTCGGTACACAAGGTCCTTGAAATCTTGACTGCGGCCCTGGAAACAGCTGGGCGCGATCAAAAAAGACTCCTGGGCCTGCTAGAGGAAAGCTCCTGGAAGCATAGCAGTTTGAAGGAGTGGTTGCCACATACTGTTTGCCGAATGTTTGGCCAGGAGGTTGAAGATGGAAGTGTCTCTGGTGAATGGACCTTGCAAGGAATAGATGGAGACGTCTACAAAATAACCAAGCTTCTAATCGATATACAAGGGATGAGCCTGAAGACATCTGACATACCGAAGATGCTAAAGTATGTGCATCCATTTAACCGCCTCATCCCATCAATCTCGCTACAGCAGGAGGATATCGAGAGCGAAATTGAGTATCTCAGAAAGAAGGCTCAGTATATGGCAATCAAGATCGAAAGTCCCGAGCCGGATTAATAGTTCACCAGAGACAAGCAAGCAGGCTAGGTCTAAGCTACGATATGGATTGGAAGGGATTTAGCAAAGGAGAAAAGAAAATTTTTGCGTCACGACTCGGAAAATTAGGGTTTTTAATGCAGATATTCAGCAATAAAACTTCACTAGTGTGGCTTTTCTAGATACTATGCGCTGAAAACATTGCATACCAAAGCCTCTTCTACATGATTCATGCGAGCATCCATCCTCGACCACTGCAATTCGTTCAGATCAGTGAGATGAAGTTAATCAACCTGCCTCGAGATTGAGTCACACAAGCAAATGCGCACACATTACAAATAGTAGATTATTATTTGTTATCGTTTTATTGAACTATAACTCTCAACCGGTAGGACTTCTCGCCGCATCAGGGATCTCCAGAAATTATTTACCTGGTCAGAAGCAAGGAGTTATCATCTACTTCATGTCGTGACCATGCCACGAGTCAGGCGACAACAATTCGCTTGATCTCATCATCCGATATGGTGTAGTGGCTAACATCGCTCGCTCTCAACTTCAGTTGAAGATCCGAGCAGCCCTGGGTTCGATTCCCAGTATCGGAGAATTATCTTTTTGCACATGATCCCAAAATATTCCGATTCACTCAAAACGTCATAATTGAATACATCCACTATATTTATAGGCCAACTACTCGGAACGTTTTTTGCCAAATACACTTGCCGCATACAGTGTATGCAATGTGAAGACCTTGTGAGTGGGAACTGCCACAATAGACTGCAACCCCTTAAGTCTAAAGCAGTAACACGGCATACGGATGAAACTCTTAATCTTGCACGTGGTAAATTCATAAAGAAAGATCTACAGAACTTTGGCAGAACGGCAGACACAGAGGCTCAGGCGAACCAATACCTCTCAGAAAGGCCAAACCGATGATGAACTCTTCTCATGAGTGACTGTGGAAAAAGAGTCAATGACGATGGAGTCAAAACAAATGCCGGAGGAAATGGAACTCGAGTTTCGGATAGAATCCTGAGTTCGGATAGTTTCTCTGCTTTTCCGGACCCAAACTTACTGTAAGCGGATACCAGTCTTCAACTCATCGTACTAGCGTCTTAGTATATCTGTGAAGTTTAATTCTTCAGTCACTTAAAGATACCAATTGCTTTTTGGAACGATTCAGTGATCAGTCGTGATAAGCGCTAGTCACTAACTTTGTGAGCATGCAAATGATGAATGCTCCATCATGTCGAATGTACCCAGCTGTTCAATATCTATATCTATGAGCCGTTCCAAGCAACAGAAAACAAGTCTGCAATATTGTTTAATATTCTCAAACCAAATCAATTCTTAACAAATCCTCAGTTTTGAAGTTCTGTGTTTAGAACAATGTCTTCCCAAGTCTCGTCACATAAATCAACCGGCGGCGGCACAGCTGCTCCCCAAGGTTTTCAAGTGGATCAGCGAATGGGATTCCTGCCACCACAAATGCCACTATCAAGGCTCCCTATTGCATGGGAAGCATGGGAGGCGACATTGGATGCCGCAACTTCGCAACGTTTCAAGGCAGCTGAGCAACTTGTAGCGTTGGATAGCCCACAGAAGCTCGTCGAGGAAGAGAAAGCTTTAGCGTGGAGGAAGTTGGTCGACAAGGTAAGAAAATCTACTGCTATGTAAGGTCATGTTGTTCTAATTCGACATCAGATGCCACTATTATCGATCGATAACATCAAAGGATGCGAAAGAGGGCTCAGAAGAGCACATCTTATTCTTACCTTTATGGTTCAATTTTACGCACATACTACTCCTCCAACGGAGTCCATTACTATTCCTCGTTCACTTACTGTGCCTCTGCTTGGTGTCTCATGCGAGCTGAACCATGCGCCTTTCGTTACTTATTCCGATCATAATCTTCATAATTGGTCTCTCAAGGACCCTCACGGTCAAGACACTATCCCAATGCGTGATAATATTCAGTCCCAGCTCACATTAACGGGAACTCCTGACGAAGCCGGAATGTATCTTGTCGGTCTACGCATGGAACTCAAAGGCGCTGAAGCCCTTGAGTTACTGGGACTATCCGCCCATGAGATCGAAGCTGGCAATAATATCGAAGTTGGTCGTATCACAACGTATCTCACGCAAACAACTAAAGTCATTGAAGAACTGAAAGGTATCTTGATGACTACCAAGGAGCTGGTTAGACCTGACATATTCTTCAACGACATTCGACCATGGCTTGTTGGGGCCGATGCCGACAAGTGGAATCGGAAGTGGGTTTGGGAGGGTGAAGATGAGGTTGAAGACTCGGAACAGATGCTCACAAAGGTTAGCAGTCCGACTGCTGGTCAAAGCCCCCTGATTCCTACTCTGGATGCGTATCTTGGCATAGAGGAAGACGACAGCAAAAGATCGTTCCTGGATCGTGTGCGAGTTTATATGGATCATCAACACGAAGAATACCTCCAGAGCCTTCGATTGAGAAAGAAAATCATTAGATCGTTCGTTCAAGTCATAGCAGAGGAGCGGGGGACCAATGCGCCAGTTGTGGTTGCATACAACGCTACAGTCCAGGCCATGAAGAGTCTTAGAGACGCACATCTGGTTATTGTGACGTTGTACATCATAATACCTTCAAGAAAGATGGCTAAAGCCTCCGAGATGGGCGCCAAATTATCCAGTGTAGATACTAGTCCAGCCAGTGGTATAACAGGAGACTGCTTGCATGAAGGAAACTCTGGGGTAAACAATGAGCGCGCTGAAGAGGCAGCACCAATGGTTGATCAAGTGCCCGAGTTGGTGAAGATTCTGAAAGGATTTAGGGACCAGACCGGCCAAACCTGTGTAGAATAGTTATTGGATGGACTATATTCTGAGACTTCGATGCCTGAGGTCTAGGCAGGCTATTTTAGTGCTTTCAAGTTGCTAGAGAATGTTGTATAAAAGTGTGTAATAGGTGACAGTATTAGAGGCGACGTTTTCTCTTTCCAGTGATGCGAAATGATATTGTACCTGTAAGGTCCTCGGAAGCTCTCTCCAAAATGTCACCATTGCCAACGACATTGAGAGGCATAGATGTAAAAGGTTGAAGAGTTCTAAGAATTGTTCGAATAGAGAGAGAGAGAGACAGAGAAGAAAAGGACAAAAGAACTGCGGCAAGTCGAGATGATATAGGTATCGATCAGGCAATGAATGCGCCCTGTGAGAGGGAGCCTTTTCTGCAGAGGACTTGGTGAATTCACATGTGATGCAGGTGCGTGATTCCGTCGATAAGAGATGTATTTCGAATTACGACAAATTTAACTCTTAACTAGCGACGGTGACTTTGATGACAGCTGCATCTACCTTTATGGAGGATACAAGTTAATTGAGATGGATTCAATTCAGTGCATCTACAAGCTTGGAGCCTCGGCATTGACCCACTGCGGGCTGTTATCAACGTTAGCTGCCGTCATTCATTCCAATGCCTCAACTCTGTTCCGTACAGTCAATGCAAATCGCTCTTTATTCTCATCATCGTCAACTCCAATAATTAACAATTTACAGGTTATTAATAGAACCCATGCGGATACAAAGACTTTACTAATAATTCTCAACAACCACCAGCCAAAATGGCTCCCGCCATTTCACTCCTCGCCAAGCCACGGCAAAGAGGCGTCCGTCCCTACCAGAGACACGGCCTCATCTACTTCATCTGCGGCAACCCGGGACTCGTCAATTACTACGCCGTCTTCCTAGATTGCTTGCGCGGAATGCTCGATGCGGAAGACGAAGGCTCCGGTGGCACCGCCTACGACATCTATGGGCGCAATTTGTTGGGATTCAGTGATGATGAGCATGAGCCGTTCAGCGCCAGCAACGAGCCCTGGGATCTCGACGGCCAGATTGACGGCATGTATCGCGATGTTGCATCCAAGACCGTCATTCCTGACGAAGCTGGCGCTGAGGGTCAAGAGGGAGAGGCAGCACGGCCGTATGACTTTGTCGTCCTCATGGGCCACTCGGTAGGCGCCTACATCTCAGTCGAAATCTTCCATCGGCACATGCAAGATCCATCTAGGGCGCCGCATCTCAATCTCCGGCACGGCTTCTTGCTGTTTCCGACTCTCACCCACATTGCCAACTCGCCTAAAGGGAGGAATGTTGGTCTGCTAATGAGCATCCCCGGGTTAGAGAACAACGCGCAGCATCTAGCAAAATTCATCCTCAATTGTATTCCATATGCGTTTGTCTTATGGATCATCAGACATGTCTTGGGTTTCACGCCTCAGACAGCAGAGGTGACGGCCCGGTGGCTCAAGAGCCAAGGTGGTGTTTGGCAGGCGATTCATCTAGGCCTTTCAGAGATGCGCACCATTTGCGAGGAAAAGTGGGAGGAAGAACTCTGGGAGACGACGGCCGAAGACGATGATATCAACAGTTACAATTACTACCACGGCAAAGGCAAGATTTCTGCTAATGGAGAGTCTGAGAACGGCACAGAGACACCTCAGCAGCAGATTCCAAAGTTCTTCATTTTTTACGGCAAAAACGACCACTGGGTGGCGAACTATGTCCGGGATGCGTTTATCGAGAAGAGGAAGAGCGAAAAGGGACATACCAAAATACAAGTTGACGAGGGAGATATTCCACATGCGTTTTGCGTCAAGGAGCGTGAGTTTTGTCCGTCGAGCTGTGCTTTTGAAAATAAGAGATGTTAACTTGGGGGGATTTAGACACAAGCTGGGTAATTGCCAAAAGGGTGTACGAGTGGGTGAAGGAGATTGAAGACGGTCAACGAACATTGTAGACAATTTAGACATTAGGTGACTCCATAATCTATATTTTACGCAGACTCTTCTAGAATTCTTAAAACGTTAACCACGTGTAATAGATTCGGCGTGATTGGTTCGCGTAAGTGAGGCTGAATACTACATGCACATTTACCCTTGATGCCCAACGACAGCCCAATTCTCTCTCCTACAGCAAATTCAGAATATTCTATCTTTAATCATCAACTCCAACACTACTACTCGACGTATTTGAACAATGAAGGATAACGCAGGGCGCCGAATGGGCACAACACGTGCGCCAGCACACTCTGCGAACATCAGCGGATCTAATTTTGGGAACAATATCCGAATACAACAATCATTCCTAAACATCTTCCATAGGAACCGGAGAAGGTCAAGTGAGTTTCGGAACTTCTGCTTATCATAATCCAAGCTAATAAAACGCAGTGGTCTCCCCCGAAAGCACCGCGTCCCCTATAATACAAGCTCAATTAAAAGAGAAAGAGAGGACGGGTCAGTTAATTAATCTCCGGAAGAGATTAGAACTGACCTTGTATAGACTGTCGGCGTTCTCTCAGCTTCCACGATCGTGACGCCCGCCTGGAGAATATCTCCCCGGTACAGCAAGATACCTGCGAGTGGATATTTCAAATGCCGGTGTTTCAGAATTGGTATGAGCATACCGAACGCGATAATGGATTACTTTGGATTAAAGGGAACCCTGGTACTGGGAAATCGACATTGATGAAACATATTTTGAAATACTGCCAGGCTGAAGCAGATTATGCTATCGCGGCATACTTCTTTAACGCTCGAGGAGCCCAACTTGAGCAGACACCTCTGGGTATGCTGCGCTCCTTACTATTCCAGCTACTCGAGCATGAACCCCGTCTATATGATCAACTTCTTCCAATACATCGCAAAAAACAACAAGATTACGACTCAGATGATTGGGAGTGGCGTGAGCCAGAGCTCAAAAGCTTCTTCCTGTCAGAGATACCAAAATGCCAGTCAAGACCGCTCCTTTTGATCATAGACGCATTGGATGAGTGCAGCGAACTCGATGTGCAAAAGGTGGCCGAATTTCTTGAAGATCTGAGCAAGAATGCAGTAAATTCTGGAATTACGCTCAACGTATGTTTATCAAGCCGCCACTTCCCATCCATCCGGTTTAAAAAATATCAACAACTGGTGTTGGAAAAGGAGAAGCAACACGACGAAGACATTATCAAGTATATCTCTTCCAACTTGAATAAAAAGGATGAAGATATTGAAGAAGCGATCAGAAAAAAGTCGTCTGGTATTTTCATGTGGGTTGTGCTCGTCATCAGGTTACTGAATAGGGCACATGAAAATGGCAGAGTCGAGGCTATGAAAAACGTGTTAGATGAAATGCCCAACGAATTGGAGGAAATGTTTGCGATGCTACTTGATAGGGACAATTCTGACAAGGATGAGACTATCTTGATCTTGCAGTGCGTCTTGTTCGCAAAACGACCATTAACGCCAGAGGAAATATACTTTGCTATTATCGCCGGCACAAATAGCCATGTATTAGGCATGTGGGATCCATTGAAGATAACACCTGATATTATTCAACGACGCATCATCAGTTCATCTAGAGGGCTTGTTGAAATATGCAAAGGCGAAATTGAAACCAGCGGAGGCGGCGATACAAGTAAAGGCGACGATACAAGTGAAGGTGACGATACAAGTGAAGGTAGAAGGGAAACAGTGCAGTTTATTCATGGATCCGTCAACGACTTTCTAGTTCGTAACAGCAGGTTACAAAAACTAGACCCAAGGCTTACACCAGATCCCATTGCTGAAAGCCATAATCGCCTCAAGGGTTGCTGTATGGCATACTTGATGATGGAATCACTAAAACTTCAAAAAGTCGAAGGAATAGAATCTCGCTTCCCTTTCCTCGAATACGCTTCTCGCTATCTGTTTGACCATGCCGAAGAAGCGACATTAGAGGGCCAAACTGAGTTACTACGGACTTTAAAGGACGACGCCGTATTTAATCGAGTAGAACGTTTCCATAACTATTTCGTGGACTACGGTCAAAAGCGCGCGCATCTCAACCTACTACAGGTCCTGGCAGCCAGTGACCTCCCCAAACTGGTATTGCGCCTGCTTGACGGGGGAGCTGACATCAATGCTGAAGGAGTACCTTGTGGGACTGCGCTAGAAGCGGCTATACAGTTTGAAAGCGAAGAGACTGTTAAAACGCTGCTTAGCAAGGGAGCCAAAATCGAATCCCATGGAAGGCCCTATGGTTGTTCGCCGCTATATAGGGCATTCGAGAAGAGCAACCGAAGGATTCTGGCCATGTTGATTGAAAGTGGAGCCAAACTTAGTACCTTGGAAAGAGCTTTAGGTGGTAGTGTGCTTCACCGAGCGGCAAAAACTGGTGATAAAGATATCATAGCAATGGTGCTCAATAACGGAGCAAATATCAACGCCACTGCGGCTCTAGGCGGCGCTCTCTGCACAGCAGCTGCAGAAGGACATAAAGAGATTGTGGAAATGCTTCTTGAGAAAGGGGCGAAAATTCATAATTGGGGAGTTGTCGGCAGCTCGCTTGCATTTGCAGCAATGGGTGAAAACATGGAGATTGTGAAGATGTTCCTCGAGAAGGGAGCAAATATTCATACTCGAAGTCTTTTAGGTAGC